CCAACCCACCACCCCCACCACTCCCACCACCTCCTCCGCCATCAAACTCAACATCGCCTTCGACTCGGACAAGTACGTCGTCGTAGTCCTCTCCAGTACCTCCTTCTCCACGCTGCTCGAGAAAGTCACCAAGAAGATCCGTCTCTGCTCCGGAAAATCCGTAGAGCACGTACTGCGCATCAGGTACATCGACGAGGATGGAGACGCCGTGCTCGTGAGCGACGACGACGACGTAGCGATGGCCTTCGAGAGCGCGAGAGAGAGGGGAGGCGAGGTCGAGCTCGTGGTCAACTAGAGCCCTTACGTGTATTTGTATCATCACCGTATCTCAATATAGTCTCTGACGCTCGTCGGGCACATTCTTAGAACCGAAAACTTGCGCAACACCTCAATTCCGTGTGTCGAGCTCGTTCAACTTCACCTTCTGCTCGTAAGCTGACACAGATCTGTACAATCACAAGAGCAAAAGCGCGCCCATCTTCGAGCACCACAAGCCTGCTCACCATTGCTTGCCATTGCGAACCAATCGAGTCGTTGCGAAACAAATATGTACCGGGTCAGATTTCATGCTCGGCTTCAATCGCAGCTGCATCAGGGGCAGAAGCAGTGCCGAAATTCGAGCCCGGAATAAGTAGAAGCAGAGAGGCGAACCGAGGGAGAAGTGGTGATAGAGTCCGAGATCCAATATGCGACGACGACGGCATTGTATTTACTTGACGTTAATGTTGTTGTTGTTGCTGTTGTTGTTCTTGTCGCTGCCGTCATCTTCCTTTCTTTCAGCGGGTTCCGAAGTACGTTCTTGAGTCTTTCCACCAGTCATTGAAGAGCTGCCAGAAGCCTGGTTGCTAGCACCATTGCCACTGACGCAGCTGCCGGCAGCTCGAGTGCCGATAGGCTGTGGCTTTGTGCGTTTCTCGCGTGAGACGTCTTCAGGATCGACACGAATCTGCATCGGTCGTTTAGGCGCCGGGGCCCAGATGTCCCTTGGCAGCTCAAGGGACGATTGAGGAGTGTGGTCGATGTGCGACCACACAGTCGCAAGAGAGCGGCAAGGGCTGCGTACGCCTTTCAAAGTCGTGTCTTGACGGAGATCTTCCTGCTGTGACACTTCGGGTGGGCTCGTCTGAGCCATGTATGGGAAGAAGCTCTCTTCGATCGACACGTCAGCACGCGGCAGAAAAGGACGTGCGACACCGCTGCCGTCGGAAGGCAAGGGCCGATGCGGCCAGTCCATCTGTGGAGAGTATGCTTTGTAAGGGCTCAAGACCTGACTGGGATCGCCACAGAATTGCGTCTGCTGTGGCGCCTGCGACGTTGTCGGGCCATAGTGATTAGGATGTTGGTACACTTCGGGCTTCTGGTAGCCGCCGTATCCTGGAAGCTGGTCAGGTAGCGTAGCCATGGCACGTTCCGAAGACTGTCGCCATTGCTGCTGCAGGATCGGGCCAGGATGAATTCCAAGCATGTTGGAAGGCTGCACGTCGTGATCGTGGGTTGGAGCGACAACTGTGTGACCTTCATTGAAAGAGTTCTCGTTGCCATATGCTCGCAGAGGGTTTCGAGGCAGCTCGTGAACGATGGGTCGCTGCGTGCCTGTCTCGAGGCTGTGCTTCGTTTTGTCCGGACAGAGCGCTTGTACAGACCTCCTGTACTCTTCGGTGTCTGTGTCCAAGCCAGCAGCCAGCCTCTTCGCCAGCAGCTCTCCGCCTTGAATGCCACGACCGATTTCATTGCCATCGGCGTAAGGGAAGCAACGCATGCAAACATCGCGTCGCCTCCAGTTCTGATATGATTCCGACGAAACAGCAATGAAGAGGAACACATCAGAATCAGCATGCAAGAAGAGAGATTGTAGCCGAGTTTGAGTCTGGAACTTACAACAAAGCCACAGCTGGTGCATATCCAGTCACCCGGCTGGACACACATGGGACCGGAATTGCCCGTGTTTACGATCGGGGGCTCGCTGGCAGTGCTCCTGCCCCGGCAGTGGCTGCCATTGCGACTGGATGCGACTTTAGGGTTGATGCCTGGACCGATACTATAGCATTCCGGAACGGGAGGGGAACAACGAAAAGCAAGGCGCCGGATGTCAGTGAGATTAATTTCAACGACGCTGATCGATGTTCTGCGCAGCAATGTCGTGACTCACCCAATCCCCCACTGACTCAGCTTGAAAGCAGCAGCGACGGTCTCCGGGTCCTCGGCAGCTGCTTTCGATCCTTTGGAGGACAGCGTCTCCACCACAGAGGTGAGCGGAACTCCTGCCCCGGTAGGCTGCATCGGAATGAGCAGAGGTGTTGGCTGTCTAGCGTCTATGAAAGACGTCGCCATGCGAAGCGACTCAATGTCCGCAGGTCGAGCCGAGTCTGCTCCTTGTTGATCGTACATGGAGAGCCCGTTGAAGGTAGACGAAAGCGAGGCCACAGAGCAGTCGTGCTGGCTGGACGGACAGGGTATGGCGTTCTGAAGCGATTGTGCTACGTCAGCACGGTCTCCGTGGCTGATGGACGGCATTGTGCGGGCGTCATCGAGATTCTTTCCAGGCGAAGAAATGCTGGTCATGCACGGTACGTCAAAAGTCCTGCGGGAAAAGCCCCCCGCCCCCGATGAGCCGAGGCTGGGCGATCGCTCTCCGTACAGTGATGACGATGACAGAGACCTGTCGGTGAGCGCTGGTGTAGGGAATGGAGGTGTGGTGGACCAGACTTGGCCATTCCACTGAGGATAACCGGGTTGTGCGTAAGTCCACTCCATCTGACGGTCACGTGTATTGAGTACGCAGTTCTCGGTGAGAGAGGTGTGATCTCGATTCGCGTCATCAGCCGTCATCGATGGAGCCGCGAACATTGGCTGAGGAACAGCTCGTCAGAAGAGGGTTGGAAACATGCTCGTCAACAACCGATTAGAACTCTAGCAGGTCCATTGCATTATGAGTGATCGACTTACTTTAGGAGGAAGAGAGTGTCGCGTGCCCTGGCTCTTTGAGGTCATGGTGGAACGTCGGAAAGGTGGTCGCCTGAAATGTGATCGTGCAAGCAGAAAGCCTGGTGGGGCCCCCACCGGACGGAAGGGCAAAAGATTGAGGAAGCAAGCCGGGCTGAGCAATCTGGCTTCGTTTTCGAAATGAAGCGTCTGGGAGGGCGAAGGCCAGCAGGACGAGTCTGTGCGGCTGAGCTACGATATGAAGCTAAGAGGCTGAAACTCCATCCGTGATCCCTGAAGACAAGCTTGTGGAAAAAGAGGGAGAGGAGAAGAGAAAGGATGCAGAATGGAGGGCTCTTCGAAGGACGCTTCCTTTAAATGAAACTTAGCTCGACTGGGTGGGACTCTGCTGCGAAGTCTCACTGATGAACAAGAGTCGCCAATTGCACAGCAAAAGAGACGCCTTTCGAGGCTCGACCCACCGTTTGGCTCTCTGCATGAGGCGCATACTCTCCAACGTCGCCATCAAGCTTTGCTAGCCGCTTGAGCGTGCATGTTGCTGTGGAGACCTAAGTTAAGATTTGTGATGTGACGGACGGAAGGAGAAGAACAGGGAGGAACAGAAGATCTAGACGCTCGGGGCAGGAGCGGAGCATAGGCATCAGCAGCGTCGGAAACGAGACGCTGCCCTTGAGACGTACGGCTAGGCCGATACCACAGCAAAGCAAGAGTCAGAGAGAACTTTCCGCATCGCCATGGCCACAAGCAAGAGACTAACTTTCCCACGGAGCTTATTGGTGTCGGACACAAGCTTTCTCAGCAATCGTCGTCGGAACGAGACCGAAAAGCGCATGAGCCCACATTGCAGTACAGGCAACCTTCTACCATTTTCTCACGCCCGTGCACGCTGCAGACTGAAGGACACTGGCTACGCTTTTCTTCGTTCTTCCATGACGGAGAGGCCCGTTGGCGTCCGGTACTGTAGGATCGGGCCAAGAAGAACATTGTTGCCAAGTGTACAACGCGAAAGTCGGGGACCGAACGGATCACCCGTTGACCTCGTAGCATGTCTACAGCCGCTTCGCGTCAGCCACAAGCGGCATGGGCTGCATACTCCTTCTTGAGCTATCTCGTGCGCAGCCGCAAGGCGTGTGCGTTCGTGTATTTCAGTCTCATCACTGGCTTTCGCGCGTTCTCGACTCGTCGAGTGCTCGACTGCCACGAGCGTCAATCTACGGTGTCGGAGTCGGCAAGAGGCGCAGAGCAACCAGCCGACACCGAACCAGCGCCCGTGAGTCGTTGGACGCCTTCGAAGCAACAGTCCGGATCGACCGACCCTTGGACAACGTGTAGGCATCTGAGCATCATCATGCGCAGCACACACAAGACTCAACATCTGCAGCGCCAGTGTCGGACGTCTGCCCTAGAAGATCAAGAGGGCGTTGAGCGGCAGGGCGAGCCAGTGGCTAGCTGTCGATGCGGCTGTCAAGGAGAATCTCGAATTTGTGCGCTATCTACTTGCTTTCGCTTTCGCCGTCGCCCTCCTGGAGGCTCATCTGGATGGCCCTCGCGATCGCCTCGTCCTCGTCCATCTCTTCGTCTTCTTCGCCTTCGACTTGCCCGGCTACAACCGCCCGTCTTCCTGCCGATGGCTCTGCCGACGCCATATCCACGTCCTCGTCGTTTGTCTTTGAGCCCTCACCGGCCTGCGACAGAGCGATGGCTTTCTGCAACATGGCCTCTTCGGACTCGTCGTCGGCATTGTGTCCTTCGCCCGTGATGGATTCGGCGCCTCTCGGCACCATGGAGCCGCTGCCGGCCAAGCCAGCCGGAGCTCCGGATGCTCCCGCTGAGGCTGCCGCTGTGGCACCCTCGGCTCCTTCCGAGACCGTGGGGAGCGACGGAGCCTGTGAGCCCGAAGCGCCTTCGGCAGCTCTCTGTCGGGCCTGTTCTTCCTCGAGCGAGAGTCGGAGAGCCTGCGGAGCAAAGGGATGGGTAAAAAAGTGTCGCATATGATGTCAGCAATCAGTGCGACACTCTCACGAGCACAAGGACGAGCGCACGGCATGCGCAAATGATCTGAAACACTCACCATGGCCAATTCGGGATCCATGCTCGGATCGACGCCGAACTCAAAGTTGTTACCTCCACCGCCGCTGCCGGACGGGCCGGCACCTGAGTCACCACCCTCTTCCTGTAGCACTGGAGAAGAGAGAATGATGTCGGACAGAAGCTGAGGGCCTGCCGGGACGCTCAAGAGGTGGCTGTGATGTTGCAGAAGTGGTCGGAATGAGAGGCTTCTTGGTCAATATCTAGAACGTCATAGCGAAAGATGGCGCAACGATGAGCCAACTTACCTGTTTTCACCGCTGTTGACTGCCTCGATAAACTTGGAGAGCTTCTCCTCGTTCTCGACATCTTCACCAAAGCTGACAATGTCCACAGCAATGTTGTTCTTTTTCAGCTTCTTTCCGAGCTTAACCAGATCATCTTCGGTCTGCTCTATAGGCGATCCTACGAACACGACGACCCTCTGCCTCTGGTTCTTGTTCTGTCGGTGCTTGAGTGCGAGCGAGGCGACATTGATACCCGTAGCCAGGTCGGCATTACCGACGATCTTGCTTCGGTGTAATGCCGCAAGAACCTTGCCGATGTCCTGTGTGAGTGTGACGAGCACTTCGGGACTCTTGCCCGCCATGGTCATGAGACCCACCTCGCTCTCTGGATTCGAGTTGGTCTTGGCATCAAAGATCATGCTGACGGCGTCCGCCTGCGCTTCCCACCGCGTCGGTGTGTAGTCTCCGTTGCGCATCCATTCGGAGTTGTCGAGCACCAGCATGGTCGCTTCGAGGACCATCGTGGCAGAAATGATGTGGCTTTACGGAAGCCAGCCGACGTGTAGGTATGGGAGACAGAGAAGCTTGTTGATGTTCTAACTCGCCGCGTGGTCTGAGTTCGAACAAGCGATGTGGCCGACCGAGATTGCGAGCCGCTGAGCAGGTGTACGACTGAAAGAAGATGCGATGCGTAGGCGATGCTCGTGTTGGTTCGAGCGGCTATATGAGTTGAGATGGCGAAGAAGATGGTAAGGCATCAAAGACGTTCACGAATTGAAGTCCATGCGCTTGCGTGTCGCAAGTGGAGCAGAGACGCGCTAAACTTACAGACAGCTGTGGGTAACTCAGCAGCACAGCGAGGCAACAGCACAACGCACAGGCGCGGTCTGCCACCGAAATCCAAAATCGGCGAAAGATCGGGAATCGGAGCGCAACTCTTCAGTACGAATTGGGCCAATTAGCGATCCGATCACCGCAGCCGCTTGCTGCATTCCCACACATCAGCACCGACAGCATCCACCAGCATCTACCTTTTCCATCGGCAACAGCTCAAGCCTTCTTACCAACTATCGCTCACCACGTGCACCGTACAGAGAATCGTACCGGCATCTGTTCCACAATAATCATCTTTGCGGAAATCAGGGGGCAGAAATCACGCAAAGCTTTGTACGCCAATCCTTGAACGGGTGGATCGAGAGCGCATACTACAGCTGCCTTTCAGCTCACGGTCCCATCCGAGCATATCAAAAGGTTCGGAACAGCATACTGCCGTCATGGCGGGAAGAATACGAGAAGTTTGGTCGGAGAATGTCGAGGTCGAGATGGCCTTGTTGCGCGAGACGATTGAAAAGTACCCATACGTTGCCATGGACACCGAGTTCCCCGGTATCGTCGCAAGGCCAATAGGCACATTTAAAGGCTCATCAGACTACCATTATCAGACGCTGCGCTGCAATGTCGATCTGCTCAAACTCATCCAGCTCGGCATCACGCTCTGCGACGAGAACGGCAACCTGCCACCCGACGTCTGCACATGGCAGTTCAACTTCCGCTTCAGCATCAACGACGACATGTGTGCGCCAGACTCGCTGGACCTGCTCACAAAAGCCGGACTCGATTTCGACCGACACGAAAGGATGGGGATCGACGTCGAACACTTTGGCGAGTTGCTCATCACTTCAGGGCTGGCGCTGTTCGACGATGTCAAGTGGGTTTCGTTCCACAGCGGGTACGACTTTGGCTACTTGCTCAAAGTGGTGACGTGCAATGCGCTGCCCGCGCAGGAAGCCGACTTTTTTGCGCTGCTGCGAGTGTGGTTCCCGTGCATCTACGATATCAAGTTCCTCATGAGGAGCTGCAAGACGCTCAAGGGCGGGTTGCAGGATGTCGCCGACGACCTGCAGGTAAGCCGCATCGGTCAGCAGCACCAGGCAGGGAGCGACAGCCTCTTGACGGCGACGACATTCTTCAAGATGCGACAGAAATACTTTGACGGCTCGATCGACGATTCCAAGTATCTCGGCTGTCTGTATGGGTTCTCTTCGAGCTCATCGCACGTCAACGGCATGGTGCACTACAACCAAGGTCGGCCCGTGTCTGTGCAAAGCTTCCACGATGGCTCGGCCATCCCGCGATCAGTGTCGGGTGGCTACGCTGCGGGAGGCTACGGCTCGAACTTTGGCAGTCCCTTCAAATCTAGTCTGACCGCTTCGACCGAGCGATAAGGCGTAGCTCGCTCTTTCTCTTCTTGTACCACTACCATTTGTACTCTTGTAATAGTAGATACGGCGTTCTTGCTCGATCGTCTGAATCGCAGCGTCGTTCCATGCACATGCGCTCAGTGTGTGCTGTTCAGACGAGCCAGATTGGACCGTGAAGTCGAGTTCACGAACAAGGTGGACCGACGAAGTAGATTTTGGTGGTGATACATGAATTGGAAAGGAGTCCGGATCTGTACGGTGAATGGCAAGCATCTGCGAAGCAAAGGAGTGCTGAGATGCTGTTTTGAGCTGGAGCGCTCAATCGAAGGCTTCCTCCGCAGACTGTCTGACGAGCCGTCTTACTTTCTTCTTGTATGCGGCAATGTCTTCCCTGACCTGTTTGGCGGCGTCGATGTTTGCTGGTGAATCGGTGTTGGGTACGTCGGCGGAGAGAAGGCTGATGACCGAGATGAGCTGCGTGAGAGAAGGTAGGTATCCATGTCAGTAAGCGGGTTCGTTTTTGCGCTGAGGCTGTCGTGGAACTTACGATGGATTCTACGGTGTGCACGGGCAGCCAGCGCTCGCTCGCATCTTCGTATCCCCACTCGTCCTTGCCAGGAGCGTGCAAGATGGAGATGCAGACGGTACCGTCGGCGTAAATGTTGGGATGCCACATGGGCGTGATAAACTTCATCTTGGGCGGGAGCAGCGGGTATTCTGGTGGGAATATCAATTCTGCTTTCAAGAAACCGCCCTCGTAGAGTGTGTCGTTGGGACCGATGATCATGATCTCCCATTCGAAAAGGTTGGTTTCATCCTTGAGACCTGCGCTAAAGCCGTCGACGGGTCTTTTGCGAAGCTCGGTGAGCTGTCGTTTGAGGAGCAGCGTGTTACCCGAAGGCGAAGACGTCATTGTGATCGGAGATATGACGGGGACGAGGGGAGATAGAGAGGTGCAGTGGTTGGAAGCAGCGATCTGCGGGTTGTGTGAGATTGCGGTTGAAGGAAGATATGAGCGTGCGCTGATGGTCGGAGCTGAGCCTGATTGCTGTTGCGGCGATCCGACGATGAATCAAAGCAGTGGGAACTTGCCGATTGTGGTGGGGATGAAGGAAACGTGAATGCTTGCCGCGACGTTGGGTATGACCAAGGTTCAGGGTTGTTGATGGTAAAAGGCGTAGGTGCGAATGCAAGATGCGAAGGTCGAGGTTGGACAGAAGGAGGTGGACTGCAAGAAAGACGGAAAGGTGCCGAAGTCAAAAGGCTGAGTGATTGATTGGTGGCCATGGCACAGTCTCACAGCGTCACTCACGCCCGTCTCGCAAACGCCGCCTTGCCGCCGCTCTCAAGGCCCAACTATATTTTCAGGGCTTATGGCCGGAGCTGTGGACCAAATTCAGATTTGTGTGACCCACTGGCAGGGTCTGGCCTCGCTTTTCGTCGAAGAATCATCCTTGACGATGGACGATGTAGGTGGTCTCTGCTGTGATCTGCTTGGTCAGCCCGATGGTCATGATCGCAGCATGAGTTGGGACCCGCAATGAGATGACAAGGCTGAAGATGAAAGACCTTGTAAGAGACGAAGACACAGTAAAATGTTAGAGGCAAGCTGCAGACATTTCTCAACATGGGTCTTGTGGAGGAAATTCGCATCAAGCCTGGAAAATCGCCGAGTCGCGTCTCTGTGTTGGCGCGGCGTGCAAAGTGACACTTTGGCCGACATGAGACCCTTTTGCTCAATGATCACGTTCGCCTTCTTCCACTCTGTACTCACATCAACCTCTCTGTTGGCGTCGTATCACAGGTCGCAGCATGGTCATGACGCTGCATCGCTCTTTCTGCTCCTAGGCTCGCTTGCGCCGAGCCTGCTTCACCGATCAGCCGTAACACGCCCACCCCCGACCGTTCCGTAGCCGACGACAAGCCAGTCGTCACAACCATGTCTGCATCACAGCGCATCAGCGCCAGAGTGGCGAACGCGAACACCCCTGCGAATGTGTCCAACTGCGATACGTCCTCGATCGAAGAGCCTTCTCAGCTGCTCGCTCGTCTTCGCAAGATCCGTGCTCGCTCCACAGCTACAACACAGGGATTCTCAGTCTCACCGGCCCCTCGTCCCGAAACTTTCCCAGCAGCGTCATCATCATCATCATCACCTGCCTCCTCTTCAGCAACATCCAAAGATGGCTCGAATTACCATCAATTCAATGCTCAGGATGAGCTTCGATGGCACGATCACCGGCTCACATGGACAAGAGGTAGCGTGCTCGTGCGCTCTTTCTCCTTTCCTTCCCCGGTGTTGCAGTCGTTCTGGACGCTCTTTCAACTCAGTTCACAGGATACCGTAGAGGTGGCCCCCGAAAAGACACGCGAGGACCCGCACAACCGACCGCCAACGAGGGCTTTATGCGTATTTTTCGAGCAAGCTGTACACATACATTTCCCCGGCACTGGCGATCAAGTGGACATGGACCTTCCCTTCCGCTTCTCCCGAGCCTTCCCCGCACCTCTTGGCTTCCTCATCCAGCGACAGATAGAGTCAGAGGACGAAAGGATTGCTTCAAGACTGCAACGCCCCTCCATGGAGTCGTCATTGCCACCCACGTCCAACACCGGCTATCCATTCCCTGACCTCTCTAGCTCCTCCGACTCGGTCTACGACCTTTCCAACATCCTCGACGAATACGACCAAGCATTCGCATCCCAGATCCATCATGATCCAGCTCGTCTGCTGCCCATGGTCTTCTACCTCTCGCGCTGCTACGACGACCTCGTTCCCGTAGATCGCTTCCCTCAGCTCTCCTTTTCCATCTCGCCATCCACCGATCCTAAACCGGTCACGCACGGTCCTGCATCTCCCTTTGGCGAGATGGATGAGGTCGTCGCCTTCGTCTCGACACATTCTCACCCTGACCATCCGCCGTTCATTGTCACCACGAGCCTGCGCGATTCCGCCATCCGCGTATACGCTTTCGCTGCTCGACCTGACTCGTTTGACGCAACGCCGGCGTTGCTTTCCACTCCGCGCGTTCACCCAGGTCTCGACATGACTGCGGCCGGCCAACAGGGCATGGCCAATGGATCTCATGATCAGGCACCTACAAGTAATAACCAGCGTGCCGAACAGCCGCCCACCAGAAGCCATGTACGCACGCTCTCGGATACCTCTGGTGCTCCAGTCAACACTGCGCTTGGAAGAGGCTTCCCATCCACCCTCCGAAGAAGCGCCCGCATCGACCTCGAGAGGCGCACCAGTGGCATGGCTTCCGCCAACATGGGAAGGGATCCCAGCGGACGTAGCCGACGCATCAGCGCTATGCACACCGCCACCTCTGACCGCAGATCAACCGGCCGCAAGGACGACCAGGTAGCCCAAGCTCGAGATCGTACGCTCGCCAACATTTCACACACCGCAGATGGTCTTCGCCTCCAATCCCAGCCGTACCAACATGACACTATCATGGACGAGCTCGGTGCCGCTGGTACCAGCATGCGCATTCCCACCAACCCCAACTCAGCCGCTCGCCTCCGCCGCAGCTCACAGGCCGCCGCACGAACGCCCTATGCAGGACCTCGAAATTCGAATAGGGTCTCGAGTTCAGCTATCAAGCCTCGACTCTCTCTCAACTTCTCGCGTATCGACACCAGCGCCGACCCAAGTCGACTAACTTCCGCTCTGCCCACCGCTGCGATCGACAATCTCGGTCCGGATGCGCTTGATGGAGAGGCTGGTATCGCAGACGACGACCAAACGGATCTGTCTCGGATCGCCGACTTGGATGGTTTCGCCCGCAGCTTCGCCTGCGTCTGCCTCTTGGAAGAGATCAAGCTGCCGGGTCTCAGCTCGGGAGCAAAATTGGATGGTCTGCGGGTGAGCACAGCTTCGTTCGACCGTGTCGATCCTGACGCCGCCTATGTCTTCCTCTCACTACCGCTCCTCGACCAAACTTTTTGTCGACGCCTCGGCTATCAGCGACTGGGATCTCGAGAAAACCATCGCAACTTGCCCTTCTGCAAAGCTCCCAGCAAAGCGCAGGCTACTGCTGCCATTCCATGCGCCGATCTCCTGCCGTTACAGACAATGGCGCCAGACTCGACAGAGGTTCTGACAAAGTCGTCCGACGGAACTTTTCAGATCCACTTTGGACCGCCCGCCTCGACAGTGACGGCACTGGACATCAGTGGATTCGGGCCCCTGAAGGAAGGACTCGGCCGATTCTCGGCACCCCCATCCACACTCAAGCTTGCGGCAGCAGAGGCAGGGAATGCACGCTGTGTGCAGCTTACATCCGGAGAGTCAGAAGATCGCATCAATGTCCATCTCGACTTTCGTCCAAGTTGTCCCATCGCCAACAGAGTGCTGAGAGTCCTACTGCATACGCTACCCCACCGCCTCGCCGCCAAAGTCAAGTCTCGGTGGATTCAAGCACGCTTCCTTACCAGTTCCGGACCGCCGTCGAAATACGGACAGGCTTCGATAGCCGCAGACTGGACTGGACTGGAGAAGATCTTCGCTCCGTCGGCGCGTGATAAGGCTCAAGTGGTTGACAGCGACTCAGCTCATCGTCTCTTTCAAGGCGACACTCTTTTGCGTGGTCTCACCAGGCTCGAGGATAGCGTCGACCTTGCAAAGACGGACGTGGACGTACCGACCTGGACCGAAGATGCTCTGCCGACGGAAGATGCGTACCACATCCTCATATTGTTGTACATGTTCGCAGAGGAGATGCGTCTCGACACTTCGAACGCTGAACACGGCTCCAGCAGGGTGCCACAACTTGCCGTTGCTCTCGCTCAGTGCAGCCATGCTCCGAAGTGGATCGAGGCGCTTCGAACTCGTTTTGCCTCGGATGAAAGCCTCTATGGGTACGGGCTGGAGAGCGGTTCGCGTAACGACACAACTGGCAACACCCCAGATCCTCCGAAGGATCTCTACGAGGCGCTTCTCCACATGTGCTCTGGCAGCGGCGACCATGTTGGATCAATTGACAGCTGGGTCCGAACGGGTGCACCGGCTCAACTTGCTGAAGTGGCTCGAACTTTCCCGATGCTGGATGCAGCCTTCCGTACATTCTTCGTCTTGGGACAGGCCCATCCCAATCCTCAAGCGCGTTCGACTGCAGTAGTCGACTGCATGATTATGCACGGGCTTGATCTGGAACGATTGCGCAGGCTTCCCTTCGGAATAGCTTTGCCGCTGTACCAGGCAGTTCGATGCTGCCAAGCCGATCCTCCGAGTGGCAAGACCGCGGAATTTTACCAGTTCGTTCAGCGCGCAGAGATCGCTCTCAACTCTTCAACGCTGCGAGGCACGTTGAGCACAGCAAATGCGCGGAAAATACCAGAACAGCTCATCAGGACGCTTCCAGAGGACGCACCTTTAGATGCGATCTGTGCCCAGCTTTTCAGTCGCGACTTTCGACTGCGCGATGTCGTGGCCATGCTCAAGACAGACGCTGTCAATTCCGTCTACGTTGCCGAAGGCGAGAATCAGACCGAGGCTGCCATCGCTGAGCAGCACAATGCAGCGGTTGCAGCCATCAGCGAGCGAACCAAAGCGCTGTCACCCGGCCGAGCCATGTTATTCATGACATCGCGGCAGTTCTCGTCGACGCACAAATGGCGCATCCCGTCCATCTGCTTGGCTGTCAAAGTGAGACCACGCGGCACAACGATCGAGCCCGATCCAAAAGCGGATGCGACCGGTTTGGACTGGCCAGAATTTCACAACGGCGTAGCATCGGTACTGGAGCTCAACTTGGTCGGCAACGTCAGCGTCGACTCCAAATGGATTTTTGCTCATCTGGGCGAGCAGGTCACTGCCCGTCATGCTGGTTTCCTGTATGGACTTGGATTGATGAAGCAGCTGCCCACGTTGACTCCTGTGCACGTCTTCCGCTACCTCAAGATGCGCAACAACCTGCTGACCATCGGCTTCTTGCTCGGTATGGCCGTGTCGACCGTGGCCACTGCCGACCCGACCGCACGACATCTCATCGGGATGCAGCTCACAGCTTTTCTACCACCCGGATCAGCTCCACTGAATCTGTCGACGATCACTCAGACAGCCGGCCTGCTCGCCATGGGACTTGTCTTCCTCGGCAGCAATCATCGTTGGACCGCCAAACGCATGCTCGATCAGATTGGCGCACAAGAGTCTCCCACGCCCAACATCCAGCCGCAGCATCGAGAAGCTTACTCTCTTTCGGCAGGTCTCGCGCTAGGACTAGTCTATCTGGGCAAAGGTCGAGGCGATGGCATGAAGAGTCTGCCGGACAAACGCATCATCGCTCGTCTTGCGCATCTCATCAAGGGCAACGGGGAAAGCAAGGCTGGTTTCTCGATGCCAGGCGGCCTGAGATCGGACGGAGGCTCTGGAACGGATTACGAGATCAACCTCACGTCTGCTCCAGCTGCGCTTGCATTTGGTCTCATCTATCTGCGCTCCAATTCCAAGATGGTCGCGGACGTCATGGCGCCTCCGCAAACGCCACGCGAGCTCGATACGCTCCGACCGGATGTGCTGTTCGTTCACGTGCTTGCGCGGTCCATCATTATGTGGGACTCGATTGAGCCAACGAAACGATGGCTCCACAGCGTGCTGCCGGACTGGCTACAGGAACGCATAGAGGCTGGCAGGTCGACGTCCGAAGCCGCTCAACTGGCTCAGATCAACATTGAGGCCGGGGCATGCTTTGCGATCGGACTCAAGTACGCTGGATCCAAAGATGCTCAGGCGCGTGATTGTCTCTGGCAGCAACTGCACAAGCTCGACAAGCAGGTCAAAGTGCAAGCCGTCTCATTTTCCTCCAAAATTCGCAAAGCGGCCCTTCAGGCTGCACTGGATCAAGCAAGGATCTCGCTCGCGTTGGTGCTAGCAGGCAGTGGAGATGTCGATTTGCTCCGTCAGCTCCGAAGAGCTCATGGTGATGTCGACGGCGACGTATGTTACGGCAGCCATATGGCGACACATATGGCACTGGGGCTGCTCTTCCTCGGCGGAGGACGTTTCACCCTGGGTACCTCAGATTTGGGCGTGGCGGCCCTGTTAATCTCGTTCTTGCCTCCGTTTCCGAGATGGAGCGGAGACAATCGTGCGCATCTGCAAGCGTTCCGACATCTGTGGTTCCTTGCTATCGAACCGAGACTGCTCATTGCTACGGATGTTGAGACGAATCAGCTGGTGAGCCTGCCTGTCACAATGGCAGCAGCTGCTACCACAGACAGCGTCGCAAGCGATGCAGAGGCATTCACGCCCCTGCTCCTGCCCAATCGTCAGCTTTCCGGAACGATCCGGACAGCGACAGAACGATACTGGTCAGCTAGCATCGATAGCAGTGGAATGACAGCTCGCACCTCTGCAGCGGCGTCTGTCGCTCAAAAGGCCTCTTCTTCGACCTCACAGGCTCTCTTTGTCAAGCGGAAGACGGCGCACCTCGACTACCTCGCCGATCCGCACGGCAGTCGCAGCTTGACTTCGCACGAAATTGCACCGCTTGACCTATTGCTGGATAGCATACGGTCCATCGGGCCAGGGTCGGCCGATTTGCGAGAAGCCATGCGCGGCTTCGCTGCCGCCGGAAAAGAGCGAGAATTGGTACGCAGCGTATCTCTGCTTTCGACTAGCGACGACGCGATTCTGCCGCCCATTCGCGCAGTGACGATGGAGTGCTTGGTCACGGACAAGATGTACATGCTGCCGGCGTACGTGAGCCTTCTGCAGCTGCAGCAAAGGATCGAAGCAGGTGACGGGGCAGAGCGGGTGAGGTCATACAGAGAAGTAAGGTTCGCCGACGAGTTCTACCGCAGACACCTCAAGACTTTATTCGGCGATGACGCAGAGGCACTGATTCAGCCCAACCTGCTGACGAACCTTCGACGGAAAGTACAGCAGCTGGGGAAAACGATCTTCGAGAGGAATGCGGGCGTTCGGGAGACTATCACTCATGTTTTGACGAGCATGACCGGGCCTCTGTCTGGAGTCAGCGAGGAGGTCTATACAGTGATGGTCGCGAGCGATTTGGACGATGTGGAAGAGGTACGTGGTATGGTCAGGGCGATCCGCCATCACATTCAAATGTGGCAAGAATCTGGCCAAGTGGACGCGCCGAGCATCAGGCGCAAGATACGCATGGTGACAGATGCAGCTTTCCGTGGCGAGAACAGACCGCCTTGGACCGGTTTTTTGTTGGATCACATTGTGGAGACACTGATCAGCGGCTGATATCGCTGGCGAAGGTCGTGCGTAGCGCAATCCGAACACATCGACCCTGCTGCAGAGACGGAGCGAGAGCGTGTCGCCCTCGGTCGAAATCTGAATCTGGTATGATGAGGAAGAGCCGCAAGATCACACTAGATGCTTGTTCAGAGGTTGTGGTTGCGCAGACGAGGCTCGAGGGCTGAAAGTGCGGCGTATCCGACGATGCAGGGCGTGATTGGCAAGCGGCTTGCATCGACCGATCAGGGAGTATGGTTGAGAATACAAATTTTGTCACAAAAGACAGACTGACCGGAAGCTTGCGGTCGGATGATCCGAACTTGTCCATGAGAACCTGCGTTGCGACACTTCTCGCGTTCTCCTCACTCCATCGACATGATGTTCTGGAGTGTTTGATTCCATTCGACCACATGCTCTCATCCCGTTCCTCTCTCCTCGCCAACAGTTCTCGATAATTCATACATCCTCCTTATCATGCTCAGAGCAACAGAGCAGGTCAGCTGGCAGTCCACTCTGGCAAAGTTCAAGCGTGGTTACGAAGACATCCGAATCGCCGCCGGCACTTCTGCAGATGGGAACAACAACGATCATGTCGATTGGCAGCTATTCTCGGGCAAGCACTTGAGGTGTAAAGTCACATTCACCAAGCCCATCCACAAATGCCGGCTACCGCAGGATCCTCCGGGTCAGACGAGCACACTGACCAGCCAGGAGCTTGCAGATAGGCAGCTCAGGATCATAGTCGAATGTGGACCTGCTCAAGTTAACGAGAGCAGGAAAGGAGGGGTAGGGTGGAAGGGAGCGACCGGTCTTGGAAGCGGCTATCAGCCAACTGCACCCTTGCTCTTGGTAAGACGTCATGATCTCGAGCCTATCATCAGGGCCCACTGACTTCAAAGGTCTTCACTTGTTCCCATGTGCTTCACGAACCGTACAGCTGGATGTCGATCTCGTTCGGATCAACAAGGCCTACTTTCACAGCGAGCAAAGGCTCAAAGCGGTGGTCGTGTACCGGCAGAACAAATGCGTTCTCATTCGGATGCTTGACGAGTTCGAAAGCTCAAAGGTATGTGAGGCACAGGGTCCATTTCAACGCTGTAGGATCTCTAGCTCAGTATCATCCTCGGGAGCAATCTTACAGGCGCACCGTCTTCAGCTCGAGTTCAACAGAGAAGAAGACGTCGAGTCCTTCTTATCGCTCATCGAGCCGGACAGCACCTTTCACGACGCTTGTCGGAAAGCCTTGCCGAAAGAGGAAAAGAGAAGCAGCTCGTCGAAATCAGCGACGGATGGAAAGGTCAATCCTAGTGTAGAAGAGAAGAGCTACGAAAATAAAACCATCGCCTTTGACGACGCACAGCCGGAAAGTCAGAGTCAAGGTCTCGGAGAGAAGCTGTTGCAGCTCAACCAGACTCGCGAACGCCAACCAGTCGAGCCCGTCTCAGCTTCACCCCAACCCTCCCCGTCATCGGGAAGTCAAAGTCTAAACGCTGGATCGTCCAGCGCAAGCTGTCCGAATTGCGCTCATCCGATCCGTCCACACAGCAGCGAAACCACCGCCTGCTCGCCAGACGCCAAGGCCTCGCTCGTTTCGGATCCGGACAGCGCCACGAGCCTCTCTCCACGACAAACGCAGACACTCATGACCGAAGTGACGGACGCATCGATGTATGAGCAGGTCGACGAAGCCGACGAGGACTTTGACGACGGACTGTTCGGCTGGCCGGACCCAAGCGCCGTCGAGTGCATCCAAGACGACGTTCGCAGGCTCTGCCTCACGCATCCCTGCCTCGATCGCATGATCGCCCACTGCGTAGATGAATACTTTCGAGAGCCTCGACAGATGTAAAATCCAGGCACGTGGATCTCGCCACGCGAGCCGTTGCGCAAGTCACTTGTCACACGACGCTCCATCAGCACCGCAACGCCCCCGAATTTCTACCGACACTCATACGATTTGTGCACCGAAGCCGACATACAGTAGGTCTCAGGCGATGATCCTTGACCGTGTGTGGGCTGCGATGAATTCTGCGGTCTTTGCATTGTGTCGACACTGCAGCTGGGAAGAAAGCATGGCGAGCGGTGGTCTGTGCAAGCTGCACCGTGGAGCAACATGTCCAGGAGTTTGGAGACTGCATCGGGCCACAGGCCGAGAAATGTGGCTGCTGGATCGGCGCGAGGGCCGACAGACCGGATTTGGCTGATAAGTTATGCCGGCTTCGCTGGGCCAGCTGGTGGCTGCTGATTGGAAATGTGAGGAAATTTGCCGTCTGCCAGGCTAAAAAGGCGCGCTACGTTAGTGCAGCAGCAGGCCAAGGCCGGAAATAGTAGGCTGGTAAGATCAACGATTAAATTTCTCAGCGCTTGAGCCGCTAGCTTAGACCCTGTTTGCCTCGGTGTCTCTCCGCCTCTGCCTCCGGCTCGAGGCAGAAAGCAAGGAAATCAAGGATCTTCGGTTGGTCCTGTTACGTATCACACAGCCCAGCAGCGTCGCGATGCACTTTCGACTTTGACTTTGAGAACACAACGGTCAGTCTCAGTTTTGGCCTCTCCCTCCACCATACTCTTCACTCGCAGCATCTCCCACTTGACTTCATCTCGTCTTGCATCATCTCCGTCTTGTTTCATTTACGCCCGGCGCAGACAACCTGCACAAGGACCGCTCTCATCTCGGTCTCGGATCTGCCCTCCCCTGCAGTCCTAACTCCTAGCTGCGCTGTGGAGGTCCTCTCGGAGACCCGCCCCGCACCGATTCTCCTCCGTCCAGCTTCGCAGATAACCCATTCTGACCGAATCTGTAGATCCGGATCGCGCTTCCCTCCCTTGCGTCACATCGTCCATCCGTTTACCGCGTTCGGCTTGCACACGCCTAGTTCTGGCATGATCGTCGTCCGCCGCAACTAAACGTGATCGCCAGTCTCAACCTGGTCAGCTCAGCATGGCGGCCACGTCGCGACGCCGTTCGTCGCATGGACTCACCTCTTCGGGCTCGTCGACGCAGCTTGCGCGACGCGGCTCTTCCAGCAGGTTGGGTGGTGCTCGTGGTCGCTTCGATCCGAGCCTAATGATGTCTTCCAACGCAGCACCTTCCCATGGCAGCCGCGATCGGTCTCCCCACGATGATCAGCCCGCACAGCCTGCCGCCGGCGACGATCACGACAACGATGCCGACGCGTTGCACGAAAAGACTACTGCGCGTCGTGGCAAGTCAACCGACCGTCTCCAACGCTCACGGGACAGCAGCTCCCATCTCAGCAGCAAACGTTCCAAGTCTTACACACACCTCGGCATGACCGCTGATGACGGTAAGCGCCGCAAAGCAGCCAACAGAAAAGGCAAGAGCCAGCGCGCAGAACCCGAAGACGGATGGACAAGTGCCAGTGCGGAAAATGCCCCTAGCGATCGCAGCGCCGAGGCCTCTCCCTCCAGCAGCCCGGGCGATGAAGGTTTGGTGCTCGGCATCAAGAAGCGTCCAGCCACTCTCAAACAGACTGCGACCAACACCACCTTGCCTGATCCTAGAAAAGAGTCTTTCACACAACCACCCGATACGCCCAGAGCGAGCGCCAGACAGCTCGAATCAGAGGATGGCCACAGCACGCCTGAAACAAGATCGATCCAGCCTGGTGCAGCCAACACTGCCGCCGAGACCGCCTCGCCCAAGCACGCCGCACCGCCTGCTCACTTGACCCGCGAAGACACTTCAAGGACCTTGGTCGATGATCGCGCAGGCGATGCGGCTGCAGCTGGATCTGCCTCGCAGCAGCCATCATCCTCGCGAGCTACACCAGAGGTCGCATCCATTGGTCAAAGCTTGTCGTCGCTCAACCTCGAGACCTCTCCCTCGTCCGGCAAGACTGCGTCCCAAAAGGCTCCTGCACTCACGCTCGATCCCGTTGCGCACACTCGTCACCATCGAGTATCTTCGAGCGCGTCGAATCGCACCCTCCGCTCTTCGATGCCGCCTGTCTCTTCGCCATCCTCGGTGCGATCCAAGTCGTCTGTCTTGTCCAATCGCTTTCCGCTCTTCTCGAGAGAGACACAGTCCGCAGCACCACCCATGCTCGACACACACAACGCGTTGGCTGGCCGTCTGGGTGCGCGGCACGAGGACCGAGGTGATATGCTAGCACCGATGGCGGGTCCAAGTCGAACCGGCCGAAGCGTCAGCGCCATGACTTCGAGCACCAGCGCGCCCGTTGGACTCGACCAATTGCCTCACGGATCTCTCGACAGCCGTTCCAATACACTCCACAAAGCCGGCTCTAGCAGGACGCTCAACTCGAGCGCCGCCACCCCATCCCCCTTGTCTTCAGCGCAGAGGTCTGCCACCGGAACGCTAGGGTACGCATCGCAGCAGCAGCAGCATCGAGCTGGTCAAGATGCGGTCCTCGATCGTCGAAGAACTGCAAGCACCCAAAGTCTCACGGCGGCCGACGCGGCGAAGCTAGCGGCCAAATTGCGACTGGCTCGCGATTCGATGGACGATCACGGACTCGGCGGCTACGGCACCGCACAGCGCGGCGCGCAGGGCTACAATCCGCGGCTGGAGCAGTACAAGAAGCCCGTGGTCTCGACGTTTGTCAAGAACGACCCGACAGAGGCGCCACAGGCGATCGAGGTGCAGGCCAACTCTGTTTACTCTAAGATGTTCTCGCAGGCACACGACAGCCAGGAAGGTGGGGACGCGGGACGCCGCATGATCCGCTACGTGATGGAGTATGGTCTCAGTGGTCCACCGATCGAGAAGAGTCCCTTGTCGGATGTACTGCTGGGGCCGAATCTGGACTTGGCTGATTTTGAGTCGAGCTGGGCGCCCGCATTGGCGTTTGCTGCTGGATTGGGAGCAGCTATGCCGCCTGCCGTGCAGACCGGGTACGGGCTGGTGACGCCCGAGGCGCCTGCTGCTGCGGGTGGGCCGAACTCGACACCGCTGCATCTGATCCATGGACTCACCACCACCTCGCCCGATCCGTTCCCGTTGGATCCGACGGATGTGCCTGCCTTGAAACAGGAAGCGGACGTGTTCGACAGTCACCCCGTGTCGCAGCTCGGCAGCAACTCGGTGCAGCTGGTCGATCCGAGCTTGATTCGAGCCATCGCGATCACCACCAATGCGATCGCGGTTCATCGATCTCATGTTGTCACACGCCGGTACGCCGACCCCATGCGCGAAGGTTTGGAGCGGGTGGTGCGTTCGTCCGGACGCTACGTTCCTTCGGCGAAGCCTGCGGTTGCGGCTGTCAGCAGCTCACCTGCGGGCTCGAGGTGGGGCCGTAAAACCGCACCCAACAGTCCCGTGTCGAGGATGGAGAATCGTCCAGGGATGCAGAGGAGAAACACGTCGGAGGCGCAGCATGCAGCAGCAGCGGGCAGTTCGAGCAACTTGGCCGGTCAGCTGTACAATCTCGTCGATGCGGCCGAGCATCCGGTGAGGAGTTTGAAGAGAGTTTGGAGCGGAGGGGTCGCGAGGGGTGGGCTGGCTGCGCTGACGAGGACCGAGGAGGAGTAGCAGCCGGTAGTTGGCGGGTTGGACAGTACGAGACATTCAGCGGGCTTGAACCACAGCAGTCAACGATGATCTCACTTTCATCCAGAAGGGTCGGTTCCGATGAAACCTACATGTACTACACACGCATGGATGACATTTCAACGACGATAATTGCAACGATGCAATGTGTGATCAGTCGAGCGGCAGGTGAGCGTGACAAGAGGGGATGATATTTCAAGGAGAGAAATGACGCGCAAAGTGAAGGTGTGTGTTTGAGCGAAAGGTGTGAGATGCACTCTAAAGGAGGGTGAGGCCGGCAGCGACGGCGGCGACGGCGGAACCGACAGCGACGATGGCACCGGCGAAACCGCCCATGGCGCCGTTGCCGGACTTGGTGGTGCCGCTGCTTCCGGAGGAGCTTCCGCTGGTGCTGGTAGAGTTACCCTGAGCGGTGCTCTTGATGGACGAGGGGATCTTGCCGTCGACGAAGGACGAGTTGCACGTCTGCTCTACGGCGCCCATGAACCTCTGGTTCGAGTTGGTGGGGAAGAGGGTCGAGTAGAGAGCATGGGTGCAGTCTGTACAGAAGGCGGTCTTGTTAGCAGCCAGAGCTTGGAGACTCTGCTGTTGAACGGTTTCGTTGGAGAGGATGCCCTGGATGCCGCTGAAGCTGATCTGTTGACCGGTAGCGTTCTGCAGGGCGTACATTTCGTTGATGAGACAGTACTGGGACTGGGAGTTCTGAAGGCATCCTGCGTTGCGCAGCTTGTCGTAGCTGTTGATGAAGTAGTAGACCAGCGCGGGGATGTTACCGCCGTTGTTGGAGGAGAGATCCGAAGAGCAGGACTGGAGGAGAGTGGCGTTGGCAGAGGAGAGCGCCGCGGTGGAGCAGACGGGTTTGCCAGAGCCGCAGATGGATCCGGAGAGGTAGGACTGCAGACCGGGCACGACCGAGTTGTTGCCAGCCGAGGTGAGCGCTCCGACGGCATTGGGGAGCGCGAGGCACGAGGAGACGTTAGAGTTGGTCACGAGACCAACGAGTCCGGAGGCGCACGACGAGGAGAGTCCGGTGATCAGGGATGGATCGAGTTGGGCCGAGGTGGTGGAGGCGAGGGTGAGGGCGGCGGCGACGCCGGCGACGGCGGTGGCGGAGAAGGTGCGCATGGTGGGCAGGCGGGAGTCTAAGGGGAAGGCGAAGAGCTATGGAAGATAGGTACAGGGGTCGGTGAGGGAGGGACGAACGAACGAAGAGACAGCGCGCTTTATATGTCTGGGCTCATTTCGCAGTCTCTCGCCCGGCGCGCACCTTGACTTGATCTTGGCAGAGGGACATACGCATGAAACGGCAGCGTGTGAACAATGCCAATGGCGGGCCAAGAAGTGGGTCAGAAGGTCAGCAGCCACCCAAAATGGATGCAGGAAGCGGAGCAGCAGCAACGCAGTGCAGAAGTCCAGTGCGGCAGCAGCGGCTGTCCCGGTCACCTTGCTGGCTTTTGGGCTCCGCCCCTTCCGAATTTGAGGCTCGAATCCCCTCCGGTGGGGGTTGTGCCTCTTTACCTTTGATGAGCTGCACCGCAGATTCAAGCCTGGCTCAACCCGCCTTTCTTTTGAATCGAGATGGTGGGATCGAGCTCCAGCTGCACAAAGATGATGGGTCAAGGTGCATGCATCCTGAGAGCCAAACCTTGTCACGAAGCGAAAAGAAAAATGTGGGGTTTTGTGTGTCGATGAAACAGGTCCGTGCTACGCCACTCCGTCTCAGCATCGTCGTCGAACAGCTGGAAAAGCAATCTCTTCCCAGCCACAAGCACCATGGGCAAAGAGAACATCATTGACTCGCCGACGCTTGCCTCCGCACCGACGAGACGAGAAAAGACAAGGATGAAGCATTACCAAGGCCGGCACAGTGCAATGCTTGGCGGACCTCGAAACGCGACCCAATTGCGGGAAGAAACGAGTCCAAGCGAGGCTCTGCCCACGGAAAAAAAGAGCTCAACAGGCGCGCTTCTCCGGACCCTTGCTCGCTTCTCTCGGCTCTGCCGAGTCCACTCTTGCAGTTTCAGGCACCGCCACACACTCACACACATATACACTCACTGCGTCGGAGAGAGTCGCGACCCTCCTTGCAGAGACGCTCCGAAGCGGCGATAGAATGTCGACCGCGATTCGCACGCCGCTGAAGGAAGCACGGGAAGCTTTTCTCTGCGGCGGAAAGCCAACCGTGTCGCCTTACTGTTCCCTGATTGCCTTTCTGGCGTTGGAGTGCGAGGAGGACGAAGGACGGACACGTGGTTGGATGGATGTTTCTGCTTACCTTGGAACCGAGACCGAGACGATCCCAAAGCGGTGCCGAATGGACGAGACTGTGGTCAACTCTACCCACTCGGATGGGCAGACGGCGCAGAAACCGTGCGTGTCAAGATGCTCAAGGCTGATCTTGGGATCGGCTTCTCCGCATAGCAGCGGCACTGAAAAGTTGTCAGGGAGGAATTTTCCCGCATGATGCGCCACCGACTGAACAGAGCGCACATACCAGGTGCGAATCCAGCTCAAGTCTTGCCAGTCATTCTCTCGTTCTCGGCCCGACTTCAGCTACACACTAGCTTCAGGCGCTCGTGTTGCGGGTTCAGCGACGACATTGGTTCTTGTCGCGATCGCTCCACGTTTCAAGCAAGGTAAGCTGGTCGATCCCAATGCGCCGAGCGTGCGTCTTGACGGCGCGGGCGCTCTTGCTTTCCGAAGCCTTGAAGCGCAATCATTCCAGGACACCGAAGCTTGGTGCGCAAGCTCTGCAGCAGATACCTCGCACGAGTGGCCGCAACCGATCCTGTGTCTTCCCGATAGAGCCCTTGCTTCGGCTCTTCCGCGCCTTCGTTGCCAGCTCTCCCTTAAAGAGGAGGAAGCAAATGGCAGCAATCGACACCGTTACGAGAAGCAGTCGAATGCCAGGAGAGTGAGACCCTTTGACACTGTGCGTGTGCGCTTGCAAGCGACAGTGAGCGAATGCTTTTTGTGCACTGCTGAGACCCCTGTCTCAGGTCTGGCGCCGCGCTCGCGTGATGGCACAATGGCCAACGCGGGTGTGTGCGTGTTGGTCTCTGAGTTCTGATTGTGGAGTAGAGAAGCTCGCTTTTTATGCACGATTTTCTAGCCTCGTTTTAGTTGCATCATCTGGGCGAGTGGGACGAAAAGGGTCCCTCGGGTGTACCGTATCACCCAACCGTCGACAGACTCAAGCTCTCCGTTGCACCTTGCGGCTTGGTCACATCGTACTCCACCATCGTTGTCGATAGCGACTCAAGTGCTCCTCACGACACATCGAGAATGCATCAAGCACCCGATCACGTCAAGTTTCAATCATGAGCAGTAGCACCGCTCCGCGCACTGCGTCATGCCTTTCGTCGCTCCCTGGCCACACGATCTACATCAACAATCCACAGAGACTCTCGGTACTTTCCATTAACGTCGATGCCACCACATGCATAACCACATGCCGAGCTGATGATCCGGCACCTCAGTCACAAGGAGGACATCATCAGCAACCGCCGCAGTCGCAGCAGCAGCAGACAGGCCCTACCCTACAGCCTCCTCCGTCCCTCAACCATCGACACGCCTCCACGTCCAAGCTGCATCCGCCTCCACCACCTCCCTCATCGTATCAGAGCGCATCGCAAAAGCTCTCGCGATCTCGGCCGCTCAGTCACGACTTTGGACAAAGGACCAAAGATGCTTTCAACGAGTTCGGCCGTCTGGCAACTCGCAGACAGAGTGCAATAGAAAGAGCCAATGGCGCAGACACTTTGGCTCGTGTTGCTGACGGACTCGATGCCAAGCCAACATCGCCGCACAGCCGTGTCGTAAAGCGGTCTTCTCTGCAACCTCTGTCTCTGCAAAAAGAGCAGCAGCACCATCAGCGTGTCGGCCCATCACCGTCCACAGTGCCACGCGAATTGACACGACACCATCATGTCGCCTTTGATAACACTATCGTCATCCAGGCAGATGCGAGCTGCAAATATGCATTGCTACCTCATCGAGATCTACGTCTCGCTTCGCATTCCGTTCCGCTCACCATCCACGCCTCCACCACAAGTTCCGATGGTGCTTCGTCAGCACCTGGTCCTATCGAATTCGTTGCACCGCTCTCGACGCTCACCAGCAATACCAGCAGCAGCATCCCTTCCAGCACCACATTCGATCCCACACAGCTGCTGCTCAAGGTGCGACCACCGGCCGAGATCGCACGCGAATCATGGTCACGCTCAGCATCCTTCTTGACCGCTGAAAATGCTACAAACTACATCACTTCCGAAGACCACAAGATCCACTTTCGCTTCCGACTTCGACTCGATGCATCCAGCACTACACCTGTATCGCCATCCTTCCCACGCATGGATCGAAGTGACGCAGCCGCCGCCATCGCCGGACAAGCTCCTGCTAAGCTTCTCTTTGTGGCAGCTTCTTCCATGGACAGACTGACCGACGCCATCGAATCGCCTCAGTCGTCCATCGCAACTCCCGAGCTAGCAGCTCTAGAAGGCATCTCTCGCGTCGAAGTGACGCCGTCCAATCAACCTCTCTCGCCCACTGTCACAAGAGGCGCTAGCGACTGCGACTTTGACTGGACTTGGAAGTCGCTAGAGCGCGCCAACGGCGACGACGGAGCTCGATGTTGTTGCGCTTTCGTCGACTTGAGCTTCGATGGTAAGTCAGCCATCCTCCTTGCCGCAATGTCTGTCTATGTTCAGCTGCCACCTTCCGCTCCCAGACACAGCAGCATGCTCTCGTCGACAATTGGAGGCGCTTCGACCCAGCGAGGCATGTCTCACGCCGATTCCCTCGCCATCATAGCTGCCCTCAACCTCGACACAGACCTTCTCTCGCCATCTGAAACGTCGCCTCCTCTTGTGTCTTCTCGAGCCGGGCCGCAACTCTGCGATAACCCATCGGCGTCCGCACAACCAGAGGTCACTCCACTTTCGATTGACCGCACCGAGCTTGCGCTCGAAGATATCGTCAATGACTCGCCTATATTCCGTGCTGCCGTCGTCAACCTCGAGCGTCGAACCGCATCGATAAAGAAGGCTGCCAAAGCTGTTCTCAGAGCAGCGCAAGAAGCGAGAGCGCGCACTCTAAAGCTCATCGAGGCCGAAGACGCTGTCGATGTCGCCCTCGATGGCCTCGTCAATTTGGCACCCGAGACGCTTGGTCGCCTGCAAGATCGAGTTCTGCGCAAGGCACGCACCGCGAGTCTGCAGCACCAGCGAGATCAGGCAGACATGATTGAGATCTGCCTCGAGCGTCCGCTGGCTAAGATCGTTGAGCTCTGCCGCGTCATCCAAGAAGGCTTCAAGGTCTTCGACAACGAGTCAAAGATCTACTATTCGTCGACTCAAAAGTGGCTCGCCAGCCGCTCACACGTCGAAGCATCCCCTTCGCTCGCCGCTTCGCATGATCGTACGGATGCAAAGCAAAAGCTGCGCGAACTTCGTTTTGAGCAAGCACGTCTCGACCTTTTTGCCCTGCTTCAGAGATTGCATGGCGGTCAAGCTGAGGCCCGTCTCACACAGTCGGTTTTGCAACTCTCACAGTGGCTTGTCGACCTTCCAGCAAAGCTTGATTGGTCTAGCGAGCAACAGAAATCCTGCCTGGCGGTCTTGGACGCAAGCTTGTCAAGCGCGCTCAAAACGTCAGACTCGCAGGTGCACGAGGTAGAGGCTTGCTCACGTCAGCTAGGAGAAAGAATCAGACTGCTCGAACATGCTCTCGGCAAATCAGCCGACGGTGTTGCCGATAACGTTGGCGCGCATCGAATCGATCCCGACAACGATTTGCACTCGGCAAACAACGTCAATGGAGCGGTGTCGGCCAAGGCACGCAAGTTCAAGTCCTTCCTTGGCGCATTCGCTGCGGGCATCCAAAATTCTCCGCTCACCTCGAGCAAAAACGCAGGTTTCGACTCAGAATCTACAGCCAAGCGAGCCGAATCCTTTGAGCCTATCGTCGACGAGCAATCACAAGTAGCACAACCTCGCCGACGCCATTCCATGAAGATAAGGGTCACCAAGGGTCAACATGCTGACTCAAGCAAGGCAATGGCCGTCGGGCCCCACGCACCGTCTAGCTGGGCATACGACCACTTGCCATCCGCTCCACGCAGAGGATCGGAATTGCACGAATCCAGCAGACTGAGAACAGGTGACGTGCTTGATCTGCGCGGCCGGCATGCCTCGCAGGACACGAACGAATCGATCTCTACGGCTTCAGGCGGCCACGAAGGCTCAGGCGCTCGCAAGCCAGAGCAGGGTCTGGGCATCTTTGCACCCGCAGTCGAGAATGACACGCATGGACCTCACCGGAGCGTTCCACCGGAATTCAATGCAGCTCTTTCTGCCATCAATGCAACTCCAGGAAGCGACCGCAAGAAAGAAGGCGTGCTGTGGGTCTCCACCAAGCCCGTCACTGGTCCAGCTGGAGCCGATGCACCCCGAGGCATCAGTCGATCAACACATTGGCGCGAGTGCTGGGTCGTGCTTTCCGGCTCCGGTCAGGTCTCTGAGTTTGCCGATTGGAAGACCGCCAAGGCGCTCGAACCTACCAATCCGCTCATCGATCTGCGCTTTGCAACCGTCCGTGAAGCGCGCGGCGTCGACCGTCGGTTCGCCTTTGAGATCGTTACGCGCGACAACAGACGCCTCTTCCAAGCTCCGGACGAGGAGACGATGCGCGATTGGATGCGCGCCATCTCGAAGGCCATCGAGAGCTTGCTCAATGGTACGTCCAGCGTGCGCAAGCTTGACCGAGCCGTTCGGGCTTCCCCATTCGGCAACCATGGATCTGGTCAGCGTGCAGGCATCTTGACCGAGGATGAGGCAGAGCCAGGCACCGAAGAAGGCAACGACTTTGCCGTTCGAAAGCTCCTCGATCGCACAACAAAGGGCTCCAGCCAAAGCATGACTGACCTTTCTGCCTCTGCAAAGGCTCAGAACGGCGATCGCAAGGACAGAGTCAAAGCAGGAGGACATCTCGCAGCTCTCTCAGAAAGTCACGCCGAGACGTCCGCCTGGTCCTCGCGTAGAGGGTCGCAGCACCAACGGGGCATCTCGAACAAGACACCCATCTCGGGATATCTGGGACCGGGAGGACTCGGCTCGTCTGCGGCTGACACGCCAGCATCCCATCGCAGGGACGACACGGGAGTCAGCGATGACGCCTCCGTCTCATCTCGGTCCACTCAAGGCGAGCAAGACGCCGAGTTTGATCGGCAGATCGAAGCGAACATCCACAAGAGCTATGGATCTCAAGATGGCACGGGCATCGGCCACTCTGGCTTCTCGCACAACGCTGGGGCGGCCGAAGTGGACGAGCTGGGCCAGCTCAAGGGAGGCGTTCAAGGCCAAGGCTCTGCGAGAGGCACATCTTCGTCGACCTCTTCATCGAAGCATCGACTCGTCACGAACGCAAGCGTGTCAAGCACGGCGACCAGCACGAAAATGTCGCGCTCTGCCGAGATCGCAGACATCTCGCGAGCACCAGAGAACCGTCGTTGTGCAGACTGCCAGGACAGTGACCCACGTTGGGCATCGTGGATGCTTGGCGGTGAGTCATGCTGCATCTTCATCTGCATCGGCTGCTCCGGAGTGCACCGGTCGTTGGGTGTTCATATCTCCAAGGTCAAGTCGGTCGATCTGGACGACTGGACGGAAGAACAGCTGCAAGCCGCTCGAGACTGGGGCAATGTTCGCGCCAACGCCGTGTGGGAACACTCCAAACCAGCTGGCTTGCTTCCTTTGCCGTCGGACCGAAAGGAGTTTTGGCGCCGCAAATACGTCGAACAGGAATGGAAGGACCCACGTCCAAAGTCTCTGCGAGCAGCATACGCAGCTGCCCCACCTGACGACAGTACGGAGCAGCGTCTGACTGTCGACGACGTTGATGCCACGCCCACCAGGCAATCAGTCCGAGTCACCGACGCATCACCTGTCGTCAGTTCGCCGATCCGAAAGAGTCAAAGCCATGCCAAGGAGCTCGGGCTTCGTATAGCGCCCGTCGATACGACGCCGGCATCTGATGCGGTCAAGGTGGCTGACGGACCCATTTCTCCCAGGCCCCACGGACCGCGTCCGCTCCCTGAGCGACGGTCAGTGTCAATGCAGGCATCTCCGATCTCGCCGCTCTCTCCACACTCCACCGAGCAGTCGTACGAGATCGATGGACGACTCAAGAGTCCACTGTCACCAAGTCATCGTTGGAACGTCCGCCGTGATGCGACCGCACTTCATTCTAGTGCAGACGACAACAAAAGCGCAGACTTTGCAGCACCTGCAACTGCAACACAGCAACGACTGCTCGCCTCGATGCCCACCTCCGCATCGTTTCCTTACCTGTCGACTCAAGCAGCGGCGGATGCGCACGTCAGCAAAGCGATGCTAGCGGCTCGAGCTGATCCGCGTCTGTTTCCCCCCTCCGTCTTGACCGCAGCGGCGACAGAGACATCGGACCTGCACCTTGGCGATGACGTGAAATTGCGAGTCGCCACTTCACCTCCGTCGCTCTTCGTTTCGAACCTCGGCGGCCGAACGCCCTCGCCCATGTTTTCCGATGGACCTATGCGGAGGAGAGACCAGGAGTGGGATACAGCGTCCGAGACGGGATCAAACCAATTGGAAGAGGACGCAAGACGGTATGTGGAGTACTCGCCTAGAAGCGGCGATCCCCCAGCGAGGTTTGAGGCGTTTGCGTCGCATTGATGAGAGCGGATGCTGATTGGACACATGGCGACCCGGTTGTTCACTCACTTTTGATACCCACAGCTTGCGGAGATAGTATACTATCCCAGAAAGGGCAATCGATGTACACTACCGAAAAAAACGGAGCACATCACATGTACACACCCCGGCCTTATTTTGTGAGAAGTGGTTGAATTTGCAGATCGACATCAAAGCACTCCATCGAATCCACACCTTCAATCTAAACTCAACGATCCAGCCTCGACAGCGTCCAACGCAGCTCTCAATCTCTCCAGTGACTCGTCCCTACCCAAGAACAGAAACAGGTCCGCGAGAGGTGCGCCCCTTTCGCATGCGCTGATGGCGAATCGTAGCGGTGCAAGGATGGCTGCTTTTTTGATCTTGGTTTTCGGGGCGTTGCTGTCGTTGGGAGGGATGGATGCGTTGGAGAGCAGGCGGGGGAGGGAGGCGATGACGGCGTGGATGGAGTCGTGCGTCCAGTTGGAGGGGGGGAGGGCGGAGAATTCTTGGTGGGCGGTGGAGAGGGCGCGGGTGAAGTGGGTGTGGATGAGTTTGCTATGGCGGAACAGGGAGAGGGTGTCGGGTGGAGGGTGAGGGGTCCAGCTGGGACGTCGGAAGAGCGGTATGGCGGATTGGGGTACGTCGAACAGTGTTGCGCAGGTTCCACGCGTCAACTCGACAACCTTTGCTACCTCCGCATCATCCTTGAACCTCTGCTTTGCCTCTGGAAACGCCTCCTCCAACCTCCCCCTGATCCTGCTCACCACCTGCTTCCTCCCCTCCGCCTCCCCCAACTTCAACCCCAAATGCCTCGCGTTCAAGTAGTACAACTTGCTCAGATCGACACTCGCCCTGCTCCGATTCACATCCTCTATCCTAAAACCCTTCACCATCTCGCCCATCGTCAACACATCCAGCCCGGCTCCATCCACCTCCTCCTCCCTCCTCTTCCCCTCGTGATACCGCAGATTGTTGTACCCCATCAGACCGACAAAGTTGCACAACGCTTCCGCCTCGATCCCCTTATCCCTATAGCTCTCCACCCTGACATCGCCACTTCGCTTGCTCAACTTGCTTCCGTCCGCATTGACCAGCAGTGGCAGGTGTGCGAATTCCGGCGGTCGGAATCCTAACGCCTGGTAGAGCCAGAGATGTTTCGGAAGCGAAGGTAACCATTCCTCCCCCCTGAGGACGTGGGTGATGCCCATAAGATGATCGTCGACAACGGAGGCGAGATGGTAGGTGGGCCAGAGGTTGGATTTGAGCAGGATGGGATCTTCGGTTCCGTGACGCAGGGGGTCGGAGGGGAAGTGGATGGAGCCGTAGACGAGGTCCGTGTGATCGAGGGATGTGGTTGGAGCGCGGAGACGGACTACGTACGGTTTGTTGAGCGAGATGAGGTGTTTGGCTTCGGATTCGTCCGGTGCGATGTACGTGTCTCGCAGCGGGACTTGTTTGGTGAAATTGGCTGAGTCGGTGGAGGCGACGACCTCTGCGCGGAAATCTCGATACGCCTTGCCCTCGGAAATCAGCTTTTCGGCGTAGTGACGGTACAGATCCAAGCGCTCGCTTTGGATGTACGGGCCATGGCTCCCGCCGGCGGAGGGACCTTCGTCGTAGTGCAAGTTGGCCCAGGCGAGCGTCTCTTGCAGGGCAGCAACGGAGCCAGGGACGAGACGGGTTTGATCGGTGTCTTCGATGCGGAGGATCCACTTGCCGCCGAGGGAGCGAGCGAAGAGGTGGTTGAAGAGGGCTGTGCGGAGACCGCCGAGGTGGAGGTAGCCTGTGGGCGAGGGTGCGAAGCGTAGCCGTGGTGGTGATGTGGTGGATGAGGTCGATGGGGTCGATGTGAAGGCTGCGGTGGTGGTGGAGTGTAGACGTCGACGGGCTGGTGGAGCTAGGTCTCGCACGCAGCGGCGACACGAGCGTGCGGTGAACGACATCGCTTGCAAGGAGAATGCGCTCTCTCTCTCTCTACGGAATAGGTTGAGGAAGGAAGGAGACAGTCGATGATGCTCTGAGAAGAAGATATGGCATGAGTTAAGCAATTTTGCCGATTCTCTTTGACAGCTGTCCAAGAAGAATTCCGAGATCCGGATTCCTCCTCCTCGATTCCCTCTGCTTCTTCGACGCACGGACATTTCTGCTGATTCACTACCATCCTTTGAGTCCTTTGGCTCAGTCGAAGATGAGACAGACCTCTGGTTGACCCTCTTCTTCCCTCCCAACCACGGCCTCTGCGTCCCGACAAGGTCCTAGTCCAGCCTTTCCGCTACGACCATAACCCACACACAATCATGGCCGAGCATCAAGACCCCGCTGCATCTGCAGCTTCTTCATCGGCATCCACCCTCATCCTCCTCCAGATCTCCTCTCGTCTCCTTACCTTTGTCCTCAACCAGCTCCTCGTGCGGCTCGTCTCTCCTAGCGTATTCGGTCTCGCCAACATCCAGCTCGAGCTGTTGATCTCCACCATCCTGTTCGTGTCTCGCGATGCATTTCGAACGATACTCATCCGCAACGAGCCTGGCTCCTCTGCATCCAGCTCGAAAGCTGTGGCTACGTCGAGTCGTGTTCGAAGAGGTGTGTCAAATTCGATTCACAACATTTCGCTGCTACCCATCCCCATCGGTTTCACGTTGACCGCGATCGCGTGCACGGTGTACGTCCGATACATCTCGCCGCTGGCGATGCGATCTCTGCCATCGTTTCACGTCAGCATCGCGCTGTACGCACTCGGAGCGCTGAGCGAGCTCGTGTACGAACCGTTGATCATCCGCGCAGTCAGACTTGGTCGTCCCACATGGAGGGTCAAAGCCGAGGGGATCGCCGTTCTGGCAAAGACCATCTCTACCATCGCAACGATCATCCTCCTACCTCTTTTCAGCACACCGTCGTTCATTCAAAGCTGGGTCGAGGACGAAAGATCGACCGCGCTCCTCGCATTCGGCATCGGACAAGCCACGTACAGCATCGTCACGCTCCTCGTCCTACTCCTCTTCTTCTTCCGCGAATACGGTATTGCCCCCACCATTGACCTCTACGTCCCCCGGTCGGACCCCGTCTCTCCCCCGAGATACTTTGATACACCTACGCTCTCCCTCTGCGCCACAATGTCATCTCAGGGAGTGCTGAAACACTGTCTGACGGAAGCGGACAAGTTCGCCATCGCCAAGTACTCTTCGCTCGAAGATCAGGGTGGCTACGCCCTCGCCAGCAACTACGGATCGCTGGTGGCGAGGATTCTGTTTCAACCGGTGGAGGAGACGTGTCGGATCGTGTTTAGCTCAGAGCTGACGCAAGACGGTGGCGAGAGGAAGCGTAGGGTGAGGGAGATGCTGGGTGGGTTGTTCAAGATGCATTTCCTGCTCGGGTTGGTGATGGTGACGTTCGGAGGACCGCTGAGCAAGACGTTTCTGTACGTTATGGCGGGGGAGAGGTGGGCGTTGCAGACGAGCGCTCCGGATATCTTGGCCGCGTATACGTGGTACCTTCCGATCATGGGGTTGAACGGGATTGTGGAAGGGTTCGTTCAGAGCGTCGCGAGGAAGGAGGAGATCCAGCGGTACAATCGGGTTCTGTTTACTGCCAGCGCGACTTTTATAGGAGGTCTGGTGATGAGCAGGAGTAAAGTGGTGGAGGGGCTGGTGGGAAAGACAGGATTGGTGTGGGCGAATGCAGTGAGTCTAGCGGTGAGAGCGGGATGGTGTTGGAAGTTCTTACGGGTGTACTTTGGAGGAGACGGAGAGTTGGGTGCGAAAGCTGCGCTGCCGGGAAGGATTACGCTGGCGGTGCTGGGGAGTGTAGCGGCGGTTTTGAGGGTGGCAGTGCCGAGGACCATGCCGATGGACGAGCAGTTGGTGTCGGCTGCAGAGTCGGGAAGGATACAAGCGTTGAACTTGCTTGCACCAACAGTGGGATTGACCAGTGGCTGTCTAGCCGTAGTGGTTGGCAGTATCGTGGTCTTCGAGAGGAAAGCTTTGATCAAAGCACTACGTTCACTTCGTGGTCAACCACACGAAACACGCAAAACGAAACGCTCATAGGCACGATAGCAATGGCAATGCATTTGACAGAAACGCACAACAGTTACAACAACAAAACAGTGACAAGGGAATCTAACGAAGGCTCTTCCACAATCACTTGTTAGCAACGTGCAGAATGGTCGGTTTCGACCTGAGCATGGTCCTCTCCGTGTTGAGCTTGGCCGGCGCAGGCGAGGCGATGACGGGAGTCGACCAGGGGAACAGCGGAGTTCGAGCTACTTCCTGGACGGTGGGGGAGGAGACGCCGTCGAAAGCGATGGTCGTGTCCGAGTCAAAGTCGAGGCAGAGGCTTTCTGGCGAAGTGTAGGGGTTTTGGGGTAGGTGGAAGGGGGAAACGTGGTCGCCGGGGGAGAGGTGGAGCGCGGTGCTGTCGGGGGTCCCGAGGATGACGCGAACTCGCTGGGTAGTGTTCGCGGGAGGGGAGGTGGTGGTGGTGATAGAAGGGATGAACGAGTGGGGGGAGGAGCCACGGTGCATTCCGGAGAGGTAGGGGTAGGAGAAGTGAGAGGCTGCAGCTGCGCTTCCCGATCCGAGGGAGTTGAGGGAGGCGCGTGAGATGTTGGAGTGCATCATGACGTGCTTCTCTTCCTCGTCATCGTCGATGGTGGTGGGGAGGACGATAGCGGAGCGGCTGAATGAGCCGTCGACCGGTTCGTCGTCAGCGACCACGAGAGAGGTGATAAAGTCATCCGGGAGTTCCGAGTCCTCGATGACCGCTTGCCTCTGCTTCACGGTCGCAGCACGTGGAGGCGTGCTTCGCATCGTCGTGACTCGATCCTTTGGCGAAGCGGTGTACTTGTCCTCTCCCACGTCTGCCGCGGCCGAAGAAGTTTTGGTCAAACCGCTGGCAGCTCGCTTCAGACGTGCACCCCAGCCGCCGGCAGCCGCACCAGCAGCCGCTGCAGCGGGGATGTTGTGCATCTCACTCAGATGGAGGTTCGATACATAAGGCGTCTCCTCGTCCTTGCCACCACGATGGAAGCGGTCCAGATCGTTAACGCGACCTTCTTGACGACCCAGATTGTAGGCCTCCGCCTCTTTGCGTTTGCGATAGGCGTAGATTCCACCGATGGCGGCGGCGATGGCGGCTGCTCCGAGGAGCGAGCCTGCGATGGCGCCGGTGTGGTTGGAACCTGAAGAAGATTGGTTGTCTTGGGGCGGAGCAGGGGTGTCAGATGGAGCTGCGGAGGAAGTCGGGGCAGCGACTTCCGACGTTGGCTTCACCGAGGGAGAGGCAGACGCAGTGGGAGCAGAAGATGCGCCTGGAGATGGCGCCGGTGCAGGAGCGACGGGTGCAGCAGCAGCATCCGCAGCACCGACGGTGGCAGCCACAGCTTGCCTCGCCTGAGCGACGCCAGCTGTCGAAGTGGACCAAGTGAAGCCACCAGCATTCTGCATCGTGCTAGTGTCCAAATAGTATACTGGCGAGGCTGTCGATTCGTCGCTCTTCAAAAAGCTCTGTCCGGCAAAGGATGGACCATCGCTGACCCTTCCAAAGCTGCTCACCATCACCTGGCCCGCCATCACCGACGAGTGGTAAGCGACCGAGGGAGGTTTCGAGCTCTCCGACGTCCAAGAGGCCGCGTCCCACCTGGCCGGTGCTTGGTGAGGATCCAAGATGAAGACTTCGCCGATCGGATCGTTGTTCGTCTTGAACTGCGAAGGATCCTGAAGGTATCCTCCGTGCAAGAGCACTTTGCCGTCAGAGGTGACGACGGCAGTGTGGCCCATACGACCGGACGGAATGAGTCCTGTGGCATTCCAGCTCTCCCAGTCACCCGTGGCGACATCGAGAGCCCAGAACTTGTCGAGACGAGCCATGCGACCGGACTGGTCTTTGCCACCGAGGAAGAGGACCTTTTCACCACAGGTGCCATTTGCGGGAAGAACAGCGGTGGTGTAGTCGGTCAGGGAGAAGTCGTGCATTCGTTGATCGAGAGCAAGCGATTGGATCGAGGCGTAGGCGGTACCAGTCACGTCCACGCCGATGTGGGCTGTTTCGATCGATTTGGAGGTCGACGTCGAGTTCGCCGACGAGAAGGATCCGAGAGAAACGGAGGATTGACTCCACATGTCGATGCCTTGGTACGTGCCATTGGTGGATGCACACGTTGTGGCGTCGAAAGTGCCGCCCGAGACCATAATCGAAGCGGTGGCGTTGGCCGAAGGCGACAGAGTCACCGCTTTGGCGCCGCGTCGTCGGCTTGGGGCAACGCCATTGTCCGGGTAGACCGCGGCCCACCTTCCAGCGGTGATGTTTCCAGCGGGCGCCGACCATACGTATGCTGGAGCATCCATTGCGCAGTTCTCTGTGACACCACCCACGATCCAGAGGTTGTCTGTTCCCTTGGCGGCGTCCGTGACAGCGCTAGCCGCGGCGTAGGCATGTGCGGGCAAACCTTCTGTGGACAGCCTCTGCCACTTCTGAGCGGCAGAGACGCCGGTCATGTTGGCCCAAGAAAGCTCCGAAACGTCGAGGGCGTAGACATCGTTGGTGATAGCTCCAGAGAGGCTTGTCTGTCCGCCGACGACTACGACCACGTTGTGACCTGGTAGATAGGTGGCCGTCTGACCCCAGCGCTTGGTGGGAGGAGCTGCGACGGTCAGATTGGACTCGGTACCGTTGCTCTGCTCAAAGACAATGGTTAGAGTGCGATCGTCCGTGCTGGCAGAGTCTTGTGGGGAGGCGGTAGAGTTGACAGCTACAACAGTGGGGAAGACATTGGCTCTTCGCAAACGAGACTTGGTAGAGAAGGCTTTCGATTGAGAGTCCCGTTGCTTTCCTGGGGAGCCACTTCGATCCAAATGTCCCGATTGAGCTGAAGCAAGTACGCCTGAGTAGCCAGGTCGCGCTTGTTGACTGTGACTGTGTCGGGATTCAAGAACGTCTCGAGCTGAAGCTCCGTCAAGGCTCGTTGATCGTCGAGTGGCTGGTACGACCTTTGGCAGCGCCGAGACATAGGGGACGAGGAGAACGAGAACCAGGAACGAGCGCAGCATCCACATGCCTCTTTTCGGCGTCGATTTGATGTTTGTAGTCTCCTTCTTTTTGGGGCTTGCTGCCTTTGTCCGAGGAGGAAGGTGCTGCTGCTGACGCGCGAAGGTGGAAGCGCGAACTGTGTTCTTTGTCGTTGTTGATGTTGTTGGTTGCGAACAGAGAGTGACACGAGAGGAAGACGCCAGCGTCTCCTCGACGCAGAACTCTTGCTCTTGAGGCTGGAAGCGAATCGATGGGCTGATTCGCCTTGCATGCTTTGGCTGTCGCGTCTGAGCTGCCATCGCATCGTCCAAATTTATGAGTAGGGTGGGTATGGTGGAGGAGCGCAAGTCGTCTCTGTAAAACGAGACGAGGAACCGTGACCGGGGAATGTGACAGAGGATTTCAGAAGGGATAAGAAAGCAGCACGAAGGTCTCGACAACGTTGTTAGCTCGTCCAGACGATCTGAGAAGTCGAGGTTCGCGTTTGTAGGAACAGAAAAGGGCTCGGATGGACCCGTAAGAGCACAGCTCTTTGGAATGAAACGGAAAGCGAGAGGGGGTGGGTGATCGAAGGGATGATGGAGGCGAGAAGGTAAGGCACATTGATCGGCGAGCACGATCTCACCCTGATGGGTGATTTGACCACCTTTCAGAGACTTTGAGGCCAAGCACTCGCATCCGCAGACAGACAGCATCGAGATCAGGAACACAACGGGGCATGACCTTCCATGCAAGCCAAAGATTCACGGTCCATGGCGGCACCCTGCTGTATCTGCTTGGCCAGTGCAGTAGCAGTGAGTGTTCGATTGGATGTTGAAGCATAAAGATGAGCATGAAGATGAGCGACCCAGAGCACTGCCTACAAGCAGCGATGCAGGAGGAGTTGTGCGAGCTTCCATGTTAAATGGCAGAATTGAGCAGCTTGGCGGGCGGCGGTTTTTGACATGTCACATCGATTGGCGTGTTCACCGTGGACCCTCGAAAAATGGATGGTGCCTTAGTCACAGGTAACAGTTGTCTTCTTGCCTATGCCTTGCTTCAGCTGCTGATGCAGGAACTTTTCGTCCTAAGCGAAACTGCTCACTTGTACCGAGATGGCCGGCGCCTCTTGCCTCAATCCAACTAGAGCGACTCGAGCATGGTCATGGCGGAATCTATGGAAGAAATCGGTGCTAATCGGGAGTACGCTCGAATCGAGATTCGGAATTTGGGTCGGCAAATTTGTGATCCGGATTCCGATTCGCCGGAACATCACGGCGATAGAAGAACTCGTTTGTGTCACTTTCACCGTTCAGCCACCTTTGTTCTTGCTTTGACACCGCACCTTCATCGACTTATTTGACGTGAGAGCTGCACAGCAACGATGGCGTCGACGTCGAAGCATGCGCACCGTGCTGCCGCTTCAGTCGCTCGCTCAGCTCGACAGATTCTAGCGAGAGGGTCGTCTCGGTTCCCAATGCTCCTATCAGACCAAAGTCTCATGTCCCATACCCGAGCTGTTTCGCCGAACAAGATCATCCCAGCTAGGCCCTTCAGCTCATCGATAGCTACGCGAAGGGTGCAGCGATCCGTCTCCACCGGTCCAGCATTAGCCGCACAAAAGCCAGATCATGAAAAGGACAACGATGAGCTCCGCTCTCTCTTCGACGCGCCGCCCTCGTCCTCGTCCGCCAACCACCTTCGCTCCTCCGGACCATCGACAGGTCTCTTCGAGATTCCATCGCTCACTTCGCCACAGAACTTCCTCGTGCTCGCTCAACAGACACTCGCACGAGCACAACTTCTTGTCGATCGCATCGACCGTGCCAGTTCCGCCGACGCCAGCACACCAGATGGGGCCCAAGAACTCAGCGAGGTCGTACGCAACCTCGACCGGCTCAGCGATCTTCTCTGTGGAGTGATCGACATGGCAGAGCTGGTACGCAACGCCCATCCTGACCCCGAGTGGGCGGAAGCAGCCAACGCAGCGTACGAGTATCTATGCGGCTACATGAACGTCCTCAACACCCACACTGGGCTATACAACGTGCTCAAGAGCATCCTGTCCAATCAGCAGATCGCTGGGAAGCTCTCGCGGGAGGCGACCGCTGTAGCGCAGGTGTTTTTGCGAGACTTTGAAAAGTCTGGAATTCACCTGCCACCAGCTGAGAGGGAACGTTTCGTGCAGCTCAGCGACGAGATTTTGGTTCTCGGTCGTGGGTTTCTGCAGGACATTGCAGGGAATGATGCTTCGGACGACTTTGCCAAGAATGCAAGTGCCAAAGCAGATGCGGACAAGTCGGATACGGTCGAAGTGCCAACTCATTGGTTGGAGGAGGTCAATCCTACGGTACTAAAGGCTATCCGAGCAAGCGCGATTACAGATCGCGATGGTCTGCTCACCTTTTCCGCTGCGGATCAACCTTGGGTATTCCAGACGTTTCTCAAGTACGCACCAGACGAGAGAGCACGCAAAGTCGCCTTCCGTGCTGCCAACTACGGCAGTCAAGCTCAGGTCCAACGACTAGAACGACTCCTCAAAGCGCGTGCAGAGCTAGCTACCCTCACCGGCGCCGCTTCCTACGCCGAAATGGCGCTTGGAGACAAGATGGCCAAAGAAGCGCAAAACGTCGAGGAATTCCTCCGCGCCCTCACCGACCATCATCGCCCACGCGCCTCGCAAGACCTGGACAAGCTTCGACATCTCAAGCATACTTCGTCCGTCACCACGGCCAGCAAACCCGATTCCATGTTCAACCCGAACCCGACTCTTCCGGACTTTGCACCTTGGGATCGAGACATGTACACCGAGCAGCATTTCCGCTCACCGTCGCTGCGCAGCGTCCAGCCTCTCTCGCCGTATCTGAGTGTGGGGTCCGTGTTCGCTGGGTTGTCGAGGATGTTTTCGGCGCTGTACGGGATCAGGTTTAGAGCGAGCATGGTTGCACCGGGAGAGGTGTGGAGCGAAGGAGCGGGCGATGTGATGAAGGTGGAGGTGTTGGATGAGAGCGAGGGGGCGAAGGGGACAAATGGATCTGCGGAAGGATTGATCGGGACCATCTACGCGGATCTTTGGAGTCGAGAGGGAAAACCTGGCGGAGCAGCGCACTACACTGTGAGGTGTTCGAGAAGAGTGGACAAGGACGATGAAGCCGGTGACTTCAAGTATGGACGTGCTGAGGATGGTCGCGCGCTCAACCCGGAAGATCTCGGAGGAAAGGGATACGGGAACCCTCTGCAAGCGCCAACGTTTGAACAGCGGGAGCGAGCAGGACGATACCAACTACCGGTTGTCGTTCTCATGTGCGATTTCGCTCGACCTGGAAACGGTGCCTCAGGACCGTGTCTTTTGGGATGGCATGAAGTCGAGACTCTGTTCCACGAGATGGGTCACGCCATCCACTCGATGATCGGTCGAACATCGTACCACAACGTATCCGGCACACGATGCGCCACTGACTTTGTCGAGCTACCATCCATCCTGATGGAACACTTCGTCTCTTCCCCGCAAGTCGTCTCCATCCTCGCTCGCCACCACTCCACCGGAGCCTCTCTCCCCTTCGAGCATCTCTCCGCCCACCTCTCCGCCTCCAAATCTCTCGAAGGCCTAGACACCTACCACCAGATCCTACTCGCCCGACTCGATCAACTCTACCACTCTCCCCTCGCCGCCTCCCCCACCTTCTCGTCCACCTCCACCTACGCCTCCCTCGACTCTGAGATGCAGCTTCCCGGAGCATCCTCTCTATCGTACACCGAGGGAGCGTTCCCGCAGGTTCGATTCGGACACCTGTTCGGGTATGGTAGTACCTACTACTCGTATCTGCTGGATCGGGTGATTGCGAGCAAAGTGTGGAATCGATTGTTCGCCGAGGATCCCTTGGATAGGGAGAAGGGGGAGTTGTTCAAGAAGGAGTGTTTGAAGTTCGGTGGTGGTAAGGATCCATGGCATATACTGGCGGATGTGTTGAAGGAAGAAGGTGTCAGGGATGGTGATAAGAGAGCTATGGAGGAGGTTGGAAAATGGGGTATCGAATAGACGTTGCACGCACATCACAATCACATCTCAACCACATACACATTTGCATCACAAACTGTCTCCTGCCCTTAAGACTGTCCATCGATTGCTTCCGTCCCCATCACGCCATCGCCAACTTTGAATAACTCGGCGGAGCCAACCGCAACCTAACCTCCCTCCACACATACAACGGCAGCCCACTCACCGCCACAATCACCGCCGTCTTCCAAACGAATCTCCCCGACAACACGAACGCCAGATCGAAAAACTCTGGCAAGAAGACGATGCTAACACAGTAGAAGAACAACGTGACGATCTCGGACAAGATCATGTACACGTGCCAGGTGGTGATCTCGAGTGCGACCATGATCAACTCGTTGACCACGAGAGCGGTGAACGAAATGGAGACGATGTTGAGGAATTCGTTCTCGAACAGCAGCAGCGAGAGGATCATGATGGCACCGCCTTGGTAGGTGGAGATCATGAGCCAGGTGGTGAAGGTTTTCGCAGAGAGTGATCGACCTTTGGTGAGATCCTTGTAGAGTTCCGGGTAGAGCAGAGCTAGGTCCTCGGATACGTCTCTGTCGAGTACGAGGGAGAACACGGGTGCCATGGTGTACACCGTCGCGTAACCTACCATCAACCAACCCTGGTAGAGCGCGATGGGGGCAAAGTAAAAGATCGACGAGAACACGGCTTGGATGATCGAGATGATGAGACCACGATGTATGACGAACTGCGCGAGCTTGGCCGAACGTTTGTATGAGTTGCGTCCGTGCCAGACGAGAAGCTTGGTCAGATGGCTGAACTGCGTGATGGAAAAGTCGGCTGCAAGGGAGGCCTGCTTGCCTTCTTTCCCCACGATCCCCAGTCCAACATCGGCAGCTTGGATCATGGATACGTCGTTGCCACCATCCCCGATGCAGCACACCCTCTTGCGCGTGTGCGTGCGGATCAGTCGAGCCACATCCGCCTTCTGCGTCGGCGAACATCGACACGCCACCACCGCCGAAAGCTGCGTCGCCAACTCGATGAACTCGTCCTTGAACGAATCCAGACACACCTGCAGCGACTCGCCGTCAATCACAAGACAGCAGTCCAGCTTGGTGCGGACGAAATCGAGCATGTCACGCACCGCATCCGGCGTGCCAAGCTTCGCCACCTGATGCACGTACTGGTTACGTGCAACCAACTTGGACGAAATGGCGATGCACGTCGCCGTCTCGATCTTGTCTCCCGTCAACATCCACACCTTGATCCCTGCGTTGCGCAGCAATTCGAGCGTCATCTTGACATCCTCCTGCAGCTTGTCCTCGACACCGGTCAGACCGAGCAGCTCGAGATTGTTTTCGAGATGCTCTGCGATCGCTGTCGCCATCGCCTGATTGCGATCCTCGACCTGAACCCGAGCCGCCTTGTACGCTCGCTCGAACGCAAGCCAGTTGTCCTGCGTCAGCCGCCTGCGTCCCACCACGAGCGTTCGTAGGCCTTCGCGGGCCATGTTGCCGCATTCTTCGTCGAGCCAGTCGTTCTGCGCGACGATCTTGGCCATGACTACGTCGGCACCTTTCTGGTAGAAGGTGATCTCGCCCGTGGCTCGCTCGCGAATGATGATACCCATGCGCTTCGATTCGGAGGTGAAGGGGAAAACTTCCAAGATGTCAAAGTGCAACGTAGAGCCATCCGGAGCGCGCAGCGCCATGGAGGTGCGATCACGCGCCGTGAGGCAGAGCCCGACCGACTCGGTCCAGCGGACGATGGCGACTTCGTCTGGAGAAGAGGCTTGGTACGTGATGCTGCCGTCGAGCTCGAGCACCGGAGTCACATTGTGGCACAATGCCAGGGCAAGAACGACGTCCTTGACACGAGAGCTCATGTCGCGACGACCACGACCGGCCAGCATGGCTCCAGCTGTAGCGAGCGACATGGCCGGCTGCGCGGCCGTCGGACTCAAAGGTTGGGCGTTGCTGCCGTGATACTGCTGCTGCAACGCCGTAGCGAGTTGCGAGGCCACTTCGTCCATGCTGTCCCAGCCGTAACTCATGGTGCCCATATGAAGCTTGCGGAGTTCCATCTCGTTCTGCGTCAGTGTCCCCGTCTTGTCGGACAAGAGATACTCGATGCGGCCCAGCTCTTCGGGCAGCGTCGAGGTGCGCACGATCGTGCCGGGGATCTCGTCGTCGTGCATGATCTGGCGGGCGTACACCGTCTTGCCCATATCGAGATTGACGCGGAGACTGATGGGGATGATGGATGAGAAGAGGATGAGAAAACGAAAGATGTAGACCCACCACTCTCCCTTGAAGCCGTTGAGCGCGACCAGGGCGACGGAAAGTGCAAAAGTGACACCGCAAAGGATCTTGGACAACCTATTAATCTCCAAGTCCAGAAGCCCGACTTTCGTGCCAGGATAGGAGGTGTTCATCACGGCTCTGGTCTCTCGACCCGTGTAAACGACCACGCCGACGGCGGTTCCTGCAGCGAGGACGGTGTTTGCCCACAAGACGTTCTCTGCGCTCAAAGGAGCCACCTGAGGTTGTTGGCTCATGGCGATAATCGTATCGGGTCGTTGCGAGTCGGACGAGCTGCGATTCTGATCGGGTGCGTCCGTCGGCACGCCGAGCAGATCTCCCACTGTAGGCCCAGATCGAGGTAACGTTGGTGGTGGTGGCGTGACTGATTCATCCTCTGGTGGCGGATGCAAAGTCATGTTGCCGAGGAAGGAGTGGATGTCTTTGATCGGTGGACCTGCAAACACGACCGCTCGATTGCCGAGGACGGCCAAGTCGTCAGTTGGCATGCGTTGGGTGAGCTCGACAGCAACGCGGAGCTTCCAGTCCGTCTCTCCGTCCAGCTGATCTGTACGAACAAAACAACTGCCATTTGAGCCTTCTGCGCCAGAGTCTTGTGCCGAGGTGTTTCCCACCTTGCCTGACTCTTGAGCCGCCGCTTCGCCGTTGTGCTGCCTGTCGTCTTCATCATCCTCGTCCTCGCCAAGGACGAACTGTGTGCTATCATCTGCGGGTGTCGCAGCAGTTGAGCCGCCTCCTGTTTCGATAGTCGCGTCGTTTGAAAAGGTCTGCAGCAGGACCATGTCTGCAGGTACGCGCTGGTTCTTGTCGAGCACCACCAAGTCGCCGACCTTGATCTTGCTGCTCGGTATCTGGACGACCCTGGACTGGCCGAGATCACTGCCGAGCGAAAGAGGCTTGTTCGAAGGAGCTTTTCTTGCGAGACGTGATTGCGCCTTGGCGATGGCCGAGTGGTTGGGAACGAGCAGCTTGTAAGGAGCGCTGTTGCTTTCGAGGTCTCTCTTGTACCTTGCCCAGTCGTCGATGGCTTCTTTGCCGATAGTGATGCAGAGGACAAATGCGAGAGGGGCGACGTAGGTGGCGATGAAGCCGATCTTGAGGGCGGGTATGAACTGACTCAACGCGACTAGTAGAAAGTATAGATTGAAGAAGAACTTGAACTGCTCGTAGAGCACCTTGGGCAGGAAGCTGATGACATTGTACTTTTGGTTGCGAACGACGTTGGCGGGATACTTGGAACGGACTCGATCCGGATCGCCGAGGCTGATGGTCCTGCTCAGATCGCGGGACGCGCCTTCTTTTGGTGCGAAGAGCGAAGCGATGAACCCGGCTCTGCGCGAACCTAGCTGTACGACAGTGGCGGATGGCGGCGGGAGGCTATCAGAATCGCTATGGGTACCATACTGTCTGCGATGGTCTTCGGACTGTCGCGGCGTCAGTCCTGGTCTCTTCGAGCCGGTCGCATTCTCGTCATCGCTCTCCTGCAGCAGGCCTTGCTGCTCGTCCGAGTCTCTCGCGTTGTTCTGACCGAAGCGGCTGAATCTGGATCGTGTATTGCGCGAGCGAAACGCTGCGAAGCCGGCCTCTGACTGCGAATGGTAGGATGGTGCAGGAGAGCTGCGCCCGGTCGACATGGTGTGGTTTGTGTTGAGAGGCTGGAGCGGGTATGCGCCGTCGAGCTTGTTGCTCTCGTCGTTGGAGAAGCGAGAGGGCCGGCCGGTCCGGTTGGACGACATTCACGGAAGGCGCTCCAAATGGTGGTCGCGTCTCAGGAGTCAGGGCTGGTCATGTTGACCTCGTGCAGTGCAGTCCAAGAAGGCGGAGTCGGTCGGGATGCCTTTGTGGTAGAGATGCTTCGGAAGAGGATCGTGGGAGGTGTTGCTTTGCTGCACCCTGAAGTCAACGCGGGATTGCAACACCTTCGAGGCGTGGCCTGTTCGCTGTAAGTGAAGTCACAGCAAAGCCTCCACGCTGCCAAGTCTCGGTGACATTTTATCTGCATGTTAGACCACGGAAAAACTCGGAGCTGAAATCGTGCGAGAAAACAGTCGCGAGTTCCGGAGACGATCAATTTCGAGGCTTTGTGTTCATGCACGCTCCTCCCGCTACGAGGTTCGTCTCCACCCTTTCTGGAGATTCGTCGGCTGTTGATCTTCTGATATCGCTCTTGCCCCGCCATCTTGACTTGTCTCGACATCGCGCTTCCACATCACTCATCACGTAGGTTTTGATCTCCTCAAACGGCCGCGGACAAGACACTCTTTCCGCTTAAACACTGTGTCTGCACCAGAACCGACCAAGATCAGCAAATCTGACCCATCGATACGCTCGGCATTTCCATTTGACCCCCTCGCAATCAAACAACAGAATGACGACGATCCCAAGCCGCTTGGCTCAGACCACAGCCATCTCTAGGACGCTCGAGGAGGCTCGAAAGCGATCCACAGCGCTGTACCGCAACTTCTATCGATCGGTGAGTAATTTCTCGTACCCGAGCTCCTCTCGGATCCTTTTCGTCTTGCTGACTCTGGATCTTGCATTCGCTTCGAAACGCGCATAGGCCCCCGAGATCTGCGCTTTGTACGCGCTCGATGTGCCTCCTTCCACACTCCGTGCCAAATTCCGCACGCAGTTCGAGAAGAACAAGACGGTGAGCGACCTTGCAGTGCTCGACTTGATGCTTCTCAAGGCACAACAGGAGTACCAGGAGACGATGAACGGTTGGAAGCAGATTCCTCACATCATGAAGTGGTTTGCAGAAGAGGAGGTAAGTGTCAGATGCGCTCGGCCCGACCGCAAGGGCGTCTTTGATGTCTATCGGCTGTGCTCGAGCCCAAGCCTGTGTCTGCGATTGTTTCGGAAGCTGACCCGACCACTCTAACGCTTGAATCCCGATGTTACTTACATCTCTTGCGATCGACAGGGACCGGCACGACCCGAAAGCTTCTTGGACAAGTTCTACGCCTCTCGAGACGAAGGACGAGGACCGATTGGCACCGGTATCTAAGTGCATTTCTGCATCGCAACTCATCGAGCCTCTCATCGCAATTTGATTCTTTACCGTATTTGCCATACATTGTGGACCCTCCTCTTTGCGGTGTTGGGTGGGAGACCGAGTCGGAACGCAGCGAAAGGGACGCGCATAGGTATATCATGAGAGCGAAGCAATGACTCTATCGGCGCAGCCTCTTTTTCAGTCTCTGCTGGCTGTCCGAGGTGCAGAATGTTGTCCCAGAAGACCGTCGGAGTCTGGCGACGCCGTATCGCAGCCTGATCACAGCATTACTGGCAAGCTAGTGTTCCGCGTCTCGTCACACGGACAAGGATCGCTACAGCCTTGATGCACCTGAGGAGACTTCCAAAGAGACTTGACTTCGGGCCAGACGGTTTTTTCTTACCATCATCATCCCCGCCTGGACCTCTTGTTGTACCATGTCGCGCGCATCAAACATGCAAACCGCCACCCTCGAGCAGGCAAAACAATGGCGCATTGATATGCAACTGGCCTTCTTCCCAAACGCAGGCGGCCTGTGCTCTCCGAGCGGCCTCGAGATAGGGAAAAGAGCCATGCTTGAAGCCAAGAACCACCACATCTCGGCAGAGCATCTGCTCGCGTCCAAGATCGGCAAAGTGGCGCACCATGCCAGGGATTCGACTGCGATCCCGGACAGCCATCGATCTATGAAGCGGGAAGCCCACAAGCTCTATAAGAGGTGGAACTCCATCGTTTGGAGGCACGTGAAGGAGCTTCAGCGATAAGAGCAAGCAGCCAGCGGATCTAAAGAAGCCAGCAGACCCGTGCAAGAGACCTCGCCCACTTCGGGCGGCTCGCTGATGGCCGTAGCATTCCGTCGCATTCGTGAACACTTACGAGCGGAGCCATCCGGCGATCTACCGCGAGTCTGATAGTTGCAGCTCGGTGCCGCAATACGCGATAGCGCCACTTTCGACAGGCCTAGGCCCAACTCGATGGTCGCTCGAATTCGTCAAGCGCTGCAGCCTACTCGCATGGAGATCTCGCACTTGCCACAAGTGTCACCTGTCAAGGAGCTGATCAATGCATGCATTGAAAGGTGCAGCGTGGTCGCACAATTGAGAAGCAACCGTCGAACGACACCCTTGTGGGAACGAGAGGTTGGCGTTGGCTTACACAATGAAGCTGTCACATCCGTGATCAAACTCTACAGCACGCCGTGTCGCTCCACTGTGTCAAAAATTACGCCAAGCTTCGAATTCTCAGGAACGCGTACAGCCGCGCTGGTGAGAGTGCGAAAAGAGCAGACGAATCGAATTAAAGTTCGACGCAAGTCGACTTGTACCCGTCGCCGAATTGCATCCTTCACGTTCGTGCTTACTGTATTGCCACACTCAAGATCAAAGTGATGAGTGCCATAAGATGCAATGCTTGATCGACAGGTCCAGCGACACAATTGATATGACTGATGCGTACCGCGCGAAGTGGGCTGTGCTACGGAATGCCCCCGTGTGTCGGCTTGTCCGGTGACGATGCTGGTCACATCTAGTAATCGACGCGCGACGAGCCTGATTAGACAAGTGGCACATTTCATTTCGCCAGGGCAAACAATCCCCTCGGGCCCCACTGTTCGCTCCCTGATTAGGCCGGGGCTTGCAGCGGCGCGTTGGAACTGATCAGCTCCTTGACACATGTCGAAATAAAGCAACCAGTTGCAGGCTTCTGAGCTCGAGCGAAACGTCTCGTCGTTCGGTCAAGTTTGTCTTTCCATGCCGACAGTCGAGATGAAAGCCAAATCGTTGTCCCATTCCAGCTGAAGCGGTGGGAGATCGCCGTTGCATGCTGACTGTCACTCAACAGGCTGGCCGAAAGGGGCGTTCCGGCGTAGACGTGCAGTTGAGTTGGGCGGTGGCACCTGTCAGACCCCTCATCAGACCCTCTTTTCGCCGTACTTCACCGGCATGCACCGTATGCGTCCTGTCATGGCATTGAGCTTTCTCTTCCCCATCCGAAGATGGCATATAAGCACACCATGATCTCTCCGCAGACCTGCTCATCCCTCCTCCATTCCGCGTACGAACTTAGCCCCTCCTCATCTTGCTCTTCAGCTATCGCATTCATTCCTACAACTGCAGCCGTGTGTCGTGACAGTCACGAAATCTCAATCCACCACTTTGTGTATTTTTCACCATCAACATGATGATGTCGCCTCCTCTGCAGCTCGAACCGTTCGCAGGTATCGGCACTTGCGCATCCAGGTCAGTCGTCAGCGGCTTCTCTAAGAGCGCTCCAACAAAGCCTTCGTCACGAGTCTGCGCTGCTGATCTCGCGGTCAAGCAGCTCCTCCAGCAAAAGTCTACTCCTCTTTCCGCATCCTCGGTCGCGTCCGCTAGCCGTCCGCTGCAATCCGTAGACGTAAACATCCCCAGGTCAGGCATTCAACCCACCACCAACACCTCATCAACCACCGTCACCCCCACGTCGTCCCCAAAGGTCGGCAGCCGACGCATTTCTACCAAAAAGGTCCGCTCATCATCGAGCAGCTCCTCATCCGCACTTCATTCAATCGCAAGAACAAACAAGCTCGGATCAACCATCGACGCTACCGCATCCGTGACCCTCAAAGGCGAACGCATCAGCATCAAGGTCCCGCAAAAGCTCCCCACCCCGCTTCTCAAGCCCAACTCTTCTCCGTACGAAGACCTCGTCGCCCATCTCTCCCGGCACCACTTCTTCCAAGAAGCGCAACAGCTAGAACAGCAAAGGTTGACGCCCGACTTCTACCTCACACAGTACCTCGAGACCGCTCATCTCGGCAAAAGCAGTCTCTATCACCAGACCGAGACGTTTCTCAACGCCAACAAGCAATTGTTGCTGTCAAAAGTGGTACCGGGACAAGCGCTACCTGAGACAATCCCGGTGGACATTACCGAGTGGGTGAATATGGCGCAGCGTACACCTACGCATCTGCTCGCCGTGCATTCGGATCGGGAAGCTGCTACGTTGTACTGTGTGCATGGGCTAGTGTTGGCGTTGCAATGCGTATCGATTCCCGTTTTGCCCGGTGTGAAGGAGAGTCAGGAGGGAGGAAGGGTGGTCGAGCACATGCCAACGGTAGCTTTGAAGGTCCCGTCCGTCCAGCACTTCAACACCATCGTCCGATGGCTCTACAGCCAATCCACCACTTCTCTGCTGCACGAACTCCTTCCCCTCCAACACATCGTCACCTACCTCACCTGTAAACAGCTCTCTTCCAAACCCCCCTCCTCCACCACCACCATCCCCACCCTCTCTTCAGCCGACATCCTCAGCGCCATGTCCACCATGTCCACACGTCACTTCCTCGAACGCCTGCAACACATCCAGGCCGTGTGGAAGAACGGCGTTGCCCTCGGCATCCTATCCTGGAGCTTCTGGTCTACGCTCGATCACGCGTGGAACCTCACCATCCGCGCAATGATCGCTTGCCCCTCCACACGCCGCAGAACCGCAGTCTCTCTCAAGCACGTCACCGACGACGAGCGGGTGGCAAGGGATAACGAGTTGACGGAAAAATTCCAGTCGACAAAAATCGAGTAACCCCTTTTCCTCATCACCCAAAAATAAGGATCCAATAATCCGTGTATACCGTAGCTCATTCGCAATCAGAGTCTTTCGCACAACGTCACACACATCACAACCATACCTTCTGAACCGAAAGTGAACGTCGATTACCCAACCCAAAACCTCGCAACTTACTGCAAAAGCGGATCCCTGAAATGCTTCTGGTTGTTGTTCCTGAACCCGATCCTCGTCTTGTACTGCTCCCTCTTGTTTCTATCCCTAAACTCGGTGATGTGCTTCTTGGCCTCTCTAGCCTCGCCGCGGTTCCTCGCCTTGATCACTTGACCGTGACGTCCGGTGACGAGCGTGCCGTCTCCGTCGTGGTGGCCCATGCCGGACTCGGCGATGAGGCGACGGGCGAGTGCACCTCCACCGCCGTACCTGCGCGAAAGGTCCTGGTCGGTACCACTTGATCCCAGAGGTGTATCGCGCAGAGACTGCTGGTAGTATCGACGCAACGAACGGTGACCAAGACGTGCACCCGAGGGCAGCACAAGCTCCAGCTCCGAGTCTCCGTATCGAATTTGGTCATCGTGCTCCTCCTCTGCACCGCTGACATTCTTCTTGCTCGACTTCGTGGTCATGTCCAACACCTGCTCCTCGCCATCGACCTCCATCTCCTCATCCGCATCCTCATCATCGCCTGCATCCTCCCACTCCTCATCCTCATCTGCAGGATACGAGCTAGTAAAGTCGTAGAAGTCTCCCAATTCCAGCTGATCCTCCTCGTCCGAGTACGCGATCTTGCAGTGAAATTTGTCCAACATGTGATTCCTCACCGATTCAAGATTGTGGAATCCTTTCCCCCTTCCGTTGCAATACAGGCAAATGTTGCCGATGCTGACCTTGTCGGCAAGATAGGAGACGAGACCGGGAAGGTCAACAATGTACTCGGAATCGGGGATGAAGAATCCGTGCGCCTTGGACATGTGTGCCAGCGTGTCTTTGAGTTCGGTGAAGCCGGTTTTGGCGCAAAAGATGCATTCGTGAGTCGGGTCGACGCGCCGCGACGAGGCGACCTTGGCATCGATGGCGGCCTGAATCTGCTCCTCGGACGCGTCTTCGGGGACCATGAGGGTGTGGCGCGCGTTCTGCTTCTTCTCTTCCGCGACGATGGCTGCATCTGTCGTCGACCTTGTCAGTGCTGGTGCTGTTGGAGACTCGGCAATCTGTTCACCAACTGGCTTCGGGACACGGAAGACAAGCGGCACTTGTTCATCGTTTGACTCGACCGCCGCGGCTGCGCTAGAGGGTCCAGCCTGCTCTTGCCTTCGCTTCTCGAGTCTGGCGACGTTCTCCTTGTGCTTTTTCGAGTTCAGATGATCACGATAAGCATTCTGCGAAGCAAACTTCTTGTCGCAAGCCTCGCACTTGTCCGGTGTGACAGCGGTCTGAGCCTCTTGTGCCAAAGCAGCACGTCGTTCGAGGATCTTTGCGTTGAAGACATCAGCTTTGACCGGAGGCAAGTTGGCAACACGACGTTTCATGTTGTACCTGTGCAAATCCGAACGATAGTGGGTTCGCTGATCCTCGGGGTTGGGAAAAGCGATGCTGCAAGAGAGACAGGTGAAGAGCGGAGTGTCGTCGTCATAGTTCTGATCGTATTGTGGGGCCGAGGACGGCTCGCCGCCGGATGGTTCTACCAAAGTGGCCATGGTGATTGAGTGGGAGTCGGTAGGGCCTGGAAGTAGAAGCTGATAAAGGCCGCGCGTGCTAGTGAGCGGTATTGGATGATGAACAGTCCTAGAACGATTGCAAAGACGGCTGCGTAGAACCCGGATGAGGACCGTGTTGGTGGCAGAGACGGAAAAAGCCCAAAGTCGTTGAGATTGTCTTGCTGCGAATGTGGGGACGACAAAGGAGGCTCAGTCTGACGTGCTGAGTGGCATAAAACTTCGAGGCGGCTGGCTGAGTTGCTGCTGCTTGCCACCATTTTTTTTGCTCCTTCGGCTGCACATGCAGAGGTGGAGGATTTGGCCGAAAAATTGATGTCTTGCTGCAGATTTATCGAATGTTGTCCGATCCATCGGCTCCAGAGGGAATGGATCGGTGATCATCAGACTTGCCAGCACAAAACTCCGCTGTAACAATGGAAATACATTCAAAATCTGTTTTCGCGACTTATGGCCGCGAGTCAAGCTCGGCCGAGGTCGTACAGTTTTGCCTTCGAGATCCATTTGGTCATGATACCTGCCCCCATCAACATCAAAAGCTGTCATATGCTTCGACATACTGCGAAAGCTCTGCGAAAGGTCAGCATAGATCTAGAGATGGTAGGAAGGCCGGATGTATGGAACCTTCAACAGAGATGGTTGGTCATAATGGCTACGCCAAAAGCTGAGGGGGCTACGGCATCACGTGCGATGCGGTGTCCACAAAAGAGACTGGTTTAGTGCCTTGACCGAAAAACGGGCTCCAGGTCAACCAGATAGTGACGCCGCAAGCGTGAAATCGCACAGCTGGCACGAGACTGGTGGGCAAGCACTTGGGCATTTTCGTAGCTCAGCAGTGGCAGTCAGCCAGTGAATCCGTCAGCTTGTGAGCCGCAGAGAGGCGAGCGCAGTCGAGTTGCAGCAGTTCCAGTTGACATTGGCTGAGTCGATCGCTTCTTGCTAACGATCTCCGTCATCGTCCACCAAACTAGATCCATCCAGCAAGGTAAGCATCTCCTACAGAAAAGCCGATATCAGCACACGCCCGACATCCAGAACATACGCACCGGAAGCGCTCTCGCCAGATTGTTGCGCTTTGCAACCAATTCGCTGCTCCCATTATCGACCGTTTTGCTCGCCCAAAGATCGAAGATACTCAGTTTCTCGCATGACAGCCTCCGACCTTCACCACTTGTACAACCTTTTGGTGCTGGCTCGACTTCACTCTTTCCACCACCTAACTGCATCATTTGCTGATTCGAACTGCATCCTTTCTGCAAACACGTTCCACTGTAATCAACCGCATCACGACAAAACAGATGCAGATTTTCGTCAAGACTCTGACGGGTTAGTATTCCTCATTTTCGACCAAAAGACATCACATCTCGTCCATCGCATCATCACATCATCGCATCTCATGGCAGACACAGTTCGACATGGTTGAAAGCTTGGACAAAAGAATGGAAAAGCTGGAAAGAGGAAGCTGGACATAAGCAGAGTAGCATCAGGGAAATCCTCGCATCAATTGCAGAAGAGGGTGTCACTTGAAAACGATTTGTCGCTGTCGTTGATGTCATCATCGTGTATTCGGCGGCTGCGATCAAATTCGATATCAGTGCATGATGCGGACGGATATCAACATCGAAGAAGTCAATTCAGGTTTCGGGACACACAAGGGGTCGAAGCACCTTGAACACAAAGATCACGCCATTCACGTCATGGGTGAAGAGCCATGCTCCGACAAAATAGGGATATGATGGACCAAGACGAAAGAAACGGACACGGCAGGAACTGCAAACATTGCACCGACACGAGGGAGATTCAAGGGAACGGTCAATTTGCAACCCGACTACGATAACCCTGCGATGTTGCGATGGATGAGATGGATGATCTATGCATGGCCAGTATTGCCTCATCCCGTACCAGTACGGCAAGCTGACTCTTCCAATCTTCACGTATCCCTCCCTGATTCGCACACTAACAGGTAAGACCATCACCCTTGAGGTGGAGTCTTCCGACACCATCGACAATGTCAAGGCCAAGATTCAGGACAAGGAGGGCATCCCCCCCGACCAGCAGCGCCTGATCTTCGCCGGTAAGCAGCTCGAGGACGGCCGCACCCTTTCGGACTACAACATCCAGAAGGAGTCGACCCTCCACCTTGTCCTCCGTCTTCGCGGTGGTATCATTGAGCCCTCGCTCAAGGTGCTCGCCGGCAAGTACAACTGCGACAAGCAGATCTGCCGAAAGTGCTACGCTCGTCTCCCTCCTCGTGCCACCAACTGCCGCAAGCGCAAGTGCGGTCACTCGTCGCAGCTCCGACCCAAGAAGAAGTTGAAGTAAACGGTTTCGCCCCGCTTTGCTTTTCATTTCTCTCGACACACACTCACACCTACGCACACATCACATACACACACATCATGGCGGCACATAAACACTGCTGCTCTCGTGCTCTGATCTTTTAGGTTGGACACTCCACTGGTCTGTTGACGACACACCGTGCGTTCGCTCTCCAGTTGTTTCAAAACCACATGTCATTCTTGGTTTCCTGTTCCATCGTATGGTGGCAGTGTATCATGAACAAAAATGCATATCTTTTCTCTCCTACCACACTCGGTCCATGTCTGACTGTGAAATTGCATTGAGGTCAAAGTGGTACGCTAGCCTTCTTGGTCCAATCCTCGGGCTTTCCCGTACAATCCCAAACCTCTACGCGGTCGAATGAGACGTCTGAAAAGCCGCGGAAGGAGATACCTTTGTTGTGGGGAGTGAAGATTTCGTGCTTGTGCATTTGTTGAATTTGGGATTGAGCTTCGGGTTGGGAGATGGAGGAGTAGAGGAGGGATATGTGGGGGAAGTAGTCTTCGGAAGTTGAGGATGGGGGAGGGGGGTAGTGGGAGTTGACGATGTGGGTGGTTATGGAATTAAGGTCTAGGAGGGATTTGCTGTGTTCTAGGGCAATTAGAATGCACTGATGATTGAGGGTGTGTCAGTTGATGGTTCTCGCAGAGGGGTAGGTGTGGTGGGGATGCTTACTTGGAAGTACCTTCCGCGGGAGGTGACGTCTTTCAATCCAACCGTCAATGTCTCCGCTTCCCCTCCTTGCTGCTTTGCTTTCCATTCCGCAATCGCTTCCTCCAAACATCCTGTCAACCCTTCAACGGTGATCTCCCTATCACCCAACCCAGCTAAGAGCGTAGCGTGAATCCCAAACTCCCCCGAACATGTACCCGCGTTGACGCGGCGTAACGCTGCAGCTTCCCCCTGAACCGCCGAGACGAACGAAGCGGAGGAGGGCACAAGCCACAGTGCAAGACCTGAAAAGATGTCCGACGAGTGAGATGTCATTGTCAGTCGATCAAAATAGGCTTGGTAGAAACAAGGAGGAGGAGGAGGAAAGCGGGCGAGGAACGTTACCCATGAGCAGCAAAACAATCGGTCAAGGTCGGGATGTGAGAATGCTACCAAGGGTCCATGCGTCGCGGCTGCTGGAAAAGGTCGTCGTTGTGTGACTGGTGCGAGTTCGAGTTTTCTTTTTGGGAATAGCGTTGTTGCGACCTCACATTCAACAAAAAGCCACGCCGAACGAAAGAACAGCTTCCTGCGCCGATTTGCACTGCCAATCCACCTCACACCTTGATCCGCAAATGGAGAGCTCATACACAACCGTACACAAAAGACGCAAGTCACACCGCAAGTTGAAAGTCGCAACAAAGATGATAGCATAGCATGACATTACACAAAGGCGCAAACAACCTCCCACCTTACTTCATGATCTTACCATCGGCGAAAGCCTTTCCGCCAACGGTAGCCTCCCAAGCCATCATGTCCTCGAAGAACTTCTTGTCCTCGGCCTTGCTCAGGTCCAAAGGAGTGATGTCGTACGAGTCGACATCGGGAGCAACCTCCAACACGGACTTGGGGTCCTTGCCACGGCAGATCATGACACCGGAGATGGCGTTGGCGTTGTTCTCGCCGAACACACCGAGGGTGCCCATGGTGTACTTGCGCGAGGCCTCGAGACGGGCGAAGAAGCCGCCGATGAGGTTGTTCGACTGGAAGACGGCCTGCAGCTCGTCGTTGTACTTGTAGTCGAGCTTGACGATCGAGTAGCCTTCGGCGTCGAAGTTCTTGAAGAACCAGGGGAGGGCGGTCTCGCGCGTCTCCTCGTTCGAGTAGGTTCGCTTCCACTCGTCAAGGTTGAACGAAGACTTGGGGAGGTCGTCCAAGGGGTTCTTGGGCTTGGGCGCGGGCTTGGGCTCGTCGTCCTCGTCGTCCTTGGGAGCGGGAGCGGCCTTGGGCTTCTCAGCCTTGGGTGCGGGGGCAGCCTTGGGCTTCTCCTCCTTCTTGGGGGCAACGAACTTGATGTTGTCCTCAGCGAGGGTGAGGGTGGAGTAGGCCTTCATGGCGGTAGGCTGCTTGGTGACGGTGTTGAAGTATCGCACCGTGTTGGGGTACTTGGAGCGGAAGTTGACACCGCCGACACGGCCAAAGATGAAGCCAAGGTCGGAAGCGAGGGTCAAATCGGCAAGGGTGACACGGTGACCGACAAGGAAGGTCTTCTTCTTGAGCTCGGCCTCGACAAAGGTGAAGGCACGGTCAAGAGCGTCCCAGAGACGCTGCTCGGCAGCCTTGTTGTAGGGGATCATGTTGAGGCAGAGGAGCATGAGCTGGACACCGTTGTTGACGATTTCGTCATCGGCGAAAGAGATCCACTGCTCAACAAGAGCGGCCGACTTGGCGTCAGTACCGAGGAGCTTGGCGTTGTCGGAGATGCCAGCGACTGTTGATCACCGCAGCAACGATGTGAAATGAAAGAAACAAAGCGAGGGATGACAGTCAGTTTGAGAACCAAGCAACGACCTGATCTAGGCTGTGCTTTGCCTGCCGTGTCTATCGGGTAGTCTTTTTGTGCGTGCGAAGCAGATGAAGGGTAGTTTGCTGTGTATTATATCAGGGCATTATGCTGGAAAAAGTATCCTCGACATGGAAGATTCGGACAGGGATAACTGTAAAGATAAATCTCATCATTGTAGGCTGGGGGATCGAGGCGGGGTGTCGAGCGGAAAGCTGGACACAGCTTCGCGTCGCTGGACTCGGGACCGAATGAGACGACGATCCGACTGAGCAGAACGTCGAATATAGAGACAAAGCAGGCAAAGCAGAGACTGCAAATACTGGGTCGAAGATAGAACATACCGTAACGAGCGATGGCCTTGCCCTCGATGAGGGTGAAGCCATCAGGGCCCTTGAAGGCGGGGATCTTGCCGTAGGGGAAGAGCGCCTGGTACTCGGGCTTCTTGGTGTCGCCCTTGCTAGGCTGAGTGTCGACAATCTCGAGCTCGACGCCATTGTAGGCAGCGGCGGCGACGACGCGGTTGACCTTGAAGTGGCCGGCGTAGCCGTAAATCTGACCGATAGGAGCCATTTTGTGTGGTATATTTGTGATGAAAGGAGGGATGATTTGACGAACACGGAAAGGGTATGTGGTGAAGATGAAAGTGGATCTCAGGAGCCTGTCTTGAACGTGCTCAATGTGGCCTCGATGCAGTCACCGGCACACTGTGATCCCAAGAAGATTTTTTTTTCTGTTTCGCTTGGGCGGTCGCAGAAGACCCGTGCGGTGGCAAGGATGGAAATCGATCCAACACCATCATGAAGGAAAAATCGAATCTGGAAGAAGAAGCGAAGCCTGGAGTTGGTCTCCGACACGAGTGCGTAATTGAAGCATAGACACGGCATACACGGCGAGCAGCTCTGGCACTAATTAGCGCAACTCCTTGCAGGTGCTCGACTGGGTCTAACATGGATGAATATTCGCCTTGAACGCTCGGACCGACCCTTCAGACACTGTTGCCGCATCATGACACTCGCTGTTCCGCGCACATTCTTGACGCCCAGGATCATTCACGCGAACAAGCAAAAGACAACATAGGGAGACGAAAATAGATAGATTGGGATATGCAACCTTGAGCAGTGCCAACTGTAAACATTATGAGCGGCCGCTCACGTTGCTACATGCCGGCAATGCTCAAGTGACAAAACAGTGCGTGGCAGCTCAAAGCTCCTCGTGGTGAGGTGCCTCCTTGGCGGGCGTAGCCTGCTCGGTCTCGTTGATGGGGTCGAGGTCCACCGAGACCTTGTGCTTGCCGTTGAGGGCGATAAAATCGACAAAGCCCTCGAGCGAGCGGTCGCCGGTGAACTCGATCCAGTCCTTGCTGCCAGCTGCCTGGAACTTGATGGTGGGGAACGACTGCACCTGGAAGCCAGCCGTGGGAGGAATGTCGTTGGCAGTGGCGTCCATCTTGGCGATCAGCACCTTGTCCTTGTGGGCCTTGTACTTCTCACCCAGAGTGTCGTACGTGGGAGCGAGCTTCTTGCAGTGACCGCACCAGGGAGCGTAGAACTCGACCAGCTTGTCCTTGCTGTCATCACCAATGACGGCGTCAAACTCGTCGGCGACGAGCACGTGCACCGGTCCGTCCTGGTCCTTGGGGATGGGCTCCGACTTAACCGAGGGCTTGAGCGCACCAGCGGTGTACTGCTTCACAAAGTCGGTCACCTTGCCGACCAGGTCGCCGGAGAGGTCCTCGAGCGGGAACTTGAGGTTCTGTTCAATGTCCTGAACGGCGAAAGCGGGCCAGTCCTCGCCCTGGATGTTGAGCGATTTAGCGTGCTGCGAGTACTTGACACCGTCGATCCACACAAAGTTGAGCTTGCCCTTGTTGGCCTTGGCCAGCGTCTTGAGCGAGTCAACGTGGCTCTTGAGGTCCTTGGACTCGGGGTCAGCAAACAGGTAGGCGAGCGGCAGACCAGACTCGGCGTAGCTCATAAAGTTCTCGGCGTTGAGCTCGTCGATCAGAGGGATCGACTCGGCCTTGATAAAGTTGGTCAGGGTCTCCTCGTTGAACGTCTTGCCGTCGAACTTGACCTCGGGCTCGTCGAACTGACGGTAGACAACAAAGGCGGGAGCGGTGATGCCAGCCTCCTTGGCGACGGCAGCGTCGTTTACAACACCGAACAGGTAGTTGTCGCGCAGGCTGTCGGCGACAGCGGTGACAGCGTCGAGCGAGGTCTTGTCCGTAGCGTCGAGGTAGGCGATGGCGACGACACGGTCCTTGCCCTTGAAGTCGGCGTACGTGTCGGCGGTCAGCTCGGAGAGGGCAGGGAGAGCCTGCTTCTTCATGTACGAGACAATGCCATCGGCTTTTCGGTTGCCGTTGTAGTCCGAGGACGAACCTGTGCGGAAGATCTTGAGCGTGGGGAAGCCCTCGACGCCGTGCTCGGCGCACAGCTCGTTCTCCTCAGTGCAGTCGACCTTGGCGAGCTTGATCTTGTCGGCAAGCAGCTCAGTGGAAGCCTTCTCGTACTCGGGAGCGAGCGCCTTGCAGTGTCCGCACCACGGAGCGTAGAACTCGACGAGCATCAAAGGCTGTGATGGCAACAAAGCCAAAAGGCAAGAGCTAAGTCAGCGAATCATGCTTCACGAAGCAACGATCACGGTGTCAACATGGAGCCGACTTGAAGACTTACCTCGTTCGCTACGTTTTCGGTAAAGTTGCCCTTGCCAAGCACGAGGACGTCGGACGACGACGACGACGCCTCAGCAGACATGAAGGTGGCGGCGGTAGCCAGACCGGCCGCGATGGCAGAACGGGAGAATCGCATCCTTGAAGAGACGGAAGGGTCAGAAAGGGAGGTAAGGTGGTGATGGTAGCTAAGCAAGGTGGAACAAAGGCTGACGCAGGCAACTCAATGTACGATTGCCCCACCGGAGACAGTCCAACCGTTCGAGCAACGACACGACACACATACACACCAAACCCTGGTGCGACGTTGCAGCAAGTCGCTCGCGGGGAGCAGTGTGTGCCTCCCGTGTCTGAGAAACCGACTTTTGGCAGGACCCCGTGCGTGCGCGGAGCGGAAATGGCCACCCGCCGCGCCACTCTCAAGTGTCCAACTCTGCCCCTGCCAAAACTTCAAGAAGAAATTAACCCTGCTTGTGAAGGCTGGAGGGCGACGTGGCACCTAAAAGCGCCAGAGGGCTCGTGCTCTCGTCTCGCAATTTCCAGCTCAGATTACTGTAGAGAGAATTTCTCGGATTTTAGAGCTGTTGTCTCTGGTCTTCGGGAAGCGTGGCATCGATTTTGCATACCTTCCAGCTCATCGCCCCCGCTTCTGTTGCACAGCATGCCTGAAGCCGCACGAGACACGCAGCACGCGTAGGAATCCTGCGCCTGTGTGGCGTACGTACATTCCTCCCAGAAGAGAGACCAACACTCTTCCACTCGTCGATCCCTTGATCGTGCGTTCCTGGGCGCCACACCGGCAAGAAATGTACCGTTGCATCGGTCGAGCTCGCTGTCACTGCGACGGCGAAACGGTCGCTGCCGGATCTTCGCCGACAGTAAAGTTGGAGGTGGAAGACTTAGAAACTGGACCATGTTGTTAGATCTGCTCTTACTCTCGACCTAGCATCTGATAGAAAGGCAATTCGATTGTTAGACCCCACGCCATACGAGTCGGAGGAAAAGAAGATTTTTGGTTGGCGTACAGGATCCGATTGCGATTGTGATTGCAGCCAGCTTAAAAAAAAAGATCGCTTCTTCCGATTGGTGCACCCGTACTCACTGCGAAGTTGCTAGTTGCTAGTTGCTTGTCCTACCTATCCCAACCCGCTACCACCAGTCGCAACACCTACACGATATCACCTGCAACAATGGCGTCCTTTGAATCGTGGCAGTCGCCCCTCTCGGCGAGATACGCCTCCAAGGAGATGTCCGGGCTGTTCTCCAACGCAACCCGCTTCTCCACCTGGCGCCAGCTCTGGCTCAACCTCGCCATCGCCGAGCGCGAGCTCGGCCTCGACATTCCCGAGGAGGCCATCGAGCAGATGAAGGCCAACCTCACCCTCGACGAGCGCCAGATGGCACTCGCTGCCGAGGAGGAGAAGCGCAGGAGGCACGATGTCATGGCCCACGTCCACACATTCGGTGTCGTCGCTCCCGCAGCCGCCGGAGTCATCCACCTCGGTGCCACCTCTTGCTACGTCACCGACAACGCTGATCTCATCTTCTTGCGCAACGGTCTCGACCTGCTGCTTCCCAAGCTGGCGCTCGTCATCGAGCGATTGTCCGCTTTCGCCGAAAAGCACAAGGCTTTGCCCACCCTCGGTTTCACCCACATGCAGCCTGCCCAGCTCACCACCGTCGGCAAGCGAGCCACACTCTGGATCCAGGAGCTTCTCTGGGACTTGCGAAACATCCAACGTGCACGTGACGATCTCGGATTCCGTGGTGTCAAGGGAACCACCGGTACGCAAGCTTCTTTCCTCGCCCTCTTCGACGGCGACCACGACAAGGTTGAAGCTCTTGACGAGCGTGTTACCGAGCTCTTCGGTTTCCCCTACGCCATGCCCGTCACCGGTCAGACTTACTCGCGCAAGGTCGACGTCGACGTTCTCAACAGCCTCTCCTCCTTCTCCACCTCTGCTCTCAAGATGGCCACCGACATCCGACTCCTCTGCCACCTCAAGGAGGTCGAAGAGCCCTTCGAGAAGGATCAGATCGGATCCTCGGCTATGGCCTACAAACGCAACCCGATGCGATCCGAGCGAGTCTGTGGTCTTGCACGATGGCTCGGCAACGCGGTCAACTCTGCACGCGAGACGGCCGGCTCCCAGTGGATGGAGCGTACGCTCGACGACTCTGCCAACCGTCGCCTCTCCATCCCCGAAGCCTTCCTCACCGCCGATGTCATCCTCACCATCCTCCAAAACATCTCCGAAGGTCTCGTCGTCTACCCCGCCATCATCGCACGTCGAATCCAGAGCGAATTGCCATTCATGGCTACCGAGAACGTCATCATGGCCATGGTTCGTGCCGGTGGAGACCGACAGGAATGCCACGAACGCATCCGTGTCCTGTCACATCAAGCGGCAGCCCAGGTGAAAGAGCATGGTCTGGAAAACGATCTCATCGCTAGGATCAAAGGTGACGACTACTTTGCTCCCATCTTGGGTCAGATGGATCAGCTGTTGGATCCAAAGAGCTTCACGGGTAGAGCGGAGCAGCAGGTGGATAGCTTTTTGGCAAAATGGGTCAAGCCCGCCATCGAGCCCTACCAGAAGGCCATTCAGGGTGCTGGAAAGGCAGAACTGTCTGTGTAAGAAATTTGCTTTCCTCGTTGATATGTATAATACCGATTTCTCAAAGTCAAGCCATCACTTCCTCAAAAGGGGAAAAGTTTCTCACCGTCGATCTGTGTCAGCGACAAGTGTGAATTTCAACACCCTCGCCTCGTACATCTTGTTGCCCAAAGAGTGTTCAGAACAGCCCAAGCAAGTCGTCCTGACCGGAAGCCGCCGTCGGCCTTGCCGATGTGATCGCTGGACTCGCGGGCGAAGGCGTGATGGGCGAGCCGAACGCATTGTTGTTCGCAGGTGTAGCTTTCAACGCCTGCAACGCCTGCACTCCGCTCTGCGCACCAGGCTCCTCCGCACCCGGCGCCGCATCGAACAATCCCAACAGATCGTTCAGACCTCCACCACTGGCACCTCCTGCCGCCGACGCTACACCACCGACACCCGCTCCTCCGCTTCCATTCGTCGACATGGTCGGCGTCGAAATGCTCGTGCCCATCATCAAATCATCCAATCCAGCTAGCGCTCCCAATCCGGCACCACTAGATGCGTTGCTCGCGGGAACATCGCCATCGTCATCACCAAAGTCCAACAGATTCTCCGACTTCTGTCCCTGAACCACCGTCGCCAACGCCTTTTCCCTAGTGATATCGTCCTCCGCTTCGCCAACCTGTCCCTTGACGCCATCAGCTCCAATCCTCGCCTTACCAATGAACGTCGCCGCCGGCTTGTGGTACGCACTTGCAAGACTCGACAGCTCCGACACAAGCTCATCCAGCACCGCTGGCGGCACTGTGGTCAAAGGAATCGAAATGGGCGGTCGTGAAGCCAAGATGACGTTTCTCCCTGCAGCCGAGTCGGAGGAGGAGAGCAATCGCCAGTAGATGAATGCGCGATCGCGCAGATCTGGCGAGTCGCACTCCTTGGTCGCCTTCTCCAAGACCTGCTGTACGATCTGCTGCGCTAGACTGCTGTCCGGCTTCTTGAGGAAGGCTTTGACGATGGCGGTGAGCGTCTGGAACTGCACCTGGTACGGCTCTTCGGTGAACGAGTCGAGGAAATGCGCAAGCAAGTCTTCGGCGTTGGAGATCTTGTCTGCGTACTCGCCGAGGATCCAGATGAGCGAACCTTTAGCCTCGGGTTCGTCGAGCTCTTCGAGGTTCGAACACAGCGTCGGGATGATTCCTTCGTAGTTGTGCGGGTACTTTCGGAAGATGTCCTTGATGACCACGACGGCTTCTTGCACGACATAGCTCACCTTGGTGGCGATGAGGTCAAGCAGTACGTGGACACACCTCTCTGCAGCAGCGTCGATCTTGATGGCGCACTGGCCGATGGCGCGAATCGCCCTTCGCACGAAGTCGACATCCACCTCGGAAGCGTACTCTTTGAGCTCGGAAAGGAGCATGTCGACGTTGCGCTCGTTGGCGAGCTTGATCATGATCTCGACCTTCTCGAGCTTGACGTAGGATGGGTCGTTGTACTTGCAAAAGAAGACGCGGAGCTCGTTCTGCAAGATGTCCGGTCGCTTTTGGAGGACAAGGTTGATGTTGCGTAGAGCGACCCATTGCACTTCGGGAGCTGACGAGATGAGAGTGACCAAGGGAGGCGCCATCTTCCGTACGAGCTGCTTGATGAGTTCGTCGTTGTTGCGCACTTTGGTCATGTGGATGAGGATGACCTTGACGGCGCCGAGGACGACGCTGCCGTTTGCGTGTTGGAACTGAGGCATGACACGCTCGCAGATGTGTTCTGCTTGCTTTTCGTCTCGAGCTCGATAGCGGGCGAGCGAGTTGAGGATGGCGATGCGACCCCATTCGGTGCATTCGTTGAGCGCGATGAGCAGCTTGGTGAGCACCTCCGAGTCGATGACAAAGACGGCCGACTGACCTGATGGGTCGGTCTCGAGCGCGGTCTGGTGAATGTCTGTGAGTGCGGTGACGGCGTTTGCCACGACCATTGGATTGCTGTCGCCGACCATGTCCTTGAGCATGCCCACGAAGCCTCGATCCAATGCGAGCTCGGGCTTGAGGTCGTAGAGCTTGGCGACGCAGATGGCGGCGGTCTTGCGCACGTATGGGTTTTCGTCGCGCAACGACTTTTCGAGGGGGTCCGAGAGATAGTCGATGATCTTTTCTGCGCGCAAGCAGCCCATGGTACGGATCGCGAGAGCTCGAATGAGCGGATTTGGGTCTTCCGAGTCCTTGACAAAGGTGTTGACGGCGAGAATAACGAGCTCTGGCTGTGTCTTGGCATAGTTCATCAGGTAGAGATAGACGAGCTTCTTCTGTTCGAGATCCTCGGTCTGCATGTTTTTGAGCACATCGGGAAAGAGACCACTGACATCCTTGCCTACGGTCATGTTGGCGATGACACGCTTGATGGCATCTTTTCTGCGATCGCGATACTCGGAGTTGAGGTCGGCACGCAACTCAAAGTTCTCGCCCTTTCGGGGAGCATTGAAGAAGCGAGGTCGGCTCATGATGAGCTGTAGTGACCCACAGTAAGGGCACCTTTAGGCGGAATCAAGCTTGGAGGTACCGATCCGCAAGGAGAATTGTCGAAGAGTGGCTGCTCTTGTGACGCTGCTAGCAAGATGTTGTAGTTGCTGAGCAGGCGTGCGTGTAGGCTGTTGGGGACGCAAGCTGCCCGCGATGCTGCTGTATGATCTGTCCTGTTCGAGCAGGCGAAACAAGCTAATGATTTGGCCGAATCGGAAGGTGCCGAAAGTGTGTCGATAGTTTGCGAGACCAAAGTCAAGTTTGTCAGTGTGATCGTGTGTCGAGGTGTGACAAATGGTGTTGCGGTTGTGAGTTCTTCGTTCAGCGGGGCGTGCCCTGTGCTTCTCTGGCTGCTGTTTGTTTCGCGCTCTGCTGAAATTCGCTGCGTCACGCTCCCTCTCGGTGTTGGCTGGCTCAACCGCGAACCATCCAAACGATCTTACATCTTTCCTAAAAAGCGAAAAAGACCCTTTCAGGAGAGGGCGGGAAAAAAAGTTTGGGTTAGGTTGAAATATCTCAGCCGAGCTGCATTTCTCAGAAGAAAAATTTGGCATCCAGAGGTTCCGCTCTCTCTACCACCACGCTCATCTCACCGCAGCTGCCCATCATGCCTCGAGCAGTGTCTGCAAAGATATCCAGGCAGCATGAGCCATCAGCCGGTCTCAGACCAGGCTCGGCTCGCTCATCGTCCTCCAGCTCCAGCTCGGTCCACGCTTCCAACCAGAACTCGAGTGCCACCACCAAGAACCCCATCTTCAACACGGACAAGTTCGGTCAGCACATCCTCAAGAACCCACTCGTCGCTCAGGGTATCGTTGACAAGGCGAATCTCAAGCCCACCGATATGGTTCTCGAAGTCGGTCCGGGTACGGGCAACTTGACCGTCCGCATCCTCGAAAAGGCAAAGAAGACCACCGTCGTGGAAATGGATCCACGCATGGCTGCCGAGCTCAGCAAGCGTGTTCAAGGAAAGTGAGTAGACCAACGCAACAGCATCTACAGCATCTGCATCAGCACCAGTCTCGCATCGACGTTCGCCAAAGGAGGCCTTGTGGCGCTCTCTTTCCTCCGACCTTCCATGTGATGAACGAATTCATTTACCATCTTTCGTACGAGCCCGACTTTGCAATCGGACAATGCGGCAATTTTCCAAGATAGCTGATTCCCAGCACTACGACCTCGCAGTGCTATCGCTCGGTCGAGACGGGTCATACGGGCTGATGCACAGATGCTGTCGTGTAACCGTTTTGATCGACGAGACACTGACTCAAAACCTCCACGCTCCTGTGAAATTGTCCTGCCCATTCAGACCGGAACAACGCAAGCTCGACATCATGCTTGGCGACTTCTGCAAGACAGATCTTCCCTACTTTGACGTCTGCATCTCCAACACTCCCTATCAGATCTCTTCGCCGCTCGTCTTCAAGCTTCTCTCGCATCGTCCGCTGTTCCGATGTGCCATCCTCATGTTTCAACGGGAGTTTGCGCTCCGACTCGTCGCACGACCCGGTGATAACCTCTGGTGTCGACTCTCCGCCAACGTACAACTCTACTCGAAAGTCGATCACATCATGAAAGTCTCGCGCAACTCGTTCCGACCACCTCCGCAGGTCGAATCGAGCGTAGTGCGCATTACGCCGCTCAACCCACCCCCCGCCATTCCATTTGAAGAATTCGACGGTCTGACGCGCATCGTCTTTTCCAGACGGAACAAGACGGTTAGAGCCAGTTTCTTCGACGCAAGAGGTGTGATTGATATGCTCGAGTCCAACTACAAGACCTACTGCGCAGTGAAGGAGATCATGCCGGAGGAAGGGAGCTTTGCGGAGATGGTGAAGCAGGTGTTGGTGGATACGGGGTGTGCGGAGGATAGAGCGGCAAAGATGGACATTGACGATCTGCTAAAGTTGCTAGCTGCTTTCCATGAGAAGGGTATCCACTTTTCTTAAGTTGGCGTTGCTGTCATTGTCACCTTTCTCGCGCATCAGCGTACCTTTATACCCCCTTTCACCTTACTTGTACTTGTATCGTTCGCAACTACCCCGCAAGCATTATTCGTCTGTTTCCTCTACTTGATCACAGCCCAGTCGTGCCGATAGAGACGTGTATAGATTGCGAGACGAACGTGTTACAAATACACTTTCTCTTCGAGACGGGATGGCGGCACTAAGGACGTCCTCCACCGCTCTGGAAGCCATCTGAAGTCGAAGCTCCTCTGACTACAGGAAGTACTGACTGTTTAGTGTGACTGTTCTAGTTTGATCCGGTACGGCGTCAAAGATTTTGAAGTTGGACTGTGTCGCTTCCCATGGCTTACCTGCTCCCGCTCTCGTCCCTTCCGCACCTTCCGTCTTCGTCGCATCTGGATCGTCGTCTTTCTCGCCGTTGCCGACAAGCGCAGAGGACGAGTTCTTGCTTTCGTACGCGATCAGATCATCCACTGCAAAGATACTCGCAACGTTTCCGCATCGGTAACAGTAGTTGGGCGCAGACCATACCGTCACGATGTTGTTGTCGTGCATCAATTTGTATCCTTCCTGCACCAATTGATGCGCCCTCGCTATGAGACTCAACCCATTCACGTGGTTAAACTCCTTTGTCACTGCACCACCGAACAACCATCCTGCCCCGCGCGGTGAAACTCGCCACGTATCGATGTCGTCCGGATCACTCCACATGAGATCGCAAAAGGCTCCTTCGTGAGGCACTTCCTGCGCTCGTGCAATAATCCGAATCTGATCAAGCGTTCGGACGTCTGGGCTAAGACCACCGTGGACGCAGAGGACACGGCCGTCGATGATGGCTGCTAGGTTGAGATAGTCAAACACTTGGCAGCAGGACTTCCATACGTTGGCATTGCCGTACTTGCGCTGACATTCGTCGTAGAAGCCGTAGACTTGGGTGATTTGGCGTGACTCGTGGTTGCCGCGGAGAAGGGTGATTCGAGATGGATGTCGTGCTTTAAGCGCCATGAGGAGTGAGAATGTCTCCAAGCTGAAGTATCCTCTGTCCACAAAGTCGCCCTGTCGTGTTCCACATGAGACAAGAATGATGCGAGAAGCTGGTCAGCAAGGCAATCTTAGATGGACCGACTAAGTTGTTGAAGATGAATCAACTTACCATGAAGACGTAGGACGTATCCGGCGGCTCTCCACCGACTCTAAAAAGTTCGAGCAAGTCCCAGAACTGGCCGTGAATGTCTCCGCACACTGTGACAGGACTTGATACTGGCTGGATGTTGCTCTCCTCCATGAGAATGCCTCGGACCATCTCGCAGAGAGCCTTGATATCCGGCTCTGGCAAGTACTTGCATTGTCGAAGCTGCTCTATCCATGTATCTGGATTGCCGACCGTCATGTTGAGTGTGGCTCGGAGCGAGCAGTCTGATGCCCAGCTTCTGGTCGGTCCGAAGGATGCAGAACGCTAGCTTGTTATGAGTACGGTCGTGATATAGCTGAAGTCAACGTCAAACCGAGGCTGGAGCCCTGTGCCTGGGCCGATGATTCGATGGTATCCTTGAGCGAGCGGCGTCTCCTATCAGTTCTGCTGTAGGCTCGCTGATGAAGAGTGTAGAATGAAAGAGATGTTGCTTTCGGTGAAGACCGTTGAGTCCAAGTTTGTGAGTGTCAGGACAAATTGACGGTGATAGTGCTAGACGGTCTGTGACAACAGAGGATCAAGAGGAGAGGTTGCTAGGGAGATGATGCAATGCGGCCAATGCAGATCATCGAACCTTGTTCCCTCGAACTCTTCTGACAGCAAGAGCCGTGTGATTTGTGTATGTGTGTGTGAACTGACGCTGAGACCCCTTTTCTTTTTTGCCGAAGCGACCAGCAGAGAGCCTCTTTCCAAAGTGACGACTGCGCGTCTGGCCAGCCTTTGGCTAATCGGAATGTCCGTAGCCAGGCTCATCGGCAGATCCGCCTTCTCTTTAGGAGATGCGGAACCCGGCAATCTAAGTTTGGCGCAGCTAAAAATTCCCTAGCACACCAGCGCAGAGAGAGATCTTGCAAGAAAAACGTGAATTGATGAAAAGTTGACCGTAACACGACTTTTCTTCTTGAGCCCATTCAGCATCATCATTCCGCCTCGTACCTTCACCCTTTGTCGCTTCCTCTTCCTGCTGGCTTGACGCATCGACCCGACGATTGCGATAGTCTCAAATTACTTGCCGGCCGATCCGAATCTGTCTCGCAGTAGCACCGAGACCTTCGGCTGTTCCGTCGAAGAGCACACCTCCACTCCGACTGCCTGCAACCCTCGACACAGCCAGATTCACCTGTGCGGACTCAGCACCTACGAGAAAGTCAACGCGGAAAGTGCAGCGCTGAAGGTGACGATAGCAAAGAGTGGGCAAGTTTTCGGGCGTCATCGTAGCTAGTGTTGGTCAGAAAGAGACAACAGCCTCTCCAACACTCGGCTCACGAGGTGCGGAGCCCGGCACTGGCAGCAACAATGGTGCTTCCCTCCAGCATCGCCGAGATGGCACAAGCAGCCGGTCATCTGCCACACATGGCCTCAGATGATCCCATCGCAGCGCTCAAAGCCGCCAACTACAAGGGCAAGGGCCTGATGGACCCTATTAAGGCTGTCGAGGACAAGTGGGAGCTCGTTCCCGCGTTCCTACAGGTCAAGGGTCTCGTCAAGCAGCACATCGATTCCTACAACTACTTTGTCGACCACGATCTCAAGAACATCATAAAAGCAAACGAAAAGATCACATCGGACATCGATCCAAAGTTCTACCTCAAGTACACCGATATTACCGTAGGAGAGCCACGTAGATACGACGGCGACGCAGTGCAACGGCCCATAACGCCACACGAATGTCGACTTCGAGACATCACCTATTCAGCACATATCTTTGTCAACATCGAGTACACTCGAGGAGGCAAGATCATTCGTCGCAAGAATGTTGCCATCGGGCGCATCCCTGTCATGCTTCGCAGCAACAAGTGTGTCCTCGCGAACAAGTCGGAAAAGGAGCTCGCAAAGATGAGCGAGTGTCCGTTGGATCCAGGAGGATACTTTGTCGTGAAGGGCACGGAAAAGGTCATCCTCGTTCAAGAACAGCTCAGCAAGAACAGAATCATCGTCGAGGCCGACACCAAGAAGGGCACCGTATCAGCGTCCGTCACCTCATCGACCCACGAGCGCAAGTCCAAGTCCTACGTCCTCACCAAACATGGCAAGATCTACCTTAAGCACAACTCACTGCACGAAGACATTCCAATCGCCATCGCCTTCAAAGCCATGGGCATCCAAGCCGACCGCGAGATCCTGCAGCTCGTCGCAGGCCATGACGACGTCCACAAGGAGCTCTTCGCTATTAACCTCGAAGAGGCTGCTCGTCTGGGCATCTACACTCGCAAACAAGCACTCGACTACGTCGGCTCCCGGGCCAAGGCGTCACGCAAGCCGCTCTCGATGCGACGTCCCCTCTCAGAAGAAGCTCTCGACGTCTTGGCTACCGTCATCATGGCTCACGTACCCGTTGAAAGGCTCAATTTCCGTCCAAAGGCCATCTACATCGCCTCCATGGTGCGTAGAGTACTCATGGCCATGCATGACGAGAAGAAGGTCGACGACCGTGACTATGTCGGAAATAAGAGGCTCGAGCTGGCTGGTCAGCTGCTGGCGCTTCTGTTTGAGGACCTCTTCAAGAAGTTCAACTCGGACCTCAAGATCAACATCGACAAGGTGCTCAAGAAGCCTAACCGAACCGTGGAGTTCGACGCGTTCAACCAGTTCAGTTTCAACGGCGACTACATCACATCGGGCTTCGTGCGCGCCATCTCCACAGGCAACTGGAGCTTGAAGCGTTTCAAGATGGAGCGTGCCGGTGTCACCCACGTGCTCAGCCGTCTTTCGTTCATCGCCGCTTTGGGCATGATGACCAGGATCAGCTCGCAGTTCGAAAAGACCAGAAAGGTATCGGGCCCGCGTGCTCTTCAGCCATCACAGTGGGGCATGCTGTGCCCCTCGGATACTCCAGAAGGTGAGGCCTGCGGTCTCGTCAAGAACCTGGCACTCACAACCCATATCACCACCGACGTCGAAGAGGCACCCATCGCCCGCATCTCCTTCATCCTTGGCGTCGAAGATATCCACCTCTTGACCGGTGCCGAACTCTACCGTCCGGATTCCTACGTCGTGTTCTTGAACGGTAACGTTCTCGGCGTCACGCGCTTCCCACAGCGCTTCGTGCTTCACTTCCGCCGTCTCCGTCGCGCAGGGCGCATCTCCGAGTTCGTCTCCATCTACACCAACCATCATCACCAGACCGTCTACATCGCCTCGGACGGCGGTCGCATCTGTCGTCCGCTCATCATTGTCGACCCAGTCACAGGCCAACCCCGTGTCACCGAATCCCACATGCACCAGCTCAAGTCCGGCGCCCGTCGCTTCGACGACTTCCTCCACAACGGATTGATTGAATACGTCGACGTGAACGAGGAGAATGACGCGCATATCGCACTCTACGAACGCGAAATAAAACCATCCATCACGACCCATCTCGAGATCGAACCATTCACCATACTTGGGGCCGTCGCTGGCCTCATTCCATACCCTCATCACAACCAGAGTCCTAGAAATACTTAGTCGAGTATTAGCCCCTTCTCCCTCCTTTGCGTTCTCCGAAGCCGTCACTAACCTATAGTTCTTATCCCCCGCCTTTTGGACCATTTTTGGTCGAATACAGTCAGTGCGCGATGGGAAAGCAAGGGCAAGGAGCCATCGGATACAACCAACTTGTTCGCATCGATACCCTCCTCTACCTCCTGTTGTACCCTCAGCAGCCCCTCGTCAAGACCAAGACCATCGAACTCATCGGTTACGACAAGCTTCCGGCCGGCAACAATGCCATTATTGGTGTCATGTCTTTCTCTGGCTACGACATTGAAGACGCCCTGGTGCTGAACAAGGCTTCGTTGGATCGAGGATACGGTCGCAGCCAGACCATGAAGAAATCCTCGACGGTAATTCGAAAGTACCCGAACGGCACGCACGACAGATTGGCGGATGCGCCGGTCGATGACAGTACGGGCAAGCGACAGAAGCGATACGATATTCTGGAGGCCGACGGCATTGCAGGTGTCGGTGAGAGGGTCGAGCAGGGAGATGTCTATGTCAACAAGCAGACACCCGTCAATGCCAACGACAACTCGTCGGCGGCCATTATGGTCGGGGCTTCCAACGCTGCAGCATCGGTGGCGTACAAGTCGGCACCTCTGTCGTACAAACCGCCCGTATCGGGTTATGTCGACCAAGTGCTCATCACCGACACCGACAACGACCAGACTCTGATCAAGGCGCTGATCCGCCAGACGCGGCGACCCGAACTCGGTGACAAGTTCTCCTCACGACACGGACAGAAAGGGGTGTGTGGTTTGATTGTCAATCAAGAGGATATGCCTTTCAACGATCAAGGTATCACTCCGGACATGATCATGAACCCGCACGGATTCCCTTCACGTATGACAGTGGGCAAGATGATCGAACTGCTGTCCGGTAAGGCCGGCGTCATCTCTGGAACGCTCCAGTACGGAACTGCGTTTGGCGGATCGAAAGTCGAGGACATGTCGAAGATCCTCGTTGAGAACGGCTACAACTACGGTGGCAAGGAAACGCTTACATCAGGAATCACCGGTGAACCGCTCGAATGTTACGTCTACTTTGGACCCATCTACTACCAACGCCTCAAGCACATGGTGCAAGATAAGATGCATGCACGCGCACGTGGACCACGAGCCGTTCTAACACGACAACCTACCGAAGGTCGATCAAGAGACGGTGGATTGCGACTGGGAGAGATGGAGAGGGACTGTCTGATCGGCTACGGAGCAACACAGCTGCTGCTGGAAAGACTGATGATCAGTTCGGATGCCTTCACGGTGCACGCCTGTCAGAAGTGTGGATTGATGGGATACAACGGATTCTGCCCGTACTGCAGCAGCAGCAAGCACGTGGTTCAGCTGACCATCCCGTACGGCACCAAGCTGATGTTGCAGGAGCTGATGGCTATGCAGGTCGTGCCTAGGTTGATTTTGGAGGACGCTGTGTAAGGGCAACGAGTCGCTGTCACATAACCCACTTCTGTCGTCACTGTCATTCACTGCAATCCACAATCCCACACCACAAGAGAGGCAGAGACACGCGACAAACACTTTGAACTTTGGCGATTGGTCGCTTTCGATTGGCGTGTCATTTGAGAACACCCGACGAATCGGTTTGCAGATTCACGACTTGTCACACGACGCGCCCCGACCCTTTTCGTCGCTTCGTTACTTTCAATCCACAAAGACGCATTCTCAGCACGCCAGACACACCGTCACCGATCAGCAGCAACTGACAGCGTCGCAATTGCAAACATCACTTGCTCATTTGCGTTCAAAATAAGCCCATTTCTCTGAGGAATCTGTCGAACGATAGCTCCGCCATCTTGGGCAACTCCTTGACCGCCTCGACCAACTCGGGCAGATACGGATGGTCACCCCCCCTGAAGCGCTTAAAGATGTCCAGGTACTTGTGCAGGATAGCCTCGATCGCATAAGATGGCGAGAAAGCTTTATCCAGGGGTACAAGATTGCTCGAGGTAGCCGAGGGGTGATCAGTCGATGTGTCAATCTGCGGAGATTGGTGGTGTTGGCTTCCTCCACCACTGTGCGCGGAGGCGTCCGGTGGAGATGGTCCAAAGTAGGGACCGAACAGCGTAGGGTCGGTCTTGATGGGATCGCCTTCGAAGGGCACGGACATGGCGATGGCGGGGTAGTCTCGACAAACGATGACGAGCGTTTGCGCGATATCGTTGAGCTTGCGCGTGAGACCGATGCCGTGTGCTTCCATGGAGCGAAGCGAGAGCGAGTTGCAGACCCGGAGTGTCTCGCGGGCAATGTCGATGGCGTAATCGATTCGAAGTGGTTCTTCGGTCGCATCGGCGGTGAGGAGCGAGTGAGAGCGACAAGTCATCCACAGCCTGTTGAGCAGCCACTGTCGTGTCACTTCCACGTCGGCTTTCTGCACTTTGCTCTTGTCCCAATCCGACTTGCTGCCGTGGCCACTGCCAGCCGATGAGTCCTCCATCTTGGTCGGGTGTCCGCCGTAGGGATGGTGCCTGCGTCCATCGTACACGTTGTCGCGCCTCGACGGTCCGCTGGGATGCTCTCGGCGGAACGACTCTTTCTCCTTCTGCTCGTCCTCATCGCTCTCCTTGATAGCGCGGTGCAGCTGAACAGCCCTGTTTGCGTCCAGATAGTCGCAGCCGGGACCAGGGCATTTGCGATTCCAACAGTCGACAAACTTCTCGTCGACCACATCAAAGAGTCGACTCTGCAGGTTGGGAAAGTCCTGCAGCTGGTAGACGTCGAATTTGCGTCGGATCGAGTCGGTCGCCTTGCGCGGGTTGCCCCTGAACGTGATCGAAGAGCCAGACTGGATGGCGTAGGCACGTTCCGTGATGGCAAGCAGGAGGTATGCACGGAGACGACGTTCCTGCTCGTCCTTGTCCAGATGCTCGTAGGACGATGTTTCGTGAATGCGCAGCAAGTATCCGAGGGTGACTGCCTCGCGCAGGCGGAACCACGCCGCATTCTCCTCGCCGAGTCCGAACAGCGTACCAAAGATGAAGAAGGATGCCATGATGGCCTCGAGCGACGGGTGACTACCGAGGAGCGCACTGTTGCGCATCTTGACCGACTCTTCGAGCAGCCGACGGACCCTGCGCTTGCGAGAGGAGCTGTCGACGGGATCGGCCGAGTCGACAGGCTGGCACAGTGCGAAAGCGGAGAGCGCAATGAGCATGGCTCCGAGCTGCGGATCCGTGCGGTGCTCTCCACGGTCGATCTTGCCAAAGACCCAAGCTCGAGTGAAGACGGGCATGATGGACTGGAGGCGTTCAAAGAAGATGGCGATGCTTGGGATGAGCACAGAGTCGGACAAAGGATGAGGCTCGTTGCTGGCGAGCTCGGCTTCGGAATGAGTGACGGAGCCTGGCGTCGAGGTGTTCCCACCGAACATCTGACTGTTTTGACCAAGTACGTCGAGGAAGGTCCTCGCCTGGTTGACCCCGTTGCCGTGAGAATTGTACGAGTTGTCAAAGTTGTTTGTGCCACTGGTCGCGCCGTTGATTTGATTTCCCGAGGCATCCACAAGGAACGCTCCTGCATTCATGTCCAACAGAACACTACGTCGACGTTCGCCGCCCTCTTGCGGATTGAGATACGAGTCAGCGAGCGAAGTGCCAAAATCGGGCAGACGAAGGCCTGCGGCCACATCTGGCGCCAGTCCGGAGAGGGAGCCTCCGAGACCCTCAGAGAAGCTCTCGGAGGGGGCAAAGCCATGATTGGAGTTGCCTGGACCATTGGTGCCCTGGCTGGCATTGGAAGGATGGCGCTGAGGAGGCGGCGGATGCGCTGCGGAGGCGTAATGAGGCGGCACCTGTGGATACTGCTGGTGGGGAGGGTAAGTATGTGACGATAAGTGCTGCGGGTATGAAGGGTGCGGGTGATTATGGAGGCTGTTGGACGAATGCGCATGGTGCGAGGTAGGAGGGTATTCTTGCTGTGCATATGCGCCGTGCGATGGGTATCGATTGGCAGGGGAGCGCGATGTAGGGCTCGACCAGTGCGAAGAAGGAGATGGCTGCTGTGCTGGCACAGCGGAGTTGGCATGCGCGACAGGGTCGAATCTGCTGTGAGCACCGGCTCCGAAGGAAGTCCTGTTGGCTGCATCACGAGAGTAGAGGCTCGAAGGTAGTGCGGAAGAAGGAGACGCCGCACTCGCAGGCTGTCCCGGTGGACTCATGGCAGAAGGTCCAAGGTTTGGTGGTGCATAGTGACGCGGTGAGCGCGCAGAGTGCTGGCCGTGCCCAGGTGGCGGGAGGATGATCCGCGAGCCCGATGGACTCGGTGCCGTTATGGGAGAATGCTCGGTCGGTGGCCTTTGGTTGGGTGGGGATGGAGTAAGCTCGGAAGCGGCGGGGTTGTGACCTTTGCGGAGCAAGTCGATGCGTCGACCTGAAGCCTGTTTGCCTTTTGACGCCTTGATCCAGGTGCAATTGATGTTGAGTCGGATGCAGTTGTCACAGGGATTGTTGTGATTGCATCGGACACGACGATGGTGGCAAGCGTCGCATGCACGCAGAACCTTCTTTGGTTTGCCCTTGCCATCGTCATCATCCCTCGAAACATCACCGCGTTGTGCTTTTGCGTCGTGTTTCGGCATTGTCAGGGAAGCCGCCCACAGTTGCTGCTGAATTGGTGACTACGTCGAAGGCCTTGGCGACGGAGGAGAATCGGCGCAGCCGAACAAGTGAGAAATCGAAGGCAGCACTCCAGCGCAGATGGCGTAGACTCGATCGCAATTTCCCGTGTGACGTCCGCTAGCAGAGCAGTTGTTCTCGAAATATCAGAGAAGCTGACGGCGACACGACTGCGGGCACAAGATCGGAAATGTCCGAAACAATGCGAGGCTTACGAACAATCGTCGGTCGGCTGTCGGCGATGTGGTCGGATGGCGGTCCGAAAAGGTGGCTTGGAATCGTTTCGGCAGCGGAATACGCCGGTCTGATTCGGCTTTGTGCGATAAAGTCACAATGTGTGATGCTGAGGAGGCGGCAGTGCTGCGCGTCAACTTGTATGCCTTGCCTGCCGCTGTGCGGTGGTACCGACGGAACCCCACAGCCAGATATGTGTTGATGCAGCGGCTACGACGAAGCGCTCACGAGTGAGCTTGTGAAGGTAGGGATCTCCTGGCCGTCTCTTGCAGCTTCGAATGCGAGGGAAGCGGTGATGGTCGGAGAAAAAGGTGGGGAAAGGGATGCGAGCTGCGACCGAGATGGGATGGCCTTAGGCGAAGTTAGGGTGCTGCCGTCAAAATATCGTGCGGGGGAAGACGCAAGAGCCAGCCGATGTAGGACCGAAGCGGATGCCGAACCAGCAGCTGAATCGCAACAGCAGAACGGCACAATGGCCGCACTGCAGAATCAACGGCCCAATTTCCGAGAATGAAGTCGCGCTGCGCCAAGCAGGACCTCTCGCGCACAACTCCTGATGTTCTGCGCAGCCGCCTCACGTCTTTTGCAGATTTCATATCGCCGATTTTCAGCCCTGATTCTCACGATGCGATTTCAATTGGCCCACAGACGCGGTCTCGCACAGTCCGCTTTTCTGCAGAGAGCCAGCGGCTTGTCCGAGAAGAACACTTGAAGCTCTCGAATTGCTACCGATGTTCGCACGAGCTGGACACTTCGCCCGGCAAGTACAGCCTGGACTATTGGCTCAGGATACCGTCGTCCTCCCACCACCTTCTTCTGACATTCGACCGACCCGCAAGATATACACTCAGCAATCACCTAGCACTCACATAGCGCAGGAGGGAGCTTTGTGAACCATCATGCGTGCCTGGCCGACTTCATCAGGTCGGCGCAGCGGCTTGGACCGCATGGCCGCATTCACTTTGCTCGTCTCACTTTTGACGTTGCTATTGGGTGCGCATACAACATCTGCCTTATCAAGAGCAGAGGCAGGCAAGATCGACTGGCACGTCCCTCGTATGGGCGTGCCCCACTCCTCAAACGACTCTGCTACGCCCTACCTCTCGCCCCGCTTCCACCGCATCATCAAGCCTGACGCCGACGCCAAAGACAAAGCTCAGACCGCCATCTTCATCGCCACTGAGTCCAATGCTGTCGGCGCGCTCAATCCAAGAAATGGCGCTATCGTCTGGCGTCAAGTCCTCGAGGGCCACGATCAACTCCTACTCCAGAAGCAGTACGGAGAGGTCGCCCTCGCCATTTCCGGCAACGGTGGCGCCAACGTCCGTCTCTACCGCGGCTTCACAGGATTTCTCATCTGGGAATCGGTTCAGCACAGCATTCGGGACGGCTTGATCCCCGAGCCGGGCTTCCCCGCCACCGACGCCGTCTTTTTGACCGACAACGCAAAGAGCGATGTTCCCCCCGACGTCGTCGTGCTCTCCAACGCACGCACCGTTCGTCGCCTCGACGGAGCCTTTGGCGCTGAAGTGTGGAAATGGGAGCCTCAAGATGACATCTCGCGCCGTTCTGTCATCCGTGTCGTGGCCAACAAGGACAAGCTCTATGTTGTTTCGCTTCTGCGCAACACCAACTCGGTTTACAACTCCATCTCGGTCGCCACCCTCTCGGCCCACACGGGCGATCTCATCACCACCCACGAGATCCCATCCGGTCTCAACACGGCTGCTGACGTCGTCATCTTGCCCTGGAACCAGCTGCCAAACTTGCCTCCAACTGCCAATCCGGGCTCCTGGGTTGCCTGGCTGAACAAGGACGGAAGCGTCAGGGCCGCCCCCCTCGACCCGCCTAGCAAGCGATTCGCCCAGCCTCAAGTCATCTACGCCAAGCGTTCCGATTCCGTCTTCACAGGCCTCGTCGATGTTGGTCTCTCCAACAAGGGTCTCTTTGTCGGTCAACGCTCTGACGGGCTTGCAGAGGTGCTCAAGGTCTCGGCAGATGCCAAATTCACTAGCTTCTGGGAGTTCGAAGAGGATGCCTACGATGCCGTCTACGCTGGAACGTACGACCGACAGGGTAATGCCTTCCTCCAGCGAATCTTCTTCTCGCGATCCCAGCATCTGCTCAACTTCCACTTCCTGTGGGCCGATGCCAAGAACGGAGGCGATGGACAAGTCAGCGGATTCTCGTTCCAATGGGACCACGACATGCACGGCAACATCCATGCTGCCACATTCGAGGCCAGCCAGATCGGACAGTACCAGTTGGCTAGCCGAACCGTGCTCGTCACCTCGAGTGGTTCCGTCCGCATGCTATTGGATGACCAGCACCAGTGGATCCTCGAAGAGGGCCTTACCCAGACAACTCACGCTGCCTTCATCGACCTCCCAGAGAAGAAGCTCACTGCCATCTCTGGCGGGGCTGCCAGCTTGGACCACGAAGGTTTCGTCAACCGTCTCGTTCGCCACGCGCTTTCGCTCAAAGACTTGCCGCATTACACTGTCGCCTTTGTCAAGCGCTTCGCCACCGGGTCCTATGGTAGCCTTGAGCAACTTGGCACGGCAGACTCGGCAACGGCTGCGGCTGCTGCCAGTTCTGCTTCTGCTGCTGCAACTACGACCATGGTCAAGCAAGGGAACAAGCCAGCCAAAAAGAAGACAGAGCAGGAAAAGAAGCCAACTTCGTTGGCGCCGCGTGTGGCCGACGCCAACACCACCTCGACGCTCTTCCGTGATCCTTTCGGCTTCCGCAAGGTCATCGTGGTCGCCACAGCCAAGGGCAAGCTGTACGCACTCGACACGATCGCTAAGGACACTGTAGTCTGGGAAAAGTCGCTCATCGGATACGGCGACGGCGAGGGCGAGCCAGAACCTACGGTCAACATCAAGCTGATGCAGACCGTTCGCGAGCTCTCGACCGACGGCAAGAGTCCTCTCTTGGCCATCGTCGCCGAGGTCGAACTCCAGCCTGGGCTCTTCACCACCCGTGTATTTGAACTCAACCCGCTCACGGGAGAGTTCCTCAACGATGCCTCGTCCGGCCAGACCGTCTTCGTCGGTCGATGTCAGGATGCCTTCCTGCTGCCACAGTCGGTCGATGATCCCGTGGAGAAGCAGCAGTCGCTCGGCCTTGTGGATCAGCACAACAACCTCTTTCTGTTCCCCGACACGCTTGCGGTGGCTGAACGCTTCGAGCCACTCTCGAACCGCTTCTTCTTCTCCGTGCAGAAGCCTGCCACCTCGGCTACCGCTTCTTCGCGCTTCGTCGGCTATGCCGTTGCAAAAGGCGTGAGCAGCGTTCACAAGTCGCAGCAAATCTGGTCTTGGGCCGTTCCGGCGGGTGAGCAGGTCGTTGAAGTGCTGCACGCTTCGAGCAAGGACGTGATCGCTTCGTTTGGACGCGTGCTGGGCGATCGATCGACGCTTTACAAGTATCTCAACCCTCATGCCTCGCTCGTTGTGACCAAGAGTGAAGCCGTCAACCAGGCGCATCTGTACCTGTTGGACACTGTCACGGGAAGCGTATTGTACGAGCTTCAGCTGGATGAAGTGGATCTGGCGCAGCCGGTGCGCGCGCACCTGGTCGAGAACTGGATCACTGCCACCTATTCGGTTCGCAATGCGGACGAAGGACTCTCGACGCACATCGTCACCGTCGAGCTATACGAGCAGCCCGAGAGCACCGACGATTCGGCCGCCACCAAACCAGCCACCCGACGCCTCTCGTCATCCTGGAGCGGTCTCACGGGCAACTTCAGCAGCTTCACCGGCGACAGCAGCGACTCGACCACCCACTCCATCCTACCGCTCGCCTTCATGCACACCTTCCTCTACTCGGGCGGCACCGTCCACGCCCTCGCCACCACCACCACCAAGTTCGGCATCTCGCTCAAGAACCTCCTCCTCGCCACCGACCGGGAAGCCGTCGTCTCCCTCCCCCGCAAACTCCTCGATCCGCGTCGTCCCACCGCCAAACCTAACAAAGCCGAGGCCGAAGAACTCCTCGTACCTTACACCCCGCTCATCCCCGAAGACCCCAAGTGGATCCTCAATCACATCTACCCCGCCGCCAACATCCGTCACATCACCACCGGTCCTGCTCTCCTCGAAAGCACCTCCACCGTCTACGCTTACGGTCTGGATACCTTGGTCACACGTACAAGTCCCAGCGGCCAGTTCGACGTGCTCCAGGAAAGCTTTAACAAGCCACAGCTGCTACTGACGTTGGTGATCCTGTCGGTGGGGATCATGGTGACTAGACCTATGGTCAGGAATAAGAACCTCTCGCTTCGATGGTAGATTCTGGAAGAAGAAATCCATTAAAAACCGCTACAAATACAATAAGTTCCACTCCACATCTTCGCATGCTACGCTTTGTCCTGTTGGGCATATCTCTCCTCCAACTCCTGTCTCAACCTCTCGACCTGCTGGGTCGCTTCATCCAACTGAGCGGTGAGATCGCCCATAGCTTGATCCATGAGCAACTTTTCCAGTGTCCACTTTTCGATGTTGCTCGCCTCGTTGTGTTTGAGATCCTGAATGTAGCGAACGGCAGCGTGAATGATGGCACCCTTGTTGGTGTTTTTGGCGTCGCAGCCGGGGACGATGTGGGAGAGTTGGACGATGCCGTCGTTGATGGCTGATCGACGACGACGTTCTACCTCCTTGTGATTGTCTTTGCGTTGACGATCTAGTTCGGGACCTCTGGAACGTTTGATGCCGCGGTTGGGTGAGTCGCCGTTAGTGGGGGAGTCGTAATCCATCGAGTCCTCTGCATCGTCCTGTTGTGCCGAGTTGGATGCAGCGAGTGAGCCGAGGCTAGCGAGAGCAGCTGCGGTGGCATTGTCCGTGGCAGACTTCACCGCTGCGATAGTGGCAGAGTCCAGATCTTTGGACTCTTCGTAACCAGGTGGAGGAGGTGCGTCGCCCAGATCTTTGGCCGCCGCCTCCGTACCCAAGTTGGTCCTGTCGTTCCCTGGTGTGCGCTTGAATCCGGAAGCGATGCTGGTCAATGCACTCGCTGCCTGCCCGAGGCCGAGGGGAAGATTGGAGCCTTCTGCAAAGCTCTCGCCGGGTGCAGCCCCATCGCCGTTGCGTGCTTCGGATGCGCGAGCTGCTGCTACGATGGAAGCGAGCTGCTCCTGATTGAGACCCGCGAGAATATTGGATACATCGCGCTCGATGTGGTCGCGTTCAGCCGGGTCGGTGCTGGATTCCAGTGCTGCCGCTGCTGCTGCAGCGGCCGTGGCGGAGCCTGCTTCGCCACGAGTGGCAGTGTCTGATGGTGGAGCTGGTGCGGACGATTCGCTCGGAAGTTGCTCGTTGGTCGGAGCTGTATCTGCTGTTGCTGACATGGCGAAGGCCGGTGGATGATGATGTTGTTCAGAGGGTATGATCGCGCCAAAGGGGCGACGGTGCGGGCCTTTGATCGAACAGAGATGGCGTCGTTGACACAAGATTCCACGCTACGTTTCAGAAATGCTCCTCAGCCTGTGTTGCATGCACTACTCTTAGATGATGATGATGACCAGCAGTATTCGACGCGTCGATCGAATCCTACGCGGGCTACGGTGGCCAGTGAGCGTCGTGTCAGCAGTCGAGGGTAATGCCGGCTCGATTCGGACGGTGGCGAAGGAGGTGGGGAAGTGTTGGACTCGAGAAGATATGCAGGGTGTAGGTGTCGATCTCGTTCTCGCGTTGCGTCGCGTAGAGCGGTGGCTGGGGGCAATATTCGAAAAGCAGGTCACGGGATGATGGTGGCATGGCGAGCAGGTCACGTTTTCCTTTTGGCCTACTCGTCCTTCTTTCGATCCCCATCGCAGTCAGTCGTCTCAGCCAGCTCCCCGATTCTCTTTCTATTTTGGTCCGGGCTGCCATGAGAAAAGACGAAATTCAACAGAGCATTGCTAGCCGAAATATATCGTGCGAAACGCGCCCACAAATCCGTGTTCCTGCAGCTCCATTCTCCACGGCAGCGCCTACTCGAGTCGCAAAGACACACAGATACACACGAGTTTGATGTATATTGTCACCGTCCAGAGTAGCCAGTCAGAGTCTGAGCAACAACAGCTAGTCATCGTAGGCAATGGATGATGCGGCTCAGGCCAGGGGAGCGAGGACGCGCAAGCCAGAGCGGGTCAGCCAACGATGGGAAAAGAAAGAGCGGCGATTCTGCCTCATCGCTTGAGCGAGATATCAGAGGTGGCCAATGGGTTCAACAACTGAAGTAATTTGATTGACCTGAATACAAACTCTGCAGACTTCATTTCAAATCGATCAACCTCAACCCTAGAACGGGAAAAACTTTTCTGGTTATTTTTTGGTCTACCACGGTCCGCGTTGCAGAGCGCGAAGTTGCTGTGTGTGAAGAAAAGCGTAAATTTGGAAGAAAGTAAAGACGAGAGACGTTTGACGGTGGCACGACAGAGCAAAATTGCCTGAGCGTCAGGGAGACAGAGAAAAAGCAGATCTTCTCGAACGACTCACAGACTGAGGCACACAGACACACACAGAGCCACAGCGCCAGATAAGTTAGCCTTAGACTTGTACTTTTTCACTCGTCAGACACTGAGAGCAGCACTGCCGCAGACGTTTGAGGCTATTGCAAAGCAAGCAAGCAAGCACGATCACTTTTTCACGAACCTGTCACCTTCTCTCTACTACCACCTACCCACCTGTAGATCAATCAGTCAAAATGGTACGTTGATCGCAGCATTCGCATAGGGCACCGTCCATCTGTCAAGGCCACTAGGCTACGATCACCGCAATCGAGTTTGGACAAGTCCTGGCATATTCGTCGAATCGCACCGTGGTTGATCGCTCGATGGCGGGAGCGACATATACGGGTCATGCAACCTCTAGAACGATACTTGCCGGTCCTCTCGTAGCGGCGCCGCATGGATGACGGCAGCGTCTTGTCGCGATTGTTCTACCTCGTCTGCACGCAATTCCGCTAACCTCGTCTTCTTTCTCTACACCCCTTTGCTAACAATCGTACAGTCCGCCTCCGACGACGAGCAGCACAACGCTACCTTCGAGACCGCCGATGCCGGCTCCTCGCTCACCTTCCCTATGCAGTGCTCTGCTCTGCGTAAGAACGGTCACGTCGTCATCAAGGGCCGTCCCTGCAAGGTAAGTTTTCTCATCTTTTCGGTGGCAGACATCGAGGCAGCTACACGTGGCAAGTGCACTTTCGTTCTCATCAGCGAGCATCATGGTCGCTTGATGGCTTGCATGGTCGACAACCAATCGAGAAATATCGGTGGCAGTTTGGCGAGCTGGCGCGAGCTCCATCGCAAGCATCGTTGCATCTCGAGCCTGTCAATTCCGTTTGGCACATCGATACGCTTCCATCTCCATGCACGCAACCCTCACCGCCGCCCCTTTCGAGTGTCCGACGAGCGATGTTCTATTCCACACGCCTAGCTGCGCCATCAATACTGCCCTTCACGTCAGTTGCAGATCGACTGACCAGGTTCATCTGTCCTTCTTATCTCACTTTACTCCTCAATAGATCGTCGACATGTCCACCTCCAAGACCGGTAAGCACGGTCACGCCAAGGTCCACCTGGTCGCCGTCGACATCTTCACCACCAAGAAGTACGAAGACATCTCGCCCTCGACCCACAACATGGATGTCCCCAACGTCAAGCGTGAGGAGTACCAGCTCGTCAACGTTGACGACGGTTTCCTCAACCTCATGACCAACGACGGTGACACCAAGGACGACGTCCGCGTCCCCGACGGTGAGCTCGGTGAGCAGATCCAGGCCGCCTTCGACGACGGCAAGGACCTCATGGTCACTGTTGTCTCGGCCATGGGCGAGGAGCACTGCCTCTCGTTCAAGGACGCTCCCCAGGGCAAGTAAACTTTCAAAATTATTGCAGCAATGTGATCTTCGTAGCCGCTCTCAACCCCAATGAGGCGAGCTCTGCATTGTCTTTTTTTTGGATTCTTTCGAACCAATCGTATTGCAATTCCTACATCAGCTGGTTTGACCTTGGCATCGTTACAAGTGTGTCTTGGTTGATACAGTACGTATATGTCTGATTGTACAGCATGTGAGAGAGAAAGACCTGAGCAGTGAGAACGTGGATGAATGAAACATTGGGTAATCGATACAGTCCCGTGAACAGAAGAGCCAAAGATAGATGGAGCCCAAGAGCGAAAAAAATGTCCGATGATGTGCCTTGCAAGTGCATGTTAGACGCTGTAGTGATAGGTAACGTTGGGATAGGAGCCTTGAGCGTAGGCGCTGTGAGTATGGGCGCTGTGAGGATAGGCGTCGTTGGCGTAGGCGGCGTTGGGAAGTGGTGCCGAGGAAGTGAATTGCAGAAATTGGAGCTGCTGCTGCTGCGAAATTTCGGGCTGCTGCTGAAAAGGCTGCTCGCAATGATCGAAGTTTCTTGCTTGCATTGCCATCCAATTGACGTTAGGATGAGACTGCGACATGTTAGGATCGTAAGCCGAGTTGATGAACGACGACGAAGGGTAAGGCGGATAGCACGAGATTTGCGGTGACGTTCTGATCTGATGCATCGGCTGAACAGGGATCTTTTGGTCGGCGAAGAATCCCTGTTGGTGAGGCACTGCGTGGGCAGGAACGGCAGTCTGGTCGGGAAACCCCCAGGCGAGGGCTTGAGAGAGGTCCTGGCGCGTGGCGCGGTCAACGGGGGTCAGCGGATCAGCCGACGAAAGGGAAGTGTCGGAACCAGAGGGGCTTTCGTCAGAGGAGGGCCAGTCAGCACCGACTGGCGTGACACTGCACTGCTGCCCGACTGCAGAGACAGGCTGCTGCGACTCGAATCGCAGGTCAGCCACGGAACTTTGCTGTTGCGTGAGCTGCTCCAAGTCCCTCTCCGCCTTTCGCCTTTCCTGCCTCGCCCTCTTTTTCGCGTATACACGCGCATTATCTTCCCACGGCACGTTCTGAAACACGCAGACTATGCCTTTGCCTTTGCCTTTGCCTTTGCCTTTGCCTTTGCCTTTGTTTCTCCTTTTCTTATGAAAGCATTCTTTACAATCAGGCCCACTATCTCGCGGTTCGCATCTCTTCTTCCTGTTTGTGCGAAGGCAAAGATACAGGTTAGTTTTGAAGATCCATGGCGACGCTTAACAGAAACGGAAGAACTTACGCATCGCGGCAGGGGACGCATGCTTGATGTGCTCGTTCCTTCTTGAGCTTAGCAGGTCGAGACGGCGTGACGCGACCGTGCGACGAGGACGATTCCGGTGGGTACGCGTGGCTCGAGGGATTTCGCGGCCAAACTGACCCCGAGCCCGAGCCCTGAGCAATCTGGCCGGAGAAATCGGCTGTGAACTTCAGTTTCGTCATTTCGAGTAGAGAGGAGGATGAGCTTCGGGGGGGAGAGGATGGGGCTCTTTCCGCACTTACCCCGCTCAAGTGGCTCCTTATATTCGGTCCGCATCAAAGTCGACTCTGCAGCAACGAGGAGGGCCGGTTTTGATTTTTTTCCCAAGCCTCTCGCTACGCACTAACTTTTCAGCCTCAAAAATTGCAGACGGTCCCGATGTAAGCGACGTGCAGCATGCAGAGTACGCGATCGAGAAGGCTTGGCCGAGCCGCTCCTTGATACGAGAGGTGAGACTCGGTGTTGCCTCCCTGCAGCTTCGCTTCTCCGCTCTAAGCCGGCAGCTGTCTGAATTGGGAAATTGACCAATGAGAAAACTGCGATCCAAAGCTCTTGCCCATGTGACGATGCCGATGGTCTCTGTGTCACGTCAAACAGTCCGGAAATGCCGTCCTTCCGACGCAGTGGAACGCTCTCAGGGAAGACGCTGGACTGGATGAGGCGGAAATCTTATCTGGCTAGTCTTATTTCTTAAGCAAAATTCCGGTTCAGCCATCATCGCAGCCCGCCACTGCCGCTGTTGCGGCGCTCCGAACTCGATCTCTGACCATCCGCCCAGGCCTCTCCGCGTTCTACTGTTGCCATTCTGTGGATTCCGGTACACAAGAGCCCAAGTCGAGAAGATTCGCAAGTTGCCCTTCCTCGTACTTTTCCTGTGCGGAAGGGGACGGGCTGTCAAAAGCGCGCTTAAACCTAGCCGAAATCCGTGGGGAAAAAGCACAGGGTCCAAATGCAGTCTTTTTTTTTGTGTTGCTCGCGTTTTTATGCCGCCGTCACTATGCATAAGACACCTCTCCACTTTCTCTCACAGCCAGGTTGTTTCGATCTGCATTGGTATAGCGGCTAAGCGATCCTTCACACTCCTCGCCTCCGACGTGCATTGTCAATTCAGGATCGTCCCGACACAACTTCGGCTGTTGCTATCGCTTGGCATGGCATGTTGCGGGGGAGGCTTGACTCGAGGTTTGAGACTTCGATCCGGTGCATGCTTTAGTGTATGAGCCTGCGGTCTGGACCCATAAAGAGTAACGGATTCCGCATGGACAGACTAGCGGAGAGGCATAAAGCCACATGGACACAAGGGATGATTGGCTGTCCTCGTGCTCTCTCTCATTGCAGCCTTGCCACTCGAGAGCAGACACTTTGGCTCGTCTGTGTCCACAGTCGCAGTATCGCCTCCTTTTTGCCCAAGCCTTCTTCGAATGCCCCGTCGGAATCCTCCGCCAGTCTCTTTCTGTGTGAATCATCAAGGGGTTCGGGTGTGCAATTCTGTCGCGAGATGCAACTCTCTCGATGAGAAGAGGAGGAGAGGGGGGGGACGGGCAAGCCAAGCTAGTACTACATAGAGTGCACGGCTCCTCTTTCGAAGAGCGGGACGTCTGACGTGCAGAAGAAAACTCCGTGCCGTTCCTGATGTGGACAGACCTACGGATCTTCGGTTTCTGAGTTCTTCGGTAGGCAGGCGCGTTGAATACTTTTTGGTTCTCAATTTAGAGGGCACTTTTTTTCCGCTCGGTTCACACCTGCTGTTTCGACAAATCGTACTTTCCCAACACCCGCTCTGGTAGGTGTTGGCGCGTTGTGATTTTGTCCAAGTGCGAAATCTCAACTTGTTAGATCAAGTTGGCATGCATGGACCCTTGCGAAGGCTGCTAAGTACAACACGCAACACTCTTCCCAGAGTCAACTTTTGTGGACTGAGCATCAAGACTTCTCGACGAACACCATAGGGGTTAAGAACGATTCCGAAGACGACGAGATGGCAATCCCGGTAGAAACCGGCGGATTACAAGATGCGCTCAACACAGTGGCAGTCGTGCCGTTCGACATCGACCAACCCAGAGCGACGGGTCGCGGCGCTGCTCCCTCAGGTTCTTCACTCGCCGCTGCAGCATCCAATTTGATCAATGCCATCGCTCAAGGATCTACAGACGCCGGTGCGCTGCAACAGGACCGTCAAGATAATCGCTCGGATGACGGGAGCGATCTAGGCTCGAGCTCATTCACGTATACCGCTGCTACGAGCGTTTCCGCCAATGGCGAGCATCACGGCTGGTTCGCTTCGACCCCTTATCACATTTCGAATCGATACTATGACGCAGACATCACCCTGAAAGCTACAAAGGATGCGCTGACATCCTCTAGCCGAGAAGAGACGCCGAGCGCAAGCTCCGTCCTGTCACAAGCGTACCCGGCGTACATCGTCGTCGTCGATCGAAGCCGCAGCCTGGAGCATCATCGTCGTTTAGCGGCAACCCTGGATTCACGAATAGCCTCTGGATTCGACGCAGATATCAGCATCGTTGCAGGAGTATCGCTGATCTCTTCATCGCATCCGCAGCTTGTCACTGCTCTGGACGACGAACCCTCCTCCTCGCATCGTAGTTCCTCGCAGGGCTCTACAGCTGCCAAGACGAGCGACCTAGTGTCGCTGTACGCCGATCACGGATGGGAGTTCATCGCGATTGACGAACTCGATGCGGATGATATGGATAATGGGCGGGAGCCAGGCGATGAGGATGATGATGACAGGTTCAGCGATGAAGATCGGGAGGACGACAAGGATGGCATTGAGCGTATACGGGAGGCGCTCATGAATCATATGTGGAACGGCCTAGTGCGGAAGGACCAGGCGTCGTCGTTATCGCGTGGCAATCCGTCACTTCTCAGCAGCGCGGATCTCGTTGCGAAGGATGGTCTATATCAGAGCTTTTCAGACACAAGGCCCGCCGAGTCTGCGGACGACGAGACGGAGCAAGACAACGAGAATGGGGTCTCTAAGAGAGAGTCCGAAACAGCGTCGTCGCGTCCGCGGCTGACGAATGCCGAAGATGCCTCCGACATGAATGGCACCTTTCCAACACTAGGACTGGATCGACACGTGGAAGCGAGCAATCTCGACGAACAGCTCGCGAAACTCTTTCTCTCGACGCAAAACGGCGACAGACCGGGAGACTTTGCAGAGCTAGAAGCCTTCCTCGAGTCAGAAGATCCGTCCTGGCCAGGGCCTCCAGCTCACTCATCTAACGATCCAACACAGACCTTTGACGATGACTTTGACGACTTCCTCCCGTTCCAATCAGCGCCCTCGATCGCCACTCCACCAGCACCTCAACACGACAGCCTCGATGCAGAGGAAGACCTCCCATCGATGGACGACGTATCACAGATGCAGTCGCCGCTGTTCGGAGCCAATGCAGCAGCTCATCTAGAGGGTGGACCGTTGGGAATGGGAAGCCAACCGAGTGGTGCTGCGGACGGGGATCTGGCTTCGCAACTCCAACAGCTGCAATGGCATGCTCAACGCGTGCGGAACATTCCCGACGCTGATCAGAGGAGGAAAGAAGCAGCACTGGTAGCGCTCGCGTTCAGTATGCAGTGGTCCAACGCTGACGATGAACAGGGTGGAGCCGACGCTGGTGGCATGACGTTCTAAGGTTGTAACACAGACTTAGGCAATGAAAGCACATGTAGGATGTTTGAAAGCAGTTTCGCAATTTCATATTGATATGACTTTTGTTTCGACGACAAAGAGCGATCCTTACTGAGCCTTCTTGAGACGCTCTTCGGCAGCCTTGAAGTTGATGACGTCCCAGATGGCCTTGAAGTAGTCGGCCTTGACGTTCTGGTACTGCAGGTAGAAGGCGTGTTCCCAAGCATCAACGCCGATCAGAGGCACGTGCGACAGCAACGGGTCCTGGTTGGCGGTGGTCACGATGTCCAACTTCTTCGTCTGGGGGTTGTAGCCCAACCAGCCCCAACCGGAGCCCTGAATAGCGGCGATCTGAGCGTTGAACTTGGACTTCAACTGATCAAGACCACCGAAGTCGCGATCGATGGCGTCCTTGAGGGCACCGCTGCTCAGCTCTCCACCGCCGTTCTTTTGGGGAGCGAGGTTCTCCCAGAAGAGCGTGTGGTTGATGTGTCCACCGCCGTTGAAGTTGATGGCCTTCTGGAGGGCGATGGCGGACTTGACATCCTTTTTGTGGATGGCTTCCGAAAGCTGCTCTTCGGCTTGGTTCAGACCGTTGACGTAGGTCTGGTGGTGCTTTGTGTGGTGCAGCTCCATGATCTTGGAGGAGATGGCGGGTTCGAGAGCACCATAGTCGTAGGAGAGGTCGGGGAGCGTGTGCTTGGCCCGCACGGACGCAAAGGTGCGCGAAGAGGCCTTGATGGCGCCGGTGGATCGGGTGAGAGCGGTACGAAGCATTTTGGGAAGGTGGTGGATTGCGATGATGGTGGTGGCAAGAGGAGGGAGTGAAGTATTAGCGAGTCAGCTTGGATAGCTTCCACAAGTTTCCCTCGGCTCTCGACGGTGATACCCATTCAACTCACCTTCTACGCCCGCGGGTTGAGCACGGACGCCAGACCTCGCAAAGGAAAAACCTCCACTCCTTTCTGGAGGCACGCCAGCCGCCAAAGAAATTTCGAGCTACAACTGTATCTAGATCAGGGCACTGAAGGGACCCCGATTTGATTGCGCTGAGGAAAGTGACACTTTTCTCTCGCGTCGCGTAAATTGTGACTTTTCTAAGGAACTGAGCTCTTGGAGCCATGCAGCGAGACCAAGAGAGAAGAGCAACACTTCTTTGGCGCTGTCACCGCAGCTGAAGCTACGTTGGTCAGCAGCTCAGCCATCGTCTTCTCCAACTCGACATCTCATGCTTCACCTTACAGTCATGGAATCCTTGCAAACATAGACCCTCTCCCACCAGCCTCGTCTTCCCAACACCACAGACATGCAGGGATGTCCGAGCAGATAGATGTAGACCCATCGATGCAAGCCGGGCCTTCACGGCTGCCGCGAGAGGTGGTGCCAACATCGGACGATGAGGATCTCTTCTTCGTCTCGCAGTCGTCGGACAGGTACGGTTACACAAGCAACGACGATCCTACCTTAGAAGACGAACGTCTAGCTCGCGTGGCCGCCGCGCAGCCTCCGACTCCACCTCAGCGGCAGCTTCGAGCCCGAAAAGCCGCTCAGCTCAATCCTTACACGATGGAAGCCATGCGCTACCAACGGGCTCTGATTCGCAACGACTGGCAAGATGCCGTAGTGAGCCAAAGAGAATGGCATCGTCAAGAGCGCAAACGACTTGCCGAAGAGGCTGCTCGGGCTCGGCGCGAGGTCCAAGGCGCTCAAGGCTCGGAAGAGTCGCAGAGTCAATGGCTCGTCCCCAGCTCCGGACCAAGCTCGCAAGCAGACCACGAGGATCCTTCTGCACCGCCTTCTCCATCTGTCCCACCGATGCCCGAAGTCTTTGTTGAGATTCCGGCACTCGACGAAATTGCTAGGCCTCGGCGAATGTCTCCTTCACCGTCACAGAGCGGAAGATTGCCAGAGCTGGCAGAGATGCTCGGTCAAGCTTCCAAGAACGCCGCCCTCCTTCCAAATCGCAAGACGACAGAAGCCTCGAAAAGCGCTACATACAAAGGCACGAGAACTATCGCTCGCAACGACGATACTAACAAAGCAGTGCGACCACACGACTCCGGGTCTTTGCGCATCGATGAAGACGATGCTGCACCAATTCCAGCACACACTCGCCGAAAGCCTACTCTGCGTGACACATCACCAACGGATAGCGAAGCAAATATCGCTGCAGGAGGCCGAAACTCGACAACCCACGAGAGTTTCATTGTAGAATCCTCCGAAGACGAGAGACCGCAACCCGTGCCAGCTGTCCCCAGGCCAAAGCGAAGAAGCCGATGGTCTGGTGACGGTTCAAGCAGCGACAGCACCGACTACGAGCGCCGCTTCCGCCAACTGAAAAGGATGATGCCTGCCGGCATGGCGCGCAAACACATCCGTGACCTCAGAGCAATGAGGCACGGAAAGGCATACCACTCTGATGGCCACGTGTCCTCTTCCTCTAGTACCAAAGGGCAAGTTGATACAGCCCGACGCGATGAATCGCGAACGCAAGCTCGGTCTGCCAATGCAGTCCAGATTTCAGACGACGAAGACTTGCAGCCAGGCCAAACAAGGAAGCGACTTCGACGTCACGACAGTCTCGACGGGGGCAACAATGCCTTGCTGCTAGACCCCGACTCGGATTCGTCTTCGTCCTCGTCCTCGGCATCGTCGCTGTCGTCTGGTCCATCAACCGAGTTTCCAATCACTGGCACGACGCTTTCCAATGGGGACCGAGGGGTGGAGGAGCTTGACGAAACGCCCGCGCCATGGTGGTCAGTGGACCGCTTCGATTCATACGTTCCGTATCGCGAAAGGGACGCGATTGACCGAATGCTGAGCCGAGCTGGCGGGCGTCAGCAAAGCAGTAAAATGACCAGTCGCAGAGCGCACGATGTCTCTCAGCATCGACAGGCTCGGTTGGACGGCTTCGTCTCCACCGTTCGGCATCGCGAGCGCGCGACAGGCATTTCCCGATCGCATTTGCGTGAGATTGACCAGAATCAGCATCGTCGCCAAGGCTCAACGATTCACGTCAGCGACAAAGATGCTCAGCACCATTTATCGAAGAGGAAAAAGAAGCGCAGAAAGATGGATCCGAGAGTCGGGCGGACGACAACCGGCTCGGGTACTGCAAGAAGTTCCGTCTTACCACTAAATCCACCCGTGATCCGTCCACGAGCACGACCACGGCTTGACCTGGAAGACCACGACGTGCTCTTTGCCTTCCATCCAGCTTCAGCTCGATGTGCGACAACCTACGCAAACCCTGACCAAGCAGGTCATCATGAGCACGAGCGAGACGATGATGAAGAATGGCAGGTGCTCAGCCATGTCATCAGAGATTCGACACCGGACCCTCTGCCGGACGCCCGTCTTGCTGTCCCTAGGAATCGCAACGGCGCGAATACAATCGCAAGAGCGCGTCAAGCACCCTTCCTATCCGCGACCCTTGAAGCTGTGGCGTCGCCGATCCGAGGCCTGGGTGCATCTCCGTCGACATCTTTAGCATCTGCTGGTCTGCTCAAAGATGGCGCAGTCAGCGATCGTAGCCCCGGCACCCCGACAAGGCCAAGATTCGAGCTGCCTTCACACAATGCGGCGCCAATACGCTCCAACCCTGTTCAGAACTCCAACATAGCCTCACTAAGCGCAGATGACGATTGTCCAAGCGGTGCCTGGGACGACTTTGAAGGCATCAGCTTGAATTTCGGCATTAGCCCTCTGGCAGGCGGGAAGCGTCTCAACGTGACCGACTCGGCACTGCTCGCTCGTCTTCCAGATCTCATCCTGCTGCCGGATCGACTGCTGCGTCAAGAGAACATACCTCGGACTTGGCTGAGCGAGGTTCTGCGCCTCGAAGATACGATACTGGAAGCAGATATGGATCACAATACACTCGCCAGCAAGCTGCCCTTCTTCATCGACAACCTCCGACTAGAGATCGGTCGTGCCTTGGATGGGGGCGGAAACGCATCGGACATTGATGCACGGCGACACGCGAGGAGCCTCATTTCTGACACTGGCGCTTTTCTTGGATGCTGGATGGTGCGTCAAGCCCAAAAGGCCGCGGAAGGATGTTGCGACTTTGCTTCCATTTTCCGCAGCTATCGTACGATTCTAGAAAGGGCTGAGCAGCTGCAAGCTTCTGTGCTTTCACAAAGTGACTCTACGCATTCGAAGGCGTCGGGCGAAGATCGCAAATTGATCTGCTTGCAATTGGCGTGGATGCGTTTCGAGCTTTGCTGGCGAGCAATGGCCATCTGTGACGCAGACGCGAGCAACGCCCTCGAATCTGACGCTCCGACGGTGGAAAGCTTGTTGTCTTACGGACGGACGTTGATGGCGTTGCTGCTGCATTACGGTCTTCATCGATCGATTCGAAACCTGCGGAAAGCAGCCTCGACAGGCCGTTCTACCGCCAACGGGAGCACTCTGGCGATGGAGGTGGATCAGTACGAAGAGACGACCGTGACCGTGGATGAGCCAACTACGATATGGCTCGCCGCCATTCACCTTTTCAGCTCGTTCGAACAGAGCCGTGGCATAACGGACGGTCGCCTTTTCTGGATGCAGTTCGAAGCTGCCTTTCAGCGATGGGACGAGTCGATGCCGAAGAGAGCGCCTCTGCTACGTTCTGAGAGTCTCTGGTACTGTCTCTTTGCCCTCGAAACCATGTCGCAAATCTCGGCCGATGGGCAAACACAATCTGGGCCATCGCTTCGTGAATGCTGGCCTCTGGTCGCGAGAGCGCTGTCCTTCGTCGACTTCCGATTAGACGAAAGCAAGGAAATGACTATGGGCTGGCACTTGCTTGCAAAGCGGGACGCGTATGTCCGCATCGTGTTGCAACGGTGCTGTCTATTGACATCCGAGTGGCACTGGAGGATGGAAGGTGCCGAGGTGACGCTTGCACGCCTGTTTGACATATTCAACAGTCATAAGCTTGCTGACTTGCCTACCGAGACCGCACACAATTTCCCGGTGTTCCTGCGCTACTTCGATGTCGACAGGCTGTCCACCGCTGATGTGGCTGGAGCAGAGGCGATGCAAGATCCGAGCTTCCACCTTTTCGTGAGACTGCTTGTCCGTGCAGGTCAAGAGCTGCGCAATAATGCTATCGATGCAAAGGATGGCGACCGCCGCATCTCTCGATTGTTCTCGAGGATGACGCCAGTCCGCGTGATGCCATTCACACGGAACGACGTTCCGACAAACTCGCAGCGCTCGGTTCTTTTCAATCACTACACCGTCGTCATGCTTTTCCTGCATTTGGTGCCGACATCTTCGCCTCAGCGTCTTCGACAGATCCAGAGCTTTCTTCCTGCCTTCAAGGATGCCGATTTTATCAGCCAGGTCACCTGCGTACGAGCTATGATGTACGTTGCCGTCATCTTTCGCCATCACCAGCTAGGTTTAGATTCGGTCATCAAGTGGTTCGGAGAGACGATCACCGCACTGCGTCGCGAATACGAGCATATCGAATCGAGCACCAAACAATTTGAACGGCAACAATTGCGACAATCAATGCAACATGCATCTCGGCCCGATGCAGTCCGTATGGCAGACATCTTTGAGAACGCTCCCGCTCGACAGGCGGCTCTCAGGAGGAAGGAAGAGATGGCCAAGCTGCTTGTTGTGTCTTTGCGATCCATTCAGCATGTTATTCGACACCAAGACCTTTATGGAGACAAACACAGCACACGTATGTCGGAGCAAAGACTTCCGGATCAGCCACTTCTCTCTCCTGCCTGGACACAGGAGATGCTCGAAGCACAGATCTCGCTTGAACCGCGCATTGGACAGGAAGCACTGAAATGCATTCAGACGTTCCTCCTGGCTCGCATGCGCGCCTTGCAGCCTGCTAGGAAGGCCACGGGCTCGTCAAGCACCGATCACGATGAGAGCAACCAGCCTCAATTAGCGATCGGCCAGCAACAGCAAAACAAGGATCAAAGGCGGGACGAGGAGAGTCAAGACAGCTTCGCGGAGTTGTTTGATGCAGACGACGATTTTGATTTTGAGGACCCGCTCTTGGCGCGACTTTTGGACGGAGCCGACACTAACAACGCTGGTGTTAGCGGAAGAGGCGAGCTCGAGATGCAAGCCAAGGAAGCGCTAGTGGCCGTCTCTACCGCCGCAGATGTCGTTGAAAAGAAGAAATGGGACCGTCAATTTGGCGAGCTCGTCAAGACCACCATTTCGCCCTCGCTGTTTCAGCTCTTGTCCAACATCTACCATCCGGATCGGAGGCTGGAAGCCGCGACCGCTGGGTCTGTCGTGATGAGTCTCGGTGTCACACAGCGACTCGACGAATTGCCAGCTGGTGGCGGCGACGCTGGCCGTAGCTCCACATCTTCGCGCAGCCGAATGGACCGATTGCTCAAGACGGCCGAAGCTCGACAGTATCTGGAGCTCGTAGTGGACTGCTGGGCAGGATGCGCACATGTGCTGGTGACCAATGGACTCAGGGAATGGAGCTCGTACCTCGGATATGGAAACGAGTCGTGGAAACGTATCGACGATGCCATTGGAAGAAGAGACGTAGCGCTCAGATTCCTGCAGAATGTCGTCAGCCTGGATCCCACGGCGGTCCAGAGACGCGAGTATGAGGTCGACTTCTTGGCTGTCTGGACCCAGACAGCGGTGGCCAGGGTGCTTTCGGTACAGGATGTCTATACGCAGTCGTTGATGGACGCGATAGACAAAACGAAGGTAGCACCGAGTACGCTGCTGTCGAGTTTGGCGGAGCGATGGAGAAGCATCATCAGCGGAACAGCGCCGGCTACAGCAATAGACACAGCAGGAATGGACTCAAGATTGGAACCGACAGAGCCAGTCAGCTCAAATTTTGACCTGGACTCGTTCACACGACACCGTTCAGATTTGCTCAGAACGACATACAGCGTCCTCGCCTCGGCGCTAAGCAACAACACGACAAGCACAGGGACCGTGTACTCGATTCTATCCGCCTTGCTTTCCGCCGTTCGCACTTATGTCGACGACACACCGGTGGACGACGGCAGCAAGAGCGGCAAGATGGCTGCAGCGGGCTATCTGACGTTCTGCAAAGGGACGCTCGAGGACGTCGAGGCGATTATGGCAGGGACGAGGGTGATGGACTCGATGCGTGGAGAGTACGGAGCGGCGGTGGCGGCGGTCAAGACGCGACTGGAGGAGCTGAATGAGACGGGGATATTGTGACAGGGGCGGAATGGAAACGGACGAGGCGAGCCCATGGAACGAATGGAAGATCATACCTGACTTTGCGTGTGTATGTGGCATTGATGAAGACTTGATTGTGAAGACTTGCCGCCATTGAAGCGCGCGGATACATGCAAGTGCATGAGAGGCTATGTGTGAACGAGCGACTGTTACCGCGAGCGACCGTGACTGCAGGGTAGAGTGAATCGTTCTGCTGCCTCAGAACTTGCGATCACGGGGGTTCAACGACTCAGATGGTCGACTCTTGTGCCAGCCCACGTAACAGCTTGAGGAGCTCCTCTACAGCTCCCGCTCCCGCCTTTTGTGCTGTACTGTCCATCTCCTCACCATCATGCTTTCGTGGAACCACACTCTGCAGCGCGTCATCTACTCCAGCGAGCAAGGCGATCAACGCCGTAACCAACGGAGCGAAGGTTGGTGCAGGTGGAGTGTTGAGGTGCAGCAAGAGCGTTCGACCTGCGGTTGTACATCTAGCGCTGAGCGCGAGGAGGGCTGTTTGAAGAGCTTCCAGTTGTTGAGTGGTATGTTCGAGGTGTGAGGGGGATGAGGAGAGGTAAGTTTGGAGTGTCGTGTGCGTCGGACGGGTGGTGAACTTTGGTATTGGGGGGAGGGTCGACGTTGACGCTGTTGTGACCAGGTTGGATTCTGCTCCTCCCAACCTGGCGTAGAGTAGGGTTAAATCGGACACCACAGAATGAGCGAGACTCACACCTCGAGAAGAGGGAAGCAAAACGCGGTGCAAACAACGTCGTACAGAGTCGAAACCTCCCCACCAGAGTGCGGACTTGAACTGCGATGCGTTCTTGTACCATATTCGATCGATCAAGGTGAGCTCGGTGGAGAGGGAGCTGAGGACGGCGGTGAGTTGTCGGAGGTGGAGCTTGAATGTTTTGAGGGTGTGGAAGGCGCGGTCATCGTCGGCGGCGGTGATTGAGGAAGAGGGGGAGGGTATGGGATGTGATGGTTTGGAGATTGACGTGGCCTGTCCGAAGGGGGCTGGTGTTGGGCGATCAGATGGGGTGGTAGTGCTTTTGATGGGGCGTGTGAACGAGACTGGCGGAGAAGTGTGACGCTCGTCCGAGGGTGACTCGGTACGAGGCAGTGAGGAGTGCTGTGATGTCTTGCCTGTTTTCGTTGCTGTCGAGGCTCGCGGCTGAGCCATACTCGGTGCGAATGAAGAGACATCGCGCTGCTCTTTCCTTGCGGCGTCCGGGTCCTTCTTCTTGGCGTTTCTGTCAAGGACTTCTGCGTGGTCGTCCAATGCTTTGACTTTCGGCTTGTCCTTACCGTGGCGTATCGTAGCACCCTGACCTTCATCCTTGACAGCACTGTCGGGCTTCTTCTCCTTCCTCAACGGCTTGCCTTCCTTCGAACCACCCCCAACACCCAGCAGCAGATCCAAAGCACTCACCTGCGTCCCCTTTGTCTCGTTCTTAAGCTTCTTCTTCAACGGCTTCTCCACCTCCTTCTTTTCCCTTTGTTTTCCCTTCTCCGAGCCGTTCGTCGTTCCCGCAGTCAAGCTGGAAAGAATGTCGTCGAGCTGCATCCTAGATGCGTCCTTCTTCCCCTCAGCCTTGTCCGACAGGCCTGGGGAGGAGACTGTTGCATGCTGTCGTTTCTTGTCCTTGCGACCTGAGGCCGGAGAGGCGCTGAACGAAAAAGGTTTGACCATGACGTCGAAGTGAAAGCTGAGCGCTTAACTTGCCGTCACCGGCCGACGGATGAGGGTGGGCTCGCAGTCGAGAATGAATGGAATGGAACGAAAAGTCAGGGTCTCGAAAACATGAAATGCACAAGGTTTTGCACAGTGTGGAGGCGAACATCCGACTCCCGGGCGACGTGCTCTCTCTCCGGAACTTCATCCACTGTCTTCTCTCGCGTTCAAACCGCCGAAGGTCACACTCATGACACCGCTCAGACCATGACACTCTGTTTTACATTCCACTCGCCAGTAGATAGCGAAAAGGACTGTTTCTACCACTCAATTCCGACGGCACTACTGACATCTGAACGTGACTGCTCCCCGCAACAAGTCGATTCCTACAACTGCCGCGAGATACGATTGTACACCGAGTCAGGACCGCCAGGAGACCTAGCGCTCTTCACATCGCCGTACGCACTCTTTCCAGGTATCTGCCTGGAGCTCCTCCTCGTCGGCGTATCCGGTTGACTCGCTGCATAACCGCTGCCGTACATCGAGTTCCTCTGGCCTCCTCCCATCCCTGCTCCGCCACCTGGGGATCTCGGTCCCACGACCGGCGGGATCGTCGACGGCATCGGATCATCTCTCAACTGATACCCTTGCCTCGCAGCTCCAACTCCAGCTTGCGGCATAGGCAGCAGCTGACTCTCCCTCTTCCCCTGCCCCACGCTCTGCCTCGGCGTACCTGGCGCACTGCTTCTCGCAGGACTCGCCCCCACCGCCGACACCTGCAAAGTATGCATCGTCGCCATCTGCTGCTGCAAAAAGTCGCCCGTCCCCGGTCGCATCCGCAGCAGCTTCATCGCCATATCCAATGACCCGTTCGCCGCTGCATCCGAGTCCTCCTCCTTCTTCTCCTGCTTCCTCTTCTTGATCGTCCCCAACGAACGTTGGTTGAGGACCGACTTGTTCTTGGCACCGCGTTGCGTGCCCGCCCGTCGCATCTTGGCTTGCATCCCGCGGACGCACTCCATCATCAGCTCGTCCGTCGACTGATCGTGCAGCAGCAGATACGATAGGATTTCTCGGTATTTGGCACCTTGCAGCACGTCGAGCGGTACACCATGCGTGATGCCTGTCTCGGCGTCGTACGCGTGGAAGTAGTTTTTGAGGAACCCGAGCCATTTGAAAACGATGTCGACTTCCTTGTCCGAAAGCTGATGCATGGACGAAGGCGAATCGGACAGCGGCGGGACCAAGATGGACTCGATAATGTTGAGCACTTCCTTCCACACCTTTGTCAGCACCAGCAAAGCTTCGCTCTCCGAGAGACTCCCCTTCAGTGTAGCGAGACACTCGTCCAGGTAGTCCAGTAGCGGAATGATGGCTGCTTCGATCTCGTGGTCCGTCAACTGCGCCGGCCGATTCTTCGGCTTCACCTCCGGCTCGACGGGTGGGATCATCGACGCGTTGACGTTCGTGCTTGCCAACGCCGAAGCGTACAGCGCCTTGACGTTCCCCAACGCCTTGGTCAGATCGATACCGCTCGTCCTAACCAATGTCTTGAGCAAAGAGCGCGACAGGCACTGTCGAATAAACACCGACATCTTGTCCACGATGATGCGCACCATATCGCTCTCTGCTCGTTTGAGAGATCGGAACCCACGACCAAAGTGGTACAGGATGTCGTCGCGCTCGCCTTCCATGCTGACACGCATCAGCAGCCGACCTTGCGTATCGAGGTCCATCCAGAGCTCGTGCGACAGGAAATCGCCAAAGTACCTCGGATCGAGACGCAGGTAGGCGCGTCCACACAGGTTGTGGTCTCCTACGAGCTTGCGGTCCCACACGGTGGCAGCCAGCCACATGGGCTGCTCGACGTGCACATCGAACACCTCGTCCCACCGCGGCTCGGACGTCTCATAGATCGTGCGCGTCTTTGCGATCTTCTGACCCCTCTCATCGCTCAGCGTCACGAACGAGTCGATGCGCGGATTCGCCCCACTATCTCGGATCGGCTGCAGATTCTCTCCCAGCACGATCTTGATCGAGAACACGAAGCGATTCCTATCCCGCTTCACCGGAGTCTCCGGCGCATGCCGTTTGACGATCTCGGCCTGCTTGTCCGCATCGATCTTCTGGTAGAGCTTGTCGAGCAGCACGCGTGCAGCCTCGATGTTGTTGAGACGAACGCACGACGTGGCCTGGAAGTGGAACGGTTCGACCTTCTTCTCTCCCGAGATGGTCTGCTTGGCTTTGACCATCCAGGCGGACTGCTTCTGCGCCATGTCTTGATCCTCTGCTGTGCGCGGGTACATCTCTTCCATGAACATTTCCTCCACTCGGCTGCAGTACTGCTCAACCGCTCGGCTGACGATCTTGGCCAGCGTCGTGAGGAAGCGTGCGTTCTGGTACGCATCAGGCCACTTGAGACCGAGGATGAAATCGACGGGCTGCTGCAGGGCGCCAAAGAGGTCGTCGATGCTGCTGCTGTGGACGGCGTCTTGGCTTTCGATGGGCGTAAAGGCATCGTTGGCGATCGCGTTGTGCACCCACTCGGCCGTCTTCTTCTCCGAATTCATGAGCCAATGACGGATGTGAGGTTCGAACCAGTCCGTGAGGCTGAACGCGGAACCGGAGTTGGGGCAGAAGGCGTTGTGCATCCGCAGGAGCGCCTTGACCCGGCTGTACAGCGTGAAGATATCTTCGAACGCAAGCGGTTCGTTTTCGCGCGTAGCATGATCGATCACCTGCTGCTTCATTGACTCGAGGTCGTCCAGGAACAAGGGCACCTGCTTCTCGAGCACGAGCGAGACCGGGTCCACCGACTCCAGCAACGGCTCCGGATATTTCTTGTCGAGCCGTTTTGCACCCTTCTCCAGCCAGTCGAGCAGCTGAACAAGTGGCACAACTTCGTTCGCGACCACCTGCGAAAAGAGCTCGGTGGTCTTGGCCGTGTATTCGTGGATGGCCATGATGCGCACCGCGTCCTTGAGCTCCTCCACGTGCGACTCGAGAGCTACGACATCGGCTTCCAGTCGTCTGTCCTTCCGCACCAACCCTGTCGCATGTAGATCTTGGACCATGGTGAGATAGGGCTGGATCTCGTCTGTTTCCACATCGTGTATGTCCTGGAAAGTCTCGTACAGATATCGCAAGAACGACTCGAAGAGCGACGTGTAGAGCTTAACAAGTTTCGTCTGCTCCTCTTGCATCCAATTCGCAAAGTCGATCTCGGCAAGGGTGCGCGTGACAGAGCCAAGCGACTCCGAGACGCAATCGAGGGGCACCTCGCCGTTGTCGTACTTGGCCTTGATGACGTCGAGATTCGAAACGCCGAGAAAAGGTGCTGCGAGACGCCATCGTTGCGCACACTCTGCGAGAAGCTCGACATGGCTCTTGGAAAGGATGCTGAGCGACACCTCTTCCTCTTCGGGCTGGTGCTTGATCATCTCGAGATCAAAGTCGATGCAGATCTCGAGCGCCCGGTGGTAATATGCGCGTGGATCCGGTGGGATGTAGACAAAGGAGGCAAACGCATCATCTTCGGCTGAATCGACGGACAGAGCTGCAAACTCGGCATCCAGCGTCGTCGTGTCGGGAACGCTCTCGCCGGACGGTGTGCCGCCAGGAGCAGCACCGTTGTACGACTCTGGCCTCGACGCCGTTGGCCGCGTCGGGGATTGACCAGGTATGTCGCTCGACGTGCTCTTGAGAAGCTCCGGATTGCTCTGACACATCTCCATCATGATCTGCGAGAGCGACGAGAGCTCTTGTGTCCTCCATTGCTGATAAGCCTCTTCGGATGCAAAGTCCTCTTTGCGCCCTGGCCACGGTTGTTGCAGGTTGATGTTCTTTACGCAGCGTTTGAGATCGGTCATGGCGGCCTGTTCTGTGCACGTCTTTTTGACGAATTCGACGTCCTGACTGAGCTGACTGAGGTCGACGGAAAAGAGTGCGCCGACTGTACGCACCATACTGGATTCTGCCAGCGGGTTGGATGCTAAGGTCGGCAGAGTGCTGGCGGAGCTGGTTCGACGACTAGCACTGGCAGAAGCGGGGTTGATGTACTCCTTTGCAGCCGCATACCCATTCGATCCGGACGAGACGGCTGTCGAGGAGGATGCAGCGGCGGATGAGGATGAGGCGGTGGGCGCAAGCTTTGAAGAGTAGCCCTCGAGTCGATCCGTGAGCTCCCTGGGGACGCCGCTTACGGTTTTGAGACACTCGCGGATGATGTTGACAAAGTGGCCCACTTGATTGTTTAGCTCCTGCTTCCATTCGTCCGCAACAGAGCGCTTTTTCAAGCTTGCTTGTGCCGTGGTGACAAAGATGAGGATGAGCTCCTCGATCTTGCGGTTCTCCTTCATCTGCTTCTGGAAAGAGGCTTCCTTGAAAGTGCCGTAGAAGATGCCGATAGTCTGACGCAGACTTTGGTCCTTGTAAGCGGTGTCGCGCCCCATCGCGATGAGCTCGAGCCGATCATTGAGCCTTTTGATGAGCTTTTCGGGAAAGCGAACGGATTTGGACGAGCCTCCGACGTCGCGGACCATATCTGCGAGGCCGGCAAAGCCCATCCAGCTGTCACCTTTTGACGCAGATTCAGAAGCCTTCTTCGACGTCGATGCAGATGCTGCAGATGACGCCGCCGCTGTGCTGGACGTCAAACTCTCCCTCGCTCGAGCCTTGGCGTCTCTTCGTGCCAGTGAGAGATGGGCGTGGTAAGCGACCTGAAGGAGAAAGACATACACATCGCCGTCGGTCATAACCTCGCGAGCATAGCCGCTTCGGCTGCTCTTGGTACTGCGGGTTGTCATCGTGTGCAGAGCGCGCAAATCAGAAGGGTGCTACGGCTGAGAGTCGGTACGCGGCCAAACGTGCACCGCAGGATCGGAGGGCTCGCGATCAGCTGCGCAAGAGCATGCTGCTTCTTGACGCGATCTGGCGAGAGGAAGAGGTCCGCTGTTGTGACGGGATGTCTTGTGCGGTCAGATATAGAAATGCCAACGCTGTTGTTGGAATCGAACCGAGGATGACGAAGGCGCCTGTGTCGGCTCTTGCTGAAGTCGTGTGCTAAGGCTTGGGTATATGGCGAACGTTGACTCCACTTTGGTTCGTGTTGCGATGGAGACGGCTTCGAAAGCAGCGAAGAGCGATGGTGAGAGTACGAGGATAAGAGAGGCGACAATGTGGAGCGACATCTGTGCTTTGATCCGGCGGAGAGCGGATTGGCGGCGGTGCGTGTGTCGTTGTGTTCGGCTCTGCCGAGATATGTGCGTGCGTCATTTTGATGCGTGGAATATTTCGTCATTTGTTAAGGTAGATATCTGTATTATGTAAGCCGACAGCCGGACTTTTTTTTGATGAGATCTTCTCATTACCCCTAACTATGAACCCACTCGCTTCCTCTCACCTCTCTTCTCACCTTCTCACCTCTCGCCCTTTCTTCCAGCGTACCACCACATACGAGAGCCACAATGGTCGCTGTTGTCACATCAGCTGCTCTACGGGCTCGCTTGAGCGGCGCGCCGCAGCTCGTCTCGGCAGCTCGGTCGTCCAGCTCTCGAGGCTATGCCAGCGCTGCATCGGCCCGTCCGAGACCTTCGGGCTTGAGCACGACACTGGCATACAACCGAGCCACTTTCGCGCGTGCAAGTGTCGCTTTCCCAGCGCAATCGACATTGCTAGCAGGCAAGCCATTCTCGTCGACGATCGCGCATCGAAACCTTTCCTTCTGGGGCTCTTCCAAACCAGCCGGCACATCGGCTGATGCGTCATCATCGCTTTCTTCCGAGCTCGAGACGAAGAAAGATGAAGCGGCCAACGCTGCGCACGAGCTGAAGCAGTCCGCAGAAGCTTCCCTCCAGAACGCAGGCTCTTCCGTCTCTGACAGCTTGCAGTCGACACAACATGCAGCTTCCGATGCCGTCTCCACCGTGCAATCCAAAGCCTCCGAAGTCACCAACACTCTGACTGAGCAGTTCAGCAACGTCGACTCCACTGCCGCCTCCACCGTCACAGAAGCCTTCAGCGGAGCAGCCGGTATCAGACCCGGCGAGCTCACCGAACTTGGTCTCAACCACTGGGTCACTCCACCCGGCTGGATCACCAACCTGCTCGAATTCGTCGGCACCACCACCGGTCTTCCCTGGTGGGGCACCATCGCCGTCACCACCGTAGCGCTCCGCTTGCTCATCTCGCCCATTTCCATCGCAGGTCAGAAGAACGCCATTCGTCTCGGCAACATCCAACCCGAGATGAAGCGAAACATGGACGACATCAAGCACTACAAAGCGGCAGGGGATCAGATGCAGATGCAAAAAGCCGTCATGTCCACCCAAAAGCTGCTGAGGGACAACAACGCCAACCCGATCAAGTCGATCGTTCCGATCCTGTTCCAATTCCCGTTGATGTTCTCGTACTTCTTGGCGTTGGAGAGGATCGCCAAATCCGGTTCAGAGACTTTCGCACACGGAGGCCCGTTCTGGACCACCGATCTTACGGTCCCTGACCCAACCTGGATTCTCCCCGCAGTATCCACACTGGCCACGTTCGCCGTAGCAGAATTGGGTTTCAAGGTCGGCACCAACAACCAGTCCGATCCAGCGCAGAGTCAGATGATCAAGTACGTGTTCAGAGGAATGATGCCCATCCTCGCCTGGTTCTCGACCACCTTCCCTTCCGGAGTATTGGTGTACTGGGCGACGACGAATCTGTACTCGTTGGCTCAGCTGGCGGTTTTGCAGATGCCGGTGGTGAGGAGGTGGGCGAAGTTCCCAAAGCGAATCACCCACCCGAAGAACCCGTACGAGGAGCAGGGCAAGGGTTTCATGGACAAGTTGAAGGCTGCTAGAGATCAGTTATCCGACTCCTCCGCCCAGAAGGTCGCAAAACCAGTGGTCAGCAGTAGCACTGCAAATGCGGCGGGCAAGACGAGCACAAGGTCAGACGCTTTGAAGGAGATTTTGGATGACAAGGCTGCCTACGAAGCTAGCTCGACCACCGCTGACGCGGAGTCGGCCGCTGACAGGAGGAACAGAGAACGCGTCTTGAAGGCTCGTCAACGTCGGGCTCGCAAGTAGAACTCAAAAAAGAAAGAGACGCTGTCCATCGTGTCACTCGTCCTCAATGCCATCTCATCGTTCGTCCCCGTCATCATTCACCCCTCACTCTGTATTCTAACAAACACAATCCGTAAACACCTTTCACAAACACGCGCATGATGGAAAGAAAGAGGTTTTGAAACTTGCCCCGCACACAGAATCGCAATCTGTCCGGTCACCCGTGCAACGTCCTTAATCTTCGTTCCGAAGCGGATTGGAAGATCGCTGCACCCCGTCTTCCACCGACTCCAACTCTCCAATCACCACCTCTACACCATCCGCATCCGCATCATCTCGATCCTCCACGATCGGATCGCCCACATCCCCAGCCTCGCTCTCGCCCGGAACCTCGGCATCAGACCCCACATCCGGCACATCCTCCGTCTCGTCCCTCCTGCCCCTCTCCACCACCACCGGCTTGGGCTTCCAAATATTCGCGTGCAACAGCCTCTTCCAATACGGTATCCTCATGCCCTCCCTCTTCATCCTCATCAGCTCGTTCCTCGACTTATCTTTCAGCTGAACGTTGTTCCACCTGGCTAGCACCTTTGAGCGCGTTCCATTGACACCGTGACGCTTGAGGATCTCGGTGTAGACTGTGAACTTGGGCGATACTTTCTTGTAGCGTGCTAGCTCGTGCAAGGATGTGAGGAGGCATTCCGTTTCCGCATCGGTCCATCTTGATCGTCCGGTCATGTTGTGTCCTGTGATGTACAGGTTGGATCGTTTGTACGGCTCCACCCGGACGGCTTGGCCGAGAGGTGCCGTGTGTGTGTTGGCGCGTCGTCCATGTCGACGACTACCAGGTTCGGCAGCTTGGTCGTCTTCGAGCTCGTCGATCTCTTGAGAGTAGCGGTCAACAAGAGCGGGATCGGCCTCCTCTCGTGGTCGACGTCTGCGTCCGTTCTCGGGTCGATACGGTCCGATGCGACGCGAAGGAACCGTGTTGCTCGAACGGAGGATCTCTGCAACTGCATCAGCGTCGCGCATGGCGATCGCATCGACATTCTCGCCATCCGCTAGCGGCTCGTCATCTAGTCCAACGAGCGGCATCGCATCATCGTCCGCTTCCGGTCGGTAAAAGTGCAGCGTGCCAGGTCGAGGCTTTCGCGCAGCGATGGCAGCGTCCATAGCTGCTCGCCGTCGCAGAATGGCTTCGTCATCGTCGCCGATGAAGTCCTCATCCGGTGTGGCTCTTGTCGCTCCAAGTTCGCTTTGAACACCTTCGATCCTGTTCCTGACCGTCTCATTGCCACCCTCGTCTTGATCCTCATCGCTGGAATCGCCTTCTTCATGCAGCCGCCCCGAAGTTGTGGAAAGGATCCGAGCTTGCGACCTAGCATCTTCGCCATCCGGAAGACCTCGTCCAAGACCAGTCGCTCTTCCATCGCCATTGTTTGCTCGTGCAGCTCTCGAACGGGTCACTCTGGACGGTCCTGCCTGCACTTCCGCCGGTGGATCGGCGAGAGTCACGCGTCGGCTTCGCTGCTGCTCCTTCGCACCCTCCTCTGCACGCTGCTCGGTTCGGCGCTTGGCCGGACTGAGGGACTCTTGCTTCAGCTGCAATTGTCGAGACATGCCACGCGAGCCCGTTTTGCTCGCAACCTGCTCGCTTTCGACGGCCAAATCTTCGATGGTCCCGGTAGGTTGTCGTCCAGCATTCGATCGCAGATTGCGTCTGGGCCTCGGTGTGCCCTGCCCCTCGGTCTCGGCGTCTGCCAATGCTACTGGCTCCTTCGCCTTTCCCTTTCCCTTGCCCTTTCTTCTGCTGCGCTTTCCGCCACGAGCAGCATTCTCGAGGAAGACGTCCTCTTCTTCCTCGCCTTGGGAATCGAAGCGCGACTCCCGCACTCCTGCGGCTGATCCGTCGAGAAGACGCTGATTCTTGCGACTACCGTCTGAATTGCGCCTCACCAGACGATTCTGACTATCGAAGCCCAATCTGCCTGCTTTCTCCTTCGCTGGTGAGTCGAAAGGCCCATCTCGATGTCGAAGCGGTTCCAGCGCACCATTCGCATCGCTGCTTTCAGATGGCTCGCCAACATCCGACGGCTGACGTCGGCTGTGCGTCGCGGGGCGGCCCGAGCTGTTGATTGCTGCGGAGATGCGTGCTCCTAGCCTATTATCGCGGGGGGGACTTGAAGCGACGTCGGAATCGACGCCGATGCTCGGAGCGGCGCCTTCGCCGTCGGTGGAAGACATGACGTCGAGTTCGCGCAGCTTCTGCGTGTCGGTCAACTCGACCACCGCATTACCACTCGGCAGCACCTGTGCCGGTCTCCTACGCTGAGTGTTGGGCTGCGAGTCGTCTTCGTCGAGCATCTCGTCAAGCCAGCCGGCGTAGTGAGCAGCATAGGGTTGTGAGGCTTGGGTGGACCTTGCTCTTTTCGGTGTCGACTGACTCGGTCCAGCAATCGCGCTAGAAGACTCATCGTACTTGCCGCCAACGATGGAGCTAGAAGGTGGGATGATGTCGGGAACGTCTGATGCACTGAAAACGCTCGATTCGCGTGCGAGTCGGTCGATGATCGGTGGCAGCGACGTCGAATGCATGCCATCATCGACCTCCCTCACCACATCCCTTACATATCCCGTGAGGTCGGCCGCCATATTCTGGAACGAAAAGGTTTCCCGCATGGCATCGTAGTCAAACTGCATATTTTGCAGCTCGATCTGCCGCACGTTGGCAAACGTCTCGTATCGCTGGACCATGCGCTCGATATCGGCTCTTGACATTCTGCGCTGCCTTTTGACCCGACCAAGCGAATGCCGCACAATGTCGCCGCTCATAAGGTCGATGAGGTGATCCGAGATGGCGGTGCGTCCGACGTCTTCGGCCATCTGACCAGCAAAGACCGCTTCCACGATACGCTCGAGTCGATGGATATAGATCTGAATGCTGATATCGAGGAGCATGTTGAGGATCTCGTCAGTGATGTCGGACGTAGTGGGCAATATCCATCGTAAGAAAACGCGACGAGCATCGCTGAGTTCACGGATGTTGCGGAATGGGGCACGAACGACATCGTCGCCTGTGATATGTTGGCCTCTAGCGCGTCCGTACTGCGAAGGGTCCGTGGGGAGCTGGTGGATGTAGTGGACAAAGGTGGCGCAGTTGGCCATCTTCATGGCTTCTTCGAACCCCTCTGGGGGCGATTGGCCCGATTCGCGGCGTAGTGATCGGGTGACCTCGTCGATGTCGATGAAGTGATGCATGTACTGAGCTTCGGCGAGCAGCTGATTGGTCTTGTACGATTCGAAAGGCGTCCAATTGCGAAGCATTTCGTCAAAGGACTCTGGCTGCCACATGTCGTCGTACAGGCTCATGTAGAAGTGTAGGACACCCTTGGCGTTAATGATCAGCGCGGCACAGCGCTCTTCGAGGGTGGGAATGTCCAGCCTTCCGTCCGGATGAGCGAGCGACGGACGCAGCCGCTGACCTGGACGAGCAACGCTGATGTTGGCGATAGATTCTGCGGCCACCGACTCGTCGTAATAGTGAGGTGCGCTTGCATTGGGACGTCGACTGCCACGCGACATAGTGGCCGCAGCAGACTTGTCGCTGCTTGCTGGAAACATGGTGCGCAAATCTCGTTCAGGATCAGCGATTCGAGCCAGAGGTGCTCTTTGTCTAGTTCCTACCGACGCTCGTGGGCGGTTCAATGCGCTTCCGTAGCTGAGGGTGCGGCTGGTAGGGGGAGGCCCTGCAATCGATGCTCTCGCAGGTCTTTTGCCTCGTTGGTCTTGTGCGCGGAAGCGATCAAGTGCACTCTGGGTTGTATCGATGCCAGCTGTTTCGATGCGGATGCGGCGGTTTGGACGCGGGGTAAGCTGCTCTAGGACCAGCAACTCGTCTAAAGCCTCTTGCACAACATCCTCTTCGCTGATAGCGTCGTCTGTGTCATCGAGAGGCGCCCGAGCCTTGCTGAGTGAGAGGCGCCTGTCTGAGAAGTCCTGGTAGTCGAGATCGGACGAGTCGGTCGCTATCGGATCAGGTCGATGCCTAGAAAGACCGGTGGTGGTGCGCCGTCTGGACGTGTCGCGAGCGCGTGTGCCAGAGGCAGCAGCGGATGCGGAGACGAAGGCAGGTGCGGCGATGGAGGCTCGCGTTTGCCTCGAGGTCGAAGCGGATGCTGACATTCTGAGCGCGAGGGAGGGCGCAGCACGACTGCCTGCTCCGCACACTGACGGATGTGTGATGAGAAGATGATCAGGTGGAGATTCGCTCTATGCAACCAGACCCTTTGACCCGGAAAAAGTGACACACAGCTCGCCTCAGGCAGACTACACACTTGCCGACGCGTGCACAGCTCAGCCTTGATTCACGCGTCTGTCCAGCTGCGCCTTGGATTCGGCTTCGGAATTCGGTCAGCAATCTGCCCGACAGGTCGTTCACCTTCTTCTCCACCTTCTCGGAACCCTCGACGATCGAACATGCCATGAATGTTTCTGTGAATGAGGATGTGAAAGCACTACTGGTACATCAAGACAGGAACGACGAAAGGTTATGGCAGAATGCGTCCAACCTGGGAATCATATCAAGATTGTTCGAAAAGAATCTGGCGATTCTATAGCCTGTACAGTGTTTCGGTCTCCTAGACCGAAGTGCAGGAAAAGGGTGTCCCAACGCTACCTGAGTTGTACGAGTCACGGATAGAGATGGCACTAGCCCAGATTCCAACCACACAGAGCACCACCGAGATAGCAAAGATGACGACCGCCACTGCCAGGCCGATCATCTTGCGCCACGACTCGAGCCATCGACCCTGGTTCAGGTACAGCCACATGACAGCGCTCAACCCCGTAAACATGGACCAGAACAGGGCGGCTTCCAGCCCCAAGAAGCTGGAAAAGAAGGGAATCAGGCATGCGAGAATGAAGCCTAGCACCCATGTGAGGGCGTTGATGAGAGTCCAGACGATCCAGCCGAGAGTCGTGGAGTTGTGGATGTGTTGCGGTCGTGATCGAAAGATGATCACGTACAGATGCTTGTTGGCCACTTGTCCGCTTTCGCAACCTGCAATCAGAATGGTCGGCAGCGCGAGACCGTAGGCGATCTTGCTCATCGTGACCGATAGGCTGTTTAGACTCGGCGAGCTAGTGTACTGGCCGAGGTTGTGGTAGATGACGCCTCCGACCACCAGGTACAGCACCAGCTGCACGGCTACCAGCACAAAGAGACTCTTTCGGAAGTCGGTGGGCTTGCGCATCTCGGAGATGATAGGGAGGTAGCTGGGGATGGCACCGAAGCTGACAAAGAGGTTGAGCACATAAAGGAAGCCTTCGAGGAAATCGACCGGGACACCAGGAGCGGGTCCAAAGGCTACCACCTTGATGGGAGGTGCGTTCGCCGGGGCGTTCTGAGGGCCCGTGACACCACTGGCGATCATGGCAAAGATGACCACGACAACGATCGACGTGAACGAGACAAATGCCGCGTACGAGAAGAGCTTGTACGAACGAGGAAGCGTGAAGAGGAATGAGATGACCGCGAACACGAAGGCGAGCACGACCGCACACGAGTGCCAGCCGAGAATGTGGAACGCTTGTCCTCCGAGCAGAACATGGTTGCCCTGCAGAAAGATGGAGAAGATCAGCTGAGAGATACCGAGGATCCGTGCGCCCCATGGTCCAAACATGAGGAAGCCAGCGTCTTGAAGGTTGTGTACGCCAGGGAAACGCATCTTGAGCTTCCAGTATTGGTAGCCGGTGTAGTAGCAGATGTAGGCGAACATGAACGTGAGCAGCACGAAAGGCACGACGCCAATAGCGACGGCTACCTTCGGAATACTGAGGATACCAAGCGCGATGGCATATGCGACTTGGTTGAAGAAGGCACCTTTCCAGCCAAGTGTCTTGGGAATGGCGCCATGGTCATGTGCTTTTTGCTGCTGCTCTTGTGCTTTGGTGACCTCTTCGATGTCGCTGACCTGGACATTTTGACCCTTTTCGGTGGTCTCGTACACTTGTGCGCCTCGTTCTCCTAGCAATTCAAACAGGTAGCTGTCTTGCCACGACTTAGCTCGCTCTCCTGAAGGGAAGAGGAAAGACCTGCCGACGGGATGGGATGTCTCGGCTTTACGCTCCGGAGATGGTGAATTGCTCCTGCGAGAAGCTGCGTTTAAAATGCGAGTGTCGGCGCTCGATGCGTTGATGCTATCACCGCTCAGCCGAGCCGGCGTCGCTTGATTCGGGGTAGCCATCCTGAAGAGTGGACAACTGAGGCGCCTAATTGAAGCCCGTGTGATGATGAAGAGATGAAGCGCCTGATTGTCGTCCGGAAGATTGTCAGGAACGGAGCTTTTCTTGCCCTGCTGGACGACAGCTTGGGTCGAGTCGCAGATAGAAGAATAGACGGGGCGCCGAGTTGGTCCGGAGTCGACTTTGGAGTGATTGCGGCCGATTCTGATGAAGTCCGTGCAAAAGCGGATACGAACGGCTTCCGGTAGATGCGCCAAAGGGTTGCGTCTGATGTGGGAGTGGATTAGGAAAGGTGGCCGAATGTGGTGGTGAGAGGAAGGACGTGCAGACTGAACGGACCAAGGGCTGGTTGGACAATCCGAGGTTGGAGGTCAACGGAAGAGCCGACAGAAGCGAAGAAGGAAAGGCAAGGGTACAGTTTGGAGTTCCCTGCAGTGAGGTGTCGTGACTCGCTTCAGGACGGAATGCGGAGTCCATCGTTGTCAGAGAGGCTCTGTCACGTTCTACATCGACGCAGAAGCTGCGCTAGGGGTTTTGCAACCACAGCTTCCTCGCTCAAGCCGGAGCCCTCGCGAGCCGGACTGTATAGTCCTCCACTCTCTTGGCCCCTGAGTGCCTGTACGCTGAGTCTCCGCCGAGAACGAACGCAAAGCTGGGAAGTGAAGTAACCACACCTGGTACTTCATTGCTTCAGCCGAGGTGTGTGATACCGTGTATACAGCTGCCCAGACCAAGTCTCTTGACCGCCAGGAAGTCTTCGTACTCTGGTCATGTGGCCGATTTGCACCCGCAGGATCACGCAGTTCTCGGAACCAGCCCGCTCAAAGCGTGCGCTTGACGGCTGTTCCGACACGGTAGATCTACAAGCCAATCACAGAATTAGTTGAATTCTCGCATCTCACTGGCCACACCCGGCGACTTAGGAGAGTATATTGTTAATACAATCGATGGTCGAGCCTTTTTCCTGCTGCTCAGTGCGACGTTCCCTTCCTTGAAAGCAGCTCTTGAGGCTACTATACGTAGCTTCCTGTCAGCATTCAGAATCTGACGAGTACACCATGATCCCTTAGGATTCGTGTTTCGACCTGGCGATTGAAAAGCGAAGCAACAGAAGTTGTCCTTGACAGCCGCCGCTCGAAAAATCTTCCGAACAGCAGAAAAAAATTAAATTGACCCACGGCAATGCACGCGCAGCGCAACGTCAGCTGGTCGAAGGCTCGCTTAAACTTCCGATGCACCGAGTTGGTGGCGCAGGATTTCTGCAGTGTGCGAATCAGATCTCTCTCCCTAGACTGCAAATGGGAGGAAAATTTCTTCGCGGTCGACAATGGTGAAGCGTTACGTCGCTGCGATTAGTCGTAAACTGAGGGAGCAAGCCGTTCGATTGTCCGCGCCGAAGGCCCCTTTCCTTCTCATGGATGATGTGGTCTTTGCATCTCTGTGTCGCGAGCCTGTGCTCGGCGGACCTTCTTCCTTCAAGTCAAACAGATGGTATGGAGAGCAAAGTTGCAATCACAGACCTCGCTCAAGCTTTGGGACTTGCCTTCGAGAAGCTAGAGATGCGAGAAGAGCCTGCTGGCTGGTTGCCGAGCCGCAAACAGTGGCTTCTCCCATCGAGACGGCGGCAGCATCAACGCGGCAAATTGATCGGCTTCGTTTAGAGACCTTCCTACGTTTATTTGGACAAGCGGAAATTGAAATGTCAAAACGAATTCCAGTGTTCAGCTGCGCTGTCACAAATGAGCGCTTCGGAATCTGTTCCGACACAGCAAATCGCGCTGTCACTTCTTGGCAAGACAACAGAATCGTGCCAGTGTCTCCCGGTCTTGCCAGATCATCAGGCGGAGGCTGCAACGCTAGTGGATCAGGATCGATCCTTGCCAGCAGACCCGATTCAGCTCGATCCACTTCACTCTGCTCCGGGGCAGGGACCAAAGTGGTTTCCAGCCTCCGTGGACAATAGATACCGTGGACAATATCACAAGAGTCCATTTGCGGGGAAGATAACGTTGACATCTTGGACACCTCAACTATCCGGCATGTCTGCATGGCATGCGCATCGAAGCTGTGGGGTAAAGCTTCTTTGAGCTCAACGTGGCTGACGAGGCACTGTATGAAGTGAGAATGAGGTTGAGGCTCGGACGGGTTTTGGCCGCTTAGACCGACGGTCTGGTGCTTCCGCCCGATGCCTCTGCTGAGAAGGACCTCCCGATGGGCGCAGTCAAGCGATTTGTAAGAATCAACCCGTCAAAGCCTTCTGAGCCGAAGTGCAGGACGTCATGATCCCAGCTCCTGGTGCTGTATCCATAGCATAGCAGCTACTGAATTGACGCCCATGTATGCAGCAGCCTCTCGATCTCGACAACACAGGCATGAGTTCACAATCGAGCACGTGCAAAAGAATTCAGAAGCGGACACAGTACATGTAACGATGCTGCATTCCAACAGACCGGATGACATCCCTCAGACGCCAATCAGCTTCTTGGCGATCGAAATCTTGTACATGGGCTGCCACCAAATCTGGATCTCATCGATGCTCGAGATGCATGCGAGCGCCGTCGCCCATCCTGGTCCAACAAACCCTTCTCCCGCCACCCGTCCATGCGCCGGCAGTACGAGCCCAGGCGATCTTTCGTCCTGACTACTGATCGCCTGTGGAGGACGCAACGGCCACGGCGTGTGTTTGCGGAACCCAGCAGGCGGTGGACGCCATGCCACGCCGCTTCTGCCCGGATCGTCGATGAATGCCCTCCATGTGATTTGTCCACGCGGAATGTTGGGATCGCCTAGCACCTTGACTGCTTCGAGAACCCGCGCGCCGACACGTGCTGCACTTCGTCGATTGATCCGTGTCTGCTCGTACATGTCATCGTCCGACAGCAAAGGCTCTGCGGGCCATGCTGGCAGCCGATCGTCGGGCTCAAAGTCGAGCGAGGTTAGCTCTCGGGCCCGAATGTAGAGCAGCTCGATTCCGTGAGGACCGTAGGTCATGCTGTAGAGCCCTTCAACGGCACTCCAGTCAAAGTCGACGTGTGCTGGATCGAGACGCGGCGGCAGAGGCAGGTGTTGATACGCCACCGAGTCTGTCGAGCTGATCGCAGGCTTCGGCAGTGCCGATGAGCGTCTGGGATTGCAGATGGGAAAGAAGCGCGGTCCATTTTCGAGAGCATGAGCTTGAATCGGCCACGGTCGGTACGGTGGCGGAGGACTCATGACGAGACAGTCGATCGTCAACCTTTCGCCCTCGATCAGCCATCTGCGGTTCGCTGACATCGTCTCCCAGATGTCAGAGACGCCAATTTGTACGCTTCCGAGGCGACTCCAAGGCGGCGAGCGGATGGCCGGAAGCAGCGCCGGCGGAGGAAAGATGGTTGGAGGCCGTGGCGTCACGACCAAAGGGGATTGTACGAAGGCGGCGTTGCGCTCGTTTGCATGTACATATGGCTGCCAAGTATCCGTCGAGACACGCACGTCAACGTCCTCTGCACCTTCGTCCAGACGCGCCGAAACGGCGTCCGAGAACGGATAGACGTGGTGCTCGGCATCATCCACAGCGTGTCTGTGCGGGCCAGCCATGAGTCGCCTCAAGATGTCCTGGGCCGGATCGTCCTCCTCGAGGTCGAAACCCAAGTTGAAGAAGTCGGGTGCTCGAGCCATTTGTCTCACAACCCATCCCTCTTCGACTTCGTCTTCAAGCAGGTCCGCTTCATCCTCGTCCTGGTCATCGTCATTAAGGACTATGGTGGCTGCACGAGGGATGCGGGGTGGTCTGACGGGTGCATCTTGAGGGTCCAGACTCCTGAGCCAAGATTGACTCGAGATATGAGCTCGGATCGCGCCCCTACTATCGCTTTGGCTGATGGTTCCAGTCTCCGGATGTGATGACGACGACGATGACGATGACGATGATGATGATGATGATGATGTTTTACTTGGAGGCGCGACGAGCTTCGCGGGAAGAATGCATTGGCGCCGGACATCATCCCAGCTGAAATGCCACAAATCCTCTGTTCGGATGCCTGGCTCGCAGAGATCGGTACGAATTTGCGTCAAGCTCCGCCTGAGGATGGTGCCTTGACCTATCACTGCTGAGTTGGCTGGCATCGGAAAGCCCGTGACCTCGGACCATCGCTCCCTATCGTTGTCGAGGCCTTGAAGACGGTTGGTTGGGTAAACCCGCTGGCAGACGATTGAGGGCGACGATTTCATCGCACCGGCAGAGGCAGAGGGATTGAAGGCCGGGGCGCTCGGAGTGGACCGGGATCCGTCGTCTGTAGAAGCTGTCGCGTGCTCGATCGCGTCGCTGAAATGCATGTCGAGGACGATGCGGATGACCATGCCGTAGAACGGCACATCGGCAGCCCACCATCCCAGCAAAGCCTCAGCGACTCGAATGAAAGAGGCGTAGACCTGGTAAAACGATATCGCATCCTGAAACTGATGTAGGTCCAGGTCAGGCTCGACCGGTTTCGAGCGATCAGCAGGGTCTTGGTGAACATACTCGCGTAACGTCGGCCAGGAGGGAGGATGGACGACGTCGGCTTGCAAACCAAAGTCGGGATGCCAGAGAGGCAGTGCGGACTCGAGGGGATGAATACCTGGACCATGTACTGGAGGACTTAGCGAGTAGATGGCACGTGTGACGAAGGGCTTCCACAGAACGTCCTGCAGCGCCACCTGGCGAATCCGGGAGCTGGTAGCTGAGAGTCGTGCCAAAGCAGCAGCATCGAGATGAGCGAAAATGTCCAGCAGAATCTCGTGGGGAAGTTGCTCGATTGCACTGAATGTAGTGTCCGCGGCCGCCATCCTGCGGCGGCCGTCAAGCCAGCCCGGTTCCATGATGGTCTCTCCTCCGCCGCTAGGTCATGGCAGATGCGCGAGGAAGAGCGCGACAGACGAGGAGGTCAAAAGATGCAGTAGCACAAGGAGCGCTCGCGATGTTGATCAGCCCGACATCAGCAAGAGCAGGATTCACCGGTCGAACTCCGTCTGGGATCTCGTGATGGGTGCAGTCGCTGATTCTTAATATACGCTGTAAGACGATGTCGTCGATCAATGCGGTGTCGCTCCGTATCGCCATTCAGCGACTTCCGGCGAAATGGAGGACACGAGGACAAGAGTCGTTCTGAAGGACGAGCAGTGATGGATCGTGCGAATGGATGGAGCTGGGTCACGTAGCAGGCCCGAGCTCGAGGCCGGAGGACATGTTGCAAAGCTACAGTTGGCGAAGCGTCAACCTGACATGTGGAGGAAAGTTAGTTAAGTTAGTTGACGTGCATGGCCGTATTCACGCTCGCATCGCATCGCCTCGCCTCACCGCCGGTCACAGAAAGCAGAGGCGTGGGGGCGAGATCGTATCGTCGCTCTCGCTCGTCCCGATCGTTGCAAGGGATCCAAAGACCCTTGCTTCCGAATCTAGGCCGCGGTGGGAATAACTTAAGTGGAATTGTGGGCGGATGTCTCCGTGAGGCGTACAATATTGCCGTCAGAGATGCGAGCGCTGCTGACTTTTCGGATTCGGATTCGACGGGCTTGCCCTTCTCTTCTTGTGTCCGCAACTGGGCCAGAAAATGCTCGGAAATTGTTGGGATGTCGCAGAGTGCAATACCGTAAATTCTGTCGATTTTTGTTCTTTGCACCCTGAGCAGCTAGATAGAGCCGAGAAGAATCGATTATCTCCTAAGCTCACGTTTTGAGCAGCGCGCGAATTTTCTACAGATCGGGCTCAGCACGGCCGCCACTCTCTCGCGGAGCAACACACCGAAGAGCAACGAGAGCGAGCGTGTGTTGCAAAGGCGAGGCGAGGCGAGGCTTTTCGACATAATTGACCGACGTGCCTCACGTACCACCTTGCCATCTGCCAACCACCACCATCGATCTCTCCCGTTGTCACTGCATCTCTTGCTGCTTGCTTGAGATCATCCATCCTACCTCAACTCACACAATGATTGCTGGTCTCTTGTCGCGATCGTCGGTTGCCCCGGCGAGGGCGTTCCAGGCCTCGACGCTTCCTCGCGTTGTTTCGGCGCTCCCGCGTGTCCACAGCCGTGGTCTCGCCACCGGTGCTGAACCGTATGATGTCGTCGTCATCGGAGGCGGCCCTGGTGGCTACGTTGCTGCTATCAAGGCGGCTCAGCTCGGTCTCAAGACCGCCTGCGTCGAGAAGCGTGGCTCGCTCGGAGGCACGTGCTTGAACGTCGGCTGCATCCCTTCCAAGGCCATGCTCAACAACTCGCACCTCTACCACCAAGCACAGCACGACTTCAAGAACCGCGGTATCGACGTTGGCAACATCTCGCTCAACCTCGAGACCATGCTCAAGGCCAAGTCGAGCGCCGTCACCGGCCTCACCAAGGGTATTGAGGGCCTCTTCAAGAAGAACAAGGTCGACTACCTCAAGGGTGCCGGTAGCTTCAGCAGCCCCACCACCGTCAAGGTCGCTCTCAACGATGGCGGCGAGACCGAGGTCGAGGCTAAGAACATCATCATCGCCACCGGTTCCGAGGTGACGCCCTTCCCCGGCATCGAGATCGACGAGAAGCAGATCGTCTCGTCCACCGGTGCGCTCGAGTTGCAAAAGGTACCCGAGAAGATGATCGTCATCGGTGCCGGTGTCATTGGTCTCGAGATGGGAAGCGTATGGAGCCGTCTTGGAGCCAAGGTCGAGGTCGTCGAGTTCCTCAACGCCGTCGGCGGTGCAGGTATCGACGGTGAGATCGCAAAGAGCTTCAAGAAGACGCTCGAGAAGCAAGGTCTCAAGTTCCGTCTCGGCACCAAGGTGATCGATGCCGAAAAGAAGGACGGCAAGGTGCTGCTCAACGTGGAGGATGCCAAGTCTGGGGAAAAGTCGCAGCTCGACGCCGATGTGGTTCTCGTGTCCATCGGCCGTCGCCCCGTCACCAGCGGTCTCAACCTCGAGGCGGTCGGAATTGAGAAGGACGAGCGCGGACGCATCGTGGTCGACGACCAGTACAACACCACCTGCAAGGGCGTCAAGTGCATCGGTGACGCTACGTTCGGACCCATGCTTGCGCACAAGGCCGAGGAGGAGGGCATCGCCGCCGTCGAGATCATCAAGGCCGGACACGGCCACGTCAACTACGCCGCCATCCCCGCTGTTGTCTACACGCACCCCGAGGTCGCTTGGGTCGGCAAGAACGAGGAGGAGCTCAAGAAGGAGGGCGTCGAGTACAAGGTGGGCAAGTTCCCCTTCCTGGCCAACTCGCGTGCCAAGACCAACGCAGACTCGGACGGAACGGTCAAGTTCCTCGTCGAGAAGGAGACCGACAAGGTTCTCGGCGTGCACATCATCGGCCCCAACGCCGGTGAGATGATTGCCTCGGCGGTACTTGCCATCGAGTACCAGGCTTCGGCGGAGGACATCGCCCGCACCTGCCACGCGCACCCTACCCTGTCGGAGGCCTTCAAAGAGGCTGCCATGGCCTCCTACTCGAAGGCCATCCACTTCTAGAGTGCTCAAAAAGCTCGACACGAACAACGTGCTTTTGCAGCATCGACTCATCCCTTGTATCGCACCGCGATCCATGTGTACTGTATAGATCGGCGGCTAGTTTCACCGTAAAACCCTCATCATCGTTTTCACGTATTCGCTGCGAATTTGGCAGTCGATGTGTGTCAAGTCAAAAGCATGGCGTGGAAAGAGCTGCATCAAGCTGTCGTCCGTGTTGTTGAATGTTTGTATTTTGGCAGCAGCTCTCTGCGCGATGGTCGACAAATTGCAGTGGATGAAAGGCTGGTCGGCAACGGAAATGCAAGACAACGCTGGCTGGCTGTCTTGTGTGTGTGAATGTGCGTGGCTAGCCGTCGTCTCGGCTACCGGCGATGGTCGAGCGCCGCAAGTTGACCGAACCAGACTGTGACAACCACCGGGCGCGGCGACACACGCGCCCTCAACTCACGATTGCACCAATGGAGCACAATCACTTCGCCCTGAGCTTCATCTTCCGTCAGCTTCTCGTCAACACTCAGGCTTTCGAGAGAAGGATGTAGGGCAACAAAGCTGTTCGCTGGCCAATCGAACGAAACGTAAATCGTATCGATGGGACATCCGCCTCTGCGCTTTTGTTATTCCATTCACTCCGAGAGTCCACTTCTTGTGTGGGTCACCGAGCAGCCGGGACTGACAGTGAATAGTAAGGTAGGTGGTACTGTAAGCCACGTATAGGCGCAGGAGCTAAAAACAAGTCAAGAGAGCGGTCAAATCCGATTTCATCTGCCGAGAGCGCTGTCCCGCTTCGTCTCGCGTAAGACGCCTCCTCAGTTTGACAGATCTGCACCGGCGAATCAGGAAGCTCTCTCGTGGCCGTTTCCCACAATTTACCGTTTCCATAGAGGGTCCGTCGTGATCTGCACCTGAGGTGAGACGCGCTTTTTCAGCTCGATTGGAGCTATTTTTCCCGCGTGCAGCCTTGTGTGTCCCGCCGATTCACTGGACAGAAGCAGCTTGGCGGCCTGAGTGAGAAGCAAGACGCAGCAGCCAAGCAGCAATTTCCTCTACCCCGGCTTTCGGTGCGCACAGAGGCTTTCCCATCCGTTCTTGGTGAAAAAGCGAAGGCGGAGGTGTCCACTTCGCGTGCGGGCTTCGCTAAGTAAATCTCTGCAGTTGGCCATTCGTGCATCTCCGCTGCGGCTAGCGCTGCTGGTGCTGCTGCTGCCACGACTCACGAACTTCTTTTTGGCCTCCGCCAAAACGATCACGTTTGAAAGTCACACCACCGCCTGGGTTCTTTCTGGATCAGACAAGACAATCTTCAAGCTCAGCTCAACCTTTCTCTGTACCGCCCTCTGCATCCGAACAATTCGCGTCCGTGCCTCTGGATCCATCTCCACTTGACCTTCTTCCACCACGACCGCCCTTCCCCCTCGTCGTACACTTCCGCTTTGCTTGGTCCGACACGCTCCCTACACTCATCCTCCAAGCGCTCCTTCCGTCAGTTCAAAGTGCGTCCTTCTTGTCGTTGTACTCTGACACCCAAGGTTTGGAACAGCCGAGAGCTCGCCAGGCCCGCAAGCAGGACTTTCATATCGCAACCCACTCACGCGCGCTTCACATGAACGACTGCCAATGAAGACGTCGACCAGCGAATAAGTCAAGGCAAGCCTCTTTTCGCGGCGTGTGCACGCATGCTCCTCGAGATAATCTACATCGAGCTTTTGTAAGCTAGGTGTGTCTCAACCTACTTTCACCTCGACTCGGCCCTCACGCTGTGCTGTTTAATCAGCCCGACTTTCGAGGCTTCGGTACTCGCGCCAACAAAGCCAAACCGTCTCTCTGCTCTGGTAATCGCACGACAATTCGACAGGGGACTGCACACTGGCTCGCACAGCTTTCGTTGGACCTTCATCCGAGACCCACTGACTGCCACAGCATTGCATCACGCTGCGTGACACCGGACTCACACACGTCACCGCGCCCCTGCCTGTAGACGCACTACCCACGTTCCTCACGCCAAGAAAGTTGAAAGGCATCACCGCCCACCTTAGCTTGCTTGTGGGAGGGTGCATATCGCATTCATTGTCCCATCAAGATTCGACTTCATAAGCTGCAAGTGCCTCAAGTTGCAGCTGCTTTTGAAGAGCCTTTCCGTCTTCGCCATGTCGTCTCCCGAATCCACACAGTCGCCGTCGGCGGACATGGACCAAGACGACAAGCCGCGTGTACTCGTCGACGGTCCTGGAGGTGCCGAAACCAAGCAGGGCGCCAAGATTGCTTGCCTCGAGTGCAGATCGGCCAAGATCAAGTGCTCTGCGCCCACCGACGGCCAGGTCCCATGCAAGCGCTGCGTCAAGCATCAGAAAGAGTGTCTTTTCGAGAAGCACAAACGCGGTCGAAAGCCAAATAAGCGCTTCTCGGTGCCGTCGGACCTGCGAGCAGCGGCACGTCGCAGCAGCGAGGGCACGTCGTTTGAGCATTCCACTCGTCCAACCTCGTCCGGCGGCCGATCCGATTCGCATCACACCATGTCGCATCACAACAACGAGCAGCGCCAGCGCAACTCTCGCAATGGTCGCGGCACTCCCGACAGAGCTCCGCACACGCACCAGTCCACTTTTGGCTCGAACCAAGGAAGCGCCGCCAGTCGTCAACACTTCGGAGATGCCAGTTGGAAGCAAGGCAGCAGCTTCGGCCCGCCCGCACAAAGCAGAGGTTTGCAAGCGTCGCACTATCCTGACGACCGCTTGCATAGCACGGCCGACAAATACCCTAATGGTGGCATGTCGACGTCCATGTCGGCGCCTTCCACTCTCGCTCAGTCGAGCATGCCGTATGGCTACCCGCAGTCGATGCATCATGCACCACCGCTCCATCCGCAACCGCATTCACATCAGGCTCAGCATCACCAACATCAACATCAGTTGTCGCATCAACATCAGCACTCGCATCAGCAGCACCAGCACCAACATCAGCATCAGCCATCACAACCACCGTCCTCGTATCCGCAAGGACGTCACAGCTCCGATCATCCCAGTCCTGGACGCTGGCGCGATCATCCGCAGTCTCAGGCTGTCTCCTCCCCACACAGCTCTCATTCTGCCGCCGCTGCTGCCAAACAACACGATGGCTTTGCTCATGCACACAATCGACCTTATCCACACAACGCCCCAGCGCCGAGCCACAGCTACGCACACTGGGACAGTCAGCTCGGGTCCGAGAGAAATCATAAAGCCAAATTGGAACTCTCTCCTTCAAGGCGTACAGACACTTCTGCACTACAGGGTCAGCAGCAGCACAAAGCGAGCAACTCGATCTCACACTACGCCACTCATACTGACAACACCAAGACGCAGAAGCTCCAATCCTCAAACAGTCAGCGCAGCTCATCCAAAGGCCGAATCCAGCGTCGTGATGCGCCGCCGTCCTCACAACACCAGCATTCTTCAAGTCGAAGCGGAGCATACGACCACGAAGCGGAAGAAGATTTCGAGGACGAGCAGGATGAGCTCGAGGATGATGCCGACGCCACTCGCGAGGAGCACGACTACGTGCTTTCCAACCCGCTCAAGTTGCTGGCTCAGGCCTCTGATGCAGCTGCTGCCCGCATCGAAGGCGGGCGCGTCGAGCCTGGCAGCCGAAGTTCTTTGGCGGCGGTCGAAACCATGGGTTTCCTTCAGCCCACTTTGCCTTCCAACCGTATGGCTGTGAGCGCTGCAGTCAACTTGACTGGCCTCGGTCGTCCTCTCTACGGACGAAGGGAGGACGACCTTGCACGTGCGCAGCGCGGCTGGCCCTCAAGCCGCGTGCTTCCTCCCCTGCTCAATCCGAACCGAGCAGCACTTCCGAGCGACGAGGCAAGTCCCGATGCTTCCACTCGTAGTCAGCCAGCATTCCTCAAGGACACCATGCGTTCCAAGTCGTTTCCAGAAGGCGAGCTTCCGAGACTGGACCCTCCCACTTCTCTGGACGAGCAAGAATCTGGTGCCTTTGCGGCTGCTGCTTCCAGCAGCAGTCAGGCGTCTGCGGCAAAGGTCACGTTAGGCGCAACTCTTGGCCGACCCAACGTCCTCACTCCTTCCACTCTGGATCACGAAGCTTGGGAGTACCGCGAAGGCAAAGCACAAGCGCGTCGCGGATACGGATCTAGTCCTGGAGGTGTTAGCGGCGATGCTGTCACTACAGGCAGCAGCGTCTCCGCTGGTGCGACCACGGGCCAAAAGCAGGGCGCTGTTTCCGCCATGAATGGAGCTTCACCCGGCGAGATGATCGAGTCTCCCGCCGACGAGGTCACGACAGCCATGCTGGGTAAACGCAAGCGAGGGCGCTCCCGTGCGGCCCGCGGTGGAGGCCTCCCTACCCGTCGCAGGAGGCTTGCTGAATGGGACACAGATGCAGAGAACGGCGACGGTGTAGATGAGGAAGGCATACCGGACACCGCCAAGGGCAAGCAGGTGACTATCGTGACCATCGCACCACGCAAGGATGCTGGCGGCGTCACTTCCGGCGGCGAAGGCGAAGCTGGTGCCTCCCGCAAAGGCTACTTCAATTTGAGCTTGTTCCACAGCAAGAACGACGATACAGAAGGCTTGGACCCCGTCGAGCTTGGCTTGGTCGAGCTGAAAGAGCTCGAGAGGCTCTTCGACGTCTTCTTTGCACGCATCAACCCGGTGCTGGATCTCTTCGACCCTTTCCTTCACAGTGTCGCGTTCGTACGTATGCGCTCGGCTTTCCTCACAACTGTAATTTCGGCCATGGCTGCTCGCTTCTCAGATACACCGCAAGATGCGAAACTTGCCTCGACACTAGACAGGCACTGGCAAGAGAAGCTCCTCCCGATGATCTTGCTCGGCGGCCACAAGAGCGTGGAGATTAGTCAAGCTTTTTTGATCTTGACCACATACAGTCGCCCAACGAACCGCCTCGTCGACGATCGCTCCTGGCAATACCTCGGGTTCGCGATCCGCACAGCCACCGAGGTCGGTGTGAATCGCAAGGTCACCCCTAGCGAAAATCTGCTCGGCAACGAGCAGGTGGCTCGCCGCGTTCGCAACCGCGAGAGGCTCTGGTACAACCTCTTCCTTTACGACCGAACGTTGAGCGCTCAGACCGGTCGACCATGGACTATATCAGAAGACCGAATGATCGTGCAGAGCTCCATGTGGCATCGACAGGACTTTGCGCTGCCTGAGGACGTCTCGCTGGTCAGCTTGATTAAGCTGCGTCGCATCACGGCTCAACACACCGAGGCCTTCGACACGTACCTGACAAGCCCGGATCGCTTCGATGAGACGCAAACGGCAACAGCCCTGGGCGTTGGTGGCCAGAGCATGTTCGATCGCCGCCTCGCAGGTCTCGAATTCTTTCGCAAGAATGCCAACGCCGACCTGGAAAAGTGGAAGGAGACTTGGTGCATCAACACGGAGGATAAGATCAAAGAGGTCGACACGAGCGCGGCAGCCGGCAAATATCTAGTTCGATGGGCGCCCACCGCCAAGCTCTTTTACTACCATTCACGCCTTTTGATCAACTCGCTGGTCCTCGGTTCTACGGAACAGTACGAAGGCTTCCTTTCTGGATCCTCCGTGTCTGTCGATTGCTGGACGTCTGCCATCTCGCTCATCGACACAGTGCTCAACGATTTCACCGAGGAATCTCTGGTGACGTGGTCCAACGATCGAGTGGTGATGGCGGTTTATGCTGCTGTATCCGCCGTGCGCATGACCAACATGCAGCACAAATACGCTTTCGCCGACAAGGAAACGCTACTTGCGCTCGTCCGCCGTCTCGCGACCAGCATGACGAATGCAGGCAAGACGCCGCGACACCGCAACGGCTCTGCCACGCCCTACGGCCGTTACCTCAAGTCTGTTTTGGCTGCGTTTGAACCCGAGAATTCGGTTTCTGCTGCTGCAGCGACGACGCAGAGTGGATCGAGTGCGACAGCGCAAACGCCGGGCAAGGACAGCGAGCAGGCGACGTCGGTGACCACCAGCAGCCTTGCGCCCGGCGATAGTCGATCTGCTGCTGCTACTCCGACAGCCGCCATGGTCGTAGCAGCGCCTCCTGTCGCCGTTGCGGAGGGTCTATCTCAGGGCACCTTGGACGAACACGGAGCGAAGAAAGACGACGGAGCAGGTGGAGTCAGTTCGCAAGATGACTCGGTCGCAGGTGCCACAGTGGAAGAAGGCGTCAGCGGCACGGTCGAGGATGGAAACGGTGCAAACGCCGTCTTGAAAACGGAAGGTTCGGCCGGTGGAGGCGACGTGGCTAGCTCTTTGGCTCAGGTTCCGTTGATTGTGGCTGATGGCGACAGCATGGACATCGATATTTCGGCCGCTGCGTCTCAACTGGCAGCTGCGGAAACCAGCTTTGACGCTCCGAGCAGCATGGAGAAGCTGCTCACTGAGATGCCGATCGACGGCACTGTGGCGGTCACCAATGCTGGCGGCATGCTCACTCCGGTCGGTGGAACGAGCGCAAACAACGTCGCTTGGCCTGTCGACATATCTAGGCCAGCTTCATCGGCCCAGTCGTCCTCGGTAGGCGGTGCCGATGGCACGAATCTACTCGTTGCGCCAGCGTCGAATCTCTTGCTCTCTACATCCCTCTCACCCACAGCCCTGGGAGCGAGCGAGGCTACGTCTGCAGAGGCTGGAGTCGATGCGGTGGCGGCCGCCGTTGCTGCAGCTGGTATGCCCGACGTGGTGGACGATCCCGAGTCGCTGGAACGCATGTGGAACTACATGACGTCCTTCGAGCACACGTCGTTCTGGCAGCCTCAGAGCACGTGGAATTCGTCGGGGCTGGGAAGCAACGGTGGCGGGCAGGGTCACGCGGGTGGGAACGGTCCGTGAGGGGTGGAGTGGCTCGCAGGACATGCTACGGCGTTGTGCGGGAAGAGTCGACACCCTTGTCGGTGGACGATGTGGGCGGTTCATTCAGTGTGCAGTCATTTTTTGTAGGAAATAATGTTTGTTGCGACGTAACGGGGTTAAGATCTTCTTTACATGATGTCTTGGAAGGTTGAAGAGGCGTTCAAGTTGAGAGGATGGCGGGGATCTCTGGTTCCGGCGAAGCGGGGACGGGCGCCTCTACGAGCAGATCGTAATGTCCCGGCCTGAGCAGCATTGTGCCGATCTCAGTGATCTGACCGCCTTCGACTTCGAACCTGACGACGTCGCAGCGATCCGGATGTTCCGCCGCCGATCTCCTGTCCTGCGCATCCTTCCCAGGAACGGCTATTGATGCTGACGAAGAGCCCTCTTCTGCGTTTTCGGTGGAAGTGTGAAGGGTATCGACTTCAGGGGGGAATTCTTCATCGATGGGTGTCTCGGGAGGAGCGTGTTGCGGGGAGAGGTAGGCGACGTCCAAGCTGACCTTGAGCGCGCGCGAGAGGGCGGTGATCTGAACGTGATCCGCCTCCTTACCAATGGCTTCCACGTGGTTGGCGCAGAAGCTAGCCATATCCGGTGGTGAGGCATCATCCACGTTGTCGAGCGAGAAGAGGAAAGGGGTGTATTCGTCGGCGTTGAGTTTGAGGAAGGCCGAGGTGAGGAGACGCAGGTAGACGACGATGGAGTTGGAGTGTTCCGGATTGTTCATGGTCTCGACGAGGGCGTGTTCGTTGAGCTCTTTGGATTCGGGATCGGTCGAGTACATGCGGGCGAGCAAGTTTTTGAGGGGCTCGTAGAAGTCGGTCACCACGTCTTCGTCGAACCCTGCCTGTTTGAGCAGCTGCAGCGTGGATTCCACGTGCTTGACGGTGAAGTGGTGCATGGGTCGATCCTTCATGGTCATGATCTTGTAGATGAAGGCGAACGCGAAGGCGCGATAGAAGCAATCTCCATCTCCCTTGGCACGTCGCAGACCGATGAACCCTGCTTCCTCCTTCAGCCACCTAATCTTGCCGAGGAAGGCGGGATTGGACGCATACTCCTTCTCGAGCACCTCGATGGGTTCGACGGCGGAGATGAGCGGCTGGTGAGAGTTGGACTCATCCTGCAGACGAGAGGCGAGTTCGAGACGTTGGGCGTCGGTGAGCGTGGAGAGGTCGGTGTCTGCGTTGATGCCTTCCATCTTGAAGAAGCCTTCGGGGAAATGGAGACGGTGTGAAGGGTGTACGTGGATTCGAGATCTCTACCCCGGCGTTGATGATGTGTGAAGCGCTTATGATAGCGAGAACGTAAAGAACGGGCTGTGGCTCGACCTATTCGAGAGGCCACTTGAGACGCAATGGGGTGAAATGTGATGTAAGCAATGCTGTGCTTTCGCGGCGATCTCAATGTAAGAGCTAGAGCAATCAAAATATGGTGTGGATGATGGAAAGAAGAATGAAAGCTCCTTACCTTGCCGAGTGTGTGTGTGTGTGTGTCGTGCTGCTCAGTAGCGTGAATTGGGTTGTGTGTGTGGAGCACGGCGGTCCACAAGAGCAGATCGGCAGCCGAATCGTTTTTCAAGATCACCAATTTCGCACACGGCAGCGGTTGTTCAGCTTAGAAATCTCCAAGTCGAATTCCATAGAAAAGCTGTCGCTACGGTGGCCCGTCCGTTTTGGGATTTCAGCTGCTGTCCGAAATCATCATCAGGCATGAAAGGCAGGTCACGCTTCTCATCTCGCGAGAGGAAAATTTCGAATCGGGCAGAAAATGGTTGAGATAACGAGGTGGAGATGTAACATTCTCATAGCTTGTCAACATTGATTCTGTCTGTTCTTCCGGTGCAAGTGGACATGGTCTAGACAGTCTTCTGCCTCTCCTGCTTCTTCAGCTTGCGCTCCATCTCGAGAAACGCCTTCATCGTGGGATCCAAATCGCTGATGACGCGATCCACCTCGCGTTGCGCTCGTTCCTTCATATCCTCCTTCGACCCCGCACTGCCGTCCGAAGAGGGATAGTCTCCCAGCAGATCTTGGCGCCACTCTTGTCGCGTCACTGGTGGTGAGAGCTGCGTCAGCTGAGTGCGAACGGACGAGAGCCGCGAGTGAAAGTCTTCGAGGTCTTCGGCGTAGATGTCGTAGGCGCAGTGAGCGCAACCGGACATGCAGCATTCCTCCGGTCCTGGAGGTGGAGGTTTGAGTGGGATCACGATCCCGCGAACCACTGTTGGTCCCATGCTCGTCTCTGATGGAGCACCTGCGGGCTTGACCTCGGAAGCCGAGTCGGCTGTCGAGGGGGTTGTCACTTCGGCGGGCGTAGCTCCTCTTGTGAGATCAACACCGGATTTACTTTCAATCTCAATCGTGTTGGCAGGCGTCTCTTGGATCGACGTTGAGCCTGTTGGATTCGAAGCTAGCGATTCGACTTCGTCGCCGACTTTGGTAGAGCCGGTTGAGGGATCGATGTTTTCGCTCGACAGAACGACCTTGGATCGTGGGAAACGATCAGCGAGATTTCGTCCATATCTGCGTCCCCCACGGCGATCTTGTTGCAGTTGCGCTGCTCGAAAGGCGCTGTGAAATTGTCTCCGTTGCTCGGGTGATCCGAACGGGCTGTTTGCTCGACCGGCATCTACAGAAGACCCCATGTTTCCAGCTTCAGCGGCAGGCCCAAGCTTATAGTCTGATTCAATGGCCTCGAAGAGTTTGCGGCAGCTGACGTGAGCCTTGAGACGCGCACAGAGCAGGAAAGCACCACTGAGCTTGCGATTCAAGCTGTAGGTTTCCTGCGGTGGTGGCGTCAAACGTTCGCGGAGCATGAGCGGGATCTGAGCCTTGACACGATCTGTGATGGTCTGGTGCTCGAACGGATACGGATCCGGCGCATCGGGGCGGAAAGGTTCCCCGAGAGCAATCATCGAGTCGACATGCGCCTTTTCCATCCCTTCACTCTCCTCTCCCGTCAAATAGCCGACTTTCCTAGACCACGCAAGACACTCATCGTAGTTGCCCGCAATCGCGGCTTGCAGCATCTGGAGCCACTTGTCCATGAACTCCTTCGAGTACTCGCGCGTAGCTCCAAAGTCGATAAGCTGGATCTTGCCTGTGCGCTCGTTGTAGAGGAAGTTTGACCAGTTCGGATCGGTCTGCATGAGGCGGAAGCGGAAAAGTTCCGAAAGCGAGAGATGGAGAATGGACTGGGCGATGCGGTCTCGTGTGGCCTGCGGGTAGCGAGACGCCTGACTGAGCGGTCGGCCGCGCATCATTTCGGTGGTGAGCACTTTACCTGTGCAGAGACTGTCGACCACCGTTGGTACCTCAAACTCGGTGGAATCCTGCAGGATGGCACCAAAGCGACGGCCCATCTCGGCTTCGCGCTCGTAGTCGCACTCGTCCTTGAGCTCTCTGCCCAGCACTCGCAGCGTGTTCTCGAGGAAGAGACCCTTAGGAAGCAACGCCGACGCCGATACGAGCCAGCGCAAATACGAGAGGTCGGAATCGATCGACTCCAACACACCTGGGAACTGCACCTTGACAGCCACCTGTTTGCCTGCCAACTGCGGATCTGGGTGATCGTCTCGCAGCACGGCAGAATGCACCTGACCGATCGAAGCACTGGCGAAGGGGATGTCGTCGAACTCTTTGAAGTGTCGTTCTCGCCAATCCGAGCCACCGAGCTCCTGGCTCATGACCTTGTTCATCTGCCACACTGGCATGTAATTTGCGCTGTTCTGCACGCGAAGCAACACTTGCTCGATCTGCGGTGGTAGCAGCTTGGTCTCTTGTATCGAAAGAAATTGACCGAGCTTGAGAGCTGCACCTCTCATCGTCGAGAGCTTGTCTACTAGCCGAGCCACGTTCTGCTCCGACATGAACGGGCTGCTCGAAGCTTGTCCGTCTACGCCTGCAGGAGATGCGCCTCGAAGAAGGGACCCGGCGGCTCCGAAGGCCAAGCCAGCACCAAGACCGCCGTAGTGAAAGAGACGTCCGAGACGTGACGATGGCACCTTGGCTGCTCGCAGAGGCACGTGCTTTGATTCTCTGACGGCGTCGTACTCTTGAAAGTCGTTGAATGACGATTCTGCGGCGGGTATTGGTGGTTTGTCGAGGCTGTCGGCGGATGCTGCGGTTTGGTCGACTGGTGTTGAGGTATCTTGGGTATGTGATGGAGCCTGCATCAAGGTCGTCTTAAGATCCATCTCCGGGACAGACTTCGCATCTCTTTTCAGCAGCGGAGGCTGTGTGCCAGCTGGCGAAGCGTGCGATGGTGCAGCCGACTCTTTAAACTCGCTGTCATTCTTGATGAATGTGGCCGCAGGAGCGGCATGCTGTCTTGGTATTGGCGTCGGCTTGGGCGGCTCGAATGGTATCGCTGCAGAGACCGGCTCCCCAGAGGACTCTTGGAGCGAATCTGCGCTTTCGGCGGAAGAGCTTAATGGTACTTGCGGCGTCAAGGTCTCGTTGACTCTGCCGCTCTTGCTGGGCCAAGGCCTGGTCGGAAGCGGCACCACATCCGATCCGGAGGTGGACGCTTCGTTCTGGTCACCGATACCGTGAGATTTTGAGCCACTGGCTACATCCGAGGGTTCCGGCGCTGATGACTTCGCCACCACCTGCGTTGGCCATGGTCGCAGCGGTGCGCTCTTCGCGGCCGGATTGGAGCCATTGGGTGACAAGACCACACCTTTGGCGATCTTGCAGATCGTAGATGCTATCGAAGCAGCATCTCTGAGCGATGACCGGCTCATGACGGTGCGTAGCTAGAGTCGGTTCTGCCGATGATGAAGAGAAGGCATGTGGTAGGTTTGAGCCTAGCTGATGTCTGCATTGCTGAGAAGAAATCGTCTTCGCTTTCACTTCCTCCACACCGCAAAAGACTAGCGCAGTCGGCTATTTATCACTTATTTATAATATAATAAAATAAAATAACTGCGGAAGCTTGCGAATGTGTACTCGCTGGCTTCTTTCAAGGCTTCCTCCTCAACCATCCGGACAATCAGCATACGGTCTCGAGCAAGATCATATGCTCGTCATTCGGACAAAATATGTCAGATATACGATAAAGGAGGAGCTCGCGAGAAGCGAGTCTGAGTTGAGGTACTGCCTTGCAGCAGGCTTGCTCCTGGTGCGGTCAAGGGTCTCGGAAAGCGGAATGATTTCAGGCTGTGTTTCGTGAAATCAGTTATGCAAGGTTTCGACACGGCCGCCTGCACCATCATCGTCTTTCATCCTCCCCTCAACCTACACACTTTGCCTCCACAGTCAGTGTCACGCAGACCTATTTCGAGCTATACAAACCGATGCGCTAAGCGGTCTTCTCCCGAGGCTGGCTCGAGCTGACATTGCGCACATCGCTCGTAACGATGTTGGTCACAATGGCTCTCAAACGCCGAGCGCGAGCCTGCTCGGCCTTGTCCTCGCTGTTGGTGTTGCTCGGCATTCTTTGGCTCCCGCTCACGGCAGCACAGCAGGTGTCTCAGGGCCCTTCATCTTCAGCCTCGTCGACCTCGCCGCTTGCGCCAACAAGCACACGATCAGCCATTCCCGGTCGAGCGACAACTATCTACAATGCTACTGCAAACATAGTGGCATTGAACGATTCGATCACAGCACGATCGCGCATCGACCTCAACGCTACTCAGGGTGCGTTCTTCAACTTCACCATTCCTTCAACTGCATTTTCCGAAGACGTCAAGACCGTGACCGTGTGGACGGCGATATCACTATGCAGCGGGCCAGCTATTCCGCCTTACAACACTTCCAACTCGACTCTTCTAGAAACTCTGGGCAAATCAGCAACAGAAGCACGCCGATCGACGCTTGCCTCGCTCTACCTGTCCGATAATGAGCTGTTCCAGCAACCGGGCCCTGCAAATGCCAGTGTTCTCAACTCCAGGCACATCGGCTACGCTCTGGGTGGATCGACCTCCGTTCAGGTTGATGTGCAACAACAAAGCGATAACAGCTCTCAAACACTGTGGATCGGCGTTTGGCCGCCAGCAGATAGCCGCAATGTCACACCGGGCACCTATCAATTTCAGATCGTAGCGAGTACGCGCGCCAAGATGGAGTCGGTCGACTACACACGCCGACCCAGACTGGACGACACGGATCAGACACGCGCACTGATATCCTCTTTCAACTATACCACATCCGCGCCTCCCAACCTCGACCTCATCGTGCTTCCCACCTTCGGCTCCAATTCGCTCTCGAACGCCGACTACTACAACTCGTCGTATTGTGCCATCGCAGATGCCTATGCCGACGTGCTCCAGAGCCAACAAATCTCGATCAATAGCAGCGACACAATCCGAGGCACCCAGGCCAATGTTCTCGAAGATACTCGACGCCAATTTGAGGTGTCTGGGCTGGATCCCGGCACCAATTACACCGTCTGGCTGTTTGAGACCAACACGACCAGCCCGGGCTCTGCTCAGAGCGTCTCCACCACGCTCTTCCCGGCCATCAAGATGCTCACAAAGCGCAACGACAATTGTCGACTTGTCTACGACGTTCCCTTTTGTCCCAACGTGGCGTATTCGATACCGGTCAACCCGTCAATATCCACCGAAACGGCACTTTCTGCTATTCAAGGATTCGTGGATCCGCAGTACACCAACTTCAGCTTGACCATCGATACCTTCCCTTGCGCAGATCCGGACTTTGGCATGTACTCGTACGTGCAGACGTGCGACAACTGCAAAAAGTCGTATCAGGACTGGCTGTGCGCTGTCGCCATGCCGCGGTGTACGGATCCGTTGGAGGATCCGGAGACGCAGTCGCGCGCTACCCAGGACGGACGAGAGCTCACCGGTGCACCGACTGGACTCAACACTGAGTTGCTTCCGTACATTGTCAACCGCAATGGGAACGGAAGCAGTGCGTTGGAGTCTAGGCAGACGTTCATTGATCAGGAGCTGAGACCGGGGTTGTATGGAGAGCTGTTGCCGTGTATCTATACGTGCTACTTTGTGGAGCGCACCTGTCCACCGCTCATTCAGTGGGCTTGTCCGCTGTGGGACATCACGGCACAGCGAGAGTACGGTACGTTCGCGGACAGCGGAGCAGAGGGGATAGGGGCTGCGGAGAATGGAGGTGCAGGACAGGATGGGATGCGTTGGGGTGGGTATCAGAGATACATTGCAACGGACGCGTTTGGCAACGCGTATTGTAATTCGATGGGGGTTGACTTTTTGTTGAGAGAGTCGAACGGTGGTGCGCTGCCACGGTTCGCGAAGGGGGGAAGGACGATCGTCGCGGGGATGCTAATATCGTTGCTGATTGTTGTGGCGCTTTGATCAGCAGGGAAGGGTGGGATACGTATGGACAACTGTTTTCTTTTGCATTTGCATCTATGTCTCTAGGTTTTCAATGAGATGTCACCGGTTCCTTCTAGCAGAGCAGAATTTTGAGTGTCCTGAAGAAAAGCAAAGACCATCTGAAGGTTGCTCTGTTTCTAGTGTCCGAATCTCGATGGTTTCGACATAAAAGTCCTTCCCTGCCCGCTCCCGTTTCTTGAAGGAAACGCCGAACCCAATCTTCCATTCTTCCTTTGCTCGGCATACCCTTCGTTCGGTACCGGACGATACTTCTTCTTGACCCCTTCCGCCTGAGCAGCCGTCACTTTGAGACGACGAAAAGTGACCTTCCTCCAGAAATCTTTTAGACGTTGGAGAAGGTCTTTGGGTCGCAGGTGTTCGGCGATGCGTTCTTGTGCCGAAAGGGAGCCGCGTTTGAAGAGCTTGAGACGATCGAGGGTGTTGTTGATTGCTTCGAAGGCTCTGTCCCATGGACCTGTGTGAAAGGGAGGGAGTTGCGGGGTCATGTTGGTTGAGCTGAAGTGGGTGGACGGATGGTAGGTCACGGAGAAGAGTGTGGTAGGAGGCCGAGAGGTGGTGGCTGAGGTGGCTAGGCTGATGAGAGGAGCGGGGGGCAAGGGGTGGCGAGGATATGAGTCGGCTGAAGGGATGTTTAGGGGTAGAGTGTGAGCGACGGAGAGCAGGATCGAGAGCAGAGACATGATGCAAAGGGACCGGATCCTGGTGGCTGGATGATGCTGCGCCGGCCAGGATCGGCTTGACAGGATGAGCGAAAGATGGTGTCCGGGATGAAAGAATCACACTCAAGCTTCTTATACACGACGACCAACAGGTTGGTCCGTCTTCTCGCTCGTTGTGACGTAGTCAGGGGATGCAGGGGTAAGCGGGCTACACATCACATACTGCTTTCCACTCGACCTCCTCGCATCGTGGCTCCCACATCAGCTGGCAACCCCACCCTGAGCAAGGATGATGAAGTGACAGCAGCCACGCAGTCGAAAACGGCGATCGAGGTCTTGACGACACAGATACGGCGCAGATGCCAGCATGCTCTCATCCGGAACGCAGACTGTGCTGTCACTGCTGCCTCTGCCTTACTCAAGGTTTCAACGCGATCAGAAACGGACGACGTCTGGTGATGTCGAGGCAGGCGCTGTTGAGACCGCAATCTCGAGCACATGAATGCGCCACTTCCGTGAGCCCTGACGTGCAATCACTTTTTCTTCCCGCTTCGCTGCAGGATCAGAGTTGCAGACAGCCCGCGTCTCGCCTGCTCGTGTGCTGATCGAAAAGTGCCCATTTCAATCCGTATTCTTGAGCCAGACCCTCATCGAGCCTGTATTCGTTACTTCAAACATCCTGATATCGTGGTCAGATTTTGAATTACCTTTCCAGGCTCGAAAATTCAGGCTTAGGTCTTGACTTCATTTCTCACCTCAATTTGAAATGCATGGCTTGAAAATAGTGGCGAGCGCGAGAGGGGTGAAGACGAGGAAAGAAAGAGGCAGCCAATAGGCAGTCTCGCTGAGCCAGGTGCGCTAATTGGCCAAGCCTGTTCTGGTGCGAGAAAGCGAGGCAGAGGCAGCAACTCTGGAAATTGTGGTTGGATCCCAAGCCCATTTTTTCGCATTTAGCCTCTCTGCACCGGCAAGAAAGATGGCTGCGTGTGTGTGTGTGTGTGTGTGTGTGTGACTAACTGACTGAAAGCGTGAGAGAGAGGCTGGTGTGTGTCTCGAGGGCGAGCCAAATCGAGAGTGGGCTGCGCTGCCGACCCTGACGGTGAGTGGCTCAGCCAGTCCGTCTAGGAAATTGGTCAGTCCACCAATCACTCTGTGGGTGAGCAGTCAGTCAGTCTCTGCCGCTTCAATCAATCTTGACGCCGGTGTCCAAGTCGAGGTTGCGGGTCCACTCGACAAATCGCTTGCAGAGCACCTTCTCGCCATCGATCTCATCATCAACCTCCTCATACATCTTGATCGACAGCCCCATTCGTTCGTCAAGATTCAAATCCGTCTTGTTACAGTCTGTTTTCGACCTTGGTTTCGGCATCCTTTCGGCATCAGCAGGGGATCATAGCAGCGTGATCGGCGTCCAGCACACACAGCGACGAATCCTCTTTTCGTCTCTTGCGCTGGATTGATCGCCTTGGCTGCTTTGAATCTCGCATAACAACGCTGACAGCACAGCCGACACCCGTTCCCAACCTACGACAGGACAGCTCTCTCTTGCCACCTGGTTACATCTGACGCTTCAACAAGTCCATACCTGGCGTCCAGCGAACACATCTCCACAGCTTCCATCGCAGGATCTGCGTCTCGCAACTTGCAAACGAAGCATTGCACGTCTGCAGTGATCTTGGTACATGACGCCTCGACTCGTCTGCTCATCTAGTTGTTTGTGGTCGTCTCGGTCCTGATCTGCATCGCCTCAGCAAGAGGCTGTTTCCTCATCACTCGCAGATCGGAACGATAGCTTTCCAAGTGGCTACAACAGCACATCTTCTGCGCCTTCCGTCTCCTCCCACTTCCTCGCCGACTCGGCCTCTCCCTTGTTGACCCCGCAAAAGGTTCCTCGAGGAAAAGATGGCCAAGTCCAAGCTGCCACGCTCGACGCCAGCAGCTCGTGGTGCAGCCGTTCCGCCGCCAAAGCTCGCCGCTGCTGCTCAACAACAGCAGCAGCAGCCTATCTCAGCGCCACCAGCTCCCATGCCGCAGACCAAACCTCCTGTCGCTGGCGCATCTACGCCCCCACGTTCGATCTCGCCCGTCTCCAATCACGATGCCGACAGCGCCGCGCTCTCTTCTGCAAAGAAGAAGAAGAAGAAGTCCAAGTCTAAGGCCAAGGACGCCGACTTCATCGACGATCAGGAGTACGACCTTCAATCAGCTGCTGCTCTCGGACAGCGTCCCCGTTCGCCTGCATCGCTTGCTGCGAGAGCCCAAGCGCAAGCGCAGCTCTTGGCAGCCGCGAGCGAGCTCTATCGGAGGATTGAGGGCGACGCGCAAGGCATCCCGGACGATGATGCGTATTGGACATCGCTTCCAGCTCATCTGAGAACCTTCATTCGCAACGCCCTCCCGCTCGGTCAGTTTCCTCCAGCAGCTCAGGCCGCCCTCAATGAGAACGCCAACGATCCAGCCAACCGTCACGCCTCGACGCAAGCCATGATCGCTGTGGCCCAGCAGTTGGCTCAAGCAGCTCATGCGTCTCAACGACACATCCAGCAGTATCCGCCAGGCACCCACCCTTACCCACCACTGCCCTTCGACGCCTCCATCTTTGCCGACCTCGCTCTGCATCCTGACCAGGCGTTGCCTCTCCATCCTCACCCCAACGCTGCCAACACCGCGCACCCCGCCAACGTCAATGGTGCGTACAGCCAGTACTCTTCCAGCCCCAATCCGCCCCCGACTCAGCCACCTGTCGAGCCCCTGCCGCCCCCCGTGGTGCTCTACGACAACTTCGACGACGAGATCGACAGATTCGACGACGATGGAGTCGACGACGCGCAGTACTACGACGATGGTGAGCTTGACGAGGACGACGAAATCCTCGATGCTCAGGGCGGCCTTCTGCGTTCGAGCGAACGCGGCTGGATGCAGGATGGTGCAGAGCATGCGCTAGGACCGAACGGCCTGGCCACGCACCCAGACGGCATGCGTTCGGTAAGCAAGAGCAAGAAGAAGAAGAAAAAGAAGAAGGGTGGTGCCGGAACCCCAGCCGGACACGGCGACGACGAGGCGCACGAGATCGAGGTCGAGGTTCCTCCTCCGCCCAAGCCCGTTCCCAACCATCCTCCGCCTTCCACCAACGTCTCTTCTGTAGCGCGCAACTCGAATCCACCGCCTCCCAGCTCGCGAGCCGCTGGCAAACAGCCCATGACCTTCAATTCGACCGGCAAGACGCCAGCTAGACCTGCAAACGGTGTGCCGCCAGCCTCCAACTCGGGCAAGCGCTCCGTCTCGTCCTCCACCCACGGACAGCAGCCCGCGACCAACGCCTCGGCCAACAATGCCAAGATTTGGTCCACCAGCTCGGCGGAGGAGCGCGAACGCATCAAGGAGTTCTGGCTCGGCCTCTCCATGAAGGACAGGCAGAAACTCGTCCAAGTTGAGAAGGAAACTGTTCTGCGAAAAATGAAGGAACAGCAAAAGTTCCTCTGCAGCTGTGCTGTCTGCGGTCGCAAGCGGTCAGCTATCGAGGAAGAGTTGGAGGTTCTGTATGACGCGTACTACGACGAGCTCGAAGAGTATGCCAACCACCAGCAAAGATGGGCCAGCAGCGGCGGCACCATCCCTCCTCCTCCTGGACCGGGTCCGTTCCCAGGCAGCGTCGCGCTCGATGCTTCTGGCGCTGTGATCGGCGGCGATCCCCTCTCTCGCAACAGGGCGGCTCACACAGGACGCGATACGAGGCACACGCATCCTCACCCTCACCAGCATCCCCATTCTCATCCGCATGGTCGAAAAGCACCCCTGCATCCCGAGTCTTCGGACGGATACGATGACGACGAGCTCGACGATGACGCCGAATACGACGACGAGGATGACGATGCCGACTATGACGACGAAGAGGAGGAAGACGACATCGAGCTCGAGAAGGAACGTGCTCGCGACGACTACGACAAGCGCAACCCTGTGCCTTCCTCGCGACGCCGTGGCACCAACGACTCGAACGACCTCTTTGGCCTCGGCAGCAGCTTGACCGTCAAAGGTGGCATACTCACCGTTGCCGATGACATGCTCAAAAACGATGGCCGTAAGTTCCTCGAAATGATGGAGCAGCTCGCCGAGCGCAGGATGCATCGCGAGGAGCTCACCCACGCTGAGCTCGGAGCCAGCGATGACGAGGACGACGTCGATGGACCCGACGATGTGGACGACGAAGACATCGACGAGGAAGATGAGGACGAGGAGGACGACATCCTCACCGAGGAGCAGCGCATGGAGGAAGGTCGCAAGATGTTCCAGATCTTTGCCGCCCGCATGTTCGAGCAGCGTGTGCTCGCAGCCTACCGAGAGCGAGTGGCTCAGGAGCGCCAACTGCAACTGCTTCGTGAACTCGAGGAGGAGGACGACAATGAAAAGGCGCGCGAAGCTCGTCGCGTCAAAGAGTCGCAAAAGAAGAAGGACAAGAAGAAGGCTCAGCGCGAGGCAAAGGAGGCGGAGAAGATGAAGAAGGACCAGGAGAAAGCCGCCGCAGACGCCGAAATTCGCGCACAGCAACAAGCGCTGCGAGATGCCGAGCTGAAAAAGCAGGAGGAGATCCGGCTCAAGAAGGAGGCAGAACGCAAAGCACGCGAGGACGAAAAGGCCAAGAAGGAGGAGGAACGTCGTCGCCGTCAAGCCGAAGAGCGTGAGCGCCAGCTCGAGGTCGAGCGCAAGCGTCGTGAGAAGGAGGACAAGATCCGCCTGGAACGCGAAGCTCAAGAGAAGGCCAAGCGCGATCGTGAAGAGGCTCAACGCAAGGCCAAGGAGGAACAGCAACGAGCGCAACGCGAAAAGGAGCTCAAGGCCAAGGAAGAGCAGGAACGCAAGGCCGAGGCCGCCCAGAAGGAGAAGGAGGCGCGTGCCCAGGCGCATCGCGAGGCGAAGCAGGCAGCTGCCGCCGCCCGCGGAGCACCTGCTGCACAAGGCGTTCCCAGCTCGCCATCGACCGGTTCCAAGGCCAGCTCCAACAAGGGTGCAAACTCTTCCGCCCCTGGCACCCCTGCTCGCGGCGCCAAGAATGGCTCGTTGCCTGGCTCCATGGCGATTGGAACCGATCCGGCTCAGAGTCGACGTGCTGCTGCTGGAGGCAAGTTTGCTCAGGGCACAGGCGCTGCGAATGCGGCCGCTCACCCTGCTGCTGCCGCGTCCGCTTCGTCCGCTGCTCTAGGAGGATCCTCGACCAACGCAGGGGGATCTTCTCTGCCAGCTCCGCCACAAGGCTTGCCTCCTCGACCTTCGACCGCCGTGTTGACGCCGGCCGGCTCCGCCTCGCAGACTTCTTCGGTTTCGGTTGCGGCCAATGCTGGGCTTCCTCGTCCTCCCGTCAACGTTGCTGGCGGCGCACCTTCTTCAGCCGCCCCGCCATCTCTCGGCTTCGGATCGATTGGACCCAACGCCCAAGCAAACGTGCCGATCGCCTCAGCCAGGGCGCCTGGCTCCAGCATCTCGCCTAAGCCCGCCCAATCTTTCGTGCCAGCTCAAGACAAGCAGCCCTCGCAGCCAAGTCTCGCTCAATCTCAACCTCAGATGGGCGGTGCTTATGGTCAGCATCCAGGGCTCGAGGGACTGCGATCGCCTACACTTCCGAACGGCTTGCAGAACAACGGAGTCTTTGGCAGCAACGGTGCCATGAGCTCCAGTCTGCAGTCGCCGGGCCCTGGCGCTCCTGGACTTGGCGGCATGACAAACAACCTCGCTTCGCTCAATCTGAATGCCGCTCCGCTCTCTTCTTCTGCACTCAGCGCAGGCAATCCACAGGTCGGCAGCAAAGCATCCATGCCTGGAATGGACCTTGGCCACATGCAAAGTCCCACGCAGACGCCCTTCTCGCCGATGAGCGGAGGCAGTTCGACAGACCCGATGCGCAGCCGAACGACTTCCTTTGCCGACTCGGATCCCATGTCTTTTGCCGGCATTCGACCAGGATCGTCGCTCTCGCAGCGTGTCCCGGCCTACCGAAGTGGTGGACCGACACCCATCGGACCTATTGGACGCCCTAAAGCGATGGAATCGATTCAACAGCACGTGCACGACGACTACGGTGGAGCCATTGGCAACGGACGATCCTCTAGCAACGCCAGCGGATCGGGCGCTACGAGCCCGCGGCTTCCAGAAGGAATCCTCGGCAGTTCAGCTCTTGGTGGCGACGACGATATCATCGACCCCAAACCGCGCCGCGTCAGCCACACCATCCCGATCGGCGGCGGCGCCACGGGTAGCAGCATGGGCGGCGCAGGATCGTTCTTTGGCGGCGGCGGTATCGGCGGCGGCGGTATCGGCGGAGCCGGTGCTGTCGGTGGTGGCTTTGGCGTGAGCTCTTCATCGCCCTGGAGTTCCTTCTCAGGCAACAACCAGAATGCACCTGGCCCTCTGTCACCCGGATACAACAACGGCGCTGCAGGACCTGGCTCCATTGGTTCCAGCCTCGCGTCTGGCAACTTTGGTCTGAACCAAAATGCTGCTGGCACTCCTGGCTTGGGAACCAGCTCCTCTGGTATGTCCGGCGGTGCTTCTACGGACCCATGGGCTCGTGCACCTACCAACTCGTGGGATCGCGCTCGTTTCGCCTTTGAGCAGCCTGGCGGCAACAATGCCGGATCCGGATCCGGTAGCGGTACGCCCTCGGGTCTTGGAGGCATGGGTGGATCGCACCACTCACACGGACTAGGGGGACACTCGAGCCATCTGCACCATCAGATGGGCATGGGCTCAGGGCAGGGCAGCGGCAACGGAAGTGGCGTCAACGGCGGCATGATGAGCCCCTTTGGTCTGGGCGCACCGGGTAGCGGCGCCAGGAACGTCTTTGGCGCTCCCGGCAGCAACACCCTGCATCCAGGAGCTATCGGATCCGCGCTTTCGCCCACTTCGCCGGGTGCTCGACACGTCAGCGGCGGTCACGAGTGATGGCTGTAGATCTCATGCACTTGTTGTCTCAAAGTCGTTCCTCTTGTTTTTCTTTTGCACTTCTGAATCACACAGAACAGCGTTCCCAACACTTTGCGATCGATGTCGTGAGAGAAGGAAGAATGAGTGTTGATTGCTGCTAGCGACCGACAGAAGCAAGCGAGCTGCTTGGGATTTGGTTTCAGAATCCAAGCGAAGCACGCAGCTCTTCTTCGAGATTTGCGTCCTCGCCATTCTTTGCGTGTTGTGGTGCTGCTGCTGCCTGTTCTGCATCTGCCCCCGTTTTTCTAGCTACGCTGTCGAGGAAGCCCTTTACACCGTGTTTCTTGGGATCGTATACGAGACTCAACTCGGCCAGCTCCGCGGTGCATTTGCTACACGTACATGGACCGAAACAGTAATCTCTGTACAGCAACAATTGTCTCCTTCCAAGTCGGGTGGTTGGATCGATGTAGCTGATGACCAACTCCTCTCCCGGTTGAATATCTCGTAGTGCGAGAGCGGCGATCTTCATACTAGCCAGGATGCCGCGTTGGGGAACATGACGGATCTCAACGTTGGGTGAGCAGGAGTGGTTGAGGAACGAGTGGAGCGAGTAGAGACCACCGAATTTTTCCATGTTGATGTTGGATCGACCGAGGAGTTTGAGGAAGGAGGGGAGGGTGAAGAGGGGTTGAAGGAGGGAGGTTTGGGTGGGGGTGAGGGTGAATTTGGGATTTTGGGAAGGGGAGGAGGGGTCGAGGGCGGTGCAGAGGGCGGTGTGGGCCGAGGAGAGGATGGCTTCGAAGGAGGATTTCTCGGTGGACCAACCGGGGTTGCGAGAGCGTCGTTCGAGTTCGGATACGGTTGCGAAGGAGGAGAGTCTTGCGTATACGGTGTCGAAGTCCCCATACGTGTCTGTCAAATCCTCCCCTTTACCGCCCGTCCTCTTCCACCCTTCACCCTGATACCCATCCGTCAACGTAGTCAACAATCTTGCTAAACTCCTAGCCACGGAGTGCAAACTCTGCCACTTGTGCTGCCCGATCAACCGCATCAACTCGTTCGCCTCGACATTCATGCCCGTACACAGCAGCGTGTGATGCGTAGCCATCGCCTGCTTCCAACACGCACTAGTGCAGAATCTGTACTTGCACTTGTTGCAATTCTTGACCGCCAACGCAACGGGTGCGGATGAGATGGGTAGGAAGCACTGCGCGCACAGCTCGCCGCTGCTCATCTGGTCGAACGCCTCCGGCGGCGGGGTTGGTACGTACGCATCCTCGGTGAAGAGCAGCTCGCCACGCGGGAACGCGCGTGTGGCAACAAGCCCTTTGCCTTTGATCGGGTCGAAGTATTCCGATCGGATCCCGGGGGGTAGGGGGATGGTGGTGTCGATGAATGATTTGGGGATGGTGGTGTCGGATTTGCTCTTCTTCTTTTTCTTTTTCCCACCGGCTGATGATGACGCGGTGGGTTCGCCGTTGGTCGTCGAAGGTGAAGCGATGATGCTGTGCTTGGAGAGGATAGTGGCGAACTTCTTGGAAGGTATGGAGTCCCAATCGTGTTCGAGTTCTAACGTCGCCAACAACCGGATCAGCTCATCCTGCTGCGAGAGGTCGAAGGTGAACGAATCTTGAGCGAGTTCCGCCTTGACCGCTTCGACGATCTGTGCTTCGGTAGGTGCGACCATCTTTCAGCGAAAAACGATGCCGAGCCTGTTGTCGATGTGATGGAAAGTGAAGGTGGAGAAGAAGTGTATCGGAAGTACCGTCGTCGGGTCGTTGCCGGTTGCAAGGCCTTTTATGCACCTCTGTGTCGTGTGTCGAACGTCAAAGCAATGTAAATTGGCGCTTCTTGCACTTTCTTCCTGACAACTTTTTTTTTGTCCCGGTAAAAGGTCCGTTACCCGAAATTTGCTCGCCTTGCATCACAGCATATGGGCGAGTAACTGACCGTCGCAACGTCAACACACCTTCCGAACGGTCATAGATTCTAAATTCACGAGCGATACTACTACAAAGTACGAAGACAGTCGGGACATGTTTTGGCGTCGAGATCACATTACGGACTAGCTTGCTCCGTCTGATCAAAATTGAGGATTCTGAGGGTTCTAACGCACGAATCGACCAGATGTTTACTCCTACAGAGACGTCGAGGCGTACGTAGATATCGTACGACGGAGTCATATTGAAGAATTGGGTGCAAACAAGGGCAAACCTGGTCAGTCACGAGCACTTGCAAGCACAGCAGATACCTCTACTCGTTGCTTACCCAGCCGGATGCAGCGTCGTTCTCCTCTGGCTTCTTCTCATCGGCGGCGGCGTCGTCGTTGGCACCGTCGTCCTTGACCTCCTCTTTGGTCTGGTCAGCCTCAGCGCCGTTGCCGTTGGCTGCGCTGTCACCGTTTCGCTCTTCGCGATCCGCATCGTCGTCGGCGCGACGCGAGTCACCCCTCCTTCGGTCTTCAGGGTAGTCGGCATCGTCATCACGTCGAGGCTCGGGCGAGCGCTCTCGGCGCATGGCGGCACGTTTACGGGCACGCTCCTCGGCGGCGCGGTCGGCCTCCTCCTCCTCCTCCTTGGTCAGCTGAGGGCGCGCTGGAGGAGGGGGAATGTCGGAGCGGCTACGGTCATCGCGCGAGTCACGACCGTCGCGACCGCCGCGGCCGCCGTACGAAGGAGGAGGAGGGGGACCTCGCGAAGGGCCGTCGAACCTCCAGCTGGCCGAGGGAGCGTTCTTTGCAAACTGGATCGAGATCTCGTTGCGTCCGAATCGCATACCGTGCATGTCGCGGAAGGCGGCATCGGCGTCGCGTGGATCCTCGTACTCGATGAAGGCGTAGGGAGTGGCGGTGGCCGACTTGAGAGCGGGAATGTCGCATCGAATCAGGGGGCCCATACGCTCGAATTCGTAGGCGAGATCCTTAGCTCGCATGTTGGGCGGAAAGCCCGCCACAAAGAGGGTAGTAGGAGGAGCACGGTCTCGACCACCACGACCTCCGCCACCACGGCCTCCTCCGCCGCCTCGAGGTCCACGGTCATCGCGGTCGTCGCGGTCGTATCCTCGATCGTAGCCTCGTCCAGACATGGTGGATCAATGTCGTCGGTGTTCGTGTGCGGATGAGTATGCAAGCCTTCGTGTGCGAGACTAGGTATCAGCGCTCCAAGGGTGATAGAAGTGCTCAGAAAGACACCGTGTGGTAATGATGGTAGTGAAGCAGATGAGGTTGTTGGCCGGAAGCACGTTGACGAGTCAAAATCGCGATTTTCAGAAGATTTCTCCGCAAGGTGCGGAAGTTAGCCATCCATCGAATGTGTCAATCAAATTTGTTCAGACAGCGCTCAACAACTCAAACGACTATGAATGGGTGACACTGCTAGCACGCTACCGTGTTTTTTAGCCCAAAAACGATCGTAACGTGTGGCACGGACACTTGCTGGAATTTCCGCTCCATGTTGAGCAGTTTTAGGTCGTGATCGACTGCGCACCGCCGATGCTCTGTATGAGAACAGTCTAACATGTTCGAACTTTTCCGCGATTCGGGCTGTCCGAACGTTGAGTCCGTGAGTCGGAGAGCGGCTGGGAGGCTCTAGCTCTCCACCTCGAGAAGAACCGCGAGAGGAAGCGGATCTCACTTTTCTGACATCACACCACAACCTTTGCCAAGTTGCTGACTGCTCCCACGCTCAGTCAAGACTAGATTCGGTGAAGCCGTCCTTCATATTCCGCTCATCATCGGGACCCGCTTTAACTCAACTCCATCAACAACGTATCACGCTCGACGCGGCACTTGCTTCCGACTCATCAGCCCAACATGGCCGACACTGATGGTACGTGTTCCGACAATCTCGCTCTGATTCACACCCTTGTTCCAGCTATATACCTCCTACCTCCAACATGATCCCACCTCGTCTGCTGCGTCCCCTCTGTATCACACTTTCTCCGTGTCCGCTCTCGTTGCGCCTCTCGTCGTCGTACCGCTGAGGAAGGCCACCCTGTCCTCTCCCGCAGCCCCCTTCGCTCGCCTGCTGGCATTGCGATTACTCTCAACTCTTCCAGGCGTGTGATGCGGCGGGTCCATCTCATCGCTATCCGTTTCCGCAGTCATTCGCGCCACTGAGCCACGGTCAGATGTAGCAGCTGCATTTGTGCTCTTGCGTCTCATCTCCGCTCTTTCAGCCACGTCGATCAGCACGCTCGCTCCTGCGATCTGAGATCGTCACGCGTGCGTTCTTGCGTCATCTTCACCCTGCGCCCTTTCATCTCTCCGCAGTCTACTCTTTTCACCCACCTGCTTCTGCCGCGTCCAGCTCACCAAGCACATCTGCTCACGACTAACCCGCATCCGCACGCCCTCTCTGCCGTTTCGACCCAACAGCCCAGCAATGGAACGGCGACGCCGCTCGTGACGCCGCCCGCGAGACCGACAATGCTGCTTGGAACGGCGGTCGCAGCCCTTCGCCAAGGGGCGCCGCCACTCCTCCCCGTCGCGAGCGCGAGCGATCCCGCTCGCCCATGCGTACTGGGGAAGAGGACCGTGGACGGTTAGTACTCACTCGTCAAGCCACGAATCAACTTTCAAGAATTGCAACTGATCTTTCCCATCTTTTCCATGCCACTACTCGCGATACAGTGCTGACCGTGGTAACGGCGACAACAACCCAGGCAACAACCTTCACGTCTCGGGTTTGAGCAACCGTGCCACGGAGCGTGACCTGGAAGAGGCTTTCAGCAAATACGGAGCTGTACGTGGACATACCGCACCTTTCAGACTAATTTGGCTTCCAGAATGCTGACGTCCAGTTCTATCTGACCCGCTTCGACCACTTTGATCTTCGCCACAACAGCTTCAGAAGACGCAGATCATGTACGACCCTCACAGTCGTGAGCCAAGAGGTTTCGCATTCGTCACTTTCGAGAAGGCCGAGGATGCGGACGCCGCCATCACGGCCATGGACGCCACTGACTTCCTCGGTCGCAAGATCCACGTCGAAAAGGCTCGTCGTGGACGCGCACGCACTCCCACCCCTGGCCGCTACTTTGGCCCTCCCAAGAAGGGACGCGACGGTCCTCCTGGTGGCGGCTACGGCGGCGGCGGTGGTGGATACGGTCGTGGTCCTCCTCGCGGCGGGTACGGCGACGACCGATACGGCGGTATGCCTCCTCGCGGCTACCCACCCTACCCACCTCGCGACCCCTACGACCGTTACGGTCCTCCTCCTGGCGGCCGACCCTTCTCGCCGCCTCCCATGCGCGGCGACCCCTACGATCGATACGGGCGTGGACCTCCCCCTCCTCGCGACTACCCGCCCCGCGACCGCGACTACCTGCCTCCTCCCCCTCGTGGTGGCCCGGGCATGGACTACCCACCTCGCGACTTCCCTCCCCGCGGTCCTCCCGGCGACTACCCGCCACCCCGTGGATACCGTGACATGTCGCCACCTCCTCCCCGTGGCGCTGGAAGGTACGACGATGTCCCACCTCCCCCTCCTCGTGCAGGCGGTCCCGGTGGTCGATACGATGGCCCCCCGCGTCCCCGTTACGACGACGCTGGTCCGCCACCCCGTCGTTACTGAATCGCCACCGACTGTCCTTCGTCAATCATGTTATATTAAGAGAATTCCGTTCGAAAACAAGTGTTTATGTTGTTGAGTCAGGTATCGATCATGCGCAGAGACGATGTTGAAACTCAAGGGTCTATATGATTGCAGACGGAGGTAGATGCGAAGACAGTACAAGTATGAGGGAATGCTACGGGGTTTGCTTTTCGTGCTACTCAACGGATGCGGATCTGGCCTCTCCATCGTGGCAGTTTTTGCTTGCACGCATGGATCCATTCCGCGTCGTCTTGACCCAATGGTCCCAGCGCCGTCTCTACCAGCTCCTTGGCAGCAGCCTCGAACGCAGCTCGGTTCTCTACACCTTCTCCAGCTTTGACCACCGCCGAACCTAGATCCGTGCTTCGAGATACCTTGATCAACGACGTCAGCGCGAACAGCGATGACCAGAACAGAGCCCGATCCAGCGGCTCTGCGAGCAACAGCCTCAACACAGAGCCCAGACAGTTGTGCAGAGCTGACTGGAGTTGCGGGCTCGGTGGAGAAAAGTGGTTCGAGACGACTTTGCAGAAGGAGACGATGCACTCCAGACCAAGATGCGCAGTGTCGTGTTCGTCGGTCTTGATGCACAGCGACAGCGCCTGTATGGCTTTGTCGAGCAGCGACGCGTGTGCTGTGTGGGTATTGGAGGCGATGAGAACGAGTCGGCCGGAAAAGAGGCTGAAGATGGAGGAAGTGAGCTTGCCGAGTCCTTGTCGGAGTCGAGGTACACTTAGCGGTTCCGGTGTCTGCAGCAAGCCGAGAACATGCTCGAAACCAAGCAGACATACGTCGCTCGTCTTTGATGGTTGCAATTCCAAGGATTGATCAGAGCCTCCGTCGTCGACACCAGCACGAGCAGATCCCGATAGCTCTGTCAGTAGCTCGATCAGGAGACAGAGACCTTCGTACGGCACATCGTCATCCAACGGCGAGCCAGCTTCAGAAGCAAGCAGCAGGTGCGTCTTTTTCTTGCCTGCGCGGTTTTCGCCCTGGAGAGCCTGCATCAGCGCCCAGGTAGCCTGGTTGATACCCATGACGATGAATGGCTCGGCACCAAAATCTAATTCCAGCGAGACGCTGAGAGTATGCAAAAGTCGCAGAATCGAAACGACGATCTCCGGTCGCGTGTCGTACACGCGGCAGAGCTGCGAAAAGGCACCGAAGAACTTCGAAATAAATCCGTACACGATCTCCGCCGAGTTGGGCTGGATGGAAGATGCAAGGCCTTCGAGCATATCCAGCGAGGTTTGAACAGCAGAGATGACGTCGGATCGCTGAGAAATGGCTGCAAAATCCGATTGCGAAAGTAGGGAGCCGAATCGCGATTCGATCGAGGCGGTGATCTGCTTAAAGTAGAATTCGGCAGATCGCTCGGAAGGGGCATCGGTATGCGTGGCGCCAGAGTAGATGCAGCTCACCACAGAGGCAATGAGTGCGCCGTGGGTGTTGGCCGGAAGATGATCCAGACCAGACACGATACCAGAGACGAGCTGCTCCATCTCGGGAAGTTGGAGAAGGGAGATCATGATGCCGCTGGAACGGGTGAACGCTGAAAGGACTTGAGCGAGTTGCAATAGCACGTCTGAGTCTGACATCCACAGCTGAAGGTTCTCCGAAAGTCTTTGAAGCAGGAATGTGAGGACGTGTTGGCCTGCCTGATCGCTGAATGCGCGCTGGATAGCAGCATTGGTGGCAAAGCCAGAGCGTTGGTCAATCAGCAGGTAGGACGACGTCCATCGGCCCGTGAACCACAGCAGCGTCTCTGTTACTTGCGGGCTCGTTGCTTCGACAGAGGCAGGTCCGAACGCGGAGAGATGCTGAAGGAGCTGCATGCCAAGCTGCATGATGAGGGCTACAGCTGGATCGTCGGGCTCTGCGCTGTTCGCAATCTCGCTGGGTACCTCGGGTGTTTCGCCACGCGCATCGTCAGCAAGAACATGCCCTGCAATCAACACCAGCCAATGAATCTGTTCCCACGTCTGTCCCATCTCGAAGTCAGTGAAATTGGCTTGGTGTTGTGATTTGGCGATCAGCTTGTCGCAGAGAGGCTTGGCGAGCTGATGCAAGGCACGCAGATTATCGGCGGCCGACGTGCGCGCCAAATTAGCAATCGTGATCAGCTGATCCGAATAGACGTCTCGGTCCTTGGCAGAGACCTCTTCGACTTCTGACATGTCATCTTCCCCGCTTACGACGGAGGCTGCTTCGAGACGGCCAGTGACGTAGGGAACAAAGACCTGATCGCGAATGCTGCCAAAGACGGTCTTTGCGAAAATCTGGACGTGAGTATCCTGTGCATAAGCGGTATGTTGTTGTTGCAGCGATGAGGCCAGTGCTTGCCAGCAAGCTAAAAGGACGTCAACGGTGTCTTCGGTGAGGACAGCGAGGTCGTCTTCCTCATCTGTGTCCTTGGGTCGATGGAAGGCAAGGCCAAAGATCGCCTGGCCAAGCGAAGAAAGCGACGAGATGAAGGCGAAGCTTCCCTGGGCGCCACTGGCGCCTTGTTGCAGAGAAGTGGCTAGGATTTGCAGCGGTACGACGGAAACGATGATTTGAAACGCCTGGGCCAAAAAGAGCATCGAGTTGCCTCGAGCAGAGAGGAGCGCGGAGGGGGAAGCGCATTCCTGTTCTACCAGGGACTGCAGCTCGGCGCAGAGATGTTTGGTGCGGGAGACCAGCGCAGGGACATGTTGAGGCTTGTGGGACTGCGGTGTGAAGCTGCACGTGGAAAGTATGCATTGTCGAAGACGATGCACTGAGAATGAGATGTCGCGACTGGCCGTGCCTGAGGCTTGCAGCCGCAAACCAAAGCGGTACGCTGCACCAAGGAGAGAGACGACGTCGTCTGATAGCAGCACTGAAATGAAAGCATCGGGAAGCGGCTGCGGACGAAGAAGCTTCTTGCTTTGGCTGGATGCGAGCGCGGCATTGGGTTCGTCCTCCTCGTCTACACCGGTCGCCAGCATCGAGTCTTCTTGCTGAGAGCTCGACTGCTGCTGCCAAGCGGTCGAGGTGAACGGATCGAAGCGAGTAAAGGTCCAGCCGAGAAGCTTTTCTGTGGTCGAGGCAGCTTGGAAGAAGAGGGTATGTCGCCATGAGGCAGTGTCGGCAGACGAGCTCGTGGCATCCGAGATGGTGTTGTAAAGCAGCTGGAAGACAGCCGTCATGAGACCAGCAAGGACATGATTCTGGATGAGCGATTTGCATTGGCGATGCTGGAGTAGATTGAGACCGACTGCAGAGCCGGGCACGGCAGGTTTCGAAGTGGACCGAGAGGGTTGTGATCGACTTGGGTCTGAAGAGGAAGAGTCAAAGACGTCGTTGGCGCTGGTAAGAATGAATTCATCCACGATAGCACGGACTAGGCCCAGACCTGTCACGATTCGCGCGAGCGCGGCGGTTGATTCCGTAGCGTCGACGGGCCAGGGAGACGGGAGCGAGAGCAGACTCGAAAGCTGTGTGTTGAGCAGGCCAACGTGTGATTCAACGACAGTATCGAGGGCTGAATTTGTGCCTGTAATCTGACCAACATGTTGAGCTAGCTCGAGACCGAGAAGTCGCTTCTCTACAGCGATGGCTGTCTGGTAGGCGCGAGAGCGTAGGTATTGTGGCCACGAAGCAGCTGCGTCGGGAGATCCAGAGGAATGTTGACTGCGGGAGACGCAAAAGTGAAGGAGAAAGTCGCGCAATAGCGAGAGAGATGCGACACCCTGACTTGGCTGTTGAGGCGCCAGTGAGGGCAAGACGAAAAGGACCGCGTTGAGCGACTGGAAGAGCACGAGCGGATCGTGGGAATGTTCCAGTGCGAAGCAGGCGTAGTCGAGCGCGCCTTCCGACTGTCGAAGAGCCAAAAAGGTAGCTTCGCCTTGAGCTCTAAGCTGCGGATCAGGGTTGGTGAACTCGCCCGAAGCTTGGCTGATGGAAGCAAGAGCCTCCTGCAAGTGCGGGTTCGCAGCGACGAGCGACATGTCGGCTGTGCTCCGATGACCCGCACCAGCTCGTCACAACGGGAAGGCCAGCAATGGAGGCAAGGTGAGTGACCAGCCGTGGCAGAGGCACCAAGGTATCCGTCTCTGCTTGCTCTTGTCCGTCACTTCGGAAGAGCCGCTTTTGTGTGCGTGTGGTAGTAGTAGTAGTAGTACAGATGTGCGGAGTGAGGTTCGTTCGTGGACGCTTTCAATCCAAAAAGAGAGGTGCGGTGCGGCGTTCAAACCGGTGCTTGACCATCAAGACCTTCTTCGAATCCAAAAATCTGATCTACGAAAGCTGAGGCCCGATTTGGAAGATGCACTTGCGCATCGCAATATGAAAAAATCATCATGTTGTGGCTCTGAATGGCGGCAAGCCGAAATCAAGAGGTGAGAAGGTTAGTTCGTCGCCGCTTCCTGCTGCTTTACCATCATCTTCCCCGGCAATTCCGTCGTGTCATCCGCAACGCCTCGCTTTCCCAACCGGAACCCATCCGCAATCGCAACGATCCGTTTCAACCCTCTCGTTCTGCACTAGCAAGTTCGGTATCACAACACCTGAGTTACGAATTCGTGCTTGGGCCTGCAACTTCTCTATTGGGTGAGCCGTTGAGCCCTTGAGCTTTTGAGCTGCCCTTGCCTCTGAGCTCCTTCCCGGCTGCCTCTTTCGCCGCTTCCCTCGCTCGGAACAGAATACGGAAACGAACATTTCTTCCCCTCAAACCTCTTCGCGGTCACTGCTATGAATCGTCATCATCCTTACGGTGGTTATGACGAAAGACCCGGTCGCGGCGGTCGTGACGGAGCCAATCCTCCCTCGCGAGGTCATCCGCCTCGTCCAGGCGGTATGAGTCCTCCCCCTTCCTCCGGCTACCCGTCCTACAATCCTGCCGCTTCCGGTATTAGCGATCCGTCCGCACCGTACCCACCACCTCAGGATGCCTACGCTGGTGCCAATGAATTCGCTGGTGGTCCCGATCGTCGCTACCAGATGCCTACGAGCGGTGGTCCACCGAGAGGTGGCATGAGCGCCCGCGGCGGTCCCCCTGGGGCCCATCCGCTACCGCCTCCTCCTGGTCAGAACATGAATACTCCTCCCCCGTACGGATACACTCCCGCCTCATTTGAGAGTGCGCCTTATGGTGCTCCCTCTTCTTACGACCAGTCTTCGGCGCCGCCTGCTTCTTATGGTCAGCCACCACAGCAAGCTCCGGGATACTCGCAAGACTACAATCCCGCTGGTCCTCCGCCTCGCCCACCACCGGCCGCCTTTGACGGTCAAGGCTACGGCAGGCAACCTCCCTTCGGCCAGGGCTTCCGGTCAGATGGACCCCCGCAAGGTTCCTACGGCCGTCAACCCCTCGACGAAGACACTGGTTTCCGCGGCGGACGTGGCGGAAGGGGCGGGCGCGGGGTTCGTGGTGGCGGGCGCGGTGGACGCGGCGGAGGCGGCGGCGGCGGTGGTGGTGGTCGCTTCGATGATGACGAAAAGCCTTGCCGAACCATCTTCGTTCGAAGCATCAACTTCGAGACCGACGCCGAGTTCGTTAAGCAGCAATTTGAGCAGTTCGGCCAGATCAAGACCTTCTTCGACATGGTCAACAAGCGTGGCATCGCTTTCATCACGTACTACGACCTTCGCTCGGCAAGAGACGCCATGCTAGCAATGAAGGGCGCTCTCTTTGGCGGTCGTCCCATCAACATCCATTATTCGCTGCCACGTGAGGAGGACAAAGCACAGCGCTGCGATCGTGACAAGAATCAGGGCACCCTCTTCACTGTGCTCAAAGGTGCTCAGCAGGATCTCGATGATGACGCCGTGCGACAAGTCTTTGCAGAGTTTGGCGATCTCAAGAAGATCCGCGACTACCCTGGGCAGAAGAACAGCCGCTTTGTAGAGTACTTTGACAGCCGTGCTTGTCAGCTTGCTCATGACCAGCTCAACGGCCGTTCACACCTTGATGGTCAGTGGGACCTTAAATTTGCTTGGGACGTCGTCACAGATGAAGACATGGAGTGGGCCAAAGCTCCGCAGCAGGCCGGTGGACCTGGTTTCCAACCTGGTCCGCCTGCCGCTCAGTCCGTTCGGGGTGGCAGAGCCGGTGGGTCGGACCGAGGCTCCTCATCCGCCGACTACGGCCCACCCGCTGGCGGTGAGACAGGTCTTGGATACGGTCGTCCACCCATTCCTTCCACTGGTGCACCTGTGGACAATGGCTGGGGTAGACGTGCTGGCTCTGGCTCTGCTGCCGCTGGCGCCTCTGCTCCACCATCGGCAGCAGCTGCAGGCGCGGACGCCGGCGATGTCAACCGTCTCGAACAAGCACAGAAGGTGCAGCAGCTGCTTGCATCCCTTGGTGCTGCTTCCAAGCCTCCGGCGACAGCTGCGACCTCTACACCTCCCCCTCCCTCCATCGCTAGCCCGCCGGCACGCAGTCCGCCAGCCACTCACGCTTCCGCTGCAGGATCCGCAGGACTTCCGCCCAACATTGCTGCTCTGCTTCAGTCGGCGGCTGGTGCACCCAAACCCATGCAGCCACCCAAACCGCAATCGCCTCCCACTTCCAACGCCGCCGCAGCCGGCCAAGAAAGTGGTCAGCAATCTGTTCATCAGCTCTTGAGCATGCTCAACCAGAATCGACCCCCTCGTCCTTCGTAATTGTATTCAGTATTTGTATCCTTGCGCGACGAAACACTTCAGGACCGACAGTGGCCCGGACTAGCTTAGGACGGATGATACAAATTGCACTCTTTGAACTCAAGATCTGATGTATTGATTTGTGAAATGTGTGTTGACGGAAGTTACAAATCTAGACAAGCACTACAGATTGGGAGACGCAGCAGCGATGGAGCTGTGGCATGCTTCGGAGCATGTCGACGAGCGAGGCTATCCGAACCTCGGTAAGCTTCCGACGTCACTACTTGCACTCGACGGTAACAGTGTCTCTGTTATAAGTGCATTTTCCATCGATCTTCATGGCGATGTTGTTGTCACCAGCATCACCGTTGCCTTTCCAGGTGTTTGGAGCTCGCATCCAAAAGCAATCGATGCTGCGCAAATTTCCGGAAAGCGTCAATCAACCTCTTCCTCTGTTTTTTCATTCAAACCGGGCTGCTGGGGAAGAACTCACTTTGCGCCTCTGCACGTGTCATGACCCCAATAGCCGTAGTGGGGAGGCTGACGATCGGTTGTGCTCGAGTCACCGTGATAGCAGATGACGACGTCGGTGTCGATGGGCGATTCGTCGGTCGCCTTGTCGGTGATCTTTCGGATGCATTCGCTACGGCTTAGTTTGCGACGCTCCAGAGTGCTTGTCTGAGAGTGGTGCGATACACGAGTCAGTAAACATCCACTTCCGCAGACAAAGGGAAAAAGTGCAATTGAGAGGCAACTCACGGCATGAACGCTGAAGACCAAAAACATCACAGCAAGCACTTTGACGACGGACATGTTGAGGACAAAATTGAGACAGTAGGAGGTTTCGAGCTCAGTGGAAGAGGTGTGAGGGGCTGAAGAACAATCGATCCTTGAAGCGCTCTTAAAGAGCCGAATCGAATTAATGGAAGGGACATCTCAGGAAAACTGCGTTGCAACCTTGATCGGAACTCCCTCGTAGCGTTGAGCATGCTGGGAGCTTTCCGGGGCTGAACTCTGCGAGGCGGGGACTCTACGCAATGGGTCAGAGACGGTGTGCTCGGGAAGGGTGTGCAGCAGGAATGTTGAGATGAGATGGGAGCTGAAGTGCTCGGGAGGTCTCATCTGACTTCATTTCAGGATTGGTGGGACCGCGCAAGGTGGGAATACGAAAGCACAGCCCGTTCACGGAACAGCAATTCGTCTGATTGATGTTTCATTGCTCGATCAGATCGCTCCGTGGCGAAAAGCTTTGCAACACCAACGTTCCACCCTTCAATAAGCCTTCAGAGTTGTCACCAATCCCGCGAGACCCACTCATTTACTTGTCAGTCTGACGAAGCTCAACTGATGCGCCTCTAGATACTCTGGGCAAAAGAACTTGTGAGTTTCATTCAGTACAAGCCATCTCGTGCCAGACGACGTAGCTATACGTGCACTTGCCCGGGACGTTTTCCTTCCATGCAATGTTGTCCGGACCCGGAAACGCCGATCCAATCCAATCGTTCTTATGACCTATAGCGAAGCAATCAGCTCTATCAACGAAATGCAGCGCAGCGTCAGTATCTACCCGAAACATTGAAATTCTTTGAGTATCACTTCTACATACCTTTCACCATCGCACGTCACCGTGGACAGATGCTTGTACCAAGGTTGCCATCTGTTCATCGACTTGTCCTTGAGGTCGATGGTGCTGCGGCCGATGAAGCAGATAGTCACGTAGTAGAATTCGGCGCTGGCGATCGGGAATACTTTGGCTAGCGCATCGGCGAGACATTCGGCTCTGCTTGAGCGTCGTTCGATGACAGGCACCTGCAGTGGCCGGGGTCGCGATCGTCGGCAGAGTCAGCACGGTGAAGTCGAGATCGCGGTTATTGAGGATGGAAAGTCGGAACTTACAGCCAAAGCTACACTCGAGAGACTGAGAACGGAAAGAACTGTCGAAATCCGCATATTTGTGTCTTACTTTTTGGGGAAGACAAGACGTATGTTGATACGACGAACCGACGATATGAGAGGCGACCGCGCTTTTATCTTTCTGACACCATCTTGGCAGATTGACCTTGGAGTTTAGAAAGGTTCTGACGATGTGCGTGCTCCTGACGATGGGCTGCCGCAGTCTCAATGTGGGCGAAGTGGGTCGACGCCCTCGTTGCGGTCAACTTTGCAGATGAGGACCGGTTGCCTGGGTCGAAAAAATTGACGATCGGTTGCAACTCGGTGGAGACAAGCCTAGACCACCCCCACAAGCATGACGGGAGAAGATGAAATAAGGTCTTTTGCAAGAGCGATGTCTGCGATCGCTTTCTAGAGGCAATGCGATGCTTCCGCAACTCTTCCACTTTACCATCAAATCTTTCCCTCTTTCTCACCTTCTAGCCTCTCTTCAAAGTCAACGAGCAACCAATCGCATGAAAACATCACTCTCACCTCACAATGATCAAGCTACTCACTCTCCTGCTCGTGTTCCTACCCGTGCTTCTCGCCGTCCAGGTGCACGACTCTCACCCGCACCATGCGTCTCGTATGGTACACCAGCGACGAAGCTTCATGTCGTGGCTGACGCGAATCTCATCCAAGACGTCCGACTGGATGTTTGGCTCTGTACCCATCCCCGCCGTCGACAAAAATCAGATTCCTCACCCAGCTGTAGGAGGTGTCTCTGTGCTGCAAAAGATGCCGTATCCGTACGCAACGGGTATGATTCCACGATTGGCTAGCGAGACGCTGAGCGGGAACGGATTGCCGGGTGGGTGGATGTGCTTGCACGTCACGCCTCCGGTTGATGCTGGTGAAGGCGCTGGTGGTGGACAGCGTGGGGCTACGGGAGGTGATCAAGGTGGGGTAACGGGTGCTGCTGGTCAAGGCGCTGCTGGTAGTGGTTCTGCCGCAGGTCAGTTTGGTGGAGCTGGAGGTGCTGGAGCTGGGGTTGGAGGTATGGCGGGTGGTATGGGTGGAGGAGGTGGCCCTGCCGAAGCTGGCGGCGCCGGTGGAGGATTTACTGGTGGTCGACAGCAGATGGGAGGCACAGACTTTCGGGGAGGGAACGGCGGCGGATCATTTTATCCCAGCGGCCAGCAAGGCTTTGGTACAGGCAACGGATACATGGGCGGAGCAGCTGGAGCTGGCATGGTAGGCAATGGTATGACAGGTAACGGTATGGGAGGTAGCGGTATGGGTGACAATGGTATGGAGGGCATTGGAACGGGTGGATATCCTATGGGGAGCAACGGCATGGGTGGCATCTATCCGCAAGCTGGTGGCATGAGCAACGGCCCTGGAGCTGGGACCGGTGCAGGCATGGGTAGTGACGGCACCGGAGCTGGATCCGGCGGCGGCATGAGCGGATATGCTGGATCTGGCAATGCTGCCTTCGGAAACCGAGGCAGTACCGTTCCATCTGGCTACATTCGCTACAACGGTCAGCTGATGACCATCGGCCAGTACCAGCAAGCCCTTGCTGGTGGTTCTTCCTCCGGTCCTTCCTCAGATTCGCAATCTCTTTCTCGTCGAGACGTGCTCCAGGCCGACTCGTCCGCGTTCTTCGTACACAAGCGTCAAGCCGACTCCTCTGACGGCGCTCCTCAGCCTTCGTCGGACGGTAACAGCCCGCCCGCTCGAAAAGGAAAAACCCCTGTCGCCAAAGTCCTCATGTGCATCAACGGCGATCCCGCCGTTCCCCCCATCAAATTCAACACCATGACCGGTATGCGCCTTCGTGACGCTTCGGTGCCCAAGGACGGTGTGGTCGACATCACCAACCTGCCCAACTATAAGATGCCCTGGATGCCCTTCCTACCCACGGCAGAGATGTGGGCCGAACAGCAGGAGCTCATGCTTGCTCAAGAGCAGATGATCGAGACAAACATGACTACGGCTCCTTCCCCCTCGCGTTAAAGATTCTCGCCTCAAGCATTCTTGTGTCGTGTCTAAGCATTTGCCTGTTCCCATTTCTTCTCGTTTTCTGACATACTGTACAGGCGCTTCAAGCTCATGCTCGACAAAAAAATTCCCCTTCTCAAATCCTTGCAGCGTCTTCATGTGTATGCATCAATCGAGAGAGGAGGAATTAATTTGCTCGAAAAGTTGATTGTAAAAAACAAAAAAGGAGGGTGCTCCAACTCGGAATCGAACCGAGGGCTCGCCCGTGTGAAGGGCGTGATTTAACCGTTAATCGATTGGAGCTGTTAAAGGATCTAGCTGGTGTGGGCCGCGAATGTGACGTATATATACTTCCACGCATGAAGTGGACATCTCGTCGTCGAAGAAGTCTCCGTCCCTCGCATGGAATGCCCTCTCTTGCAGCAACAACACTCGGTCTAGAACATTCGAAGCACGCCCGGACCGACAAGTACATCCCTGCCTAAAGCACTCCGCATCCACAGTCCTCCTAGAGCATCGCGAGTCAGCTATATGGTAAAACAATGTTGCAGAAGAGTGAAGATGTACAAAGGTAGTTCAGGCAATCACATAATTATCGGCACTCAGCACCGACTGCTGGGAGAACGTCGTAAGAGCGCCCGTATCGGCCAAGACGACGTCTGCCACCGTGACGTTGCAGAGCGTCTTTTCGCAGACAAAGTCGACAACGACGGGGAAGAAGACGTCGACGTTATCCGCGCCCTCCGTGACCGAGAATTCCAAGCTGCCAGACTTGTTGGCGCTCGAGATACTCTCCAGCGTCCACTCAAGGTTGTTGGTCTCGTCATTGACGGACCACGAGCCATCGGGACACTCGACCGAAGGCACGGAGCCTGACGGCAAGGGGATCGCAATGATGACGCTGCGCAGCTCACCGAGATCTTCATTCTCGAGCTCGTACTCGATGCTAACATCGCATCCGCCTTGACCGTTGGGAGAAGGCCAGCAGTTGATCGAGAGCGGCAACGCAGTCTCGTCCTTGGTGACCATCCGCCATCGCAAGACACCGAGCGACTGGTTGACCGGGAAGGGCTTCCTCGCGTCTCGCGGCGCGACGATGCGATCGGAGGACCACGCAGCCTTGTCGACTTGGGGGTTAGTCTTGAATTGAAGTTCGCCGGCGGAAAGCACGAGATTGTCGGCCTCGGGTGGAGCGAGCTGCAAGCGAACCTTAGCAAGCGTGGGATCGGTGATCTTGAGCAAGAGGTCGCCCTTGATCTCGAGCGATTCGAGACCACCATCGCGGTTGCCCGTGATAGAGATGCGCTCCTTGATGACGACGTGCACCGGTTCTTGGTGGACAGGATCGAGCAAGTCGAGCGGGTCGATGGCAGCCGCTGTAGTTGCTGGTGCCGCGCGAGCAGCGGCCGCTGATGGGGCTGAGCTGGCAGCAGCTAGTGAGGCCGAAGCAGCGTTGGCAGCGGCGGTGAGCTCTTCATCCGCAGCGGCAGCAGCGGCGGCCAGATCGCCACCCATAGCACCCAGCAGGTCGGCGCCCTTGGACTTTTTACCGAGCTGCATACCTTTGCCCTTGAACGGTTTCGCCGCAGGTGACGAGCTGGACGAGAAGCCGGTCTGAACAGGCGCCTGTGTCGGTGGTGGCTCGAATCGCTGCTGTACACCCGTGTATCCACCGGATGAGCCGAATCCGCCCGAGTTGCCGCCCATCTGACCGCGACGGGCGGCGTCCCTGCGCTGCATCTCGAGCTGCTTTGCACGACGTTTGAGCTCCTCCTTTGCCTCCATCTCCTTGTTCCTCTCGATGATCTCCTGGATCTTTTCCTCGTGCGACTCCATCTCGAGGATAGACCTGACCTGGGTGAGGTTGACATTCTCCCTGTATCCGAGCGAAACGATCTCGTCAAAGGCTCCGAGGAGCTCGAAGCTGTAGCGGAGGACCGAACTCTCGTCGAGCGATCTGCAGATGTCGGAGGTGACGCGGGCAAAGAGGTGAAGCGTGTCGATGTCTTGGAGGATGTTGGAGTTTTTGTTTGTGATGAGGATCATGTAGAGATCCTCGAGAGGTTGGTACACGAAGCGAACCGCATCGGTCTCGACGGAAGTGTGTTGTGAGCCGGCAGAGATGAGCTTGGGGAAGGACGCAAGGAGACCTTCGATGCGCGATCTTGGCATATCACGAAATTGACGGCTGATGACGGGCTTTCCGCCTCGGGTCGAGACGGAAGCGGCGAGAATGACCATGTTGCCTTTGCTGGATTTCTGATGCTAGAGCGTGCCGTGTCGGGATGAGGTGTGGTGTGAGACAAGCTGCTTCCCGGGGCAGGGTCGAGCCACAAGACAGGTCCAGGTGTAGTGCGTTGTCTGGAAGAGTGCGGCGCTTTAGGTATGGGCTGCGCCGTGACTTGTGATGAGAGATGAGAGTAAGACGGGAGGTAATGACGACGACGGTGATGGTGATGGCAATGTCAGCGTAAACGGATGAGAAGAAGTGTAGAAGTGTCGATCTCAATTGCGGCCAGCGCGCGGGTCGGTGTGTGTGTGTGTGTCTCTCTCTCTAGCAAGGCTAATTCAGACACGACGTCTGCACGCTGAGAGCCTTGCTGTTCACAAAAGCTGGTTCGAGCGCAACGAGCCAAGGCTCCACGTCTTCTTCGCTGGCCAGCCAGGCGCGTTATTCGAGAATCGTTTCTCTGTCAGAGCCTCGAATCTGCGATGAGAGGAAGTCGCGAATTGATCGGGCCTCTGTCATTTTCCGTGCGAATTGACTCGAGATTCGAATATTGTGCGGTGGGAAGCTGCGATTTGAAATCCGAAACAGGCATCAACGACGGAAGAGTCAGGGAACGTCGCTGTGCCAGTCTCTTGAAATGTGGAATTTTCGCGTTGCTTTTCGGTCGCTTCCGACTCAATCGCCAAGGCAGCAGACGGCGACATCGAGGCATCAATCGGGACCAGCTGAAAGCCACTGTGAGAAACAAGGGAGATCATCAGCATCATCGCCCACACGTTGTGAGACCGCTCCACGAAATTGGCTAACTGTAATCCGCTTTCTTCTCGAGACGACGACGGGTTGTGCCTAAACTCGAAATTGTCACCTTGCACTACCTTCAATTCCGTCGTCACCACCACCATCCATCTCACCCGGTCCCTATCGCATTTCGTTTCGCCATGTCCTTCCTCACTGGAGCCATCCGCACCGCCGCCGTCAGCACTTCGGCCCGTGCTGCCCTTCTCGGACGTGCCGCCCCTGTTGCCGTCGCTCAGCAGGGTAAGTTTTCCTCGACTTTCGCCCGTTTATCGCCCCTTTCCGATCAGTACACATGCAGCATGTCGGGGTTTGCTCGATGGATCGGATGATCCCCCGAGCAATGCAGTCAGCAGTAGCAGACACAGCAGCAGCCGTAGCAATAGCAACAGCATCAGTAGCATCACAGTCAGCCTCAGCAACAGCAGCAGCAGCAGCAGCACCTTTTCATACAGCAGAACACTCAAAGCAGGAAAATCCTGTAGCGGCGAGAGTCGCAACATAACCCATCGATCGCTTCGACGCTTCCCTAGTCCAAGTCTCATGAATTGGCTCACAACACGCCGGAAGGAAGCGAATTGGAATTCTCGTCTTGAGGAGCTTGACAGTCAGGTCGAGACATCTGCTCAGCTAGTTTTAATCCGCGCATCCGAGATTATGCCATGCTCTTGAGCACCGACACTACAATCGACCCTCATGCGAAAAGGACAATGGCAGCCTAGCCCGACGCTGCTTATGTCGAACCTCCATGCCCAAACCGCGACCGCTGCTGTTGCTACACTGCTACTGAGCTCTAGTTCGCGGCTTGCTAATCCTGGACCCATAGGAATTCCCAGATCCAATGGGGCGAAAGAGCAACCGAACCTCTTGTCCTCTGAGCCGATGCTGACTTCTCACTTTGTTTTTTCCTTCACAGTCCGTGGCTACGCCGCACACCACGAGGAAGAGTCGTTCGACGCCTTCAACACGCGCTACGTTGGATTCTTCGACGCCGTAGAGGACCTGTTCGAGCTGCAGCGTGGATTGAACAACTGCTTTGCCTACGATCTGGTACCCTCGCCAGAGGTCATCGAGTCGGCCCTTCGTGCCAGTCGACGTGTCAACGACTACTCGACCGCCGTGCGCATCTTTGAAGGCATCAAGCAGAAGGTCGAGAACGAGAACCAGTACAAGCAATACGTCGAGGCTCTCAAGAGCGTCCGTGAGGAGCTCGGAATCCAGCTCAAGGAGGAGCTGTATTCGGCATAAACCACCTTATGCACAGGCAGCGCAGTGGCAACATCCAAACAGATCGCACATGTTTACGACTTTTGTGGCTGTAAAACCCATGCTACAGTAATCTCATTGATAAATCTACATGTAGAGCCCGCGGAGAGATGGCTGTGATGGAACAGAGTCGAGGTCGAGATGGTGATTCGTTCCAGGCTGTCGCTCACGCTCTGATGCGCACAGTCGAAGAACACGAAAGTATGGGAAGGCAAACGTGACGACCGAGAATGGACGTCTGCGGAGTCCCCACCGCCTGCTCTGGTGACCCACAGCAGGAGACGAGATGTAGGGTTTTATTATGAGCGTCAAGCTGATCAAACAGGAACGACGTCGAGCAGAGACTTTTTAAGATATACGTGCAGCAAACCCATTCAGCGCTTCCAGCTGGAATCCCGATCATCGTCATACTCCTCATCCCCACCCTCAGTCGCAGCCGGCTTGTCCCCCGTCGAAGCTCCCTCCACACCAGCCGTCGTAGCAGCAGGTGCGGCAGCAGCCGCAACAGGAGGCTGGATCCACGATAACTTGACAATTCCGACGTCGGGAATCTCCGCTCCACCTCTCAAGGCCTGCTCAGCGCTGTTGCGTGCCTTGTACACGACAGTTGCTGCATCGGCATCGAACGAGTCCAACTCGCCAAAGGCGGCAAAATGCTGCTTGAGCTTCTCCGCGTCAGCTCCGGCGGGCAGATCCTCGATCTTGAGTCGCGTCGTGCGGTTGTCGATGCGGAACGACCGATTGGGTCCGCCACCCATACCCCCGGGACCACCTCGTGCTGCGTACGGTGTATAGCCTCCGCGACCGCGTGGAACGTAACCACCTCTGCCTCTGCCTCGTCCATTGTACCCGTATCCTGCACCAGCGTTGGCGCCATCAATGCCGAGCGACGCAGCTTCGGCTTTGAGCGATTCGAGCTTCTTCTTGAGCTCTTCCGTCGTGGATCCAGGTGAAGAGCCTTGCGCGTGAAGATCGAGTTCACGATCCAGCTGTTCTTTCTCTCTCTTCTCCTTTTCCGCCTTCCGCCTTCCAGCTTCCACGTCTCCGCCAGCACCGCCTGCTGCTGCTGCGGAGGAAGAGGGTGCTTCTTTGGGTGCTGCTTGCAGTGCTTCCACCGCAGCCTTGACGGCTTCGGTCGAGGTTTTGATCTGATCGCCGAGCTGTTTGAGCTGGGTCATGGTCTGCTTCTTGTCTTCAGCGGTGAGTGACTTGTCGCCGAACTTGGCGAGAAGCGCCTTTTGCTCGGCTAGCTGCGAATCCAGAGCGGCCTGTTTGGTTCGTTGGTCTTCAAGCAGCTTCTTGCGCTCTTCGGACATGCCGCCGACATGAGCAGCGGGACCTCCTCCGGGTGTGCTTGCTCCGGCGACAGGAGGACGGGCGTGGTAGACGTTGGAAGTCTTGCCGGGAACGAAACCGCCCCTCTGCGGCGCTGACGACGGAGGCGGTCGTGGAGTGGGGCCCGCTCCCGGAGCACCTCCAGCAGCTTCGTCCAGACGCTGAAAGTAGACTTTGACGAAGCGGTTGCCAAAGATGACGTCGGGGCTCTCGTGTGCTTCTTTGGCCTCGGCGGGCTGCGAGTAGCTGACGAGCGCCTTGGAGCCAGGCTTGTCGATGCTGATGTTGGTGATGGTGCCAAACTTCTTGAAGTACTCGTTGACCTTGATGAGGTCGAGGCTGTCTGCTGGGACATTTTCGATGACGAGGGTGGTGTTGGATCGTCGTGCAGATTGGAAAGTGCCGGGAGGTCCACCGCCACGTCCACGACCTCGTCCGCCCATTGCTCCGCCGCGACCTCCGGGACCCATGCCGCCATTGAACGGCGCCGCTTGGCTGAAGTGATTGGCGTCGGAGGCCTGCGGTGCCAGTTGCCCTCCCATTCGGTTTGCCAGGTTCTGACCATCGCCATTCAGGTGAGACGGAGAAGCTCCGGGACCGGCATTGCCAGGAGCCATGCCTGGAGGTGGGCCCATGCTGGGATGCCAGCCTTGTGGAGGCATACCGAATGGAGCGCCCGGAAACATCATTGGCGGGCCATGCATAGCATTTGGACCACCTGGACCCATCATGCCGCTCAAATGGAATGGCGGTTGCTGCCGTTGTGACTGCGATTGTTGGTTGCGTGCATTGGCGTTGGCGGGCTGCATATCCGTCGAGTGCTCAAACTTGCAGCTAGCGCCGCGAGGACAGAAGCCTTTGTTGTGGTAGTCTCTGCAGAGCTGTTTGGGTCGATTATCCCTTCGTCCGCCCTCGGTTTGCGCGCCGTTGGCATCGGTGCCGTCTGTGTTTGCCGCGCGTTCCCTCGAATCGCGCTCGCGGGCTCGACCTGCGCGGGAATCATCCGAGCCGGGTGTAGCGGTGCTGTCCTGCAGCCTCCGTGTTTGCCTGGGAGGAGAGCGGGTAGAGTCACGGGTGTCATCGTCTGCTCTTCGCTTCCTAGATGAGGTGGAAGTGTCTGCAGCTAAGTCGGATGTGGATGCGAGGGCATTGGAATCGGCGGTGTGGTCGGCTTCGGCGGACCCTGATGAAGGGAGGTACGCCTTGTCGGCTATCGCCTGGAAAGTCTTTGTTACGAAAGGTTCGGTCTCTGCGGCCAAGAAGTCCTCGAGCTGTTCGGTGAGGAGCGTCTGGAGCTCGGCCTGAGGACCTTCGTGCTTGAGCAAGGCGAGGACGTAGTCGGCAAGCACCTCGGGATCGGCGTCGCATATGGGGCCGAGCTCAGAGGTGAGCCAGGCCTTGAGCTCCTCTGTATGCGCTTCGTCGAACAGCATAGCAGGCGATGCTGGCCGGGCAGAATGGCGCGGAGGCTATCAAGAGTGGCGTCGGAAAAGGAGGTGGCTGAGCTGTGAGGCGCCTTTTCGTTGCTTGATGCTGGAAGGTCGTTGGTCGCTGAGGTCGAATGCGTGTGTATGCGAGTGTTTGTGGAAGGGTTCAGCCACAACTCTAGTGGATGGATAGATGGACGGATGCTGAATGCGGATGGCGGCTGAGTGGTGATGCGGGCGATGAAGAAGAAATGATGTTCAACACGATCGACCGCCAAAGTCACTTTCGGTTAACATTTCATTTTCCAGATTCAATGCAGCACACACCCAAACACATTCGCGCTCTCCTGCCACAAAATTTCATGACAGTGCTACTGGACTCGCACTGTGCTGCGTGGAACAAGAAGTCCCCTCCACCTTCTGCTGTGAGGCCCTTGAGACGTCCCTTCTTCATCTTTGCTTGCTTGTGATCACTTCACATTCCCGTCCAAAGCGAGCCTGAAGACCTTGCTGCTCTGGACAGCCGTACTTCGGTCCAAAGATGGTCCCACAGTGTAGCAGACGTGGGTCATCCGGTATACAGTCGGACTGACCGCGATCATCTCGATCATGCCAGCCTGGCAGAGGCACAACCCTGATCGCCGATTGACTAAAAAAAAGGCTCGTCCATCGCCGAGATGATGCAATTTTTGTTTTTCCTAGATACTCGGTTGAATCATCGAGCTAACAAATGCTGCGGATATTTCACGGCACGTGCTTGGGATGAGAGTCACGTGTATGGCTATAGTTTTTCGAAGTCTCGCAATACAAGACCACCTGAAAGTGCAAAAGAAGAATACATTTGGAAAACTCACTTGAATTGTCCGTCGAGGTACTGCCTGTCTGCAACCATACCTTTGTTCGTTGGACACAGCTTCGGCCAGTTTGAGTCGAACTAAGGCAGCAGACGGCGACTTTGTCGCCAAAGGACCCGATGCCACTGCCAAGATTGAGCAAGGCTCATCAGCGAAGCCTCGGACTGCAGACAAGTCTTCGGAAGCGCTGCAGCCAGAGCGAGATGGAATCAAGGTCGAAATTGGAAGCGCTGGGCCGTGAGCTGAGAGCTGAGAGCTGTGGTGAATGTGGCAGCGAGGCGAGATTGCCAGTGTGCCTCCGCAGCCGTGCTGATTGGCATTCGACATCGTTTCGTCGCCATCCTTCTTGCTTCTACCTACGACCAACCAACTCCCCTCCCCGTCGACAAATAACGTAAGTTTCTGCTGCAAACACTTCTTGATCGCATCAGCAGCAGGCATCACCCCAGCATCCTTGCACACATTGGCATCAGCAGCATTCCGACCAGCCATACCCGACTCTGCATTCTCGATTCGCTACTTCCTGCAACCACATACAACATCTCTCAACGAACAGCACGAACGTCGTTCTTGCATCCCTTCTCGTCATTCAGCGATTCTGGCGTATGCACACAACGGAAAAGAAATGCAAATCTGGCAAGGATGGGCAGAGGATTCAGATGTCTTAAGACGGCTTGCCAATAGTAGAGCGTAGAGGACGGAGGAAGCTAGACCATTGCAAAGTTCCGAAGCGCAGGGCATAATGTCGCAACGTTGTCGGAGTGCTCTGAGGCACGTTGCAGGGCATCCATCAGACGCATAGCACCACGAGGTGGAGATATCAGCGCAGATAGCTGCCGGCTCTCGATGCACTCCTGTTGAACATCCATGTCCACATACTTGGCGCGCAGCACAAACGATCCTCTCCATCGCTCCAACCAATGCTGCATCTACACCGCCAACGCTGATGCGATCAAGCAAGCAGTCAATCCACACAACTCAATCACTTGAACAAATGACTAACCTTCTTTCCCTCGCACCACCAACATCTCGTACCAAACAACAGTCCTCAAGATGACTCGCCTCACTGAGTACATGGTGATTGGACGCCACCTTCCCACCGAGAAGGAGCCCTCTCCCAAGCTCTACCGCATGAGGATCTTCGCCGTCAACAAGTCGGTCGCCGAGTCTCGTTTCTGGTACTTCGTTCGTCAGCTCCGAAAGATGAAGAAGGCCACCGGTGAGATTGTTGCCATCCACGCCGTAAGTATTGCATTGAAACCGGACGTTATCGACAAGAAAGAGCATCGCAGCGGATTATGCACGAGGCAGATATCATGCAGATTGGATAGTCAGACAAGGACTCTCAGATGGTCACAAAGTGTTGGAGGACATCCATGGATGCAGAAAAGCGACTAGCAGCGATCAGCCAACTCATGCAATCACGTCGTAGCATTGCTGGTCAGGACACCAGGCCAGGATAACGCAGGGCGAATGACTCCGTGCGAGAACCAGGGTAGCATACCCAGTCAGAACAAGGCCAAGGAGCGTGGCATACGGACTCCTCAGCCACACGACCTGCCGCTCTTTCTTGTCGTCACGACCCGCACACATCTCGTATCCTCTGTCATTCGATGGACCCCAGACTGACTCGTTCCGACATTTTTGCTTGATTCCTCATAGATCCACGAGAAGAAGCCCCTCAAGGTCAAGAACTTCGCCGTCTGGCTGCGATACAACTCGCGATCGGGTACCCACAACATGTACAAGGAGTTCCGTGCCCTTTCGCGCTCCGAGGCCGCCGAGTCTCTGTACCAGGACATGGCTGCCCGCCACCGTGCCCGATTCGCCTCGATCCACATTCTCAAGATTGCCGAGATTGAGAAGAACGAGGACGTCAAGCGCCCTTACATCAAGCAGCTCATGGCTCCTGGTCTCAAGTTCCCCCTGCCTCACCGTCGCCCTCGTCACGTTGGTACCTTCGCCGGCCAGCGCCCCAACACCTTCTACTAAACGACTCGTCATTTGCATTCGACGCGTCTTGTCCGCATCCGACCATTGTACACCATCCACCACCACCACCATCATCTATGCATGATGTATTTTGCATCTCACATGTGCGCACCCAACCTCGACTACCGAGGGTGATGTGCGTTTCTCACCTTTCTCCCTTTTTCCGCGGCACAGTGTATGTCGTGGTCCTGGGTTAGATCCCAAAAAATGTCCTCTGTTTGGCAATCCTAAATTGCTTTCGACCTGTTGCTTTTGTTTCTGTGTGGATGCAGATTTGTGCGTTGTTTGTGTGGACAGGATATCATTGGGATATGGGTATGATATAAGGGTAAAAATACATGAAGGGACTAGAGACGACGGAGGCCACGTTTTGGTGCTGTTGTGACGGGTGTTCTGGTTGATGTTGACTTGACCGGTGCGGTGGCAGCGGTTGGCAATGCCGATGTAGAGCAGTTTGATGGAAGAACCTTGAGTGGTTCTGGGGTATCTTGTTGCTCGGTGACCTGGAAACACGCTGGTCTAGCATTCGCATGGACGCTAGTCCACAACCTCGCAGTCTCGACATACTCATCCCAATCCTCCTGCATCAACCTACTCGCCTCTGCATCCAACGCACTATCCGGATTAGGTTCGATGAGCAAACACTTGATGGTGGTCAAGATCCTCTCGATTCCGTATTCCTTCTTCCAGTCTTTTTTGAGAGAAGAGACGCAGATTTCGCCGGTTCGAGACACGTTCGGGTGGAAGATCGGCGTGGAAAAGGTACATCGTGGTGGGTGCGTGGGGAAGTCGACATCGGTGAAATCGAAGAGGATGCGAAAGTAGCCCCCGGAGTAGGGTGTGGAGTGGGGGCCGAGGATGTACGCTTGGAAGGAGAGGATGTCGGTTTCGGATAGGGAGACTCGGATGTCCGCGGGAGGGCTACGGGAGAGAGAGGTGAGTTCTCGGATAAGTGACTTGATCGTCGTTGGGGATACCATTTCTCGTGTGGGGATGTGGGGTGGAGATGGAGGAGGAGGAGGAGAAGGAGAAGTGTTGTCTAGGTTGGCTTTTCGGTGGTGGTGGTGGTGGTTGTGAAACAGGTCAGATCTGAACGTTTGGGAAGCAGAGACTAGTCAAAGGCGTAGTATCTCCACAGCAACGGTAGCTCAAGACGTTGATGTCACAGACCTCAAGGTGTGCGTATGATGCTCTGTGACGACGACAACTCAAAGTGTTGTTCTCGGTGACGTCGAGAAAGGCAGGGTGTTGAACTTCTAGCCAGTCCCGAAATATTAAGCTTTTTGACAGGCGAATCGTTCGGCCCGATCAATTTTTTATCGAGCCGATCAAGCAGAAAAGGCAGTGATTTCTTGCCTTATTTTTTCGTCGATAAATTTGTTTATGTTTTTCCTTCATCAAACAAAAAGGAGTCAGTCACCTTCAGAATAGGAACCACATGACATTCGATCCAAGGCTGTGCTATGCGCCAGTTCAGAGACTGATCAACATGACCGCGACGGTGGTCTCGAATAATGCCAATCGTGCGCTCAAGTCTGCCGTCGAGGCTTGATACGAGGCAACTACTTGTTGCTGATGCGTCACTATGCGGTTTGGACTGCCACCAGAGGAAGCGCCGAAAAGACACACAAAAAGAAAGGTTACCACATCTCTCACTCACTGTGGTTCCGCGGACTGATCTCAGGGTCGAGGTCAGCAGAGGCGTGACACCAAATCAAACCAAGAAAGGTGACAGCCGCGGCCCGGCGCGTGATTTTGGTGTCTGCGATGTCCGACGGACTTGGCAGAGCTGCAATAAGCTAAACGGACGGATCGCCAATTCCGAATGTCTGCAGCCCACGAGATTGTCGGTGCAGCCGCACCACACTCGGTGGACAGTTAGCCTGCACGCCGTCGGCGTGGCATGTGAGAGCCCGGCGAGACGCAGACCTAAACGCATACGCAACACGCGTGCAACAGAGACAGGCCATCGAAGCCGATCAAACATACGTCGGCTGAAGACCGCAGCGTTGAGCGGTGCTGTGCCTTGATCAACATCGACCTTGCTTAGAGGTGTAAGTGCACCCCGAGAATGGATTCTCTTCGTTTGTTCACAAGGAAAAGCCATCAATGGGGAAGAGAGAAAAGGGCCTAGAAATCAAACCTGCAAGCCTCTTACGTCGTACCAATCACACACGCGTTGCACCTGCACACTGCTTCAGCCTCTGACTTGAGCACTCACTGGATGTGCCCGCAATGATCAAGTCGACGAGGTGACAGCGTGGACAGATGGACACGAACAACACCGCACTGCCATCTGCCTCGCCTAGGCTGTGACAAAGTTAGCGATACTGTATACTAAAGCGACTAGAAACGACTCGATCGTACAACGGCACGGGTCGTTTTATTTTTCCTATAACAATAATAAAAACAAGACCCACGCAGGCATGACAGAGTGTGATGATGCAGCAGCCGCGGCGGAGTTAGTTTTGTCTTTGGCCATTTTTTTTTCTGCAGCTGGTCGGGCTGAGCTTGCCGAGTCGGATGATCCTCCGCTGAAAACGTCGCCTCCACGCAAAAGCCAGCACCTCGGCTCTCCCGACAGTCACACCTCAGCATGCGCTCGCTGCACACAGTCACGAGCCCGTTTGCTTTCGAGATCGATGCCAATGCTATGCTCGCACTACGCCTACTTGCCTCTCCCTCCCTCAGCATCTCCATCTCCATCATCATCGTACTCTTGCGGCCGGACTAGGATCTCGATTGTCCCTTCGCTGTCTGCAGCTTCTACTACTACACACCCGTCTGCATTCAGGTGTCCGACAGCTGCTTGCCATTCTGCAGCCAGGGTCTAGCTCTGCAGCCATCGCGACTCGCTTGACAAAGCAGTCTTTCGAGATCATCGACGACGACACAAGGCACCATCCTCGACTTCGGCAGAGGAAACGCGAGCTGTACAGTGCAAGTCGTTACGATCGGCTTCCACAAATCACGCGCAGACTTTCTCGGGAAACGTATTCCCAGGAACCCGCTCAATTGTCCCACCATCGCGAACCGCACAGCTTGTTTCAATTGCTTCCATCGCGTCAGCCCACTCCGATCACAAGCTGTCAAATACCCTGATATTGAGCTGCCGGCTCCACTACGCCCAGCTACAGTACGGTCAGACCGCCTTGCTGCGCGTATCTCCTCGGCTCCCACTTAGGTCTGTTTCGTTTCAATCCGCACAGCAAGAGCAGCTCGATCTATGGCACAGCTTCACACGCTCTGTGATCTCTTGCAAGGATGGCCAGCCTACTCACCAGCTGGATTGGATCCAACAAGCTCACCGCCGACGTGGAACAAGGTCCGAGCGATCCTGCTCGAGCACGAGCTACAAGTTCCGGCTCAACCTCAATGTCTCCCATCGATCGCGCCACATCCATGACACCCAAGGCTCCTTTCCAATTCAGCTCCCAGCCCGATTGGCCCTTCAAGACTTCGAGAGATCACAATCGCGAGGCTTCCGAGGCTACACTCAACGGCCGTGCCAGCGAAGCACCTGCAGCAACGCATCCCTCTATGACATCGCATCCCTACGACGGGCCGCTGATCAAACCGAGTGCAAGCAGACCCACGTCGATGGCAAACGGATCCGAGCTCAGCCACGAAAGACTCACCGCGTTCAGCTCCACGCTCGGCGGTGTCGACAGCGAAGCTGCCTGGAGCGGGGCTCCCTCCGAAGCCGCCAGGAGCTCAGTGCCACGTCGACGAAAGAAGGTCGCACCTCCTGAGCTGCTCGTCATTGTCAAGCCGCCGCCTAGCAAACAGACGAATCCGCTCAACCTGCAGATCCAACTGGTCATGCCGCAGCAACTTCAGTCTCGGCGCGATGGCTCCCAGCGCCGTTTGTCCATAGACTCGTCTGTAGCCCCTGCCGACCTCTCCGCTACACCTTCAACGGAGTTGCGCAGGAGAGATTCGATCGCATCCACTCGCTCAGCAGGCTCGGAGCTCTCGGCATCGGGCTCTGTCGCATCCGCAAGCTCTGGGCGTCGAGTCACGCCCCTCTACAATCTCAATTTCCACCACATCTTGTCCACAACCGTCAGCGACGCAGGAACCGACCAGAAAGTGGCAAAGTATATCAAGAAGGGGATTGATCTCGATGGCTTCGGCATACTTGAGCCCGCAGAGCTGGTCAATGGCGTCAATGACCTAGCAACGCTTCACAAAAGAGCGCCCGTGGACCAAGCCACTGCGACAGTGCAGGCTGGCAATGCCACCAAGATTTCGCCCAGGAGCGAGACAGACTCATCTGGTGGTGCACACGACGACGTCTCCGCCCTTTCTGCGCCTACTCACGGCGCGACCACCTCGACGGAGGCAGCATCGACGACCGAGCCGCCCACCTCGTTCCAAGCCATGACGCCCGAAGCTCGAGGGGTCGAGGCGAACCTCGGCGGCAAGCTCTTGGGCAAGTTCAAGCGATTCTCTCTCGGAGTGCGTCCAAACAGCGCAGCCGGCGCTGGTGGCGCTTTTGGACGTGATGCTGCTGCTGTCTCGACACACGATCGTCTGACAGCACCGCCAACGGCTGGAGCACCCAGCCTGTTCGGCAGACTCTCGACGGGCGATACTGCGAGAGGTCAGTACGGCAGCGAGGCTTTGCAGATGCACCCAGGCGCAGGGCTTGTCGACGGCAAGCGCACAGAGGGTTACATCTGGACGGTACGCAAGTGGAACCGCAGAGCGCTCGACGGTGCACCTGCCAACTTTGCCGGCAGAACTTCGGCGCTGTCGTCTCCCCCGACGGATGCTCCGGGCTCGAATCCGGTGTTGACCAATGTCTGGAAGCGCTTCAACCTGGTGAATCGCATGGGTGGTGACGAGCCTCATCCGCCGCCCTCGCAGATCCCGGTGCGGTTCGAGTGGTCACGAAATTCGAAGAGGATGTCGAATCGTCAACGCTACGAAACAGCTCGAGCGAGGCTTCGCGCGAGCGTTTCCTTAAACGCTTCTGTGACAAGCATCGACCGCCAAACTGGTCTCGAGGCAAGTCGGAGCAATGCGTCGCTGGGTCGCCAACCAGCGCAAACGGCGACCACATCGACGTCGGCGCAGTCTCTCGGAGTCGACGATGTAGGCGTGCCTCGTCTCAGTACCGGCGATGCGGCTCGCTCGACATCTCGACCCTCGTCGTTCATCTCTGGAGCCGGACACCGGTCTCCGAGGCCATCCATGGACACATCAGCTGCCGGTTCCTCGGCTCCTCACGGCGACGAGGATGTCGATTCCGGCGACGAGTCCGATCCCGAAGACAGCGAGACTCCTTGGAACTGTCACCTCGTGCTGGGTCCTACAACGCGGATCCCGCTAGGGACGCTTTCGCCTGCACCGCACCATCCCAAGCTTGTGGGTCAGCTGGCGGTGCCCTTCCCGCTACCAGACTTGAGCAGCACGGGTTTGGGGCCAGATGGCGCGGGGTTGACACGCGAAGAGTTGAAGGATGTCATCATTGTGACGTGCTTGCATTTGATTGTGAGGGAGAGCTTCGGTGGGTTGGCGAGGAGGAAGAGCAATGCTAGTGTCGAGGGAGGGGGAGGGGGAGCGGGGTTGGCGGGTGCGGCTATGGCGAATGTGAACGGGTGGAGGCTGGCGAGTGTTCCCAAGAAGTAGAGGCAATAAGCTCAAGCTTTGATCCTCTGTTTGGACTGCGTTGTATTTGGCGGTATGTCTAGTGGATTGTTTTGATCCGCTGTCAGAATGGAATCGCTTTCGTCGGACGTCGTTTCTTTTGCGCCTTGTACGAGCATGTTGAAGTTTGAGCTGTCAGCGAGTGAGTGACGCCTCCACAGAGAGACGAACTCGGAAGTCGGGAAATTTTCCCCACGTCAAGATTCGTGCTGAGCCGTGATTTTGGCCTTTCACCTCCAACCTACCGCACCCACACACTCGAACGCGGGACGCTCAGACCAGCGAGGCAGGCTGCAGAACGAACAACTGGGATCCGGACGATCCTTTTCAAGCTCTCGAAGCGAGTAGACACGATGGACGAAGCGGCGTTGCGAGCGATGATGCCGACGTCGTTTGGCGGGAGGCGAGGAGGTGGAGGCAAGGGAGTGGCGAGTCGTGCGGCTGCACCGGTGGGGACGGCATCGGGTGGAGCGGCAGGTGCGGGCAGTGATCTCAGCTCTGCGGTGTTGGGTAAGAGACCCGCGGAGGATGACGAAGAGGAGGATGATGATGGGTTGACCGCGGAGGAGCGTGCTGCGAACCGGGCGGCTGAGGAGGAAGCGAGGGAGCGACGGGCGAGGGGCATCGACTCTTCCTCGGATGACTCTGATGACTCGGATGATGAGGTGGGTCCTCCGCCACCACCACCGTCAGCAGCAGTAGCGGCAGCTGCCTCGAACCCAATACCTCCAACATCCATCCCACCTCTGACGCACACCGCACGCTTCGCCCCCATTCACACCAAAACGCTCTCCTCCCTCGCCGTCGACCCCTCCGGCTCACGCTTCTGCGTCGGCAGCTACGACTCCACCGTCTCCCTCTACGATTTCGGCGGCATGACCTCCACGCTCTCACCCTTCCGTCACTTTCCCCCGACGCACGAGACCTATCCGATCCTGGATCTGGCCTTCTCGCCCTCGGGCGCAACGCACCTGCTGGTGGTGAGCGGGACGTGCGAGGCGCAGATCTTCACGCGCGACGCCGCCGAGGTCGGCAAGTGCAGGAAGGGCGATCCGTACCTGAGGGATATGCGGCACACCAAGGGACACGTTTCGGCGCTTACGTGTGGGGGTTACGCTGCAGGTGGCGGGTTTTGGACCGGTGGGAGCGATAGTACGGTGAGGTTGTGGAGTGAGGAGAGGATGGAGAGGGGACAGGATGATTTGATTGTGGTGAAGAGCAAGACCAGGGGTGGGAGGACGAAGGTCACTGCGATAGCCGAGGAGGGGGATGGGATCTGGGTGAGCGGCGAGGACGGGTTTGTGGGGATGTGGGATACCAGGTCGAATCTCAACGCTAGGCCGAGGTTGGGCGTGGACGAGGCGCATGAGAGGGATACATGGACGAGCTGCATCAGTCTCAGCGGTCACAAAGTGGTGACGAGGGGAGGCGATGGAAAGGTCAAGATGTGGGACGCGAGGCAGTTCAGAAAGCCGGTGGTGGAAAGGGATGGATTGTGGGGAGGGAGCAACCACGCGGGGCTGATATGGGATCCCTTCGACTCGAGAACGTTGATCGCTGGCGTTGCCGATACCGGAAACAGTGGGAACGATGACGATTCTACAGCGTCGCACAAGGATGGCGGTCAGATCGTTGTTCTCGACAGTCTCGATCTCTCCACCGTCTCCACGACCGCTACCCCATCCACACCGATCCGTTTCCACTGGAGCGCGCACACAGACCAGCTCTTCACCACGCACCGTTCCGGTCTCCTCACCATCAGCTACTCCCCCACGCGCTCTACCAAAGGCATCACCCTCGCGCTCCCGCGCCACGCCTCCTCCACATCCTCCCTCTACACCTCCTCCGACCCCGCCTCCGAATCTTCGTATCCGATCTCCGACCCCACCTCCTTTACGCAAAGCGAGTCGGCCAAACGTCGTCGTCTCGCCAAAGCCCGACTGGATCCCACCAAAACCCTCCTCCCACAGGGCCCCCTCTCCGGTCGTGGAAAAGGCGGCCGCATCGGTGCAGGCGATCAACAGGGAACGGTGCAGAGCTTGTGGAAGGCCCCCGACGATCTGAACGTGGATCCGAGGGAGGCGCTATTGAAGTACGCTGCAGACGGGAAGGGGGAGTTTACAAAGGCTTGGGAGAAGACCCAGCCGAAGACGATCTATTCCAACTACGAAGAGGAGCAAGAGCAGGAGGAAGGTTGATGTCACGCTTTTCACAAATCACAATCCTAATCGATCTCGTCTTCACGTTTTTGAGAAACACCACCACGTGAATGTGCAGTTTCATTACGCTTACACCATGCGCATCATACCCCCCACTCCGCTCTGCAATCACCTCGTTACCCCAACCTCAACCCACCCATCGCACCCACCGCATCCCCCATCCCTGGCTGCGGCGGAACCGGCGGCGCCTTCTGCCCCTGCGGCGGCGTCGGATACCGCACACTCACCGCCCTCCTCTTCCCCAACGCCTTCTCACTCGGCACCACCGGCGTTTGCATTTCGTCCCCCTCCTCCTCCCACCCTTTCTTCTTGGTATCGATGTTCAGACTAGGCGGGGTGACGGGAAGTGGAGATCTGCCGCCTGCTGCGTTGAGCGGCGTGTCGCGTGAGTGGGTGGACGAAGTGATGGAAGAAGTGGTAGAGTGAATGGAGGCGGTCAAGCTTTGAGCGGTGGCGTGGTGAGGATGCGGGAAGGATGTGGTGCTGGTGTTCGAGTCGGAGGATTGGTCTGACCGTGGTACCGGGAGTGGGCGAGAGATTCGAGGTGGGAGGACAGGTGCTCCGTTGCCATTGGAGGCAGCAAAGTAGGCCGGGCTAACACCCGACGATGCAGAATTGTCTAGCTTCTGCGAGGACGTGAACCCACCGGCACTAGGCGATGGCGATCTTGACCCGGATGCTTGGACACCCAACAACCCGGCCCTTCCCCCCCCAACAACATCGTACAATTCCCCAGTAAGACTACCCTGCGCAAGAGCGGATCGATCCAGCCGGACCTCGACTTTACTCCTCTCCGTCGCCTGCCTCTCCGCTTCCTCTTCCTCAATCCTCCTTCTCGCATCTTCCACCATGTGAATAGCCTCGCCCGATCTGCCATGTGCCTCCAGCAAATCGGCCAGCAGAGCTTCTTCCCTCGTCTCCCTCTCACCTCCCACAGCGACCGCTGCTCTGGACCGGTCAGCTTGCGCCGAAGCCCATGGTATCTGAGAAGCAATCAGATCCTGCGAGCGCACCACTTTACTGTGGAACTCTTCGACCAGCTCCAGCGTACCGGAATGCAATCCCTCGTGCAACAGCGTGTCGACCAGTACCGCGGCGTTACTGCGTGCGATCTGACATTCCTCGTGCAAGCGTCGTACGTCTTCGTCGAAGGTGAGCACGTCGTCGCGCTGAGAGGCGGAAGAATGGTTGCTGTGCATGGAAGCAGAGTGAGAATCCATGGATGCAGCAGCTGCCTCGAGAGTTGAGATGACATCGGTGGCGCTCCTGCTATCGTGCTGCTCAATCATCATGGGTGGTGACACGACGTTGGCAACGGTGCGTGTCTGAGGTTGGAGACTAGGCGGAGGGAGATTGGGTCTCGGCCAAGTCTGCTGCTGCTCTGGCGGCGCTGCCTGTGGCTGCACAGAAGCAGGTACGCCAGGTGGATGTGGTGGCGGTGCAAATGCGGCAGAATGGAGGAGTCGCTGCTGATCGGCAGAGTCCGCGGTGAAAGGTCGCTGCTGCGGGGGCGACACACCGAAGTCGGGTTCGTGGTAAGCAGCGCCTCGTCTGGGCGGCTGCGAACGACGTTGCGAGACACGTCGGAAAGCCGGCTGCTGCTGCTGTTGCTGCAACGGGCCGGTCGGCTGAGGCAGTCTGAACTCGAACAGGTCATCTTCGAGTGGCTCTCCGTCCTTCTTGCGATCGTTCGGCTTGACCTTGTTCCAGCACTTTGTCACCGCGACCAATTCCGCATCGTCTCGAAACTCGAAGGCCAGAACACCCAAGACCCTGAGCATGGTCTCCTTTACACTCAGAGGTGTCTTTGACGAAGCGATACTGTCCTCGATGGCATCGAGGAAGCGCTTGCTCGCAACCTGCAGACGGAAGCGGTCGCTCGAGTTGAGCGCGAGCAGCGCCCAGATGCGGACAGCGCGGCGTTGAGTGTCGACTGCGCCGTATTTGAATTCTTTGCGAAGCGCTCGCGCCGCCTCTTTGCTCGCCGCGTCAGAGTGACTGATGACATCGATGAGTGGCAAGATCTGCATCCAATCTTGCTCGTCATTTGCGTTTGCGGAGAGCCAACCGATGTGCGATGCGACAGCTTCCTCGGCTTCCTTGTCGTGAAGTCTGGCTGCTTGCTGCTGGTGAGAGCGCTTGTTCCATCGATCCATCCATCCGCCCTCCTTGCTGCGTTCCTGGGGAGACAGAGGCTGCGAATTCATGGGAGGGGACATGAGTCGAAGATCGTCACGATCACGGCTGTGCCTTGGTATCGGTGATGGTGCGGTGGCGGCAATGTCTCGATCCTGCTTTCCTTTCTTGTCTTTACCGCTGCCCGTTGCGAATCCGAAGAGCTTCTTTGCTTTGCCCTTGTCTTTGGGATTGAGCTCGCGAAGGGTGGTTTCCTCGTAGCGCCCTTGAGAGATGAGCACCTCGCCTGCATCGTCATCGCCGTCTGCGCCCGAATAGACTGGATAGGCAGCTGAGCGTGGTGCGTCGCTCGCCGTTGGTGTACGGTCATCCAGGTCATGATGGAAGGTACCGTCCTGCGGATCGTAAGGACTGTCGGATCGTTGCCGGCGCGCTGGTTCAGCAAAGTGTGGAGATACTAGTGATTCGGGAGCAGATTGGAGAGAATGGCGTTCGCCGTTCCTGCCTTGGCCATGGCCTTGAAGGGACGCTGCACCAGATGCGATGCCTGTGCTCCAGGAGTTGTCTCGGCGATGTTGATGAGCGGCGGGCTGGGCAGGGCGTAACGATCTGGGCGGTGAAAAGGCGGCCATGTGAGGTGGTTGTTGCCGCTGCTGTTGTTGCTGAGAAACGCGTATTGAATTTGTGCGTCGTGGTGTAGGAGAGCTGCGTAGGTCGTAGTCGGAAGTGTTCTGACGCTCGAACGATGGGCGAAAAGTCTGTGACTGTGCCGAGATGGGGTCTGGATACGAGTCATAAGCGGCGTCTGCAGCCTGGACAGCATGTAGCTGGTTCGGAGATCGATTCTTTCGAGGTGAAACGCCGAGCTGTTGACCGCGTCGCTGCTGCGAGGTTGGAGAGTAGGTTCGAGCATAGCTTGAACGCTCAGGAGAGTCGGGTGCTGAGCGCGAGGCTACTGGAGGGACCTGCAACGAGAGTGGGCGATTTGAGTCTCGTGCGTGCGATGCCATTCGAGCTTGGTACTCGTCGAAGGGCCGTGGAGTCGAGAAAGAGGAACTTTGAACGCCAGGGCTGGCGGGAGGCAGGGGGGTGATGGTCCCCGCCTCCTTTGGTCTGAAGAACTTCTTCATCTAGAAGAGCTGCGTGGACGTGGCTTGGTTCACCATGGTCATCGTCGAAAGTATGCAGACGTCTTCGTCGAGGTTCTCGAAAACAAGCTGTGGAGAGGCTGCTTTGCCGTGAGCTGAGAGTCTTCCAATGCTGAGCGTGGGAGCTCGACAAATTCGGCAGGCTCAGTGCAGCTCGGCGTCCATGTCCTGGGAATGGGATGAGCCGCTGAAGGGTCAGTCGACGTACGGCAGGGCTCGTCTAGCCGGTCCAGACGGAGGAAAGCAGCGGGAAGCGCTAATGTCAAGTCGTGAGCTTGGGTAGTCAATCGCTCTGTCGAAGGAAGCCATCCGGTTGTTACGATGCGGTAAAGATTCTGCGATTGGAGGGAGGATGTGCGAGAATCCGATTTCCGTAGGTTGTCGTCGCTGCTTCGGGGTGGTCACCGTACGGCTTCTGCTACGGATCGCGAGCCCTGCGATGGTCAAGTGATGTCTGTGAGGAAGAGAGGAAGCCAGGATGGCGGTGCGGAGAGAGTATGGTGAGCGTGACAGTGTCCGTGGCACACCTGCCAAACCAAAAAGCGGCCGGTGCGGCTCCCTTTCAAGCTCAGCTGCGCACAGCACGGCGCAGCACAGCGCGGTGTGACCGAAGTCGTGGTTTGGCAATTGCACAGCACAGCTTGGCACCGCTCAGAGTTCTACGGTTAAGCATTTTTGGTTTTTATTGATTCTTTTTTAAAGCAACGAACTGAACCGGGAAATCTACCTGAGAAGCTTCTCTAAAACCAGCATCCCGGAAGAGCGATCTCGAACAACATACACCCACCAAGGGCGCTGTAGTGCTCGGGGGACACCCTAATAGCTCGACTCAAGCTCATGCCGCCGCCGCCGCTGCTGCTGCTGCTGTCATGTCTCGGCTACTGCTGAATTCTAAAATCAAAAACACCACAAACCCTGAGGTTGGCGTCCAAAAATATACGTTTTGGATGGCTGTGTCTGCGTGTGAGTGGTACGACCTTGTGATCATGCCCCATCATTTACGCCTGGAGTCCACGTCATGCTCACGGCATCCTCGGCTCTCGACAAGCGCAGCGGATGCTTAGAACACGAGACGCATCAGCCTTCTGAGGCCGCTAGCCACAGACAGCAACGACATGAGCGGTTAAAGAGCACAAATGTCGACACACAGTCCCTTTGCTCGTGCAATTGAGCGGCGTGGAGCCGAGTTCGGAGTACCGTGGCTCGAAACATGCGGTGAGTCTGCCGCACTCCTCGAGGCTATCACATAAGGCACACAATATATGTCTTTCTCTCTCAACAACTCAGAACGACTTTGAGGGCAGACTTGAACACCACTGTTCTCTTCCCAAGCAACTCCTCAACCTTGCTCGCTCGACGCAAGAGTACAAAGGGTGCCTATCTGGCGTCGTCACAGACGGTTCGCATGTTTTTCCAGACACGCTACTCACGAAGCAAGCACTTGGAGAGATTTACAAGGCGACGACAGATGGTATGAAGGTTCGATCGTACATGGCAAGCGTCAATGTTCGTCAAGGAAGGCTGGAGCGTCACAAATTCAAGAGGCAATTGGGAAAATGTCCACTAGCAGTTGCAAGCATCCTGCTGTTGACCTCCTTGCTGCCCGTTGAGGTTGACGCCTGGTCTTGCGCCTCCAGCTCCAGCAGCAGATGCTGCGCCTGCCCGACCACCCTGTTGCGAACTGGCCGCCTGCTCTGTCGGCAGCTTGCGCGCAATCATGGTGAACAGCTCCGAGACGTTGGACGAATCCTTGGCCGAGGTCTCGAGGAAGAGGAGACCCTCCTCCTGTGCGTACTTTTCCGCCTCTTCGGTGGGAATTGCACGTCGCGTACTCGCCAGATCGGCCTTGTTGCCGGCAAGCGCGATGATGATGTTGGGATCCGCCTGACGCTGAAGCTCGCGGATCCATGCCTTGGCCTTGTCGAGAGAAGAAGGTTGGGTGATATCGTACACTACTACTGCGCAGTTGGCGTTGCGGTAGTACATGGGTGCCAGCGACTTGTATCGCTCTTGTCCCGCTGTGTCCCAGATCTCGAATTTGACCGTGGTCTGCGCATCCAAGCTGACGGTCTGTGTGAGGAAGGCAGCTCCGATGGTGCTCTCGCGGTAGTCGTCAAATTGGTCCTTGACGAAGCGGAGCACCAGACTCGACTTGCCGACAGCCGACTCGCCGAGCAAGACGAGCTTGAACTGAAGCTGACGAGGATTCCTTTGAGCAGCAGCCATTGTGATGATGCGGTTGTGACAACAAGCTGATGTGCCGAAAACAGGCTGAGGCGAGACAGTGGCAATCTATATGCTAATAGCAGCCGAAAGCCTGCAGTGATGCGATGAAACGGGCCCTTCGGACGAAGCGAGGGGGAGCCGCTGAGTGGGAGATCAATCCTTGGGCGCCAAAGGCGTGATCGGGCTGATCCGTCGTACTTCGTCCGTTATCGGTGTGGAGAGCGAGGTGCAATTCGTCTCGCCTCTGAGATGCACCAACTAAGTGGAGTCCTGTGACAATGAAGAGAAATACGCGCAATTGTCAAAGCCGAGTGACGATGTGTCGGTGAGTGTCGGAGACAGTCGGCTTGCAGTTGCCAGACAAAGATGATGTTGTATGAGAGAGGGAGTATGTGTGGGAGTGGTGGAAGTGATAGGGGTCCGAGGAGCGTGGATGGTGCGCTGCGATATAATCCAAAAAAGAAAGGTGGCCTCAGATCAACAACGCTTTCTGATGCAACAGCAGCCCACCCTCTCCCTCTCCGCCTCCCCGTGAATACGGGAGAGCTGCTCGCTCGGATTTCACGCCGAGCTTTGGCTGTGCCTCTCTGTGTGTGAGAGATTTGGCACACGCGCCCTCTGGCGCGCTGAGTTGCACCATCTCGCTCCCAAATCGACCGATCCTGCGCTCTTTCGTTGGAGAATTTCGACTTTTCAGTTTTAATCCCCTTTTTATTTATTTATTTCACCTCCACCTCAGTTGAGAAGGAAAGCGGAACCAACACCATCAGCTTCTGACCAAGTGCGTACGACATCTTTGGCCCCCGACACCTTTCTCAGTCTACCGCATCGTTAATGGTCGTACTCTACAGAGCACTTGGAGCCTCAAGAACATCGCTTGCTCGCTGTATTCCTTTGCAATCCATCCCTTCGAGACTCGTGCTCGCTTCCATCGTGTCACAGCGCACCGGCATCACACCACGTTCGTGCAGCACCATTCGAGGAACTATGATGCAGTCCAACTGGGAGATTACCGACACGGTCAAGCAGAATGCGATCCTTGCGAGCACCATGGAAGCCATGCATCGCATCGCACCGCTGCAACTCGCCGAGACGTCCTTTGACAACGTCGGTCTGCTCTTGCAAGCACCATCGCCCGTCAGCGGCCAATCCGGCGAGAAGCAAGGCGTCATGCTCGCCATCGATCTGACTACGGATGTATGCGACGAGATCCTTTCCTCGCCAGAAAACGTCAAGGTGGCGCTCGTGTACCATCCGATCATCTTCCGAGGTCTCAAGTCGCTCACATTCGCTGATCCTCAGCAGACGAGTCTGTTGCGGTTGGCAGCTGCTGGGGTAAGCGTCTACTGCCCTCATACTAGCCTCGACGCGACGCTAGGAGGTATCAACGACTGGCTAGGAAAGGTGGTCTCCTCGAAGGAAACGTTTGCCGAGCTCGAGTCGCCGGAGGCGCTGGATTCGTTCCGAACCAACGCCTTCGCTGCGCTCAGCGCTAGCAAGAACACACCAAAAGGCTACGAGGCGGCGGGACTTGGTAGACTCATCAAACTCGAAGAACCGCAATCCTTCGACGAGATCGTGAGAAGGGTCAAGCAGAACCTCGATCTGCCGCATGTTCAAGGCTGCAAAGCGTCGGACAAGCCCATCTCCACCATTGCTGTCTGTGCCGGCTCGGGGTCAAGCGTCTTCTCGGGCGTCAAGGCGGACCTCTATTTGACAGGCGAGCTCTCGCACCACGAGATCTTGGCGTACAAAGCTGCAGGCGCATCTGTCATTGTCACCAACCATACAAACACCGAGAGGTGAGTATTCTAGTCGTCGATCTCATGTTGGCGTCTCTACATTCGAGTGTGAGGCTGACCTTTCCTTCTCGCTTTCATCTTCTGTCTCTACAGAAAGTACCTCCGCGACGTTCTGCAGCACTGGTTGCGACCAGAGCTTCCGAGCCAATACTCCATCAGCGTCTCCAAGACCGATCGAGATCCGTTGACTGTTTTGTAGCCAGAGATTGTGCCATTCGCTGCTGAACGGCGGCAACCTTTCCAACGTTTCAATGCGCCCGATGGGTGCCCGATCTCGACGCGTGGAAGGTGGGGAAATTTGAGTCTCGGCGGTGCAGCGGTCGGCTGCACAGCGTCTCATGCTGGCGTCGGCGTGGCCGAGATGAGAAGAACCAAGCTCAAATTTCGACCGTGTGTGTCCGTGCAGCAGAGCAGCTGAAAGACACATGAAGCCCCGACACTCTGACCAAGAGGCATTTGACATCTCTCGAGACGACCATCTGCTCTATCTTGTCGGCCACCGCTCCGAATCGACTTTCTCCACTGACCAGGGGCCGACTCCCAGCATATCCACCACATCCGAAAGCCGTCAACACTGCATCCTAGCGAGCGGTTGGGGCTAGCCTGGCGCGAACATCACAATGGCCGACTTGCTAGATTCGCTGGATCGGCTTCCCAAGATCCGTCAGTTCGATGCCTTTCCCAAGACGCAATCCATCTACACACAGCGTTCATCCAAAGGTGGAGTGCTCACCATCGTCTCCACCGTGACGCTTCTGTTCCTGCTATGGACCGAACTCTCCTCTTACCTCTACGGCGAACGCGGGTATTCCTTTTCCGTGGATGATCAGCTACAGTCGACGATGCAGATCAACATGGATATGACTGTAGCGATGAAGTGCCACTATCTGACCGTCGACGTTCGAGATGCGGTGGGAGATCGATTGCATGTTTCGGACTCGGAGTTTACCAAGGATGGGACGACGTTTGAGATCGGACATGCGGATCGATTGGACGCTCTACCTATGCAGGAGATCTCGGTGCAGAAGACGATCAACCAAGCACGTCGCAAACCGCTGTATCGGAAGAAGCCGAAGAACAAAAAGTTCAGTCGACAGGTGGCTTTCCAGAAGACAGCACACGTCGTCCCCGACGGTCCAGCATGCAGGATCTACGGCAGCATGGAAGTCAAACGTGTCACGGGAAACCTGCACATCACAACTCTCGGTCATGGATATCTGAGCATGGAGCGTACCGATCACAAACTCATGAATCTCTCCCACGTCATCCACGAATTCAGTTTCGGTCCTTACTTTCCCGAAATCTCCCAACCGCTAGACTCTTCGGTGGAGACGACGGACAAACACTTTACCGTGTTCCAATACTTTATCTCTGCAGTACCGACGCTGTTCGTCGACGCCAGAGGTCGCAAACTGCACACGCATCAATACAGCGTCACCGACTACACCCGACAGATCGAACACGGAAAAGGCGTACCCGGCATCTTCATCAAGTATGACATCGAACCTCTGCAAATGACGATCCGAGAAAGGACGACTGGATTCCTGCAATTCCTGGTACGGCTAGCCGGCGTCTTGGGAGGTGTATGGGTATGCGTCGCTTACGCCTTCAGAGTCACCAACCGCGTAGCAACCTTCGCCACCGGTAAAGGCGAGAGGGAGAGGGAAGAATCCTACGCTGCCAGCTACGGCTACCAGAGACCCAAGATGGAGAAGTCGGACAGCTGGTTGACCAAGAACGATGCGGTGGACAGACTGAAGGACAAATGGGCTGGGTTTGGAGGAGGAAAGGGCGGTCATAGGAAGGTGGATAGCGTTCAACAGAGGATATTGTCGGAAGAAGGGAGGGCGTTTTGAGCGTGGTTGAGGTATCAAATATGATTTGCTTCACAGAAAAGAGCTGCGTGCGAATGGCTCAAATCTCAGCCTGACGTATGTGACAGTTGACTCGGTGCTCGATATCAGTCACGGCCTCAGATGGACGCACGTTGAGCCAGGGCGCATGAACTGAAAGAAAAGCAATACATTGCAAGCGAACGCTGATCGATCAAGCGACCATGGCCGAGTCCAACCCTCTCGTCTCTAGGTGATCCAAGCTCTTCCTCAACGTGGCGATCTTGTTCCTCAACGTCTTGATCGCCTCGGGCAACAGCTTCTCCGGCGGGATGATACCCGTGCTCTCGAGATCGAACAAAAAGTGATCCCGCACCCTGCCCAGCTTGACCTTGTCCTCGAACTCCTGGTGTCTGAACACCTCTCGAGAGATCGTGTCCTTTCGCGCATCCTGCACCACCACGCTGCGGTCCTTTCCGGTCCCCGTTACGCCGATGACGCCCGGTGGGAAGCACTTGACGAACTTGTCGATGGATTCGTCCGGGATCGGTTTCAGCAGCTGGATGTGCGGTAGCAGACGGTAGGAAGCGGTTGCGACGGGCGAGAATTTGGCGTGGTCTTTGCCGATACCCTTCTCGCAGTGAAGCTCGAGATCGAGTTCTTGGCCGGGTCGGAGTTTGGCGATCAAGATCTTGTCGTGGACGGGGCGAGGTGGGGCGTCTGCAAAGTCTTCATCCTGACCACCCTTGGGGTCCCACTGCAGCTGTTCCGAGTAGACGTTGTGGCCGATGTAGAGTTTGTCTGGGTCGGTTTCGCCACGCGCCGCCGTGCGGTTGCGCTCGCATTTGGCTTTGAGGTGGAAGACTACAGTGTTGCTGTCGTCTGCATCGTCGCCGGGCATGCGCATGGTGACTTTATCCGGATTGATGACGAGTGGAACGAGACCGAGACGATGCGAGAGAACCTCATCTTGGATGATGGAGGTGTTGTTCCAGATGTACACGTGCTCGATGGCGACCGTCGGCACCTCAGCCATCAGTACTCGACGCACAGCGTTGGCGACGGAGGCATCTACGCCGATGAGGTCGAACTCGCACGATGCGTCGGAAAGACGTGTGACGATGACCTTGAGCTTGTCGTTGGCAGACGCGAGGGAGAAGGCGTCGTTCTGGCCGGGGTGGTGGAGCGGGAAATCGGTGTTGGCGACCGAGCCAACACGTTCTGGCAGGATCTCGACGAGACGACGCTGATCGACAGCGACAGAGGTTTTGGAGTCGGCAATGATGCTGGAGGCGACGGGGTCGTTGGCAATGGATCCGCTGGGTTGAGAGCTGGATGGCTCGTCGACGTCCATTGGTTGTGGTTCGGCGGCGACGGCGGCGGCCGAGGCCTTCGATGACCGCTTTGAGCCCTTGGGAGGCATTGTGTATGTGCGTGTGCGTGAGCTCGAGACTAGGCTGGTCCGGAGAAAGAAAATTCGGATGGGTTTGTAGCTGTTGTTGTGCGCTCTCGGGATCTGAAAGTTGCAAGATCAGCCGAAGGTAGTGTAGATGGGTATGATGTGTTGAATGACAAGGTACGAAGACTTTGTCGCTGCGACTCCACTTTCGATGAACCCGTACAAATATTCGGCAGCAAACCACGACCGAAAAACCAAAACGACCTTTTTTGAGATTTTTCTTCTTGCAGCGCACAAGTGAATCCCGACTTCCTTGGTTGCCGACCAACTTGAAGTTTTCTCACAATGTTGAAGATTAGATCCCTAACACTAAAACACAATTCGATTGTCTCATATTGGCTCTCGCTCTGAGTACAGTATCAGCATTAAGGGTCCAATTGCGGCAAAGCCGAACGCTCGGATCAGCCAGCTTCTCTACAGTTGGGACCAAACGCCGTGACACTCCTGAAGGATGTAGCGATGTCTTGTATCTCAACGTCCCCGATGGCCGAAGCAGCCTGTTGTCAGTAGTAGTGCCCTCAGACCCGGCACGAGCTTCGAGGCAAATCTGTGCCGTGCCGCCTGACGTCCGTGGGAACGTTGTGCACCGGAGCATTTATGCATGCTTCCCGCGTCCGTCGGAGACTTGTCCCGCTGTCTTGATGCACTGATAGAAAGACTCTGTAGGAGAGCGTGTCCGACGAGCTAACGAGGACGAAGAGGGCGTCAGTGTGCCTTAGCTCGTCCGTACTCCGCTCAAGCATAGCCATTCAACGTCACAAAATTGCTCAGAATCCTGGCTCGCTCGTATCTCTGACTGTCTTCTTGCCAGCACCACGTTTCCTTTTACCATCTTAGTCAACGACACCACTGCGCCGTCTGCATCTTTCACACGGCCACAGAACAGTGCACGGCGCGATGAACACCTGATTGCCTCCGCCGATGTAACCGAGTTCTGTCTCTGAGGCCGAGCCAACTCGATAGGTGACCGCCTTCTCGCGCAGCCTCCCACCCAAACAAGGTCCATATAAGGATCACACGGCGGATCGTGCGCAGCCCCGTCCATCCCTCTTCCAAGCAGCTCTCCTCTATCTCAGTTGCAATCATGACGCCAACCACCAGTCCGCCATCCACAAACCTTCGCAAGCGTCCGATGGACAATGCTCAATCGCTCATCGCTCCTGGTCACACCGAAAAGCACGCCGATCTCTGCGCCCGCCTTCGTCAGAGGCAGGTTGCCGAAGTCGTCCAGGTCTCAGATCGTGGCTCTGCTGTGCAGAACTGGCTCACAGCCCTCATCTCGGACCTCTCTTATTACCTCTTCACGTGGCTGCCCAGAACCTGGTGGGTCACCCTGACCAGCTTGCCACAGCTTCTGTTGGACCCTATCGGCTTCTGGACCGCCCTTGTTTTCGCCTCTGTCACTACTGTTGTTCTCTTTGCCACTCTGATCTTCAGGTAGGTATGCGCCTCACGATCACGCTTTCGTTCTTTCCCCGCCCATAAAGTCTCAGGTCACCATGGTGAAAAGATGGCTGACAAGCAAGTTCTCCTTTATTCTCGCTGTCTGCCTCGTAGTGCCAGCTGGCGGCTCTCCTTCTTTCAGGTACGATGGCAAGCCATATCGGCCATAGCAGATGTTGGCCTCGGCAACTTCGGTGAGTCGGCTGAGCTGTGGCTTCATGCGATCGAAAGAGGGCTCCCGAAACTGACACAAGAGCCCTTCTCTCTACCTTCAGCGTATCCTCTTATCTTCGAGTTTGACGCCGATCCTCAGAATGAACTCATTCGCAATGCTGCCTTCAAGGCCATGTCGCATCCCGATGGTGCGGACGCCAAACCCTCCTCAGCCGAGGAGCGCAACTTTGACCTGGAGATCTCTAAGATTCTCATGATGATCTCTGCTCTAGTATACGAGCGCAATGTCGGTGCGTATCACAAAGCTGCCCGAGTCGCTCAGCGAGTCAAGCATCAGAAGAAGCAGGTTACCTGTGGCCGGGACGCCCTCACCCAGGCTGGAAGCGAAATTGGTAACCATCTCGGTCTTGCCGATAGCAAGATCCGACGCGTTGCCAACGAATGGGGGCTCAACTACGCCAGCATATCGGAACTTGCCACCAACACGTCCCCGCTCTGCGGTGCCTTCTGGCATCCTGACCACAATTTCATCATACTCGCGTTCAAGGGCACCAATCCGGTTGAGTTCAAGGAGTGGGCCATCGATTTCACCTTTGACTACACCGACGGCCGTGCTTGGCTCCCTGGCTTTTCCAAAGTCCATGCCGGCTTCTACAACCAGCTCTTCCCGCAAGATCTCAACCACGCTACAGGCGCTTTTCCCTACACCGAGATCCGCACTGCCATCAGCCAGATCGCCGAAGAGATTCGCATCACCTCCACCTCCCACTGCGACCACGTCAACCTGTTCGTCACCGGCCACAGTCTCGGAGCAGGTCTTGCGAGCCTGTTCTACGCGCGTGCTATCGCTTCGCCGAAGGATTTCGGCAAGACTGAGGAAGGATGCGATCGGATTCGCGTGCGCGATGCGTACTGCTTTGGAACTCCCATCGTCGGCGACCCCGACTGCGTTTCGGCCTTCAACCAGGTCTGCCACGAACGAGACCTCGACCGTCCGCAGGCGCTTTGGCGAGTCACCAGCCGTCGTGATGCTGTGGCTACGCTGCTACCGGATGCCGGCGACAACCATATGCTGCGTCACATTAGTCCTTTGAGTCAGCTTCACTTTGCACACATCGGTCAGGAAGTCCAGCTTAGCAACAATATCAACAAGGTCTACACGGGTCCTGGCACGTTGCTTCCGACACAGACCCCGGTCTACGTGGTCACGCACTTGGATGGAGACGGTGAGGGGCCCAATGTGTCGCTGCCTCTTATCTATCAGCTGCTCGAATACGTTCCAGTCGTACGTCGCTTGGTCGCGCATGTTCCATCGTCCTACTGGGATAGGCTCACCAAGGTGCACGCCGGAGGACCGATCGAATACGCCCGTACCCATTGACACCCTTCTGACCGGCACATGTATGACTTATGGCTATTCGCCGACTTGAATTCATGAGGTTGTTCAATTTACTTTTCGTTTGTTTCGAGGCCTCGCATTGCGTTGCATGTTCACATCTGCTGGCGATGATGATCTGAGCAAAGATTGTGAGCTTGAGGTTGGAGGCCGGACGAGAAGCGGAGATGCAGACGAGCGCGACTGTCACGGACGGCACAGACAAAGGGTCACGAGGGTCAGCAAGGGAGAAAGGCAGACTCGAATTGGCATTCCGCCGTTGTGCAAGAGATTACGAGAGTGTACAGTTTGAAAATGAAGTGTATACTAAGGTGCGGACGAATCTAGTTGGAGGAGTCTTGCTTCTTCTCGGTGTTCTGCTTCTGATCGTCTCCTCCTGCGCTTGGGTCGATTGCGTACTTGGACATAGATCGGAGCTTTGGACCGAACTTGTACAGCAAGAAAGGGATCGGACCCATCAGAATGGAGATGCAACCGATGAGGACGCAGCCCCAAGCGACGGGGAAGGCTGCAGGACCATTCTTTTGGAGGTTGTTGAACATAGCTCTTGCCACGAGAGGCAGAGCGGCACCGATGCTGGCTCGGAAGAAGTCGTTACCGGCATAGACGCTGGCGATGTATTCCGGGTAGCAGTCTCCGAGGTACGCGAGACCGGATTGGAAGAGCAAGAACGTTCCGACGGAGAAGAAGCTCGAGAGGATGATGGGGACGATCCAGTGGATAGAGGCGTTGGCTGTCCAGCCGAAACCGAACATGCAGATGGGAATCGCCCATGCGCCGAGGATGCCTGGCTCGAGCCACTTCTCCGGTGCCACCTTGCCGTCGTTCCGATCAAAGAGCGGGGCGTACGACCATCGATGCCAGAAGACGAAGGGAATGTAGGTCAAGATGGCACCAATGAAGATGCCAAGGAAGGCGAGACCGAGTTGGCCATAGTTGAAGCCGTAGGTTTGAACGAAGACGATGGGGAATGCTTCCAGCCAGATATACAGGATCCCGTACACCAAGCCGATGTGAAGGTTGATGCCGAGAACGATGGGCTCCCTGAACGAGAGCAGAAATGGTCGAACGAACGTCATCAGAGCGATCTCTTTACCCGTCAGGTGAGCTGAGAAGATCTCTCCCTTGGATCGCAGGTTCGGGTTACCCGTCGCCTTCCTCAACCTCTTTGCCCTCCTGTACAGGATGTTCGAACTTGACGTTTCCGGCAGTGTCAACACCAATACGACTAGGGCGAAGCCGGAAATGATCAGCAATGGCCAGATCGTCCATCTCCAGGTTTCGTAGCGCTGGACCGCCCAACCGCCGATCAAGGGACCAAGAACAGGCCCACATACAGCCGATAGTCCCCACACGCCGATGGCAAGGGGTCGGTTCCTCGGTCTGTAGAGATCTCCGATGCTGGCACCACCAGTGGCAAGAGGAGGGGAGCCGAACAGACCCGCCAAGAAGCGCAGAATCATGAACCCGGCAATGTTGCCGACGAGCGCCGTGGGGACTTGCAGGATGACAAAGATGAACAAGGTGAAGAGGTACGGTGCCGAACGACCGATGGCGGGGATCTCGCTGGCTGCCGAAAAGCCGATCATGGGTCCAATACCGTATCCAAGAACGAAGAGCGTCAAGCCAAGGGTTGCGGGAACAACACCGACTCCAAAGTAGCCGGCAAGGATTTCGACACCAGGGGTGTAGATGGCGGAACCCATGTAGACCGAGAAGGTGAGGAGGCAGAGGAGGAATGTGACGAAGGCTTTGCGTGGCATAGACCAATTTTGCGGGTTGTCGGGGTCGTGCTCGCCGTTCCAGTCGATCAGGTAGGGGTCGCTATCGTCCTCGAGCGAGTCGGGGGCCGTTTCGAGGTTCTCCTGCTTCTCGCCAGAATTCGAGTTGGACTGCTCCATCGCGGGTTTGACCGGCTTGGAAGGAGTGGCAGCACCGCTTCCAGTCGCAGCGACATGGGTGGTCTCGGATGCACTCGAAGCGGAAGATGAGGGAGACGCTGGTGCAGCAGCGGAACTGCTGTCGCGCTTGGCAGCCCGTTTCGTCTTGTAACCTGGCAGATATTCTTCCGGTGGAACAAAGTCGGCGCGCTCCTCGGGGTAGGGGAAAGTTTTGCCCTTGGAGAGCTTGTTGATCATGGACCCCCAAAAGGTATCCTGATACCAAGGCAAGGTGTACGGCCGAGCATGGTGCGGCTTAGGTCGGTGCGCTGGTGAGTTCGGGTCGGGTTGATGGTGCAGGTTGGGCGCGTTGCCGTGATCGTTGCCGTAGTCGACCAGCATCGTGAAGCGACTTTAGCTAAGAGGTTGGTGGATCACAGGTGGTGGAGCAGAAGACAGTGGTCCCTGTTTATATTGACAAGCAGGTGGTTCTACGATCAGCATACGAGGAAGCGTCTTGTTGTTCGCTTACGGATTGTCATCCACATTCAACGCAGATGCACGAAGCTGAGAGAGCACAAATGCACATCCACACGACCCGCGGGACGTCAAACGGAAGCAAAAAATTCTCCGACTCCTTGCAGCACAGTATCCGGAGGGACAGGCGAGGGCAAAGACGAGACCCTAAATTTACTGCTGACGGCGGAGGAAAAGGTACGTCACTCTGACCCGCACCGCGGCGGGTTGGTGTGGTAAGCACCTTCTGCGAAATTTGACAGCTGCGAAACTAGCGCGCATCAAATGAAATGCCGCCCCCCGCGGATCGCGGATTCCTGATTCATTCGATTTCCGGCGAGAAATGTTCCTGAAAAAACGTCATGACGTGAACACGTCGGTACGTCGGTCAAATGCTGAATTCTGCCCAAGCTCTGTCAATTGGATCAGCGGTTGCGCGCACACTCCGCGGCTCGGTCAATGCCCCAGCTTCCCGAGCCGTAAGAAAAGCGGGCCGCGGGATCAGTCGGTCTTGGCGTCTGCGATCTAGATGTATTCTGCTGGATGCAAAAGCTTCTGCGGTGACCGTCCGTGGATCTGTGGACCTGTGGAGAGGGAGCGATTTTTGCGAGTCCACGGCTGTACCGCGGCGCTTCGGTCAAGCGCAGATTTGTCCATTTCCTGACCCCAATTTTACGCTTTGATTTTTCTCCCTCGTCACTCCATCTCATTCGCGATTTTGGTGCCTTCGACTGGCTTGCCGCTGACACAGTAGAAGAGGGGTCAACATCGCAGCACGGGTGCAGGTCCACTCTATCTCCTTCAGGAGACAGAGACGCAGTCACTATTGTCCAAAATATCGGCTTACGATTGAAGTTTCCTCACCGACCCTGAGCACCTCTCCAAATAGTCATCATCTGTGCCCGCCACATTCACACCCTCGCACACAGCCTTGACATCGACAAGGTGCGAACGTTCATTCATGGTGTTCATTGGCTGTCATTGACAGATTGACATTACAACAAACCAGATCTTGTTTTGGACTCAACGCCTCACGTCCTCAAAGCCTTGAAGCACCTCTGCACACAAACAACAAAAGAGCACAGAAACAACCCATCGAAAGTAGCGTGTCAGTCCAAAGTCCGCACAAGTGTCGAGAGGAACGTCTTTTTCTTTTGTCATTGCAGCAATGCAGATACGATTTGCACATGGAAACGGCAAACCTGACGAGAGGAGAGCATGGAGGGTAAGAAGCAAACGTCCCTTCACGGGACAGATACTTTACTTACTTACGCGCTGTCCTTCTGAGCCATGAAGACGAGGAGGTCGAGGCATCGGTTCGAGTAACCCCACTCGTTGTCGTACCACGAGACGAGCTTGACAAAGTTGTTGTTGAGCGAGATACCGGCGGCAGCGTCAAAGATGGACGAGTGCGAGTTGCCGATGAAGTCCTGCGACACAACGGCGTCCTCAGTGTAGCCGAGGATGCCCTTCAGCTCGTTCTCCGAGGCGCGCTTGATCTCGGCCTTGATCTCGTCGTAGCTGGCGCCCTTCTCGAGGCGAGCGGTGAGGTCGACCACCGAGACGTTGGTGGTGGGCACACGGAAAGCCATACCGGTGAGCTTGCCGTTGAGCGAAGGGATGACCTTGCCCACAGCCTTGGCGGCACCGGTGGACGAGGGGATGATGTTGGCCGCGGCGGCACGGCCTCCACGCCAGTCCTTGGCCGAGGGGCCGTCGACGGTCTTCTGGGTGGCGGTGGTGGCGTGGACGGTGGTCATGAGACCCTCGACGATACCAAACTTGTCGTGGATGACCTTGGCGAGAGGAGCAAGGCAGTTGGTGGTGCACGAGGCGTTGGACACGACCTGAGCCTTGGGGTCGTAGGCGTCGAGGTTGACACCGCAGACGTACATGGGAGCGTCAGCCGAGGGGGCCGAGATGACGACCTTCTTGGCACCACCCTTGATGTGGGCCGAGGCCTTGTCAATGGTGGTGAAGACACCGGTGGACTCGACAACGTAGTGAGCGCCCGACGAACCCCAGGGGATGTTGGAGGGGTCCTTCTCGGCGAAGACGGCGATGGACTTGCCGTTGACAATGAGCTTGCCGTCCTTGGTGGAGATGTCGCCGTTGAAGACACCGTGGGTGGAGTCGTACTTGAGCATGTAGACCATGTACTCGAGGTCGATGAAGGGGTCGTTGATGGCAACGACGTTGGCGGTGTTGTGGACGACCGAGTTACGGAAGACGATACGTCCGATACGGCCGAAGCTGCACAGATCAAGAGCAAGAGACAATCAAGGTGATACAGGTCAGCATTGCGTTCTTTCGATTCCAAATTCTTCCATAGGTTGGAACTCTGCGCCGGAACCGCCCGGATCGGTTTTGCGCTGCGGAATCAACGAGAAGGACCGCAGATGCGAGGCAAGTCTCGCAGACTTCTCCGCTTTCATCTATATTCGGTGGGACTACCAACGGTACGGCAGAGACCTGAGTGGTACGTGATCTCGAAAGAAGACGTCCGCAGCTCTTTCCCCGTTTCGAATCGGGCGAGAACGCGAGGGAGCGCCAACAGAGGATGGAAAGGAGCGTGGATGCTTACCCGTTGATACCGATGTTGACCTGGGACATTGTGAGAATACGTTTTGGTGATTTCGAAACGGGAGGGAAGGATTCGATGATGGGGAAGAAGAAGAAGGATGATGACAGCGGACGACGATCTTTTGTTCCACAAGCTCAGTGCGGCACACTGGACGCTGACCGCCTCGCAACGACAGTCTTTACACACACAGTTTGCGGGATCAACATGCATCGCAGCGGGCCTCAGTAAGCCTGAACGCTCTTTCCGGCTGGTGAATAATAATCGATCCTGATTTTTGGACTTCGGCCAGTTGGACCGCGCAGCCAAAGGAAGCTCTTGGAAACAGCCGAAAACCTGATCTGAGCGTCGTAAATTGTCTTGTTGCTCTGTGCTTTGAAAATGTCGATCGGGCTGATGTATTCAACTCTCTGCAGTGGGTGAATACAAAATCCAGTCCATGTGGAGTTCAGCAGCACCCAGATCGCAGCTCTAGAATCTCTCCGCCTTATCTCAATCAGATCTCGCCGTTTCTTCGGTCAGTCTTTTTTTTTTTCTTGACTTCTTCCAGCCTATCAGCAAAATCTGATCTCTTGGTGATTGTTGAGCAGACTGCGCTTCGAGTCATTTGCTCTGAGCGACGGCCGAGAGAGTCTCGAGGAACGAGTCGGGCGAGAAGAACGTTTTGTCAGTGTGTCTACGACCCGCTAGACGGTGCAGTCAATACAAACTGTGGGTGCGGGCACGACAATACAAACTAGTCAGCGGCAGTGTAGCGTCACCGTGCTCTTCCGTTGACGAAGAAATCATCCGGTTCGACGGCTACTGCACACACGGATGCCCCTCTGGCGGGTGAAAGTGGAACGCAGCTGCGGGGCTGCTGTGCTGGGCAGGGTCTAAGAAGACTGGTGAGGGGAGTGCGGGGGCTTGCGGATGCGGAATACGCCAGAGTGTGAAAGGATCTTTCCGAGATCGTAGCGGAAGCGGAGCGCATTCACGGATCGCTGGTACTGCAGTCGCACCATCGCCTCAACAGCAGTGTAAAGAGGCAAGAGTCTCTTCTCATGCACGTCGTCTGTTGGACCCCTACGATCTGCGACCCTCTCTCTCATCAAGCCGGCTAGCCGTTATGACCGCCATGGAACAGCATGCACTTCGATATCCGGAGAGGTGCGGAAACCGCCGTAGTTCGAGGCGCGGAAGAAAGCGGCTTTGCAATCGAGTCTTTTTCCTCCGATAGTCAAAGACGGTCTAACACACATACCATGTTTTCCTCGTCATCGCTCGATACATTTGTCTCAAGCCGTCCCCGATCACGATAGCCGCCAGTCTTTTCCCTGTTGGACAGGTTGACCCGACAGCTCGGTTATGGCGTGCTTGTCCAAGTCGATGACTTCAACTTTGTACCCGCGCTGCCAAGTATCCATGCAATCGTTGCTCAGCTCTTCCCCTGCAAAGCACCGGTCAAGAGGCCGTCCAGCTCGTCATGGCGAGCTCGAAAAACCACCGTGAAGCAGAGCTTGTGTACATCGACCTCGCTGATCATCACCGTTTACGTTGTCGTGTGAGAAAAGGCATTCATAAGAAAGCTTCATGGAACGACCGAATAACCTCAACTTCGAGCTTGCACGATAAGTCGACGTCGGGTTCCGCGACATCGTGCTCTCTTCCCTACTGACTTCGTCCTGGGCACAGACCAACTACTCATCAGGCAATCACTCGTGCTTGAGACTTTCGCCTCGTCGCCACTTGCCGTACAAAAGCGGTCCATGTGATCCGTCTCTGGCGTCGCCCTCGACCTCACTTCTTCACACAGCTTGATCTTTTGACGATGGCGCCTGTCGCTGTAAGCAGCTCGCCAAATACAACGGACGCCCTTCGCTCGAAGGTGGTAGCCGCTTCGCCCGATGTCACCTTTGCTCCCGCCAGCGAACCATATCAACGTCGTCTGAAGCTCGTAGAGAGCGACCCAGGTGAGCTGGAGATCACCTTCCCTCTCGTGCTCAAGCCCGTTCGCAGCGCCGCAAACCTGACCGCGGCTCAGGTTGTCGAAGCAGCGAAATCATTTGCGCCCGCTCCGTCCGCCGAATACAAGCCTTCCAAGCTGCAACAGTTGATGGATGCACACGGTGGAGCAGTCCATTTCAAAGGCTTGCCCATTCAGGATGCCGATGAGTTTAGCAAGTTCATGCACGCTCTTGCCGGCACGCTACCGCCGAACGCAGGAGCTGGAGAACGAAACAACCTTCTCGTGCACCACGTCGACAAAGGACTCATGGTCATCCGTCACGCAATGGCTCCCAACGTAGCCACCGCGAACGAAGGTCCACCCCACCAGTCCATCGGCTCGCACAACGAATACGGTCTCTCGACCCACTACCCTTCCATCATCGCCTTCTGCTGTCTTTCGCCGCCAACGACAGGTGGACAGACACCGATCGTCAACAGTCTTGCGCTCTACGATCGGCTCAAGTCAACAGTACCCGGCTATATCGGAAAGATAGAGCGTCGAGGGTTGACGTTTGTCATCCACCACCCTGTTGCAAAGGTGCAAGGCAGCGTTCAGGGTAATAGCCTGTACAATGCCGATTCGTTTGGTCCGACGCCGGAAGCCAAAGTGGATTTGAAAAGTTTGAACGAGGAGCAGAAGCGAAAGCTGGTAGAGGAGAACGTCCTCGAGCTTGCGCGCGAAGGTGGATGGTCTGACTCACACGCTGGTGGTGGAGATGCGACAGAAGAAGGGGAAGGAGGAAAGTTGGGAGCGTGGCATGAAAGAGGCTTCTCATGGACATGGCTCCCCGATGGATCGATCAACGTCTTCCAGCGTGTCCCCGGAATTCGCATCCACCCGACACTTCAGAAACCTGCCTACTTCAACAACGTCGGCAACCGCTACGCCTACTCCAAGGAACACGGATGTCTGCAACCACCGCACTACTCGGAGGAGAAGAAAGACTTTTTCCCTCCACCATCTTTCCCCCTTCTCCTCGACCGAGAAGGTGGAGCTGCTTCAGACCAGGAAGACGAAAGCATCCCTCTCGAGTGGCTCGAAGAAGCCCATCGATGGACCGAACGACTGCAAGCCCACGTCGAATGGGAGCAAGGCGACGTGTTGGTGATCGACAACCTTGCAGTCCAGCACGCCAGAACACCCTGGACCGGCCCCCGAAAGCTCGTCGCAAGCCTCTGGGACCAGCGGTCGTATCTCGACAAGAACGTGCCCATTCGCACATGATTCCAATTCAAGTTTCGCGATATCAATTCTGCTGAGAACCTCCGTGTGATCAATGATGCATTGCTGTGTGGAACGATGATGATGCCAGGATGAAGATTAAGTGTCTGGAGATCGAGTCTGTGATGTGACATGAGTGATAACAAGATTATCGAAACTTCCTTTTGAATACAATGCTTTGCGTGCGTATGCCACGAGGGCGGATCAAGAGAAGAAGTACAGAGAGCCCTTGATCTCGTTGACGTCGAACGATCCTTTAGCCGGAATGGCGGGCAGGATGTCCGCAAGGTCGACGAACTTGGCCTTGAACTTGGTCTCCCACTCGAGATCCTTATCCTTTTGAGACTTACGTGCGCCCCTCTTCTTGGTCGCTTTCGCCGGTGCTGCTTCCGCGTCCGCTCCCTCTTCGCCTGCTTCGGATTCCTCGGCCAAATCGGCTTCATTCGCATCGGCAGCGACATCGTCCAAAGCCTCGGCTGCCTCAGCCTCGAGATCCTTCTTGCTCGGCTTGCCGAGAGTGACATCGCCTATCTCGCCTTGCAGCTTAGCCAGCTGCTCCTCGGGCATGGCAAGAAGTGCATCCGACGGCGAGGTCGAGTCGGAGCTGCTGGCGACGTCCTGCGGCTCGTCCTTGTTGGCCTTCGCCGAGCGCCCTCTTCTACGAGTGGCCGTCTGAAGCGAAACCACGGGTACCTTGTATCCTGCATAGCGCTGGAGGAACTCTTCGCGCAACCGATGCAGGATGTCCTGCGAATGGAGGCGCACGAACGTCTCGCGGATCATGTCAGACATGGTGTCGATGTCGGCAGCGTGCGTCCAGTACGAGTCGTGTACCGAAGCGAACGTGAGGCCGGCAGCGTGACACTCGAGCGCGGTGAGGATCATGTGGGTAGCATCGAGACTGTGGATGAAGTTAGGTGGGAAGGCAGACGCCTGTTTGGCAGGCGAAACTTCCGAGTTGGACAGGGGATCGTGGATGAAGACGGTCTGCATGGCGGTCGAGACTTGCTTCTTCTTGCTCTTGCGGTAAGGCTGGACCACGGGCAAACCGAGTGCAGTGGTCCAGATGACCGACGTCATTTGCTCCTTTACAATACGGTCAGCCTTGGCCGGGTCACGCGCGAACCCATGGACGTCGGCACGCTTCAAGCTGCTCTCGCTGGGCTGGTAGGGTCGCGTCGCTTCCTCGACTCTCTGCGCTGGGATCGACTTCGCGATCACCTTGGCAGAGAAGCTCAACCAGTCCTGGATCTTTTGCGCACCTGAGAACAGGTTGCCGATACACGACATGATGACCTTGGCGAGGTAGCTGGCGGCAGCAAAGAGGTCCTCTGCGGGAACGTCTCCTCGGTCGGCGAGCTGTCGCATGACCTGGTTCTTGGCACCGATGAAGGTGACACCGTACACGGTTGTCATGACGGTCTGCTTGACCACCTTTCGCGTCACCTTGCCTTGGAGAATGCCAGCGAGGCGCTCGCCCTTGGCCGCCTCTTCGTCGAGCGCCTTGATGACCAGGTCAGCGACTCCCGAGTAGACATCGGCGGGTCGCTCTCCCCGCGAGAGGTTGACCTGCTTGGCGCCGGCCAAATCACCTCCGAGCGCGGCGTAGTGCTGCAGACCGTTACAGGTGCCATCCTGGTGCACCGGCAGGCACGATCCATACGCTTCGGGTCCCTCTGGATGCTCCAGGGCTGCCTTGAGCTCCATGCAGGCAGAAAGACACTGCCAAGGGTCGTCGGCCTTGAGCCACCAACGATTGCCGTCTAGCGGTCGCTCGACGCTGTCCCGAATGTCTGCCTCGTGGTCGATGGCAAACTGCTCTCGCTCGGCAAAGCTGGCCTTGTCGTAACCGAACACGTTGGAAATGTGGATCCTCAACCAACGCAGACCCGCCTTACCGAGAGGCTTGCTGTCGGCGAACAGCAACAATCCACGACAAAGGTCGTTGCCGATGTGATTGAGATGCGGTGGCATCGGGTAGGCGCGGCCACGGAAGTCCATGTTGTGAGGGAAGTAGAAGCGTTCTCCGAGATAAGCTCGAGCGATCTCGAGCTTGTAGTTGACGTCGCAGCGCTGCGAGTGGTTCGAGGCACGTTGCTGATTCCACTGCTTAAGTCGTTGCAAGTACACGGAACGAGCCTTGATATCATGGTCGTAGTTGTCGGGCTTCTGCGGTTCCTGCGCCTCCATCTGGACGGGCGGCATGTCGGCAATGTCCTTGCCCGAGTTCCACACCTCGGTCATCACGTCGAAGATGGGTTTGTTGATCTTCCACGAGGTGTTGCCGAGCACGTCCAGCGCTGCGAGGACAGTGTCGAGATCGCCGTTGTCCGAGGCGGCCCGCAGGTAGGAGCCCTGCTCGGCGCTGTCCTTGAACCGCATGGCGCTCTGACGCACCGAATAGTATCCTCCCGAGTCGTGCGAGGTCCACGGCTTCGGCGGAACGAGCATGGGAAGGTGACGCGGATGGAGCGTCTCCTGGATCGAGTCCTTGTCGAGGCGCTTGGCGATGACCTCGTTAAGCTTGATGACGCCGAGCTTCTTGCCGCCGAGGTATTGATAGGTCGAATAGAAGGCGGGCTGGTCCTCTTCCCACAGGACGCCATCGCGGTCGGTGGCTTTGCGATTGACAGTAGCCACGTGCATAAGGTGCTGTACCAGGTAGCTGCCGACGCGCGCTCGGATGGTCTGGGTCCATCTGGGGATGGACGAGAGGACGCCTTCGTCCTCCTGCTGCTTCTGCCATGCTTTGATCTCGCGACGAGCTGCCAAGTCGATCAAGCCACGCTTGCGGAGGGTGGTCTGCGCGGTGTGAGCGTTCTGGAAGATCTTGGGGTTCTTGCGGACAACCTCCGAGTGATACTCCATCTCGATGGCACGGCCGACCTGCAACAGGGCACGCGTCGTCTTCATGCCATCTGACACTCCGCCGTTGCCACTCATGCGCATGAGTTCGAGGATGGTGATGAGCGCAAGCTTCGAGGCGGGCAGGAGACGGAGGAATGGGAGGATCTGCTGTTCCATAGGCAGCATGGCCTTCTTGTCGTGCTTGCTGTGGCTGACATCTTGGTCGAGGCGCTCTAGGTCTTCCTTCAACGTCACTTGAAGCTTGTTGTACCAGTCCCACATCCACCTCTGGAGCGGCTTGGATTGCAAAGCACCGGTGGTCTGCAGTCCGAGCTCCTCGAGCTTCTCGGCGGAATGCTCGAGACGCTTCCGGGCAGCCTCGAGAGCGCTGTGTTCGAGCCACTTTTGACGCTCGTAGGGGTCGGTGATGTTGCGCCGCGCCTCCTGCACGATGGAGAGGTTCTCTTTCAGCGAGGCGAGGTTGAATGGCATTTCACCGGCTTTATTCTCGGGATCCTTACCCAGACGGCTGGCCTTGGAGGTGGTCTTGACAGGCAGCAGCTCGGGAACGTCGGCGAACAAATCCTCGTGCGCAGCAGTGTCGGTGCTCTGCGCCTCGGACAGAACTCTGCGACCTTCGAGGATGCTTTGCGCGGTCTCGAGCTCCTTGAGAATATCGCTCTCACCCATCTGGTTGGCGACGTTGGTCAAGCTGCGCAGCACGAGATCGGCATCTGCTTCGCCCTCACGCGATTGGTCGACGCTGTTGGAGCCCAACGGTCCGTGGACGTCGAGGTCCTCGGCCTTTTCGGGGTTGAAGACGGACGAAGTCAGGATGCTATCGAGTCCGTACTCTGCGCGCTTGATGGAGAGAACGAGGTCGTCGAGGGCTGGTGCCGAGGATGGATATCGTCCTGAGCGCTGCAGAGCTACAATGCCTCGCGCCATGGTGGCAAAGGTGGCCGCGTTGGGTTTGGGATCGGGCGAAGGTGGTTGGTCGTTCTGTGCCGGAGCCGCCGAGGCTTCCATATCGCGCCACAGCTGCCAGGCACGGGTGAGCCATTCTGCTGTACCGTCCAAAGACTCGGCTTGGTAGGCTTTGCGGAAGTAGGCCTGCAGCATGGAATTGTAAGTCCAGATCTCGATGGGAGACTGGTACTGGCCAAGCTCACCGAGATCCTGGTGCCGATCGTTCTGATCGATGATGCCCTGTACAAGACGCTTGCGAAGCTCCCACAACTCACGCGAGCGGGTGGTGGCCTGACTTCGAAGATCGGAGAACACCTTGTGTGCACGGCTGATGAGGCCGGTGCCAAGACACGCCTTGAGGATGCTGACGAACTCGACGGCCCTTGATGCTGGGTAGAAGTTTTCGTCGGTGCTGCTCATGGTGAGGCCAGACAGGTCGCCAAAGGAGAGACCCGTCATGCGGCCGTCCAAGAAGGCAGTTGTGCTGGCGACAGGAGTCTCGCTATTTCGCTTCGGTGAGTATCCCTTGCGCAAAAGATGAGAGCGTTCTGTCACGTCAGGTGGCAATGGGGTCGGTAAGCGTGTGAGAGGCGAGCCAGTCGCAAAGGCGTAGGGCATGAACCGTGAGCGTCGATCATTGCGCTGCGAAGATGCTGAGGAGGGCGAAGATGCTGCTGTTGCTGATGATGATGCGGAGGATGATGCGCCTGGGGATGAAGCGTCGGCGTCGTGTTGCTGATGCTGGGATGATATTGAAGATGACGGAACGGATGCATGCTGGTCGTGTTGATCGCGATGTGGCTCAGCAGCCGGACTCGCCTGGCTTCGAGGACCTTTTGTGCTGAAGGATAATGCCGAGATGGCCCCGAAGCGATAGGAAGACGAGGAAGGTGCCCGTGGCGATATTGTCGCGGCGGGATGCGTCCGTCTTGGGATCGACCGTGATAGTAATGATGAGGAGGAAGACGACGCAACGGTGGCCACCGATGATCTGCGAACGAGCGCAGCCTGCTTTGCGAGCATCTTGATGTGGTTCAAGAAGGCGAAAGACTGCGAGCCACAACGAGAAAGCCGGCGGTGCGAAGCTAGGTTTACCGTTCGGAGCAGCCGCTGAGAAGATGTGCTCGGATCGTGATGCGAGACGACGGGGGCTTCCGTGGATGGGTGAGCCGCTGGCGAATGCCTTCTCTGTTACCGTCTGCGTGGCTTGGAGGGTTCGCTTTCGTGGGAATGAGCGGGTGATCCGGGAGTGGTTGGATGGACGAGCGAGGAGAGGAGCTGAGGTCAAGGTGAGGAGCAGGAACTTCCAAATTCCCATCCATTGCTCGGCAACCAGGCTTTGCTAACTAAAATCTCGATGCCACACGACCCGAACGAACCCTTCTCGCGAGGCTTTACGCTGTCTGCAACTGCAAATTTTTCGGACAAGAACAACGCCTCCACAGCTCAGTTTTTCTTTTCTCAACTTTGTAGGCAAAAAAGTTTGGAAACTTTGTTCCGGGCTGCAACCAGGTTGGAATCCGAAATCTTTTTCTTTTTCCGTCGTCCTTCAAGGGAGGCGTTGGATCGGGCCGATAGCTTGGATTCTTCAGAAGACGATGAGATGGTCGCATCGGGATGCCTCCACACGGCGCTGCAGCCTGCCACGGCGTCGGCTTGTGCCCCCTCCCGCTTCATCGTGATGCTGGGTAGTGAGTGCTGCAGATGACGCTGGTGGGCTGTGCAGCATCGGCGTCGAGAGGCCAACTCGGAAGGCCGACTTCTCTCTCTCTCTCCATCCTGATGCGTCCTGCTGGCACTACCATGCTGGCAGTCGATGCTTTCTGGCTCACTATACATGGAATGGGTCGCGGGTCGAGGCAACAGAAGAACAGCGAGGCAAGCTTCTCGGGTTCAGGACCGGATCAGCCACAACTACGCATCGTCTCGGCAGCCTTTGTCCGCTTCTGGAGATCTCATGCGCCAGATCGACATTGCTTGCCGGGCGCGAGGAAGTGTCTCGAGATGAGCTCTAAAATGACGAGCAGTGGGAGACCCTTGACCAAAGGAAACAACGATGCCATGTGCGCATGCAGCACAGCCCTTCACGATGTTTCGGCACAGCAACGAGTGTGTGCCAGATCGCCGAGTTGCGCGGATCCACCGCCGAGGACCAAATTTGAGGTCAAAAGTCCTCGCCGCTCAAGCCTCGAAAGCGCGTACGACACGCTGTAGGTGTGCTCGTGGCCGGCACTTCCGATCAAAGCATGTCAATCGGAGCCTTTTGTTGCCGAGAATTCTTGTCTGTGGGCGTTCGAGCTTGGCTCTTGATGTTATAGAATAATGATTTATTCGCTGTGGCTCGTTGGCTTGTGCCTCGAGGGTTGAAATTTCAGGAAACAGGCCATTTGGGGCGGCTACTTACTGCATGGAAAAAGAAGTGGAGCCCAAGGAAGGCGCGTGCGGTCGAGGCTGAAAGCGGTGAGCAGCTGAATCCCGTTGGACGATTTCGACCCGCATCTTCCTGAAAGACCTCTGCTTCATCTCTCTTTTCTTCTTCCATCTGGGCCTTGACCTCTACCCACCACGCCGACCACCTACAATCCATCGCTTCGGCCGACTACGACACGTCATCGCTTCTATATCGAGCAAAGGTCAGAGTTCACTACAGCGACGTGAGACAACCCGCCAACTAGACTCGAAGCCAATCAACACTCCGCACGCCCCGCTCTGACGACGGCGAACAATCGCCCTGCACGATCGTCCTTGAATCCGGCATAGAGGACAAACACCGGCTCAGCAAGAACTCCTTGCATTCCGATCCGTATCAACTGCAGGCCTCGACGACCAATTTAGTAGTCGGAAGCGGGCTGGCATTGCTACTCACCGATCCTTGTAGATCGCGTCAACCTCGATCAACGCCATCGACACAGACACCCCGCCGACATGCCGCCGGCAGCGATCCGCAGAAAACTCGTCATCGTAGGCGACGGTGCCTGCGGAAAGACGAGTCTGCTTTGCGTGTTTGCGATTGGCGAATTCCCTCAAGAATACGAACCAACCATCTTTGAAAACTACGTCGCCGAAATCCGACTCGATGGCAAACCCGTTCAGCTGGCGTTGTGGGACACGGCAGGTCAAGAGGAGTACGAGCGACTGCGACCGCTCTCGTATTCGCAAGCGCATGTCATCTTGATTGCATTTGCCATCGACACACCCGACTCACTGGAAAACGTGCAGGTCAAGTGGATGGAGGAGGTGCGTCAAATATGCGGACCCTCGGTACCGGTGCTGTTGGTAGGATGCAAGAAGGATCTGCGCGAGGATGCCATCGCAAAAGGGAAGCCGGTGCAGGGACACTTTGTCGAGAGGCAGCAGGCCAAGCAGGTAGCAGCACAGATCGGTGCGCGGTCGTACCACGAATGCTCGTCGCTCAACAACCAGGGTGTCGACGCCGTCTTTGAAGCGGCTACGCGCGCTGCGATGCTGGTGCGCAATACAGGCGCTTCGTCAGGAGGCGCCATCTCGCAGAGCAAGACCAAAGAGGCATTACACAACGACGCTGGTTCGTGCAAGTGTGTCATCCTCTAGAAAGGAAAGAAAACCACGGCTGCATCAAGCCGCTCCTCTACTTCCCGTCTTGTCGTCGATCCCAGTGCTTTGTTGTTTTTCTTGTTGTTCATCGTACTGTCGTCCTTCCATGCATGTCGTTCTTCAATCCCCTGTGTACTATTGTAGCGGCGCATCCGCACGTCGTTCTCATTTCTCTCACGTTTCAATAAACTTTTTGTAACTGCATTCTGCTTGTCCATCGGATTGGAAATAGTGCCCCTCCTTGTGGCGCGGAACAGTAGGGGAGAAGACGAACCCTTGACCGCGACATGAACATCCTTAGCACACAACAACAACAACAAGAAGGGTTCTGTAAGGGGATATCGTACTTATGGTTTGATATTTTTCGTATTGCAGGTGAGCATGGGTGACACGGAGAAGCCGCCTAGGCCGAGATGAAGAGCTCAGGGGTTTGGTTCTTGACGTATTCGCTGACCTCCTGCACCTTTGTGCACCAGTTGTTGAGTCGCGTCTGCAGCGCCTGGATCTGTCGGTGGTCCAAGACTCTTGGTTGCACCCAGGTGATCCTCGCCAGCTGCTCGACCTGATCCAAGGTTCCGCGGATGAGTTTGAGGCTGAGCGCCTTCATCACCAAATGCTCGACCTCGTCGACGGGCAACTTGGTCTCGGCGGCGATGGTGGCAAAGCCAATGGTGCGGTCGTCAGCGGAACGCCTGAAGACGCTTTCGATGAGCGACATGAGGCAGATCTTTTGTCGCAGGAAGGGCAGGTTCTCGGCCAAGATGGGTTCTTTACCCAGGTGCGGGGTCAGTGCCTCGAAGCGACCGATGTCACCGGCGTTGAAAGCGAAGAGGAGCTCAGAGAGCCAGGCGTGCTGCTGGCTCATGCCGAGCGATGCGAGGATCGGGTGGAGGAGCAGCTCGCCAAAGTTGTAGATGGTATCTCCGAGCAGCGCCGAGATGCTCAGATCATGCGCACGCTGCACGCGAGCTTCGTCGGTGAGATCGACGTCGACGTTGACGCAGGCGAGGTAGAGCAACGAGTTCTTGTAGTAGTTGGCGTACTCGGCTTTCGCCTTGTAGAAATCACCGCAGACGCGGTAGAAGCTTGCGTGCACGGCCGTCTCGACCGCATCGAATCCATCCAAGATCTTCCCACATTTGTCCATGGCCACCTTTGTGCCGTCGGCGTCTCCGAGCAACAGCTTAAAGTGGGCGGCCTCCATGAGAGCGTAGACGTACGCATCTTGCGAATCGGGCGAGTCTACTTTTGTGGCGAGCTGTTCGAGGAATTTGAGCGCCTCGGCTGGATCTGGATATTGCCGTGCTACCTTGACACCGATGGCAGCGAGCTGCAGCTGGTTGATCTTGGAGGAGAAGCGGCTAACAAACTTGTCGTACAGCTCGATCTGGATTGGTGGCGTCTGCGAGTCGGGGTGGTTGAGGAACTCTTCGATGGTCAATGTGAGCTGGTACCACAACTTTCGATCGTGAAGCTGTTGCAGCTTGGGGTAGTATGGCTTGAGAGATGCGGGCGTTGATGAGGACGCCGCAGCATGCTCGAGATAGCGCTCGTCGACATTGTCCACATCCATCCCTGCTGAAGAAGCCATATTTGCGGTGATATCTATGCAGCGTCTGCAGAGTAATTAGGTCTTGAGCGCAGATTGAAGATGGTGATTCACGCTTTGTTGTTGTGCTCGAGATGTGGCCAAGCTGGTGCAGAGCGAGAAGAGGAAGCGGTGGTGATGACGGACGACGGTGATGCTGGAACGGGAAGGTGTTGGTCTAAACGTCCTTTGCGCCTTCAATACGCGTATATTTCGATCACCTCCACTTTGGACTGCTAGTTAGCTATGGTCTAACAATTCGACTAGATTCATTGCATTGCCGGCCTTTTCGCCGACTTCAGGGTCCTCGTTGCCACTCGAGACACCACCATCAGCTTGCCTTCTGCTTGATCACCTGTGTCGGCCCAGCAACACGTCGTACACGATGCCGTCACCGAAGGAGCGAGCTGATGCTTCGAATGCTGGCGACAAAGGCTCTGGGCACGTGGTGCTACAGCCATCCAATGCATCGAGCCGCCGCAGAGGTCGTGCGGGTCGACAGTTCTTCGTTGTAGTAGCGGTCGCCTCACTCATGTTGAGCGTATATTCGCTAGCGACATCAAAGAGCCACCTGCACATCCTGTCATCTCAACTCACATCGCTGCCTTCGCGCTATGCTATTTGCTCAGCCGAACACCGCGGTGAACTCGATCTCTCCCCCACAACCCATACGGCAACTTCGATCTACACGGGAGACGAGCAGCGTTTCGCTGACCAACAAGGCTTCACGCAGTGCGTCGCAGTGGAAGACGGTGTGATCATCGACGTCGGAAGCGAGCAAGATGTGCTGTCAAAATTCTGCGGCCTTCATGAGCCACACACTAGTTCCGGCTCTGCCAGCAAACATCAATGGCGTGGCCCGCGCAGCAACAAAGCAGCACGACTCAATCGCCATGCCAAGGGCAGGAAAGGAGGCGTACTGCGAAGGAAGGACAAATGTGTCGTACGAAGACTCAGAAATGGTCAGGCACTCTTTCCTGGCTTTCACGATGCGCACGGCCACATTCTCGACTATGGCTGGTCTCGCACCGTCGCCAATCTCGTTGGATCTACCAGTGTTCGCGACGTCATCGATAGGTTGGAAGCCTACGTTCGGTCTAGGCCTGATCTCATGGCATTCGCTCTCGCGAACGAGGCCAAGGCTGCTGCGAACGAACCGTCGGTACCCTGGATCGAGGGGATAGGATGGGACCAAACCAAATGGACACCCTCCGAATTTCCGACCGCCGCCGATCTTGACCGCTCAACGCTACTGCAGCGTTTCCCTATCGTCCTCCGCCGTATCGACGTGCATGCGTTGTGGCTCAGTGGGAAGGGTCTCGACAAGGTCGTGAGCGGTGCCAAAGGATTTCCGACATCGCCGAAAGATGATCACAAAGTGCAAGGGGGGCTCGTCATCCGTGGGCCTGACGACAAACCCACGGGCGTGCTCATCGACAACGCCATGAATTTTGCCTATCAGGTGATCCCAGAATGGCCCGACGAAAAACGCAAGATCTTCCTCGATGCGGCCACAGAAGGTCTTCTCCGCGTCGGCATCACTGCCGTTGGCGACGCAGCGACTGATCTCAAAGCCGCTGCCTTCTACAAGAGGATGGACGCAGAGGGCCAGCTACGCTTCCGCATATATTCGATGCTCGCTTGTCCTCCTGATGAGAGGCGATGTGCGCATCGGATCGAGCAAGTCGAGCCAGCGAGCGGACTCGCAAATACCACTGAAGGCAGACAGGGCATGTTCACGTTGCGTGCGGTCAAGCTGTTCAACGACGGTGCGCTTGGCTCGTGGGGATCTGCAATGTGGGAAGACTACGCGGACAAGCCTGGAGAGCGAGGTCTTTTGCTCATACCAGAGCAGGAGCTACCCTCGTTGGTCGATTACTGGATGGAGAGAGGCTGGCAGGTCTGTACGCACGCCATCGGCGATCGAGCCAACACGCTCACGCTCGATGCATACGAACAGTATCTCGGCTCGCATCCTGGCGTCGATCGACAATCGCTCAGACCCAGAGTCGAACATGCTCAGCTGATGAAGCCATCCGACATCGATCGTTTCGCGTCGCTCGGAATCATCGCTTCGATGCAGCCGACCCACTGTACCTCTGACATGGGCTACGTCGAGTCTCGTATTGGCGCGGCGCGCGCATCGAACGGCGCTTACGCCTGGAAGTCGCTCCTGGCTGCTAATGCGAGTCTTCCACTCGGCTCCGACTTTCCCGTCGAGCTGCCTGATCCGCTACACGGAATCTACTCCGCTATCACGCGTCTCGACCCCCACGGCGATTCTCCGCACGGCTCGGATGGCTGGTTTCCCCACGAAAAGCTCACACGACGGGAAGCGCTCAGAGGGTTCACACAGAACGCTGCATTTGCACAATTCGAAGAGGACGTCGCCGGGAGCATAGAGGTTGGCAAGAGGGCGGACTTCACTTTGCTGGATCGAAACATTCTGGACGAAGACAAGGTTAGCCCGGCGATGCTGAGGAACGCAAAGGTGGATGCAACCATTGTCCGCGGCAAAGTTGCTTTTGATCGATATGCTGCTGCTGATGCGGGCGTGACATCGAGACAGCCGAGGGCAGGCGGCTTCGCTGATCACATAGCGCAGCGTATCCAAAAGCTAGGTGCTTTGATCTCTACCCGATTTTTCGGACTGTCGGTTGACTCTACATCGACGCTCTGGGCTACACTCCTCCTCGGCGGCCTCTTCCTGCTGCTCCGTTCGAACGAGAAGGAAGCGTACGAAAGCCTATCGTGCCTTGCCCTCAACACGCAACCTCCAACTACCGCCTGGATGAACATGGGTTTCTGGACTCCGCAACTTGCCCGCTCGCAGCTCGACTTTCCGCTAGCATGTCAGACGCTCGCTCAGGAGCTGTACACTGCAGCGCGGGTCAGGCCTGGGATGAAAGTGCTGGACGTCGGTTGCGGAGCTGGTCAATCGACGCTGTTCCTGCTGGAAGAGTACAAGCCAAAAGTGTTGCACGCGGTGACGAGCTTGCCGCAGGAAGCTGCATTTGCCGCTCAGCGACTCCAGTGGCGTTTGCAATCCGGCGACAACAAGAACGTTGAGGACACGCAGGTCAAAGTTTGGGGAGAGGATGTCCTCGAGTGGCTGCGAAGCGGGAAAGGAGACGGCGAAAAGTACGATGTGATCCTCGCGCTCGACTGCGCGTTCCATTTCAGCGATCGAGCAGAGTATATCCGGTTGGCGACCAAGAGGTTGAACGCGGGAGGTCGGCTCGCATTTGTCGACTTGCTGTCCGCATATCCTGCGCCTTCTACCACGTCGTCGATGAACTTGGAGCTCGGTGGCCCACCGTACCCCAAGGAGGCACCTTCGCTGATGCAACGACTCAAGCACAGTTTTACGTGCACTTTGGCTTCGACCAAGCCGGCTAACCTTTGGCCCGTCGATCGCTACTTTGACATCCTCCGCAAAGAAGGTGGCTTCGATGACAAGAACATTCGAATGCGTGACATTAGCACATCTGTTTTCCCTGGCTTTGCTCGCTTCTTGCGGTCGTTCGCAACGGAGGGAGCAGCATGGAGAGGTGGCGGGTGGCCGATGCGTAAAGGTCTCGGAGCGTTCAGCAGTGTCGTCCAGGGTTGGAGCGAGGAAGGCGGATTGGTGCGGATGTTTATCATTGTTGCGCAGAAGGATGGCGAGGAAGAGGCGAGAGGGTCTTCTTGATCGCAATGCGCTTGCTTGTGAATGATTTTCGTCCGAAACGTCATCGATGTTCGTGCAGAGCTTGACTGTGCAGTGCATTCATAGTCTGAGCAACTGAAAGGAAACCGACAATGATCGTAACGCGAGCTTGAATCCCGATCAAGGCGCCTGACTCGCTCTCAAGCTCTCCATCCTAGCATTGTTGCGCTTCGCCAGCAGTCTGAGCGATCTTGCCTTCTCAATCTCGCTCATATTCTGCCAGTTCGCTATTCTCGAAATGGTGCCGTCCGAGTTGACGATCATGGGTCCCAGGTGGTCGAGCTTGATGACGTTGTTTGGCTCGGACGAGGCGGGCACATCAGAGGGCGCAGGGAGTCCGAGGGGCGTCGCAGACTGTGCTGTCTGACTCTTCGTGTCGGTCGTATCGTTTGTGTTGGCCATGGTGCTGACGAAGGAACAGAGGCTGGGAGGTCGATGAGTGAGAGATGGTGTTCGTAAGTGGAGAAGAGGACGAATGCAAACGGCGACTTTACCGGCGGATTTTCTGGCACGGAAAACAAGGGTCCAGGCCGAAGCTTGTCGTTGCTAGAAGCTTCGCTCTCACTCCGTGTGTCTGATTGACTAGTCACAGGAACGCTCTCACTCAGCACATGCGTAATCTCTCACAATAGCTTCGAAGCGGCACAATGCTGACTCTGCTGTGCGTAGAAGTGGATGGACTATGCTGAAATTGATGGTCAATGCTGGATCTCGCCCTTTGCTTGAGCTTCAGCCACCTTTGCCAGAATGTGAACCTGGTCGGCGACCTTTTTGAGTGTGGCTAATACGCGACCGTTGCCGCTCGTGAAGCTGTACTCGTGATAATCCAGCCCGTGCTGTTTGGCAAAGGGAACGACGAAGCGGTCGCGCACCTCGCGCAGATTGTGGCGTGGGATGCGTGGGAACAGGTGGTGGGAGACCTGCATGTGCAGTCCGCCGTGGATGAAGTCGAGCCAGGGTGGGCAATCGACGTCCATGGTGGTGCGGATCTGGCGCGATGCGAAGCTCTCGCTCAGGCCGAGATCATCGCAAGACTGTGCAAAGTGGGAGAGCACGATCTGAACGTGCAACGGTGATGTGACAATGTGCGAAATGAGAAGGTAGGCGATGCGGACGGGCCACGAGGGAAGAGAGCCGAGCAGACCGTAGCCGTACCAGGTCCAGAAGGTGAGCAACCCAACCAGCTCGAGCGCCCACCAGCGGTCACGACGTGCCTTTGTAGCGAGGAAGCCGTATGAGTTCGCGTAGAGGTTGAAGCGTCCGAATGCCATGACAATGTAGTAGAGCTTGTGCTGATGCTTGAGCAGAAAGCGGCTCGGCGCGTCGAACTCGAGCACACGACGGTAGTAGGAGGACCACAGCCCCAAAGGCTTGGATGGACTGGAGGAGGATGAAGATGCTTGAATGCTTTGGTTGCTGTTGACGATGGTAGTCTGGCCAGCCAAGACAAATTGAGGCGAGATGGCGAAGAAGGGCATGTGCTGAATGTCGGGATCGTGTTCTGGATGGTTGGTGACCAGATGATGCACATCGTGGTTGTCGCACCACCAGCCGATACTCAGACCTCCGATGAAGTCGGCGATCGTGGTACCGATGATGCGGTCCCATTGCCAAGAATGCGTGATGCCGCTGTGTCCCGAATCATGCGCTGAAAACGTGAGCTGGTGCCAGAACAGCCCAAGGAAGAGGCTCGAGAGCAGAAATGAGGTGGTGGACGCATTCCAGCTCGATATCGGGTCAGCCGCCGAACGCTCTGATTGCAACTGCGATCGACCGCGCGACCAGAATGCATAGGCGACAGAGGCGAGCAGCACGTATCGCGCCATTTCGCGTGCATATCCGATGGGATGCAGGTCGTAGAGGCCAGAGTCTTTGACCTGCTGATGCAAGCGTTGGTAGGCTTGTGAGATCTTGTGCTCTCGGATGGGATCGACCGAGTCGGGATCAGGCGGTGGTTCCAATAGGTCGACTGGCAGAGGGAAGGATTCGGGTCGTTCCACGAAGAGGGTCGAAGATGCCAAGGTCTTGGTCGAAGATGGTCTTGACGCTGCTGAAATATTTGCATGACGAGAAGCATCACGCTTCGAGTCATTGGACACGATGCTTTCAACGACGGCTTCGTCGGAGCTATCCGAAGAAGCATATGGCTCTTGGCTTGCTCGACTGGAGTTCGAGACGGACGTTGATGGCGTGTTGCGGTGGCGCCACATGCCAACTTGAGCATGAGGATGGTCGAGCTTGCCCTTGCGATAGCCCAGCTGTACCGGTGGCACCAGTGGTCGGTAGTTGTGCCAATCTGCCTCATCCAGATGGGCGATGACGAATCTGGACATGAGGCGTGAGATGGTGTCGTCCGAATGATATGCTTCGATCTCATCGGTTGCATCGCGGCCGACAAAGTGTAGAATGGCGAGCTCGCCACCAGGATGTCTTGCAAGCCATCGGTCCAGCTTGTAGATCTTTCGTCGATGCAACACCAGCGTCTCTCCTTGTGCGATGCGCTCAGCCAGCTGTGCGCGAGACAAAGTCATTCGTGAATATGCTGGACGCTCGGACCCGTCGAGAAGGGCTGGCGCAGATGCGAGTGCGCGCGTGCCTACGTCGGTGACCATCCTCAAGGTTTGCTGATGGCGGACAGCTCACTCCGTGTCGAGTAGGATGATGAGGATCGCAATGCAAAGAAAGGGTCCTCGCCACAATCTCGAATGTAAGTAGTTACACTTGCCACTTCTGCTCTGTCTCGGTGAGCCCCCACACAAAGACACGCACTCTCTCGCTGTGCTGTGCCGCGTCCGCTTTCTGAACGGGTTCCTGCCGAAAAAGAAAAAGAAAAAGAAATATAAAGCTTTTTTAAACTCTCTAGAAGCCAACTCTCTTGCGCCGCACATCTGCACTCCGGCCACGTTGCGAAATCACCCTTCCTTTCTCAAAAATCAATTCCATCGGGGCACAGGCCAAGTGACGCGGGTGCAAGCTTCGATCTACTTTAGCCTCCGCACGTCCTTCCAACTCGACTCTACCTATTATTCCCTCCAGTCACGCTCTCGGCACATCAT